TTGTGCTAACAGAAAAAAGGATTTTGTCATAGAGCCGCTTTTAAGCCTACACGGTGAATAATAAAATAAGGTTTAAATGTTAAGCAATAATTGAAATGTTTTTAGATACAGAAAGGTTTTTAGATGTTCTTGAGAAGTTTCGACAATATCTTTTCATCATCATTGCTCAACTTGTATTGCCTTCCAGTGGACGTAGACAGGACCTGTAGATTTTGAATGACTTGTTCATCTGGTAACCAGCAAGTGACTTCTCTCTCTGGCCAAAAATATGACCTTGCGGGACATTTAGGATGGAGAAATCTAACCTTCACTTCACTGTCACCTTTATTTGTTTCTTCAATGAAGCCAACCCAGTATTGGAGATCATATTTACAAATTCAAAAAAAGTTAATTGAAGTTGAAACCTTTCTGAAGCCAAAATTTATAAGAAAATCGAATTTTGATGAAAATTCTTTATCTGAGGATGTTAGCTTTGTTCCAATGCATGTCTTGGACAAAGGAAAAATATGATGATATGACCTTGTTCCAGGTACAGTTTTAGCCATTTAAAATCTTGGTTTCAATTCTTGTTGAACTACATCTGAATTCTCCTTTTCCACAAATAAAAACTTTATCCCATTAACCTCACTTTGGCAGAAATGAAACAGTTGATTTGCTGTTAAAATTTGGTTATCATATGCTCTTTGCAAGCTTGCTCTTGTTGCAATTCTTTTAACTGTGCCACCCAGTCCATCGCAAGCTGACTTGCCATGACTTGTTGCAAAGAATGACCAACAGCATGTGGGACCAAGATCTGAATAGTGATGGCAAATATTTACAAAATTTTTGCAGTTCTTGTACTGAGCTGCACAACCGTCTGAAAAGTATTCAATTCTATTAAAGTTTGTTTTTTGTGCTTTTATGTATTTGACTGTTTCTTGAATTATAAAATACACCAGGCCAACATCATGATCTAGATCATCAGAGATAAAACACAAGGATTCTGATACCAAATCTTGATTTTCTTTGGTGTAAAGAACAACGGGGTGAAATGTGCATTGTGATTTATTCCAATGGAATCCTTGTACTTCGTCTTGAACAATAAATTGATAGTTTTCAGCAAAATCAAGAATAGCAATTACTTCATCTTCTTTCAAATTTGTTTTTCTTTCCTTTAGATATTCAGCCTGTTTTTTTGCAATGAAGGAATGCTTTGTGATGTTATCAAGCTTTTCCACAAGTAAATCATAAAAATCATCAACAGTAGCTGTCTGCTTAATCATTTCAGTTTTGTCAGTACTGCACCATTGATTAAAAATTATTTGCTCCTCTTCAGAAAAATCATCTCTTTGCAATCCAGCTACCTGCTCACTGTCCTTATCTGTCTCTGCTTCACACATCATGGTGTCACTGTTGTAACTGTCTTCTTCGAATTCTCCTTTTAATGTTCTTATCAGGTAATCTTTTAAACATCTTGTTCCTGGACAATTAACACACTGATGTATCATACACTCTCTGTTGTTTCTGTTGCACACAATCATTTCAATAAGTTCATGATAAGATTGTTCCAAATCTACTGCCTTCAGTAGCAGCTTTACATTCTGATGAATTGAACAAACACAGACTGAGTGAGCACCTGAAGACCCAACTGTGACACACCACTTGGGTCTCAACATGCAGAACTTGGAGAACCCTATCTTTACCTCTGGAAACTTAGTTTTAAAGACAGCATAAAGTTCATTCAGATTCATCATGATCAGTCTTTTTTGTCGATGTACCCCTCGTGCAATGCTAACTTTCCTACAACAATGTAATCTTTCTTTCCTGGCATCTGCCGACTAAACCAAGATTGACCAAGATTTTGGTGTCAGGGTTAAAATTTTTATTATTTCTTTTCGAGATGAGGCCCTTATCTTCTCTTTCATTAGAAAAAGCAAGACATCAAAATCTTGTGCTTTCTGTTCATTTTCGGTTAGTGTCTTTTCCTCCTCTGAACTTAGATCCAATTCTCTAGGCTCGACATCTATCGCCTTTGCCATTGTAATTTGCAGATCCAGCTGTTTTTGTCTGAATCTAGATTGAACCTGAGCTATCTTTCTCTTTCCGTGGGCAACTCTTGAATGAGATGCGACAGCGTGTAATTTTAAAGGGCTGATGTCTTCTTCAATTAGAGATGAATTCAAGATCTCTCTGTTTCTGTCACCATCTAAATTTGCTTCAAAGTCAAGTAACTCTTCATCCGAATGTGGCAGAGCTTCTTCATGTTCATTAATCAATGTTTCATTAATATCTTTACCGCAGCTGGGACAAATTTTCTTGCCTGGAACAATTGATATTTTCCTCTCTTTGAGTTTTTTTGCCATCTCTAAAGTGACCTCACGCAATGACCCTTTTCCTTTATGGCTGTCTTTTTCCAAAGGGTTGCAGCATTTTTTTTGCCCAAGGTGGAACTTGTTGAGCAGCTTTTGTTCATGGTGTAGACATATGTTATGACCTGTTATATTTTCAACAAAATTCGTTCGTAAGATAAGAGTCTCCTTTGAAATATCATCAAGAGTATCAATTTATTTTAAACCTTTCAACTTGATTAATGTAAGCTTATGACAGGGGTCCTTCAGATGATACCCAATTGAGCAGGTTTCCTTTGAAGCTTCCATTTAATTCAATACGCAGTGTTAAAACTGGCCAAAATTTACCATAGTTTGCTGTTTCCACTTCTCAGAATCTGATTTATGACTTAGCAAGCATGGGTTTTATAGTTTCAGGCAGCTAAATTTAGGTATAATTACATCATAACACATGACACCTTCAGATCTGAAACTAAACTTGGCCATTGCATCATTTCCATATAAATTCTAGCAAAATGTGACAAATTCATGCCCTGACTTGCCTCTCAGCTTGCTTCTCATCAATAGCTGTCAACAATCCATTCATCCTATGGGTATGACATCATACCCTATTTCCTCTTGTAAATAATCTGCCTAGCAACAATGTTTACATAAAACAGGGCACACTTTTACAATACTTGTAAGTTCCTGTGATAAAATTTATCAGATTAGTTTATGCATTGATATTGTATCAAAACAGGCAAGGTGGCACAGGGAATTCCAATAAGTTTTCTATGATTTTATTTATCTGTTTCCTTTTCAATGTGTGTTGTATTCTCTGAATATATCCTGTTTGAGTAGATTAGCCATAGGCTAGTTTATTGCAAAGATGAGAGAGTTAAATTGCTTCTTACATGATAATAGTAACATTAATGATCAAGAAAAGCCATATCCAAATTCAAAGCTTTCTACAATATCATCTGTACCCCCTTTTAATTGTTTGTTGTAGGAAAAAATATGGACAGACCCTGAACTTTCATACACAAGTATATGTGAATTATGCTTGTTATTCATTTCTATTCTTTAAATCTACACAAGAAAAACTAAGCCATATTTTACAGGGTCATCCTACCCTCTTTATACTGTTATTATTGGGGTCCTGTTTGCTTTAAAGCTACAACAAAATATGCCTCTTAATAACTGATATATAAATATAAAGTAGTGCTAATTATTATGTGTATTTGAAACATAGCAGTATGTCAGCGTCTGTGCACAAAAACACAATAAACCTATTTTTTAAACCCTTTGTATCTTTAAAAGCACACAGAACACCATCACCAAACTTCATAGTCTGTTTAAGCATAATGTCAACTTGATTCATGTCAAATTTCATTATGATCTGTTTGGACCCATTTTGGCTATTTATACTTAAAGAATGCAATGTTTGCAAAAAAATTTTAACCAACTATTTCAATTTAAGTCAGCTGTAGAATGATAACTGTGAGGTTTACAGAATTTTGCATGTGATATTTGGAATCTCCATAGCAAGTTCCATCAGATTGCATAATTTCAACAGGATCTTAAGTATAGTACTTGATAGCAGACCATTATTCTACAGCCATTTCTTGTAAAAAATGGGCGGTGGCTTTCTTCGCATAAGGGTGTGGTCATCAATATGTAACATCTCATAACTCGGAAACAATACAAGGTACTAAGCTGAAATTTTCTGTGTATTTTCAAACTATAAAAGGGACTACCTGACCAAAGTTATGAATCAATCTGAGTACATGGGTGTCATACCTGTGTTGATTTGACATGGAATACCCCACCATTGAATTATGATTTAACTTTATGTGTTTCCTGGAAAGCTAGTCTGCATTATTTCTTATCACTTTACCAGCTATACAGAAGCAAAAAATAATGTAAAGTATTATAGACAAGGTATTTCAAAATGTTAAAACCAGAAAAAAACAGCCCCTGGTGTGAAATTTCTTATAAAAGCAATTTGGTAATCATCATAATCATAACCAAAATTGCCAAAATGAACATTTGATTTCCAGTTATTATATTCTGGCACTCTTTCATATACAAACAAAGGGTTTAATCCTTTTTGATAGATTCAGGTGTACTGAATTTGAAAATGAACTCCAAAGTTCCATATCATATCATCTACATCTCTATTTTTGGGGTTCTTTGAGCCCTGGTTCGCAAATTTTGCGAAACATCTTGTCATGCTTCAAGGTCAAAATTTTTAGCTTTCTATAATCTACAGCTAATAACTGTTAGCATTTTTGAAATCAGCACATTTGATTACCCTTAGCTATCAATTTTCAAGGATATATGACTATTCTATCAAATTTTAGAGGCATTTATACATAAACCGGTACGGTTAAAAAGGACGTCGCTGAAAATTTAATGCCTATCAAGGTGCGGATTTGAAAATGCTCTAGTTCAGGAACCAATCAAGATATAGAGCTGAAATTTGGGGTTTTTCTATATTTTGTTCATACCTTCATATGTACCAAAAATGAACAAAATCTGAGATGGTGGGTTACATGACCATGCTGTTTTGACATGGAATGACCCTTTTCTTCGCCAATTTTTTGTGCTTTGGAAAACTTTTTGAAAACTTCACAAGAAAAAGATATGGAAAAAAAGTCATTTAAAACTGTTACAAAAAATTAAGAATCAAACCTTGCATTTTCTTCAGGTTTTGTTTGGTTTTCAATTCTCGGCGTATTGCGGTGTTTCTTATTTGCTACATTTGTTTAGTCTGTCGCCATTTTTCTCCTTGCCTTGCCATGCTCCAATTTCGCAATGGTCCATGGGATATCCTCCTCCTCACTTCCCGATTCGCAATAACTTTCAATCATTTACTCCCAATGAGGTATTGTTAATTCTATATTAATTAATTATTTATAACCAACAAAGTACCACTGTTTTCAATGTTGCCCATAAAATCCCATATATATATTAGCGCCTTCTCTAATAATATAGCTAGGGGCTATGGCCCCTACATTCCCAATGACTCTGACTCGGACTCTCATTTCGGAAAGGCTATGCCATAAACCAGACTTTCCTAATGACAAAACATATGATGTACTCCAATCAGTTCTTTAAAAGGGCTAATATACCTCTCTAAACAACCTCTCTAAAGCGAAATATGCTTCTCAAGAAAGATTTTGCTTCTAGAATTACATCTCAGCATTTAGTCTAGGAGATCTGAAAATCGGATTTTTTCTTTTTAGGGAGCTGTAATACCCTTGCCCATTCTTTTAAGAGTTTTTCTGTAGCTTTTGGACTTGTCGGAAAAAGTTGAAACTGCAGCACTTTGGGCAGGCTTGGACAAGAAGTGCCGCAAGGGCCGATGCTTGGCCCTCTCCTCTTTAATGCTTTTATAAATGATATTTTTACTACCTTCAAATTGGATCACTGTGCAATTTTGCTGATAACAGCACTCTTTCTGCTATTACAATTTAAATAGGTGGTAAAGATATAGAAAGATTTTAAATTAACAATGATTTTTAGTAATATTTGATAGCAAACTTTACTTGATGTTGAGGTTGACGAAAATCTCAAGTTCGACACTCAAATCGATAAAATCTGAAAAAAGCAGCCAATCAGTTAGATTGGCTAAAAGCGAATAACAAATCATATGGGAGACAAAAAAAGATAATGAATTATTAATTCTGTTATATGTAAGATGTCATTTTAGTTATTGCTTATTTATATGGATGTTATGCAGCAACAAGAGAAAATAAATGAAAGAGCATTACGAGTTGCGTACTCTGACCATTCATCCTCCTACAAAGATCTAATTGCCAACTTGATGGAATCTACTATCCAATTAGAATCATAACACTTGAAGCAAAAAAAACTCTCAACGATCTATATCATATTTTATCCATGGTCAAAAATCTGCACCTCACTTCAGGAAGAAATCAAAGCAGCCCATAATTCAAAATAATTCAAAAATCTAACTACAAATTTTTTGAAATTGCTTCATATTTGTTTGAATAAATGCTTTCCATCATTGAAACAACTAACACTAAATAAATCATGTAATATCCTTTACAAAACTCTTTCCACATTCACGAAGTAGGAGAAAAAAGAGGATAAAGGAGACTTTTGCCGTGTAAATTTCTATTTTACCCAATGCCCAATTCTAATTGTATTCCTTTTTTATGCACAATCAAAAAAGGACAATTTTACAAGAACAAAATTACAATGATAAGCATGCCATTGGAAGCATGATAAGCATGGCTACCAATTGACCTTAAAAAACAACAATACAATATTGCCAAAGGCTATATCAAAATCTTGTTTATGTCCGTGAATCCTTAATAAAACTAACCAATGACCCAGTTCCAAGCGGATGATAATGCTCGATGGTTAGCAAAGACAGAAAGCTTGAAAAAGAGAGTGGGCCCAGGAGCCTCTCAGCTGGAAAATCTTTAAAGATAAAGCCTTTTGAAATGTCTGAAAACCACAATTTCATCATTACAAGGGATGCAATCGATAGACACTTTTGTTCAGCAGCGTGGCTTGACCTCCCAGACTAGGGGATTCAGGGTGATCAACAGAAACATTTTCCTATGAACATACAGATGAAGAAATATTTAGGTACTATTCCACCTATCAAACTATTCCAACCATGGATTTTGTAGATTGACCAAAGATTTACCGACAAAATAATGCAGATTTGATAAGGGGACACTCCCTACACCACCCCCGCTAGCCACGCCCCTTTATTGCTGCTAGAACATGAACCACCATTGCTTTGAAAAAGTTATTTAAATTCCAACGTCAAAAGGTTTTCTCGATAAAAGAAGGCTTATTTTGAAGGGGCTCTTTTTGACAAAAAGAGGCACAAAAATAACTTGAAAAAGTGGGGGACATGATCAACTGAGGCCTCTTTCCCCCTAGCATCTTTGAATCCAAAATAGTTGTAAGGAACATATAAAGAAAAACAAAACTCTCTCAAAAAAGGCAGTGATGTTTTTTTCTGGAAAGTACAATCATTAAAAAGCACTTAGTGGAATTAATTTTTCCAAATGTGGTGTATCGGCACAGTTAGAATTTCAAAGGAATAGAATCGCTAAAAAGATACCGCGAGTGAAACGATGCTGTAAACATTTCCATAAACATAGTCTTCAGAGAGCTAAGTCGTGAATTGTGTCAAGGCTTGTGTATTAATGTTTAATCATAGATTCAGATTGGACAGCCTTATTAAGCATTTCTTCGCAACTAGACCTGCAAAAGGCAATCACACTCTTGCTTTCGATTAGATGACACGATCTACGAAGCAATGAATAATTTGTTAATTGATTTACAAAATGATATAATGCATTCAATTCCAGCCATTTCTTTTATTCAGTATGTGTTAGTATAAAAGATGTTTACAACCCAATTCGACCTTAAGCCTTCAAATTATTAAACATATCGTCTATGTAAACAATTATATCTACCTAAGAATGCAGGCACCAACTTCATTTCTCCCTCGGTGTCACCCTAATCTTGAATGTCGTAATATACAAGATTCAGGGGTGATTGCCAAAACCCAGGGTGTAATTGAAAATGTTTAGATGACCATCACTGGGCTAATTCGGTACTTTTGAGGTGAATTGAGTTTTGACGAGGGCAGACCTTTTACAAGCCAATCAAGAAATCGAATAATTGCGTTAAGAATAAACAATACGTTTCCTGTGTGTTTTTGCACGACCTATTTGTAAACAGACAGTTGTTTATATTTTTCTATAATAAAATCGAAAAGGATGATAGGGCGACAGCGGCTGGACTTCGCAGATGTCCTTTGTGACTCGACAAGCAGGATAACACAATGATATCAAGGTGATAATGAAGAAGGAGAAAGTTTATAAATGCATAATACCCTGTACTGTTGATAAATGACAAGGCAAGAATGGATTGGAGATAACAATTAACTCCGTTGCCACTGCTCAAAAGGCGCGAAAGATATTCGAGCAAAAAATCTTAGTAAAAGGGTCTTGGTCTCTGCGTGATTAAAAATTAAGATTGCAATTAAGGCTCCCATTTTCACATTCTAATTTAAATTGGATATATTCTCCTACAGTCAAAGTATCCAAGTGGAATCCCGTTTTTGCTTAAACGACACACCTTGTCTTCACAAGTCTGTTTATGTTAACAACAGGTACTGATAATATACTGTTGCCATCCGAACTCCACTTCACTGCTTTCCGATTGGCTACGACCTTTATTACACAGATCGGCATGCTGAACCAAAGGAGTTTTAACAGAGAGACACGCATTTATCGGTTAAACAATTGACGCTGAGACTGGTAACGGACAATCTAAGATCCGTCTTTACGATTCAATTAGACCAATTATAAAGCAGCTCGACGTAGCTCACAGGTGGACCCAGGCTTCTTGCAAAGCAAACAGCATGAATTTAGCTCGACTTATTACGCTTATGATATGTTTGTTTTATGAAAGGGAAACTTCGAAAGGTTTCGACAGGAAACCAGTACCGTCTTCTCTCGTATTCTAAGTCGTATCAGATACTGCACTGCATCGATGAACAACGTCCACGAAGTTTATTAAACTCGAAGAGATTAACAGAAAATAAACGAGACCGCGACGTGAAAAGGAAATCTGCACGGTGATGGAAGTGATAATTATTTTTATCGCGCTGCTCGCTGCACTTATCCATTGGCCTTCTGGTAAGTTATGCTAGGAATAATTAAAAGCAACTTTTCTTGTTTCTTTTTGCATTTGACAACAATGCTATACCTACTGGTAAAAGTAGCTACTGCTATGGTATCGCTGGTTCAAATCCTTACGCAATAGCAGAAAGAAAGTTAGAAGAGTTATTATGTTGCTGTAAAAGACGATGTGGTTTAGAAATTTTTGTTAATCAAAATGTTATAAATATGCTATTATTGATTTATTTTCTTTAACAAGATTATTTTCTTTACATACATGATATAAACTCATTCTGTTTGTTAATTCTTGCCCTCACATTACTGTTACTTAAAAACACTATAACGCAACACAAAGGGGTATTTCAAAGGCTAAAGTTTTGTTTTAGGTTAAGCATACCGTGCTTTATTCTAATTCAAAAGTTAAGAAATACAAGACAATTGTTATTGTTTCTCTCCAAAGACTGATTTTTACACTAGGAAATATCTCAGAAAGCATTTATGAAAATTTAACATAAGCAACTAAAAGCCTGCACTTTAACTCGGGAAGTTGTTTGAAGTCGCCTTTGCAAACTGACGTTAATTTTCTAAGGTTTTTAGTAGTGATTGTATGACGGTCACAAAAGCTTGCATGGTATTCGCCATTAAGCTGTCAGCTTCGATGAGCGCTTCTCAAGCATACAATATTCAGGTCGTGTATTGTTTGAAAGACGTTTTTTAACATTTTTAACATACGACTGTATACAGGTTATTGTGTCTGAAAGCCAGCAGAAACTTTTCAACCGTTCGCTTGCACTATTTTCTGCTCTTTCTGAGCTCTGAAATTACAATACAACTGAAAGCTTGTCGCAATCCTTCTCTAAAATTTGTGTATTGCCTTACCAAAATTGATATCATTCACCTGAAGTTTGGTCTGATTAAATGGTGTTTTAAACTTGCTTCAATGCATGAAGGCTTTTTTCACATAACATAAGTGTTCCAGGCATGCACAAGTTTGACGAGTTTTTTTTGGAGGACAGACTACAAACGAGTTAGGTGAAGAAAAACTTGATATTTAAATGACAATGAACCATACGCAGTTGTGTCGAAATTCTCTTACCTATTACAATCCTGTTTGAAAATTTCACTTTTGTTAGATTTGTCTTAAAAAATCTAAATCGCGAGCTACGGAAAATTGATGCTTGATGCTATTTCCTGTAATGTTGGTCTCCTATATCCTATAGCCATCAGACAACGGATATTTTTTCTATGAAACTATTTATTCAAAGTTGCAAATGAACCTAGACGAGAGAATTTTGCACATGAACCTCGTACCTCTACATAGACCACAGACTCTGGCTTTTTAGGCATAGAATTACGTGAAGGCCAACGACGTTTTCTTCATTGGTGGATGCGTTTGCGCGGCATCAATTATATTCAATCACGTTGAGCATGGCTGATAATGTTATTCAACAACAGTTTTTGCAAATAGAAAAGTCTGAAAACTTTGCAGTCATGGGGTGCAGTAATCTTTAGGATAAAATATATTTTCCTCAGAAGTTTCCCACGAATAAAGTTATTTTGAAAGAGAAAACATGGCGTCCAAACGTAAACAGAGTCTGCTCCACAGCTTGGCCTGGTGCAAAAAAAACAGTAAGCTGAAAGTGATGCCAAAAGGGCATTTATCTATCCATTTGCCAAATTCTGAAACCTTTCAAATTTTTCTAAGGAAACGATGAAAACAAGGTTTGGCCTGAAAGGGTGTCTTGATTCCCTTCGTTTCATCGACCTTCTCAATGTAGTTAATCTTGTAACCGCCATTTTTTCTCGACTCCAGTTAAAGAGCAGTAGAACAAACATTTATATTTTATTAAAAGTATTCGGATGCAAAGTGTACTCCAGTGTTTCCTGCAAGTGTAGCATTTGACATGTGGATGCTGTAATATACCCTGTTCTTTAGAATGAACTCCTCTTTCGTGCACAAAGGGGTTTACATTGATAAAATCCGCACATCAAACCCACACGACGAATATAGCACCAAAATTGTCATGACGTCATGTGGTCAATGCAACAAACTTGATAGATAAGACCTTGCAAGTGAAAGAACAAGCTAGACTCGACACAACCTACACCTCAAGCAGCCCGCACCAATCAAAATGAAAAGACACATTAACAAATTAACTTTTTATATAATGTAAGTAGCAGGGACATACATACATTAATTATATAGAATTATATTATTTAGCAATGAAAAGATCATAAATTGCCTTAACCACGCAGTAAATTTAATGTGTAAAAGAGCCACCATTCAAACTAAAAATCCGCTCTTTTTTGTGTTTGGCTATTGATGTTCCTCAGCACGGAAATGTAATAAATGTTTCTAATTTGACTTAATCCAAGAATGATAATGGAGACTCATTTTCATCCGATAGAATTCATAATTTTGGTTCACAAATTACCAGAAAAGCCAATACAAGCAACAAGCTTGAAAGGATTTCTGAAATAAGTTAATGACAATTTATTGGCTTTTCTTTAATTTCTTCCATACATCGATCATCATCTGCCATCTAAAACCCACATTATGTGGCTAAAATCTCCATAAAGTGAAAAAACGTCTGCATTTCAACTGTCAGGAGTATAGAGGTTCAAGCTCCAGAAGAACGCTAAAGGGAGTGAAAATGCAGATGAGCAATCAGTCATTTAGAATTTTTGGCAAAAGATTGATACTGTTATTCCAGAATCTACCCTGTTAATCCACATCTAGCAAAATTGATCTTTTATTAAAACATCAAGCAGTGATTTTTACCTGTCAATTTAAAATTAACACGTTACTGTCTAGATTGACTCTGTAGGATTAGTGGACGTTATCTATGATTCGGTTTGCTTCCACTTCATTTTATCACTCGGCCTTGTACAAAGGGAGATCTACAGCCAAAGAGTCCAGGGAGCAAGGGCCTTAGTGACGTATGAAGCATTTATAACTTTGGCGGCACAACCAGGGACGGATTTAAGCAGCAGGGATTGGGGGTGGTGTGTTAGACAGTGATTGAAGCCACATTCTTCATGTGTCTGGATGGAAGTGAACTTTAAGATTAAGAAGTGCATCTTTTTGCTACTATTCTTCATGTGTCTGGAAAATAATGGAAGTGCCCATTTTTAAAAATTCAAATTCTAACTTTAAGATAAAAACTATAAGAAGTTAAAACAATAATTTTTGCATCTTTTTGCTACTACTTCTACCAAAAAATGCTTTCCATATGACGCTAGCTAATCAGTTCTCCTAGACTCGTCTATCAGATCCTGATTAACTTAAAAAGCTCTCAGTTCATGGTAACTATTCTTAATTCCATCTAATTTAAAACGATGAAGAAATTGCAGAATTTTATCTTGTCAATCTTTGCAAGCTCTGAAGTGTTTTTCTATTTCTGCTTACTGAATTTAATAAGATGTTCGCAACACAACCAAATCTTTTTTTGCTTATTGGCACTTTGCCATTTTGCCACGAGAACCTGCTTTTCCAATGAGCTTTCCGAACATGTAGGTAATTCAAAGTGTAACATGTATGCAGCATAGAGAATGTATATTGAGCAACTTAGATAACGTATAAAGGAACTGCAATGAAAAAGCAAGATGTTTCATGCTAGAGATTGTTAAATTGAGCACGGAAATACTTCTTAATTCATACAAAGGATTGATTTGATTATCTGATTTACGTTTTAATGTAAAGAATTCATCAGACCTACCAAAGTAGCTTTGTTCATCGAAATAATCAATTACTGATAATAGTAATGAGATCAATATTTGAAATACAACTGGATTGGTAAAGGAAAGCTAGGTAAGTGTGCGTCACTAAAGACATCGATATTGAAATAGATTGAATTCGAGAGACATTGACATATTCCTTATGCATTATATATCTTCACTTACATATAGAACGAGTTGAGAAATCGAGTTCAGAAAAAGCTTCTAAAGATACCTATTAAGTTGCAAATATTTTAAGAACCTGTTATGACTAATAATGTTGCTAATAGTTGGCCAAAACCCGTGCCAGTGGAAAATTCAGGAAAGATGTTTTTATTGTCATAGGAAAACAAGACTGTTACAAAATATAGTTATTGGCATATTTAGTATAAAAAAGCGAACACATCTATCTGTGGCATTGTCTAGCTAAAAGTTTCACCAATACAACGTCTAATTATGAAATCATATCTCTTCACCAGCTTAACTTTATATCAATTCATGTGAAGATTAATGTTGGAAGAAAGAAGGATTCTTCCCTAGAAAGTTTATATTGTGCAGAAAGATTATAATGTAATCGGATATTTCTTCATACTGAATCAAATTTTGATGCAGGAAAAAATCTCCTCAAAGTATAAGGAAATGCACATCTTTGCCAACAAACAACACCTTGTCAGCAAAGCAGATTTTTTCCAGGAAGGAAGAAAAGATAGCATCTTCTGAAAAAGCGAATATGGTAAAGAATAATCTACCAAAAAAGTCGCGAATGAAACCCTCAAGAGCTTTTCCTTAAAATAAAGATATAGCTCAACGTCAGTTTACCAGTGTTGATATAATGTTCTGCCAAAAAGGAAAAGAATATCATCATAGTAACTTTCTTGTTATCTTTTTATCCTATCTTTAAAACTTCAACGTTTTCTTGAAAGCCTTAGATGTTCGCCAAATGTTATGACTAGTGTTTAGTGTACAGGTATTTACCGCCACTGATCACCAACAAAAAGTACGTTGTTTCTGCTTTGCATATCCGAAATCGAAGGTGTTTTACAATTTGTTAGGCATTAAATTGACGTTGTTCACATACACTTCAAGGCTAGATCCCGCAATGCAACTAATTAAGACAAGTTCTTGCCAGACAAAAGAATTTGAAAAGAATACACTCGAATTCACCCGTTCCCATATGCAAAAGTTCACAATTTAATAAAACTCTTGGCTATGTTTGTTTCAATTGAAATTGTGAAAAGTAATGGCAAAACGCTGTGTGCGCCTAGAAAAGGCCCTATGAATTTTTGATTTGATCAATGTTTTAGCTTTATAATGCAACCCACACAAGCATGTAGCTTGCAAGCTGACCCTTGAAGCTGCATGCGGCATTTAGACATGTGAAAGAAATTTATTGGATATGACTTTCAACTTTTGGTTGGTGAACACAAAAAGGCATGCATTTGCTTCGGTTTACGTTTGGTCATGAATGGAACCATGGTCTTTTAAAGAGAGTTCTTGAGAATAGACAAAACTGGAGCATTACGAAAAGTATATTATAGATAAAGGAAACCAACAAGCAATCTTGACACCGAGGCAGATCTAAGAGAATTAGACTTTGCGCCGCTGTATCTCAAAAACGTGCATGGTATGATGTCTAGGCTGATTTTGTATCTACTTCTTACAGTTTGCCTGACGAGTGAAGCAGAAGTTGAACTACTGGAACATCTCTTTAATGGCTACAACTCGGATGCTAGACCAGTGCTCAAGGATTCAGATGCCGTCAACGTCACACTGGGCATCACCATAAGCCAGATTGTCGATGTTGTGAGTGTTTTTCTTGTTGTATGCATTGAAATGCAGCAAAGTTATATATTCGCTGTGTTTAGCAACTATGAAAACTGCAATAGTGTTCTCCCCACTAAGAACCCGATGTCAATATCTGAGATTGGCGAATCATGTGATTGAGGTAGCTCTATGCAAGCTAGATATTTAAGGTGATTATACACTGATTTCAATTTAACCATACCAACTTCTTATATCTCACACTCTATGTTGTTTATTTGATGTGTCCAAGTGATATGGTTGGAAATAAATGTATTAGTGATCATTAACGAATAAAAATCTCAAGAGAAAATTTCATGAGCAAACCGCACTATCACCTTCCCCCTCCTACAGACAAGACCTGCCATTCCTCTGCTTATTTCAACTGCTTCTCGGGGCTTTGCCTCCTCTTCTTCCCTTTAAAAACTGTTTGGATGCTTCTGTGTACATTTTTTTGTATAGAAATGAATAGGGAAGTAGTTCAACACGAGTTAACTGGCAACAAAGTAAACAACAAGTTTACTTTTAATTCATTAATGAAATCACGTCCAGGGCGAAGTTAACCCACAATCCAAAGTTGTCTTTCTGCCCCCACATCAATCTCGCTTTGCAAGCAAATTCAAGAACATCAGGAGTGAAATTGACTTTGCAACAAAATGTTTTCATCTGCCCCAAATAAACTAGTTTTGCAAGCAATTTTAACAAGGTTTAGGATGAATTTCATTCAGAAACAGAATTTTTCCATCTGCTCTCAAATCAAATTCGCTTTGCAAGCAATTGGAGGTTAAGGAATAATACTTATAAAATTCTGCAAGAAATTTAAATGCATTTTTCTCGACCAGATACAGTACCCATGACCAAAGTTTTATACTTTTAATGCAGAATGAGTTCCTTCCTTAAACTGTCCTTTTTGTATTTTAGGATGAAAAAAATCAAATTTTTACAGTCAGCGTTTGGATGAGACAGGTACTTGATTTATTGTAAAAAACTTGAATGATGATCTACTTTGTATGAACAGGGTGCATATGAAAACATGACGTCGACACGTTTTCCAACTAGTGGCAGATGTTTTTTATCGCTCAAGGCGTGGACCAATATTATTATGCGGATGGAGACGACCTAGCAGAACCACGGCTTATCAATGAGTGATCTACTCTGCCTAGCTATAGCTAATGTATTTGATTAAAAATGAATAAAAACGGCTAGTTTTGCAGACATCAAATTTTGTTGCACGGAAACTATGTGTACTTCCCAATTGAAAAATCTTGTTTTTATCTCGTTGCTAGTTAAGTTGTGACATTTGCAGCTCAAGACTCAGTCAATTTGTCGGGCTGTGACTGTTTCTAAATTTGTTTTGAGCCTTCAAAATGCTTTTCAAATCAGTTCGTTTGGCAACACAATCCAAAATGATTTGAAGCAGGAAATTATACTTAATGGAACAGCGAGAGCTTTGCTTCTCTGCAAGGCCACAAACTCCCTAACGTTTCGACAAAGTAATTATATAGACTCAACTTGTGCTACTGCCGGCCTAACTTCTATGTAATGAAAACAAAGGTTACAAATTTCGAATGTTAAACTTTGTGATTTGCATTGAAACTTGCAAAAATCAAGAACAAGAGAATCTAAACATAAGGTCAATGCAACCTTCTTATTAATGAACTCCAAGAAAAACATGAAAAGCATTTACTGTTTATGAAGCTGTAAAAAACAAAACATGATTTAGTCAGTGAGGTGAGATATCCAGCAAAGAAGAACTTGTGAAGATGCTACCATGACAACGTTTATAAGAACAGTGTTGCTAGCGCGTCAGCATGTCAGATGCTTTGTGTCAAAAGCGTTCTTTAGCCTTAAAGATAAGATTTTTACAGTTACGGGACCAATTTAGCCTGGGTCACAACAATGAGTTCAGGAAGATCGAAAAGATTTGTTTAAAAAGACGTTTATGTGTCAGTCAAAACTTTAACAGGCACAGTGACCTGAACATATTTGCTATAATCAGCAGCAAAAACCTTCTTCAACAGTATGGAAATCTATAGTTTTTTACGCAATAAAATTAACCTATTACAGAAGCATCAAACACTTTTGCTACACACTTATGCATAAAGCACATGGTGAAGCAATACATCGAAAAATCATTGTTCAATTGAATAAGAAGTACGTAATAAGAAACAAGTAAAGAAGATTCAAGAACTGAAGTCAATTTTGCAAATAAGAGGTTCACAAATCTGTGAAGACGTTGAGGCCATGTGCATAATGATTCTTGAGTCGTTAAATTTGTATCATTTCTTAGAACCAAATGACTTTATCTCCAGCGTAAACAATTTTGATACTGAGAGTGTGAAACATGTCTCACTAAAACCACTTTGCTTACAAGTGAAAATATTTCTACCTTTTTTACAGAAATGGAAAAACCCTCTTTTAGCATGGGATCCTAGTCGATTCAACAACATTTCGAGTATTAACGTACGCCCAAAGAAGTTATGGTTGCCAGACATTGTTTTATACAACAAGTTAGTTAAACTTTTACTATCTTAAACTTTTATTATCAAAGCCTTGCCTGCCTATCTGTAAATCTAGCAATAAATATGCACACTCGATGGCAGTATGTTATTTTGCTGTTGACCTAAGACAAGAATAATCTCTAAAAGATATCCTTCAAGCCTACTTACATTGCCTTGAACTATTTTGACAGTGTTCCGCGAGGCTTTTTGATAATTTGCAATGATTCGTCGTTCTAAAAATATATCTTTGAAAATTTGGCAAATAAGAGGTTCAAGCCAAAACTCTTAGCTTTATCGGTGCTATTTTGTTTGACAGAATACGTTGGCCAATCAAACTTATCACGTTTCCTCTGTTTTGTCGTCTTTCAGCTTATTACGTCCCCTTTCAGCTTTTATCAAACTTTGTAAGCTACAATTGGTGTTGGAAAAGATTCTAGGAATATACTAACTAATTACTTATAAGCATAGATAAGGTCCCTACAGAACAATAGATAATGCATGTAATTTGAATGGTCACATACCAGCTCTACGGTTCTCCCGTAAAACTGAAAGACAAACTTTGATTGACGGTCTGTGATACAGGGCTCGTACTTGCTAGGCAGGCTTATAAATTTGAATGGCACCAGCGTTAATCAAATGCTTTAAAGGAAATCGATAGAAACTTAAGTTGATTGGGACATTTGTCAATCAGCTATTGGCCAATCAATAAACGTGCGAAAGGTATTTCGCTCATTGATTGGCCAGTGTTCATTGACAGAAGGCTGCAGCCCCCTTAGTAGCATTCGATTGCCTTTAATGTATGATTTGTTGTGATATGGTAGCACAGAATCTTTATTCTGTGATGGTAGTATGACTTACAAGAAGGGGTAGGGACATGGTCCTGACTGTTCTCTTCTTAACGCATTAATAATTTATATCAATCATTCCATAATCATAAAATAATTAACAAGCTCTTAGCCTTGATCTTTGATACTATGGTTCATGATTTGTTGTTGCTCTAGTGCTGATTCCGACATAACCTTTGGAGGCAACTTCGATCGATTAAACACTCGCGTGATATTATCGCACAATGGTAATAGTGTGTGGTTGGCTCCCGTCATAATCAAAAGCAAATGCCAGATCGATGTGAAATACTTTCCGTTTGACGAGCAAAGCTGCAGCCTAAAGTTTGGTAGTTGGACATATGATGGGTTTCGCCTGAATCTTGCAAAGGAGGCAGAGAAAGCTGACTTATGTAAGAATAAGCGGTGACACTTTTTTTGCGAGATCTTACATACTTTTGTCGAAATTTACTGACATGCACCTTTCCTATTAATGAAATTATGCCGGCAATCGCCAGGCCCTGTTAAGTTGGATTCAGATTTTGGCTTGGCAATGTTTTCCTTGTCAGTGTCACAGATTATCGAATCAGCATATCTTTTTATAGTTCCTTGGCAACATCGGCTGCATTGGACTTTTTAAGATACTGACGTAGCGAACCACAGCTGCTACTATCTTCACCCTTGTCTTCTTCACTGAATGCCTCTAGCTCGCTTATTGTCATTTATAAGATTATAATTCATATTGTAGCTAAATTCTTGAAAAATGCAGAGTGGCATCTCGTTGATGTTCCAGCTGTTCGAAATGAAGTGAAGTACTTTTGCTGTCCAGAACATTACCCTGACGTCACATATACATTCATCATGAAAAGAAGATCTCTGTTTTATCTGACAAACCTCATTTTCCCCATGGTCCTCATGTGTGCCTTGACTATTTTGTCATTTCTTCTACCAGCAGAATCAGGTAAGAGACATTTGCTAATAATCCACCAATGGCCCATACTTTGATAGACAAAAGATTTTGCTTTCCATGTCGTTGTAAAAGTTAAAAACATAAAGCCAGCAGTAATGACAGTGGTTTCTTTGAAACAGGGTAGTTTGTGTTTCTAAAATGGTCTTTTCACAAAATATGCAGTTTCAAGTTGGAAAGATCGACACATGTCTTGCTGTCTTGCAAATAGTGATAACAGTGAGCTCCGAAAATGATATGAAGCAACGTCTATTGGAGAGGGAGATGAGTAAGATGCAAGGGAGGGAGAGATGAGATGCAAGGGGGAGATGAGATGCAAGGGGGAGATGAGATGGAAATAGGGAGATAAGATGCAGAGGTAGATGAAATGCAAAGAAGGAGATGAAATGCTTTAGGCAGTTTGCAAGCATCTGGTGAAGTGTACTAAGGCTTTTGGCAAACGATGAATATGGCTTCATCTGGTGTAAATACTTCGAAAGTTCTATGGTTTTCGCTGGACTTTATGGTCCTGGTGTTGAATATAATACATTACTTATTCCAGAAATAATCTCGTCACTAAAAGGATTTGATCTAAGAAAGTATTGTTCTGCTGAATGCATCACAAATACCAACTCCCCTTGATGACTTAGCAAAAATCAAAATCCTATTCTGGGTGTTTCTTAATCAAAAGAAGGGGTCTTTAAAGTGAAAATGGAGAAAACACATTGAGAAATATACATTCTCTAGTGCTGCAACAATGTGGAATGAGTGAGATTGCACAATAGTGTATTGGCCACAAATTGAATAGAAAGACTTGTTTGGAGATATTCTTTAATTGAGCAGCTTTTTTATTGACTGCTATATAAACATTTGACATTGACACAAGATCTTAATCAAAAATAGGGTTATTAGTAAATTGAAGAATTGTTCTTAGTAATTGTTTAAGACCATGATCGCTATACTTGTGGGACGTTTTAATAGAGCTGAGAGACAGTAAAATTGGTTTGCAGCACTTGTAATCCAGATATCAGTTAAAGTGCTGGATAGCATTAACTCAAAAACCCATTGTAAAAGCAGATCATGCCCCAGGATAGAACAGTCATCGTGGTCGAAGACCAAACATAGAAATCTGGAGATTCAACCCTTTCTGGAGCAAGTTAGTTCAATCACCTTACATGATTCAGAAAACTGAGCCACTACAAGATATCAAATAGAACTTTTTCTAGAAGAGTGAAAGAACCATAACGATCAAGCCATATTTATAGATCATTTTCAAAAAAATGATTCGTCTTTTCACATTTCCTTATGAATAAGTAAAGATATAGAAGACTTGATAAATCTAAATCTTATCACGTGGGTGGAACCTTGAAATATTCAATAGTAATTTCACTATGTCGTTGAATTCACTTTTTCAAAGCACAAAGCTGGAAAGATGCTGGGCTGACAAAATACCTGATTTTTGCAAACAAACATTTTCAAAAATAGGCATAAACAGAACAGCTGTAGACAGCTGCTCGTGTTTATAAAATTTGCGAATTTCTAATTGCCTTTAAAACAATGGCATTAAAATTTTCAATGACAAATATTCCTTACCTACTGAAACAAGCTCGAGAAACTAATTTGGTACGCAATTCTATCGGTCGATCTCATGCAAGCAGAATAATGGAGGCTTTCCCTTTGGAAATGCTTCTTGTGGCGATTTACGTAACAAAGGCCTCGCCTCAGTTTAGAAAGCAAAGAAGCCTAAACTATTGTTTATAGTGCCTTTGACGTCATACATTATCAAGGTTGGAACATAAGGCACTGGTTGGTCATTGAGAAGACAAATATGGCATTGACGAAAGATCTTTACATAACAAATATTCTTCTATAAATCAAAGCACAAAACCAGCCGCAGCATACGGTGGATTTTTTACATCCCTTGAAAATTCTATCTAAATATCGATTAATTTTTTAAATATCTGAAAAATGAGCAAGATACAAGCATGCATCAAACACAATAACGAAACATTTTATCAAAGCTTCTTCGAGCGGATTTTTGTGTTGGCCAAAATTCAGAGATCATAAGACCTTTTTTATTATAATTGATCTTTTAAAAGCACATCTGGGAAGAAATAATTGCAGAAACCACATATCAAGCCGAATTAGATCTTCATCTCTTCATGGTCAATATTATCAACCTTTACTGTCAGAGACTTAATGTGTCTTGCTAAAATTAGGTGTTATATCAAGAAGACAAATAAAGCAAATCAAAGTTTGATAACAGTACGTCAGAGTTTTGAAGAAAAGGTTGTTTCAACATTGAATTGTCACCTGGTGGCAGCATTTCAGCTAAAGGAATAATGCAGTTGGGAATAATTGATAGAAATACGATAAAAAGATTTCTACAAAATAAATCTTCTACTAACTTTTTGCATCTGGAACTTTCCCAACTTCTCGGGCATTAAGATCAAATTGGCTGGTAACTACCGTAGAAACCTGCATAAAAAGCAGCTGGTTTGAAACTTTTAAGCCGCTTGAATAGATTCTCATTTGACAGACACCATTATAAATTTCAATCTTTATGTTTCTCAAAAGGTTTTTATACGAGGTTTAATTTTTGGAATCAAGTACAAATGACATCTTTCCTGCAAGTGACTTTCGGTGTTTTCGATGTAATCGATATAAAGCAAAAGAAATTATAAAAGAAATGATGAATGCACAAGCAGCCATTAAATGTCTATAGAATGACTTCTGCAGCATAGGCTGCATTCTAGATAAAAGAGAGTTTCAAAAATTCCAATAATTTAGGCCCATTATAAATACAACATATGATGCTGATACTTCAAATGTGCATGCAGCCTTTATAGATAACTCACTATAATAATTTCGAGTCCATGCTTTTGCAGGTTTCTACTGTATTGCTAATGTTTGTTAATGTATTATGTATAGGAATGATAAACACGATCACTTTATTCTACTCCGCTTTAAATTTCTAGGTGAGCGAATATCTTTGGCAATCACATTGCTGCTTGCAATGACAGTGTTCATGCTAGTGGTTGCTGAGATGATACCACCAACAAGCGAAGTAATACCACTGGTCGGCATTTTCTTCAATGCAGCCATGGTTGAAATGGTGCTAATGATTGTCAGCCTCTGTGTTGTCATTCGCTTCTACCACAAACAGTCCACTGATCCACCAATGCCGCAGTGGATGCGTAAATACGTACTAGATAACTTGTCATATAAACTGAAAGTGAGATCCAAGAAAACTGCTCGTAACAGCGACGAAAGCGTTCGGCCACACGTCGAACTAGTGTACCTATCCAACAATAAAAGTAACGGCAGACTCGATCTACGAGTTGATAATAACGCCGCGGTCATTCAGCAATCTGGACCAAAAAGAGCCATTTCTAATGGAATGGCGAATCGACGAAAGGAGAAGGGTTACTTGATGGACGGTGCAGGTAGCACTGCAAGTGCGAGAAACGAAGGAATGTTTGAAACTGGAATCATCGCGAAAAAGCTTGATATAATCATCGAAAAATTGTCGCAAAAGGAACGGGATGAAAAGTATCGCCAAGAGTGGCGTATTGTAGCAATGACATTCGACAAATGCCTTTTGATAGTGTTTTGCTGCATTTCAATTTTTACAATTCTTGTTATATTCCTGAACTCTCCAGGGTATGTAGTATAATAACTGGAAATGGGTACCGGCTAGCCAAAAGCCTCAAACCATAAAGTGAAAACGAGACTCCACCTGACAGAGATTGCTGAGATAAAGTTGAAAGAGGACTGGGTATCACTGACAATTTTTGTAGTATGACCTGCAATACCACAAGTTAACTTTTGTGCAAGAACCAATAAACTTGGTGAAGGTTTGGTTTGCTGCATATCACCTATGGAAGACCCAAGTTTATGAGTTTAAGTCTTATTAATCTGATAAAATCTTTGCTCTTAGATGGCGAAAATTATTGAATACTTAACACCTAAGGCAATACTCGAATCATAAACATCTAACTAATTGAATGTGAACATCATTACGGCTGTATACATTTAGTTTTTATCTCAAAGTCAATTTGTTTGGAGATCATAATAAGTCATAACAAATTTCTGAGATATGTTATAGGAAATATTTTATAATAATCTGTGCATGGTGTTTAATTTCAGGGTAATGAATTTTGAAAAATGCTTAACGCATAGAACTTTAACCAAAAAATAACTCGTTTAGAAGAATCAAGTTGGCTTTTGATTAGGGAAATGATATTTGCTGTCATAATAAGGGTTGTAATATCATGCTATTTCTAACTGGTTTCATTCATAATTCAATAATGCACTTTTGCTGCTAAAGTCGTCTCCCTCTCTCTTTTTCTAACTGCCAGTACGTTCAGTTTGTCCTGTATTCAAAGTCAATAACTTATTGCACTAAATAAAGATTTGATAATCACCCAAGAACAGCACGATCCAAATATATGCTGCCTTTAATGTGACCACTTATTCAAACAGCTTGTTTTCGCATGCCTAAATTGAAATGAATTGCAAAGTACTTTTCTTACTGACTTCTGAAAGAGTTGAATGAATTTAAATTAAGCAGATAATCAGCAATTCAAAAATGGGTTTTGCAATGACATCGAGATACTGCTGGCTAAACGGCGAAAATACATTTTTATCACACAATTAAAAGACTTCAGTATGACATTTCCGCTATTTCGTGCCTATTCCAATCATATATCTATACGTTAGGTTTCTTTCAATGGGCCCTTCGTCCATTTAAAGGTTTCGTTCCTAAATATTTTGCAAACTCTACGGTAAATTATAGTATCCTGTCTCTGTTTTGTACTGGATTAAGATTTGGTGAGTGGTTAATACGGATTTATTATCATCAACTTTTACTAATAACTTAATTTGGAAATGATTCTTTACATTCGGTCTGGCTTTATCTTCGATGAAACGATATAATCTTATTTAACTTATAACAATTGAAGCAGAATGGTCAGTTATATAGGGGAAATGTCTAACAAAATTTGAAAAGATATGGAAACTTTGTTCGTTAAGGAAACTGGTAGCTAAGCTTTCTATCTTTACTTAAACAGTTGATAAAACTATAAAGGCGTATGAAATGTTGTCTCAATTTTACCTGCTTAAGTCTTATGACGCTCATATTTAGTGCCAGGATCTCCTTCCATAGCTTCAAAATACGGCAAGTATAAAGCAAGGGAAAATAAAAACGAGCTTGTGTCATTTGACAGCCCATGGAGTTATGGATTATGTTTAAAGAGCATGAAGTATCATTATCGTTAATGTCGAATCTATGCTCAGCTTAGATTTGGTGAAAAAGTTTATACTTTAATCGGCTAACTTGCACCTGACATCCCTCTTTTTGTAGCTTCCATGGAACAGAATTCCTTTGATAACAAGCCGTTTTTTAATATAAACCAATTAAACTCAAGTCACACACCCAATTAAAAGAAAATCCATATGAAGATATTAGCTTCGAAGGATCAAAACTATGTTAATTTGAAATCATCCCACAATCAGCAATATGCACGAGAACTTTCAAACGCAAGCTAAACGCATGTTTTCAGATCCTTGATAGCTGAACCATTTGAAGCTCTCAGTCTTCTAACTCATCGTTTTCAAAGTTCAACTTCATTTTCATTTCTTCCCAGTAGTGTCTGGGGGGCTCAGGGGGGCTTAGCCATTTTGTTAAAATTCAGGAAATTTAGGGGTGCTCAGCAAGTGGGTCCTCATTTAGTTGAACGAATTCTTTGTTGGCAATCCTTTATTTTACTATCGATTTCTCATGAATGTGCAATTGCTTATCAATCTGTTTGTGTCATCGGATAGTTTAAATGATTTCTACACACAACTTATACAAGCAGATTTCTATAACACAAATCCAAGTATATTGGGTGTGGTAAGGGTGTAATCATGGGTGTGGCCTTTGAATTTGCCTACAGTACAGACCCTTTCATAACTTTTAAGGGCGGCACCCCTGTTTATCCCTCATAATCTACCTCATTAATATTAGCTTCATCCAGAAAAAGACAGTGGATCTTTGTTGGATCAATACTACCCTTATTTCTCATCCCCATTTTCATGTACGCCTCGCCGAAATTACGTGAAAAAATTACGCCCTATAACTTAAAAAGAAAAAAAACACTAGCTTTCTCGTTCCAAGCTATTTTGCTAACTGGATATAAACGATATGACAAGGCTAACAGTAATATTTTCTTGCTGACGCTTTTGAAATATAAAATCTATATGACATGACAATATAAGGCGACATTACGAAATTAGAGAAATAAGGAAGTCAAGTGAATAAGAAGCCGACCAGTGGAATAATTAAGGCAGAATAATATGACATTGACTAAGTTGATTGTTTCTCGTTTATTAGTTTTTAGATTAAATTTTTTTCATCCGCAGAAGCGACAGCTATGAATAAGTAAATTTTGGTGAATGGAGCTTGTGCAATGGACCCTAATCGGTGAAATATGCTGCAATATGCGACCAGTTCTTTTCCAGTTTGCAGAAATAGGAAGAAAGGCGCCAACTTCGCACAATTTTAGAAATACAAACCAGATAATTGTACAAGGAGATAAACAATAACGAACTATGAAACTGAGTTGTTAGTTAAAGAGAAAACATCTTTTAAAAAAACTACATTTGCAAAAAATAGCTCTTCTTATGTAATAAATTCCCTTTGTAACAATTAATTCTGCTAATTCTAAACAGTTTCGATAGAAATTATTGTTTATCTGATTACCTCAGAAGATTGGATTACGAGATCATATTGGACACTTCCTTTGACAACAATGACGTAATACTGATCTTTTCGCAATTAACGATAATCTTTGCAGTGTTGTCTTCGCCGGAGAGTTGGATCGTGAGAAGCACAAGTGTACTCGAAGAAATCAACTTCGCAGCGAACCTGAAAAAGCAAATACTTATCGGTAAGGTCAAGGGAAATACCTCGATCTTGTAGGTCTAGAAACACTGTTAAAACAAGTGATTCTGTCATCGGTCAACATCTTCTAGACAACCCAGATTATGCAAAACTATATAATGACGACATGTTTCGGATAATTGGTCGTCCTTCCATCTAGCAGTTTTGGAGTCGATCTACATACAAACGAAAAAGCCGCCATTGTGTAGACAGAAGGAGTTCGTTTTCTCTCTTGGACTCCAGTGGCAATTTTTCTTTAGGCTCGCGGCACTGATTGGTCAACTATACCGATCTTGTTCTTGCGTTTTTCTGATTGGCCTATTTCGATCCACAACTGGGTGAATATTTTTTATCGTGTTCTTTTGGACCCTGATTCTGACGTTTTATGCTCTGAGGAGTGTCAAACAAAAAAGTTTTAGTATGTTGTAAAATGTTTGCTTTTTTCAAAGCCATTTTGGAATTACCTCTGGAAGTTAAGAAATTTGGTTTAGCAAAATTTATAAAATTGTTGGTGAATCAAGGTGTAGCCCAGAAACCTCAACTGAATGTCAGACACTGCTTACGTTTGCAGAATTCACCATTCTCAAAAAAAACACGTGATTGGCTTAAAGAACATAATACAGCATAGAAACGCGAAACGCCAAAAATGAAGGTCAACGCAGCAAGAACAAGGAAAAAAGCAAGACCTTATTGCAAAGCCCTTCTAATCTTAATGGAATCTTCTACACGCGGAGATGGGCTATTTGAATCAAAAGTTTATAGGAGCATAAACATATTTTGAAAACCAGACAGCTATATCGGTAAAAATTGACAGTTGCAAGGGTAGCAGACTTATTGGAGTGAATTTGTCACCTGTATACAAGATCTTCAGTTGAAGGGACCAGCGCAGTGTTAATATTTTGTGTGATTTTAGAAATTAAAGCTTTTGCGTCTTTGAGTCCATCAGCCACCACAGTTGATATACAGCTTTCAGTCATTCCAGTTAGCTTCGCTGGAAAAATTAAATATATATTGGTTATGGCAAATATACACTAAAGAAATTATTACAATTCATTAACAAAAGATAGCGTAATAGATAGCTCCTATCGTTACGGCTAATAAACGTTGTAAATCTACATTATATTAGCATGACCATGCTAACAATAATATCGAGTATGGCAGTATTCTTAATTTCTTGAATTAGTCCATCGGAATATTTGCTGAGATGGGAATTCTTAATTTTCAAGTAAATTACATAAAAGGGAGAGCCTCTTTTTAAAGAGCAATCATTATTATTAAAATTCTAAATCAAGGCGATCCTCAAGTGCGCTTCACAATTTACTGTTTCACAATACTTAAGTAACAAGAGATGTGTAAAGGTCGTGACGGGAGTAAGTATAAATTGTTAGTAACTGGAAGCCGACATCAAATTGAATTGACACCACTCTGCTTAAGTTTAAAATTCAGCACATCTTTAAACACCAGTATGTTATAGCAGGGATATATGACTGAGCAGGTACAAACGGCGAGGTCATTTCTCAGATCTTCAAGATCGTAATCCGATCGATCCATTATAGGTTTAAAACTGTTTTGGCTCCCGACAGCCTATGCAAAAAGCAACATATGTTCTACCTTTCTCGGATATGAATTCGTCCTGAGAAATCGGATTTCTTTGAACTAGTTCGCCAACAGGAGGTTTGACTGTTACAGCAAATTTTCGAGTATTTGTGCTGAAAAGACAGGTCAACTATTCAGGTGACTTTCTGTGTACACGAGACTAGAATTTCTACGAAAATTGGGGGTATAGAATTTTATGTCAGGGTGGCAATACAAAAAATGTCGATATATCTTGTAAACTTGCAAAAAATACTTTATGGTAACTTGAAAATGAGGGATGCAGCTCCTTTGAATGAGGTAGAGCTGTGTCGACTAAAATATGAAACATCAGCATGTTTGTAGGAGCATGGGGGAAGAAATTAAATCTGCATTGGCCAACTTGGAAACGTTCCAAATCGTGGAAGCAACATTTGCATATTTATCATTACCAGGCAAAGAAATATGACCACATTTAATGATTACAAGAACATTGCGAAGAGAGATACAAAACAGAGAAATATCATGGGGAAACTTTGCCGAATGCACAAGCTTAGGCATACCAAATATCAAAATTGGCAGGTTGAGTTGTGTCACGAAAATCGATGCCAATGGATACTGCCAGGGTTTGTGAGGTATTGAGCACGTCTAAAAATAAAACAGATTACAGAATAAGGATGCGTAGTTAATACAAAGGAACTTCGTAGCCTCTAATAAATTGATTTCAAATTTCAAAGATAGGCAATAAAAATGAAAACTTATGATATAAAACAAATGCCTTAATGTTTAGAAATATTCTTCTACATTATACAAAGACAGCTGAAGAAGAAAGGATGTTTAATGTGATTTTACTTCAAAAAGAAATTACTCCAAAGTATCTCTTTGCGCAAGAAATGCAGATTACAAACCTATTTCCTGAAAATCGTGCATTTGTAGGCCGGCCGAAAGCCTCTGAAAATGAAATGAACAAAGAGGTAACATCACTTCTGGATGAGCCAATTATCAAAGTATCCAGAAATCAAAACATGAGACATATTTCCAAATTTTGATCTTAGGCTAAAACATTTATCAAAATGAGAAAAATCAAATTTTTTTCTGCATACCAAAACAGCATTTCGTCAAACAATTTTCAGAGTGCGAAATGTCGGAAAAGTTTAACGGAAATAAGTGTAATAATATTCACTATTTTATGTTTAAAATCACGCAATCCAAAAGTTGTTAAAGATTTTACAATATCTACTCTTTCAATGCCGCTCTAAAATAGTGCAGCATAAGACATGACATAGCTCAAATTCAAAAAGCTTAATTAACAAAATAAACAGATATCTGCAAGGCACAAACCTTACTTCCAACCGAGATCTTCTGAATCGGTTTTGCAGAAGTATTCTTAAGAATTAATTCAATAGTGACCATAGAATTTGAGTAAATGCAAGGAGCTCTCGTGAATCTGTACTCGATGCTGAGTCCTTCACCTGCTATTCGATTTAAGAGTTCGTATGTTTTTTGCACATCTGTAGTCTGCAAAAGAATCAAATATTGAATCAATTAGAAACGTGATACCATATCGTGAAAATTAAGAGAAGCGGAAGAAGAGAAGATCAAATTTTGATGAGTTAGGGAAGATCTGTCTATTCTATCATTCGGCTAATCAGGTGTCATTCTTATTTACTCATTTATTCATCTCTATATTTGTTTACTTATTTATTTATTTATTTGTAAAATTTTAGACAAAATTCATCTTCTAAAGGACAATGTGAGTGCTTTCCTTAAAATTTATATCTTAAAGGCAACTTGTCCCCTCAGTGATTGGCTAATATGGACAAAAGCTTATCCCGCCTTAACGGATTACGCTGCTAGCTTTGGCTGGCCTAGCTTCGGTAGTGGATGACATTTGAACCTGCGAGCAAAATGATATCGGAAATGGCAAGCAGATTTAATTACTGGAATTTATTGATGATAATGGAAGCATTTCTTTTCCCTGTTGACATGTCTGTCGCAGAAACCAAACAGGGAACCAAATTTTTCTAGCCACAGCTTCACTACAATAGGAACACAGCCATTTTTGGTTAAAAAACTCTGGAATCAAAGTTTTCTCTGATTGGTTTAAATCGTTTAATTATCGATCAAGCTCAACGGTGCGTAAATTTCACTCCCGTGAAAATAAAATTGAGCACAATAGGGAACAGACTGCCTTTAACAAAGTTCTCTCACAATTGCCCTTTTAAACTTAAAAAATATTACGCAGTCGAACACCCTAAGATGCGAGTTAAAAAATTGGCGGTGCAATGTTTTTTATCATATTAGCAATTCCAAGTGAATTACACCTAAGTGCAAAAAAGGCATAAGCATCTTGCACGCGTGTAAGCAAAGGGCATAAAAATGATATTGAATCTCGATTGGAGTTTTGAATGGCAAGTATCACTTTATCATATTCAAAATAGGAACACACACACCAAGCTGCAACAACATTCTAAAAACTAAAGCATACATTTCACTTATACAATAACAAAATTCTAAACCTGGTAAAAAAAACTCTGAAAACTGTTGAGAATAAGCCAAAAACCTTTTTACATCTATGCAGACGGATCGCTAAGAGAAATTCCCTTTTAATTATTCTATCTAATTAGAGAAATGTTGGCTGCTAGAAGAGAAGAAGCATACACTACAAAATAAGGACCATCAAACCTGAGGATTTATCGAGTAGGCATTTGATGACGTCAATGACAGAGCTTCCATTTCCGAAGAAAGAGATGGAGTCAACATGTCAGTTGATGTACTGTCAATCGCCGGGAGCTGATCTCCGACTGAAAGGAAACATACTTAAGTAAGAATAGTATGAAGACTTGATACTTAAATAAAAGGCAGGACTCATTGCCAGCTACTAAACAAACATCACAAGAAATACTAAGAAATGCAGCTAGAAGTATAGAAAAATATTGTGAACGCAGCACTTTCTTGGCTAATTAAATGCTGACCAATTTTATAATACAGAACCTGCCGAACGTCTTGCAACACCAATAGTATCTTTGTCATTCACATTTCATTTCTTTCCCCTCTCCCTTTTAAACAAAATGGATTCTTCTTCATAGAAATACACTATTTGAACGAAATTTGTATGCTAGAAGCTATGGCTATGATGTAAAGGGGTGGAGTCAAAACAGATCGAGAATTGACTGAAACTGCTTAGATGTTCCAAGTTCTATTGGCAAGCACAGTAAACAGCATTTAAAAATTGTGTTTAAAAATGTTTAATTTTGTACATCGAATATTTTGGATCATATTATTAGATTCAACGCTCATTTACGTGGCGGCTAAATACAAGAGAAAATAGTTGACGATTTGAAAAACATGATAATGCAAGAATGATTGAAAAAAGGAGAGGTATCATTGATATAAGATAATCTTGCACGTTCAGTTCCTTCTCCCCGGTTGTTATGTTATCCAGAGTAGTGGCATTTGTAAATAATCAGTGAGAGTATTTCATGAAAAACAGGACGGGAAGTTCGTCCCACTTTTCAGGAACATATTCATATAACCCCAGGAAAAAGACTAAGTAAGCTTGATCCACAGCCGACGATCTGATCGTTTCTTATAAAGGAAAAAAATAAAGATTTTCTAGGTAAATGAAGATGCATTATCGTTGCAAACGAATCTTAAAGTCCGTTTGTGTATTTTTTTATAACCAATGAATAAACTTTGCCAGGAAAATTCCAGATAAAATGGCTAAAAAAATGAAGATTTTGATGTAGTAAACAGAATCTTTTCCAATTTCAAATAAAAAAGCCTTACTCTTATCAAAGCTGGAAGTTTCCGGCTCATTCCAGATCATCTTAATTAAGCATGCTTGTGAAATTTCATGTTTTTCTCTTTATTTACACCTGATTATTAATTTTTAGACAGCTTGGTCCTTAATCTCAAAACTGAATTTATCCACTATCTTATTCTACTCAATTTTACATTTAGTCACATTAACGCACGCAAAACCGGCGACAAATCAATTAATTCCAGAAACCCAATCACTAATGAATTTGTCAACTGGCAGTAAGCGTAGAATGCCATGTCATAAATGATTCGCCTTCCAGACTTTTTGAATGCGAAAATTATGGTGTATTTCACCATGAGGAAATGACTCTGCGAAATGGCTTGTTTGTGCTTTTACTTGTAATTAAACAAGTAGGCCAGGATCCATATTAAAATCCAAATTGCATTAGGCCTGAATCTATATCAAAAATCTTGCAATAAACAGCAGTGGATATAGAAATCCGTCTCCTAATGAAAGTTTTTCATGTATAAATTAGATCAAACAACTGCAAAACTTAGGTCTTTAAGTACTCAACGTTAAGCAATGAAACGCCATTTTGATACAAAAAATTGAAATTAGACAAGGTGATTTATATTATAAACTAAATAGAAAATTACTTACTTGAATCAATATCAAGAAGTTGGTCATATGAAGACTTGTTCCTTGTAAAATCTTTACCATCAGACTTCTTCTTTGTCTCCTAGAATGATGAAGAAATAATTCAGATTGTCCTTCGATCAATGAAAATTTTGGGCTCCATCATTTGACAAATGAACTGTACAGGAAAAGTGTATCTGGTAAAGCTCCATTCTTCTTGGTAAAATGTTGTTCTGTATGCAACAATGATTTAAAAATCGGTCAATTGACTAAACATATATATCTTCTAACAGCTATCAATTATATTGCTCTCCACTCTCTATATTGTAATTGTACATAGCAAACTTCAATATCGTTGACGCTCTTAAAATAGTGAATAAAACCTTTGGCTGACTGCATACGACATACCCACCTTTGGTTTGGTTTTTTTCGTCTGAACTTCTTCTTCTTCTGAAGTTTCTTCCTCAGACTCTGACTCATCGCTCGATTCTTCTTCCGACTCTTCATCTTCCTCTTCTGAACTTTCAACTGCTGCTGCTTTGCTAACCTTTTTTCCTATAAAGAATTGACTGGTTAGTCAAAATTTAGAAAGGAAGACACATAATCTGCATTGCATACAGCTTCTTTCGTTAGCTTAGCATTTAATAGATAGTGTTCTGATCGATTTGCGCTATGTGTATACCAAAGATAGCGCACCAAAATGATAACAAAAAACACCATTTGAAATGCTGAACTGACTGTTGAATACCTTCAAAAACTTAGTACGTACCAGCCTTAGCAGTTTTGGCATCATCTTCTTCTTCGCTGTCTTCTTCTTCACTAGCTTCTGAATCTACATCCTCATCTGTAGCTTCTTCTTCTGAATTTTCTTCATCTTCTTCGCTTTCCTCTGATCCGGATTCTTCTTCCGATTCTTCGTCGCTCTCTTCTTCTTCGCCTGTTTAAATCGTAATCATAAATTTTTCACTGTTTAAAGTACTTTAGAAACTAGGAAACTTAACAGCGTAAAGACATTAAGGATGCATTTATAAGCTTAAGTGACATATAGGTTACAAACAATGATAGCAAAAAGCACAAAATATGGCAATCAACGGAGATGATTCGCGGCATCTGACAAACATTAAAAGCACATACCTTCTGAATCGGAGTAAAAGGAGGACTTCTTCTTTGACTTCGTGACCAAAAGTTGATTACCCCAAACTTTATCGACAACCTACAAAAGTAACATTCTCATTCAAACTTATGACTGCTTACAGAAAGCTGGTCATAAAACAGTAATATTTCTTATCTGAATTGTGTACTAGAAAGTTGTGACGATGGACTAAGATATGAAAAGTGACGAAAGATATAAAAAATTGAGACAAACATAAGCCGTCGTTTACGGTGATCTCTTTAGATCTATCCAATCTATAAACTAAGTCTCAAATTAGTCTTTTGACAAATAAGAAACTTTCAAAAATGGATCAATTTTTTACACTCAGCAGTCGTTTTGTCGTCAAACATTTGGTCTGTATGTAGACTTGTAAAGCGTGGAGAGTTCAAGAGACAAGTTAAACTGCAGTTGTATCTGATTTGTCCGTAACACTAACTTATTTGTTTTTACAATTCAAAACTTAAGACAACTGGTGAGATTCCCATCCATACCCATTCTTGACTGGAACCACTCTTGAATCATACAGGAAATCTTAGAGGGGAGTGTTCTAGATGAGTAGCGAATCTAAATTTGTATGGATCAACAAAGGCCCCTCAAAAAATATCATAGATGTCTTTTCAAAAAAAACTACTTAAAATGCATTCCTTATTGAGTTTAGAATGATTAAAGCAATGGCATATTAGCAAATGCACCAACAAAGCGTTTGCTAAAATGTGCACTGACATGTCCACAATTGGCCAGAAAGAAACATAGAGCTTTATGTGAAAGTCAGCAAACAATGAAACTAACCTCAACATTGCGGACAGTTGGATCAGGCTGTGTCGCAGGGAAGTCTGGGAGATCCTGGTATCCATTAGCCCTTGCGTTGATCATATGAGAGAGGGAGCTAAGCTGGTACTGTCCACGATCTATAAAAAGAAATAATTACTTCAGTTAAAGAGCGCCGGGTGAAGATACAAAGGCCTTTGAAAGGTACTCTGATGAATTTTGCTCTGATGAAGCCCCCTATGCCGGGGCGAAATATTAGCCTTTACTGATTTATATGTTTTTATTGTTGTTTATTCTCGGCGTATTGCGGTGCTTCATATTTGCTACATTATTATCGACTTTTCGCTGCAAGAACTCCTTGGAGCCCGTCGAGCAGCCTGCTACAGTGGCCCTTTTTTCATTCACACTTTGAAAGGTAGTTCTACAAATTATTAGTCAAAGTCTAGCGCATTGTAACGATCTTTTTCCAAAAGTAATTGCGACTTGTGTTTTCTTGTCACAAAAATCAATGATCTGCAGGGGCTTGAATTACAAAATATTGTTTTTTATGACAAAAACAAACAGTGTGACAAAAATGGCTGTGCACTTGGCAAAAATCACTTTGTGCACTTGGCAAAAATCACTTTGTGCACTTGGCAAAATCGCTGTGTTCGCTAGGCAAAAATCACTTTGTGCGTTAGGCAAAAATCACTTTGTGCGTTAGGCAAAAATCACTTTGTGCGTTAGGCAAAAATCACTTTGTGCGTTAGGCAAAAACCACTTTGTGGGCTTGGCAAAAACCACTTTGTGGGCTTGGCAAAACCACGTTGTGGGCTTGGCAAAAGAACTGTGCGCGCTAGACTCTGTAAAGCAACTAAACGAACTGCTTCTGCTTCTGAATAAGTTGCAGTGTTTTGAATAACATAGCAGTTAACAGAAAGAGTTTTTTGTAGCTTGCAAAGTTTAGTATTGAATATTCAGGAGTTTTAGAACAACCATGCGATATAGAATGACTAGATGTTTTCCTTTATTCATGTAGGAATACTATATGAAGCTTTGTGTTTTCTTTTTAACTAACCATAAACAAAAAAATTTAACATAAATAATTAAAGCTACAAATTGGCATACTAAAAGACTGTTATTGTCTGGATATAAATTGAGGCACGGAAGTAAGACATCCTGTTGTTTCTTGTGTAATGGCCGATGATAAAAATATTATGGAAGACCCATCCCACCAACGATTTCTTTGTTTAATTATATGAACGTGTTGTGATAACAAATTTGTTCAGTGATAAAGCACGATTTGCATTGACGAATCGAAGTAGTTGCAGTGATAATTTTTGATAGAACTTTTTGATAAGAAAAGTTTTTAGAGCCTCTTTAAGACTAAAATCATTAAAGAATATTTCACTAAACTTGTCATTATGAAGTTAGGGTACTCCAAACTCATAGACGGGTATCCATCTACGTATAAAAAATCGTTTCTCCGTTCTACACCTGCCTTTCTTTTTATAACATTACTCCTTTAAAAGGTTATTATTCACACGCCCTATAACACGTTCAATGCAAAAACGGCCTAAAAAAAATTTTCTGGGAGCAAAAAATGGTATGGTAGGGAAAGTTTTCGTTAGTGGTTCAATCCCTGAAAACTCAAAGCTGATAACAATTATACAAAATAAGCCCTGAAATGCCTTCTTATCTCACTGCAATTGTCGAATAATTTGTTATAGTCTTGTCATATTTGTCATAGTTACAGTCTTGATACTTAATCCATTCACATAAGGATTTAATTGCATTAAATATGATAACAATTAAAGGAAACTTAGTTTAACAAAAAGTTATGACTTCAGTTAGAAGGTCTCAACAATCCCGGCTCCATCAATCTGAAAACGAGCCCCTCCCAGCATCTAAGTATCAGCCCAGCTACAAGAAATGTAAAGCTTCTATGATATACACTATCTTGAACTAAAGTAGGTTGTTTTGATGGTTGTTTGTTCATTGCAAGCGACTACTGCACGTCAAGTCAACATGGAGCCCTACTACCAGAGAGGTATGACATAATTCTGCTGAAAGGTGATGACTTTAAGCAACAAACGTACCTTTGAATATTGATTCTATCACTGGAGCTGGTTTCTCTGACAAAAAGAATTTTTTCGCTTTCTTCTTTAGCCCACCCTAAAAAAGCACACAAGCAATATTGACATGAATAAAAACATGAACTACCCGAAAACAATGGTATCTTAGTGTAGCAATAGAAGGAGACTAATGAATAAGATGAGTTAGGGGTTACAGGTGGGGTGAGCAACTCAAGAGACAAAGTACACAGTTAGTGTGGAGTGGCAGCTATGGTGCAGAAGAACTCTTTTGTGTAAAATTGATGACCATTATAATCATAAAAGAATTACAGAAGTCTTTGATAGATTTTTTGATAGCTATTGTAGATCACTACGGCTAAGCAATGGGGACAAAGTCTCACAGCATTCTAATTTAGAGTATCGCAATACAACGTTGGCAAACCTCAGTATTTTCTCCTGGAAAGAGCAAAACCTTTATAAACCGGGCTCTATCTCTGATGTCATAATTCTGGTCATATTTAGCCAACTGGAGAACATATTGACAAAGCAATTTTGTCTGAAAAAAAAACAAAAACAATTTAGATAAATGGGTTAATTTGCCATATATGATGCTAAATAGCTTAGCAAAAAACATTAACAATTTTTTCTAATACAATCAGCTAATCTGTAGATGTTGTCTGGTGGTTGAAAATTTACATTAACATATTTCCTGCACATTCGAAGACAACCAAAGCTATAAATAAATTGACATTGGACATAAATGAAATCTTAATCAACATACAGTCCTTAACAGCCAGTGTCAATATCGTGCATTTCACACCCCCCCCCCCTATTTTATATAGATACTTTAAAAAACAAGAATTTATCTTTTAATAGGACGAGGGGGTTAAAGTTTTTACTTACATATATGCAATCCGTCATATGTTTACATAGTCATGTTTTAACTTGGGCAGATGCCTACTTCAATAGGATGTTTATCAAAGCATAAAGACAATGACCATTTGCTCACCTGTTTGGGGTTTGTTAAGAACAACTTAGCGCCAAGGGTGACAATCTGCAATTTCACAATATCTTCCTGAAAAAGCAAACCAAGATAAAGTAATTCAATATTTGTAAATTTGCGCAATACATGTGAGAAATGTGCAATTTAAGACAAAAGAAATGAAAATAAGTGAACAGCTAACACTATCTTATGAATCATGACAACATCTTGCAGTCCACTGGTTATCGAGACCGTGAGCCACACGAGGTACGATATTTGTATATTGTGCAGTAAAATACTCTATTGTTATTGAAAATTTAGATTGTACCAGCTGTATCGCCTAGAACTGAATAGTTGAATAGATATGAAAAAGTACTAGGAAGGGAGGGTGTTACATTTTACTCTTGAAAGATGAGCTGCAGATATTTTAGGATTAATTTACATATGACCAATCTTTGAGCTCCCGCCATTTTTTCTACACTAACTTCGACGATTGTTTTAACACTAAATGGCTTATCTGAGTAAAATATGCAATTATCCCCATAACTATATGGCCTTGTTTAATCAAATCAATTTCAAAAGATATAAACTCATCTAAAATATCCAAGACAAAAGTTCCAAAAATACGTTAATTTCTATGTAGAAAAACAGTTTACAATCAATGATCAAAAGAAGAAATGTGAATACATACCTCGTTGATAAAGTTCTTCGCCATCTTTCGCAATACATCAGGTGCGATCTTCGGCACATGGTCCGAGTATTCTCCAATGAGCCACAAAATGCTCGCTCTTGCCATGGAAATAGATATCTTATCGATGATCTTGGCCATGTGCACGATGATATCCGTGTGCTCTTTTGCCTCTTTTTGCAACAGCTTCTTGATAACCACAACACTCTCACCAACTACCGATTCTACAAAAATATCGCAGTAAAATGTATTTTATTATTAAACGAGGCAAATATTTAAATATAGACGCTTTAAGCCATGATACCGAAAATAATATGTATGTTCTAACTCAAAAGAATCGTGACAGCGAAATAAGACATTTTACATGGAAAGCAGAGAAACATGAGGATAAAATATCACCAAGAGATCTGAAAGACTGTAGATCCCCTACTTTAAAAGAATTTTTGGAGACAAAACATGTTGCTTAAACAAATAAACCCTGTCTTTAAAGAAACTTGTGTTCATTTTGACATTATTTTATGATAAAAACATTTCTTGAAAGTGCTAATCTTTGAAGCTTAGTTTTACCTTGCAAAAGACAATTCTCGCAAAATTCTTAGGTCATAAATCTTAACCAATGCTAGTTTTTTTGTCTACTTACAGTTTTTTAAAGATATTTCTAGAAATTGAGTTTCGAACATAATTTGAGAAAATATACTGGAATAAACAGTAGTGCAGAGGTGCGATGTGTTTGAGTGGGTTTGAAAAAGGAACCGGATAACTTTGTTGATAGAGCAAGTACGTCGAGTGTCACTGGTATAATTGCTACAAGGGGAATATCAGTGCCACTTACTTATCTCAATAAAGAATTGCCTTGAGTTAACAGTTTAAACGCTGGACGCAAAGCGATAATAGAGGAAAGCATTGGTGATCAGGCGTGCAAATTCATAGTCATCCTTACCATCACGGTTTGACAGCAGTCTGACTAAACCAGCCAGGCATGTATCAGTGACCTCTGGGATATTCGATGCACATCGCCCGATTGCTTGTACGGTCGAAACAGCGAACTCTTTATCTGAACTCGTTACGTAAGTCTAAAACAGAATATGGCATGTCAGTCAATCTCCAGAATTTGTTAGAATATAACATTTCTATGAAGTAGATATAGAAACATCTATTAAGATTAAAGGCATTTGACACCGGTAAAAGTGGCTTACAGCCACTCGACCACGAGCGGTTGACCAATCAAATTTCGCATAGAGAAAAACACGTGAACAGTTTCCGCCTTTCTGCAAATCGGTGAAATCCTAGAGTAGCGTGCAGCGGTCCCATGTGAGCAGTTTCCAATTCCTTTCTTGTGGGCGTGCTCTGATCAATTGGGCCTAAGTTATTTTTGGATTCGCTGTACTTATGCATGTCAAATGCCTTTAATCCTCCTTTCCTGATCCAAAACCAACAAACAATGACGTGTAGTCATAAAAGAAACTGAATGTTTTGCTATACAAATTTGGCTTTCAGCCTTTCAGCCTTAAGAAAGACAATCTCGAACATACTTCTTCAGCCTTCTATTGCTCAAATCTATAAAACATAATTCTACAGCATTCAATTTTAAAACACTCAGCAAAAACTTCAAACGGAAAAACATACCTGAAATTCTCTCAGGATGACAGAAATATTAGACTCTGTTGCAAGATTTGTTAAGATCTCCAACTGTAAAGAAAACTTAAAATTAATACCACAAAACTTTCATTCACAGTACCAATAAGAAAGAAAAAACTACTGAAAAATTCAATTTTAGAGATGTCAAATGCTTTTTATGAATTGATAGATTATATTTTGAGAATTACAAGAAAAATTAGTTTCATGCAGAAATTATCTTTTGACAGAGACAGAAAAATGACAAAAAAAGGACTTCAAACACATAACAGTTAAGTATACTTTTCGAAGTTAACATGGCTACAAAAATGTATTATTTGTTGGTGCATAAAGCAAACAATGTCAAGCTCCTTGCTTTCAAAGAACAGGCAAACATGATGAAATCTATAAAATTGGGTTCACAGCTCCAGAATAATTGAGACTATCATACATAATTTCGGTCAAAAAAGCTACTATGCAATTAAAATACCTTCAAAACCCGGACATTAGTTGAATCGTCAGAATGAACGAAGAAACTTTTCAAATACTGCTGAAATAGCACCTGAAACAAAGAGGCATTTTTGGTAATCATAATTAAAACAAGTAGTATAATATGTTATGATAAAAAATTAAACTGTGAAGAAATTACATCATGTACTTTCTACAAGATTAAATAGGAAGCTACGTGTTTCTAACTGCGTACAAAATCTTAATACATTTTGTTAAGAATATGGAGATTCATGGTACCTCAACTTGCAACCATTTTCAATTTGCTTGATAAATTCATTATGACAGGTGGCTACTACAGCATAAAATTCTCTTATAACTTTTATTTATTACGCACAATTTTCTATCTACTTGAGAATTGGACAAAAATTAACAACGAAGCTTGATCTAACGTTTAGCCCGTAAGCAAATTTGACCTTTAACAGAATTACTTTTTTTGGACAGTCAATCATGTAGTGTGATCATTTTGAGCAATTTAAAAATATTGAACATACCTTTCGTGTGACACTCATCGTTGCAATATTGCTCAAAATTACGGTCTGGACTTCCCTGTAAGAATAGATTTGAATAAGTAAAGCAAAGAAGTCACAAGAGATGATTTCATAAATTCTTTAATATTTCTACTATGTAAACTTACACTTCAACAGTCGGCGCGACCAAGAAAATATTAGAATTTTCAATAAAAATGTAGAGGACCACTTTGTTGAGAAAAGGTTGAATAGAGCCAAGGTAAGAAGGTATATTTGCTAGCTTTTATTCGGCTCCTTTAGTAGCAAATACCGTGTTTTATTCAAAAAACATCTTTTTAGATCGTATATCATACATGCTAAATCATTAAACATTTTGAACACGTTATCTAGCAGTTAAGTTAATGGAGGAAGTTACATATTTCTCCGTACCACAGCGAAATATGTTGGAGTTTCTGTGCGTACTTTTGTGTCTCTGCATTACAATAGTAGAAAATGACTTAGGATAATAGATTGTTCTATGATGGAAAACGTATCTGGGTAATGACGTTAAGTCTTACCTGTGACTTCTTAACAATCTGATCATTGCTCTCACAACAATATGAACCTCACTTGAGGGTGCACAGTAATAGTACAGCTTGACAACCGCCATTACAACCTCAAAAAACGAAGTATCGTTGAATTAGAAAAAGATTTGCATAGTTTCACTGCCCTTCAATCTCCAAAATGAAACCAAAAGTGGGATAGATCTTGTACCATACCGACAAGCATTGATAATATCATTTCATTTCCATTTCATCCTATATTTTTAATTATCGAATAAACAATAACTGAATGAATAACTAAAAATAATTATTGTCTGGAAGAAACTATGGTGGAATGAATCAGCGTCATGGGAAAGTTTTCAACTGCACATGACATGATGGCAGAGCCTGGAGATAAACATAACAGTATGTAACAAATTGACACGAAAACATACAAATCAACGATCTTACAAGAAAGCTGTACATCATATGATATAAATATAAAACCGTTGAGGACATGTATGAAGCGACAAAGAACAGAGGGCTGGTTTGCAAATATCATGCTTGGGCGATACCATGCCACCAAACTGCACTGAATATCAAGACGGTTTTCGAGCAAAAATGCATTTTGCAAAGCATTTACTAAATATTGGGTCTTATTCAATTTAGCTCTCAGATTTGTTTCCTCACCGAAGCATTCCTGCTTTGGAGCAATGGCTTAGCCGACCGCAGCAACAACCGGTGATCACTGTCCATGACGTAAGCTTGCTTTTTCTCCGTCGTTTCTTTCTCCTCTTCAACTCCATTATCTTCAGACTCCTCAGAGCTTGGGTAAAATTGTTCTTCTTTTAAATTATCCTAGGAAATTAATTAAAAAGATGCTTCAGTACATTTTCTGACAATACATATTTCGGGAAGTAATCAAGTTTGGTTAGGCCAACATATGCTTGCAGCCTTTGATAGTTTAAAGTAGACAAAACAACTTCTATATAGGAAGTGACTGACATCCACATTTTCAACTAAACCAATAAAAAGTCAAGAGTATTTCTAAAATCGTGACACTTAATGACCAAGGTATCGCTATCGTTGTAAATGACCACAATGAATCAATAGCTTTATCAATAGCTTTACCAAATAATTATCAACAGCTTTATTATTAATAGTGTATTAAAAAATGGCTTGAAAAACAAATATTATAAAACCTGCTTTAGCTTCTCGTCTGACACTCTTAAGAGCAGAAAAATCTCAGAATAGTGATCGAAATATCCAGTTGTGGATCGAAATAGGCCATTCAGAAATGCGAGCACATAGCTGTAAAGGCTACCCATTAAGTGCAGCTTGCCTACACAAAATATTACCACTGAAGTCTAAGTGTGAAAATAAACCCTTTCTGTCTAAACCTTGATGGTTTTTATATCTTTATGTAGATGGATTCTAAAACTGACAATGGTCTGAAACATTTCATAGAAAACATCCGAAATATTAGTTTATTAGTTAATATCGAAGCTTGTGCAATACAATTTCTTTTAGAATTTGACCAAAGAAGTTTTACATATTGAGATGATGTAAATGGAACTTTGTGGCACTTGTTTACTGCTGTGGAGCATAAACCTTGGCTATGAAAGTACAAAGACAGCACACCTCGTTTTTATTTGGATCTAGAAACTGAGTTCTTGCATATCTTGTCAGCATGTTTATAACAGCAACCTGTCCCCATTCATCGATGTCAATCAACATGTTGCACAGCTTTCTGAAGTTCTTGTGAACCAAGTCGATTCTGTCAGGGCAAACTTCTTCAAAAGCATAAACAACACTCCCAGCGACTAGCTGTGAATAAAAAGAGACATCGTCAACTTAAAGATTTCGTTAAGCTAAAACTTAGAATCCAGTTGCATGTCTGAGGCACAGCAGTAGTATTTGCAAGTACAAATGCGAGAATTTCGCGAATGAAGAATCCGTCTTGACAAAAACCACTAACAGTGGACTAAAAGTGGAATTGGATATTAAGGAACATAATACTTTCACGAAAGCAAACATTAGTCTTTGCATCTGATTGATAAGTTTTGCGATTAAAGAGAGAGAGAGAGAGAGAGAGAGAGAGAGAGAGAGAGAGAGAGAGAGAGAGAGAGAGAGCTCTTACTGTAGTTTTGTCCTGTAGTAGTTTTTCAATAATCTCTACCAATGCATCTTTCTGATCTGGATCAAGACTAGGAACAAAAACAAAAGAATTAACAAAGAAGTAAGAGTAAAGAAACTTGTGATAATACCAGGACACATGCAGCGTGTCTCAAGCCTATTGATGCAAATTGTAAGTGCTATAGAATAATATAAAGATGTGAGTACCTATAAAGCTTTGCGATGGCATTGGCAGCTGTTTTTCGTACATAAGGTGACATGTCCATAGAAGCCTGCGACCGAAACAGATAGGATTAATAACAAGACACTTTCATTTCAAGAAGTGGATAAAGATTGTGCATCAATGGCATAGACAGGTAAATGTTGAGAGGGGTGTAATATAAGCATGGTTTCTGGTAAAAACTTTCAAAATAAGTGATAAAATTGTAAACATTACCTCTTTTAAGCATATCATCATTATTGGGCAAATCACAGGAACTCTGATGCTTGATAAAACTCTCAATGCACTTGCTCTGATAAGCTGGTTGGGGTCCTAAAAATGTTCTCTTTTTTAGTATCAATAACAAGAAAAATTTAATACGGGAAGTTCAATTTGATAGAAGCTTTAAGAAAACTTTTTTAATCAAGTGAAGCAACTACCAAGGCTTGGAAATTCATTATTTCAAGGGGCAACATCATAAACAACTGGAAATGTTGTGATGGGCTCTTATTTGTAATATGTATGAGCTTAGTTACAATTTACATAATAACTCAGCAAGAAAACATTTGACTATCCTGTGCACAGGATATAAAAAGCATACATTGAACTGAAAGCAGTGTGGTAGGATGGAGTGCACTATTTACATTTCTTTATTCCCATTAGCTTAATGGGTGGATGCGACCCTTTCACTGTTCAATTTCCCTTTTTACTTCTCTAATATGTTTAAACTAAGAACTCATTTTCAGCTGAGTCATCTGAGGGCTGTCTGCGAGCCGGGAAAGAGCCAGGAGTGGCTACCACGGCTCCTGCTATTCAGTACCAACCTTTACTTATACACAGAAATTAGGAAAGACTTTTTCTCTAAAAATGGCTATAAGAAATCCACTGGAAAAAATTTCTAAGATCAAGCAACTCAATTCACCTTCAAGGCACGTTGAAAAGTACTGATTGATAGCAATGCAAGATCTTGTTGTTCTTCAGCATATCTTACCAAGTACACATACACAAGTTTCTTGACCTAGAAATCATAGTACTAGCTTACAGTCATTAAAGAAAGATAATTAGCTTTTCAATTGGAATGAAATACCAATTGCATTTCTTATACTCATGATTAGCTTAAAAGCCAATATTGGTGGGTGAAAGTGAGCATACCAGCCCTTGCCAGTGTGGGTCAAACAGCTTTTTCCAGGAAATTTTATGCTCACACCCCTCTGAATGCTAGAAAACAGCCTTTTTCGGTTTGAAATTTGCTATGTCATTGGTTTTGCTCTTATTTGTGGCTGACTTCTCAGTCAACACCTGATCATCTGGGAAAGCAGCTGCTCCTTGCTTCCAGCTCACTGTGCTAGTCCTAATGAAGCATTTAATATATAAATATACATTAAAATATTCTACAACCACTGGCCTTCAATGCACTGAAAGAAAATTTGATGTTTATTAAGCTTTGCAATTAAACTATTATTTTGTGAGACTTTAGAAATATACACAAAAAGTTTGAAAATTCATGTAATTTTCTAGAAAAAACATCAAAAGATAGCCAGATCAATTTTTATTACAAAGGACAAAAGGGTTAGGTATTGACAATAGTACAGCTCATTGAAAAAAAATTATTTAGATTTGTTGTTTCCCTTGTAAACATATCAGCCGCTTTTAGAACTATAAGCAAGATTATCTTGACACTGAATTACAATATATGAAGACAGGTTTCACACTGAAAAATTTCAAAATAAATAAAGTTTTATTCCATTGGCATTAGTCAGCTTTATATGCAAAATGAATACATAATCCCATTTCTTGAAGAACAGAAAGAATTAGGTTCTTTGCTGTTGCATCTCTCCAGCAACCCTGTAACAATCAACTTTTATAAAAAAACTCAAATTTCTGTAATGAACTAAATGACTTAAACTTGAATGTACCTCAATATTCTTGGATACAACATTTTTCACAACAGCAGGAAACAATTCAGACACATCTTTTCCTTGTGCCATCATCTGTAAATCAATAAAACTTTCCATCAAATAATCACAAAATGGTAATATGCTATAAATTTTTATTGAAATATACTTTTGTCTAAGCCATAAAAGGGAGACATATGCAAATGTAAAATATTAAACACATTTCATCTTTACAAAAGAAGATTTTTGCCTGAAAAAAGAAGTTCAATGGAAACAAGATTATATATATGCAGGCATACCAAGTTATATCTAAAGGCTACAGTTGCATAAAGTGTGAAACTCAGAGTAACAACTTAGAAGTGTCTTGTTCTATACACCAAATAGCATGTACAGCTCTGGTAAACAATAACTTTCCATTAGCTTAGATTAAAAAGTATTACCCCAATGATCCTTCGCATTGCGTCAAGTTTTGGACCATCTTTACTGTTGTCAAGCATTTCTCGAAGATCATCATGCCTGTCATCACAAAAAGTATATATAAAACATTCAAAAGATTCCATTAAATTGTAATGTTGGATGTTATTTCATTGGCAATCAAATATGAAGGAAACTGCTAATTATACCAGGTCTTTTCATTTCACATGAGCAATCACTTGCGGTCACATCAGCACTCATGCAAACCCAATGCAAAGCAGTAAATTTTGAGGAATAAATATATCTTCAATTAATAAACTTCTAGTCATCTTTCATGATCCAAGCAAGTGACTAAACAATACAAAGCTGGTATATCAAAACACAGGAAATATAAGTAAGCTGAAATAACCACATCTCAATGAAAAATGCATTTTCATCATCATTTTTAGAGCGATCATTTGCCCAAGAGAAATTATGCAAGGGCTGGGTTACTTCAACAAATAGCTGGATATTTCTTACGAAAAGGCCTGCTATTTATACAAATTCAACATACAAGAACCTTATTTGAAAGAAAGCAAGTCATTAGCCTAATCAAGTGATTTGTTTATTTACAGAAAAAAAATTGCTAAAAACATCATTACAAAACTTGGTTAGACCCCTCTTGTAGTCATCAGGTTTCTAGGTCATGACCAGACTGGAAACTTTGTTGTGTGCCCCCAATATAATACTGTCCGTGCACACATCTGTGTGCTTTTGCATATTGGCCGGGTAGGTAATAACATTTAACATTATTAACTATATAAATTACCAAGAATGTATGATTTCAGGCACACAGTCTCAAAGTAAACTTGTCTGTGCAAGTAGCAAAGTTTCCAGTCTAGGGTTAACGCAACCAGAAAAAGTGTCATACCATTAAAAAGGTTTCAATTTGAACTCCAATTGTGAATAAATCTCACAGTCAGCCAAGCATGTAATCATTTAAATATTCATGTGGTGGACGGAGTGGATATATATCAGATAGATAAATTACATGAAAATACAAAATAAATTTAAAAACAGTTTCAAACTACAGACTTCTGCATAACCCATTATGAAATCCTAAAAAATTCAACAAAAACATTATCTTTTGAAAGACTAGTCAACTATCATTTCTATCACAGTATCTTATACAAGTTTCCAATCCTAGGTCAGTTTAATTTGAGGGTTAGCCGGACATCACATTAACTCCCACCATACCGGATGGAAATCAAGGCCATACTTCCGGCGTATCTAGAGTACAAGGAGGCTTTAGTATATTGTTCAACTATGGACTCAATTTTTCCAATAAAATATTGGATGCGCAAGTACCATACTTCAAAAGAGCCAAGTCAACAAATTCAATTATCATGTGACCATAAACTACAATTCGAAAGCTTTTAACAATACATTCCTGAAAGGGATATCCTAGTTCGGTACATAACTTACTTTTTAAAATGACTAGCCAAAAATGCTGCGACTCCAGTTGCTTCAGGCTCTTCTTCGAAAACCTTTGATTGGGGCTTTTCTTGATTATACGAAACGTTGGAAGCCATTTTGATACTTGGAGGAAAAGCAGATTTTCTCCTTCACAGTTACCATATAATCGGAATTTTTATAACATAAACAACAAACAACAACAACAGAAAGAAATATGGTAATGGCGGGAAGTCATAAAAGTTTCCATAACAAGGATAATAATTAACAAGATTTGGTTAGTCTTTATTCAGATATATTTAGACTATTAATGATATATTCTTTCTATTTTTGTTTATTTTATTTTGATCTAATAAGATAGTATACCTAGTTATCTTGGCAGCATTCTCAAAGGAAAATGCGATGGCAGTCTTCCAGGTTAGCCTTATCTCAGGCTACCTCCAGATCATTTGATTTTTCAAATCAGTTGCGCCTACACATTATTAAGATTCTGCCATAGATTCTGCGCACTATATTTTTTTATCTGGTCATGTTCCCCGCAAATATTCAACCATTTAAACTTCTGAATTCTGATAACAAGAAACAACATTTGTTATATGTTACAATTTGTTACAAGAAACAAAATTTCAAATTTATTGTTCTGGCGTTTCCTGCGCACAAAAAATCTTTACAGTCTGGTGCAGAATTTGATACATGTTTACAATATAATGTATTTTTGAAAGTGATTTTTTAGTTTTCTTTTTCTGGCGATTAAAGCAAAAGTATCTGAAAGGAAATTTTGTTTTCTTTTACCAAAAACTAACTTTAATAATAATGATGATAATACAAATAATTATAGAGGAAGGCCTCAGTCACTCGAGGGTGCTTTTCATGAGGGTCCTCTTTAAAGGAAGCTAAGCCATAATTATAGGTGCAACAGAGCTGCTTGAAGTTTAAAGGTTTTGTCACCTTAACATTTAAAAAGTTATTACACTGTGGTTACATCAAAGTTTGTGGTTCAAAATGAAGCAAGTTCAAATCTCATTTTGTAGCTTGTTGTCTTTGTTGGGGAGCATTCAATTTATTCAGTGCTGAAAACAAGCAGTCAACAGGGGCTGAAGCATATCAGCAGTTGTGGCATCTCAATATAACATTGTGACCATGAATGCACAGACTTTGTTGAGACAAATAGTTTTTCAGTTGTCATGTATAAAGATGCTTTTTGCAAAGTTTTAGACCAAAACATATTTTCATCCTAAAATGTTTGGATGGGCACAGACAGACAAAAATGCCGGGCAGGCGATGCCACTTTCCAATTTATTTTGTAATAAAACTCTTTTCCTATTTTTATCAATATGCATTCTATTGTATTGTTCCATATTATTGAGGAGATTAAAAGTTTAAATAGGTTCGTACATTTCTTTTTTGATTTACATTTCTCACAGGGTTTTATGGACTGATTTTTACAACCATGGATGATGATTCAACCCTTCACAAACAATATGAGGAGGTGATTCATAAATGCCTTTATGATAAAATCTAATTTTATTTCATATAAACTGCAACTTTTTTCTCAATAAATTGACTCATTTATGACATTTCAATTTGTTGCTGACAATATTTAATTTAAGCAAAACAATTCTCATCTTGGTTTTTCTTTATTATATCTCGGTGAACAGATCTTGTTTATCTTTTTAACCCTTTGTTATGTTCATTTACCAATAGTCATTTTACCAATAGGTCTTGATTTGGCTTGAATCTGTTTTCCAAGAAAAGAAGATACCTCCATTTGAAATTAACAAACATACAATTGCAAAGATTCACAACTTCATGACTTTAAACAAAGAGATGGACAAAATAAGCAAAATAATAGCAGATGATCTGAAAAGAAAAGAACAAGAATACTCAATCAAAGGTAGATTTTGATAGAGAGATCAAATGACACATTTTGTAAAGAAGATTTTGTACTTTATAACCTCTATAAGATCTGTTCAGCAGAACTGTAACATCCAAGGGCTGCAGAACTTTAAGGAAAGCATTAAGAAAAGCATGGCAGCTTGGCTTTAGGCAGACATTTTTTAAAAGAACTTGCTAGAATTTTACTTGACCTGGTAGCCTTTTATTTTACTTGTCACCAATTTAAAAATAAATCAATATATTCCAATATTTCAGCATTCCAAAATTCCAACATTCTGTATTCTTCATATGCCTCCTTATTTCATTGTTTTGAAGCTGATAAGATAGATAAAGTATTAAGCGATGTTGGAATTACAGTGGACACCCTATCACAATCCGGAGTGAGAAATTTAACGATGTTGTCAGACCTTGCAGCATACCTCAGAATCAAGGATACCAGGGATCCCAGGTATGTTTTAATCAACCTACTTTGATTACTCAGAAGTGGAATTTCGAAATGATGTAATGCACTCCTTCCCTCCAAACTGTTATTTCTTTTGTTATTCAGTTTGATTGCTAACTTCCTATTTGCTTTTCTAGCTATGTTTTAGCTTTGGTTGACCTCTTGGGCTCAGCAGAAGAATCATCACATAAGCTGAAGCAGCATGAGTTAAAATTGCAACACATACAACAGGGTATCAAGGAAGCAATAAGTAAAAAGGAATTGTTAAAGGAGTATGATATGTAATTTACATAATTTTTTATTAGTCTCTATGCTTATTTATCTACCAATAGCTCACCTACAAATTGATAGGAGAGCTGTTTACTGCTCCTGCTTCAGAAGTTTTATGGCCAGACATGGACTGAAATGAAAAATTGTTTATTTCTAGTCAAATGAAAATGCATACAAATTGTGAAAAGTATAAAAAACATATTTTTATTTTCTAATGGTCTATACTTGGTCCTACAGATTGTCTGAGTCACATGAACTGCAAATGGCTACTGAGCATCCTATCAATGAAAAAAGAAAAAAAGAAATGCAGTTTTTAAAAGGAAAGTCAGAAGAATACAAGGCATTCATTGGAGACATCCAGGTACTTTTCTTCACTTTTAACCTTTAACATGAAAAAACATGGGAATTTAAAACAATGACTGGGGAATATTGAGATGTTTTGATGGTTTTTAAGGGTATATTTGCACAAAGCTGATAACATGGATTATATTAAGATTGTGATAGAATTTATAAATATAAAAAAATTAATATATAGATCTCAGATCTCAGTTCTACTTTTTGCCCAATTCATTGTCTGGTAATATGCTTTGCTCTACTGTTTGAACATGTAGTTAGAGAATATTCTGATAAACACCATGAAAATCATTTTTACGTGGAGATTTGTCTTAAAGAGGCTTCAATTATTGCTAAAATCATTATTCATAAATGTGTTTGCTTTTGCCAATGAAAATAGCTCTAAGCTTAAGTGATATTAGTCTTTTTTTCACTTTTTTGTACATTTTTAGGAAATAAATTCAAAGAATGGAGTTTCCAGTGACATTCATCATGATACCTTAAAACAAGTTCACCAGGTTCAGTAATTAACCTCATGGTTGTCATCTTCTTTCACACAAACATTCGCAGATGATTTTTACTGAATCCAGAAAGGCTGAAATTTTAATATTAGTGATGATACCTTCATTCTTTCTAGGGTACCTTCAGTGTTGCAATACATGTTCCAGATAGCACCTTTTTTTGCTTGAAGCTAAATGTACAAAATTTTGCAAAAATAACCAACAGCTAGAGGGTCAGAAAAATTAGGGGGTGCCCTAGCCGATTTCTTAACATCGAAACAAACACTATTTTGAAGTTGCTAATTCATATTTAATTCATATTTAATGTAAGGAAATCTTGTTTGGAATTTGAAAGTAAAGCAAAACCTTTATATTTCTTGAACTGCGGCACTTTTCCATTTTTTTTCAATGGCTTTCTTTTAAAACCCTCTGTAAAGAATAGTACATTACATTTAAAAATATTGTTCATGAAACAAAACTTTGTTCTGCCCATTAAAATGGGAAATGGAAACACATTTGCTATTTACTGGGGGCTTTTGGTAGGCGCACCACATTAAACATCATGAAATTCTTTTTTTATCAAATGAACCATCTCAAGCTATAGATTTCATTTTAATTTTCAAAGGAACTGACAGAAATTCAAGGACAAATCAATGCAATCAAGATCAGACTTTCGGAGTTTCACAGCCTGCCACCAGTGAGTACCGGACTTTGCTTTACAAAATTACATGAGATCCATTAAGACATGTTACTAAATGTTATTGGCAAAATATCTATCAGATAAGCTATTGATGAAACTGTATGAAGCGGTGATGAATCAGTTTTAACCATCTTCATTTTTTTATATCAGGATATGTCATTAGCAAGAGTAAAGATTGAAGAAGCAAGGCAGGAGCTAGTAAGTATCAAAGATAACTCGTTGTTGTACGTTTTTAGAAAACATAAAAATGGGAATACAATTCGCTTCTACTTTGATCCACTAGAATTTAATATTCTACTAAGATAGTGAGAATGGGGAAACTTTCTTTAAAGACTGAGACTTGTGGTTGTTAATTCAAAACTTAGTCGTGTTCTTATGAAGCCATATTAGTAATACTTTTGTGTCATTACCTGATGCTAAAATGCCTCCATTATATAAATTTTGTAAAACATGTTCTCTTCTCCTTTCTTTTCTAGCAAAAACTGGAAAGTGACCTCTATAATGACTTGGAATTGTTAAATTTATAGTATTTTTAGAGAAACACTGGCACTTTTTGGAATATTCTGTTGGAATACAACTTGGTAACTGTATTCAACAATGCTAGATTGATCAAAGTTCATGTTTTCTGTACAAATTGCACTGTTTGGACAACTATACCGGTCTTGTGCTTGCGTTTTTCTTATTGGCCTGTTTTGATCCACATCTGGGTATATATTTCTCATCATGTTCTTTTGGACCCTTATTCTGATGTTGTATGCTCTGAAGAGTGTCAGACAAAAAAGCTTTTGTGTTATAAAATGTTTGCTTTTTTCAAAGCCATTTTCAAGTTCTGTACTGCCAAAAAACTGTTCATAAATGTTCAAAAGCTCCCTCTTTATTTTTAACTGAGACTACAAGAAAAGCAATCTTATCATCAACATACAGAAATCAATTAATGTTTAGTTCCAGATTGCCATCACAGTTGTCTACGAAGGTCTTTCTTTTAAAGCAATAAGTCGAGATCGCCTTAAGATAAACCTTAACCTTGTTATGCCCTTTTGCAATGATTCAATCCCGTTCTCCCAAGTTATCTACTTCCTGCCAAAAATTTAGGCTAAAATGCTTTCGCTGAAGAGTTGTATCTAAGATACCATGATATTCATATGTTTAACTATTCTTTCAAGCATCCATGTATCGCTCCTAGGCCGTCTGATGACTAGGGCTATACCATGGCTATGATATTCTGTGTTGACTAAAGCATAGCTAAAATCGCATGTTTTTGCTGTGTCTATTTCAAACAGAGTGGCAATAAATGCTTCAAACAACTTCTTAGCATTCTTCGAGTAAGACAGCGTCTAGTTAGTGAATTAGGTTTATGACAGATTGGGAAGTTCTTTGGTTGTGTTGAGAAAGGAAATTAGAACCAAATAGAGCTGAATTTGATATTGGTAATCAACAAATGTTTATGATGAGATCAACAGTAGATATTTTTAGCAGCTTTAAACGCATGGCCACATGTATACTAAAACCAAAACACCATGCACCTGTTGATGTTGGCAGGCAAATGCAATTGGTTTTTAGGCTGAATTTCCAATTATCTGCTTTTTAGTATGTAAATTCCCATATCTTTTTTTCTTCACAAATGCAAGACAGCTTAAAAAGATTTCCATAGTGAAAATAGTGAGTGTTTTCTGAGCTCTGTGAAAAAAACGACTCACTTAAGTTGCCGGTGCACCTCAGTGGTAGAACTAAGCTTCTTGTCTCGGCTAATGTTACTTTCTTTTCAGTTTCTAGTAAAGATTATAAACACAGTTGCAACTAGAATCTAGGCAATAAACCTCTTATTGCATGTTAGAGCGCACGGAATCTTAACAGGATACAAACTGGCAGATTGCTAAGTATGAAGGGGAGGGGGTTGCAAAGGAGAAAGGCAGACAAAGTAGGAAGCAATAAGAAGAAAGTAGAAAGAGTGAAATTCAACAACATTTCGAGAATGGGAAGTGGGTATTGAATAAAATGGGAATGTGAGGTACAGCGGATCACAAGACCAAGTTCTTCAAACAGCTTAGATGCAAATGATAAAGCAAAGGTTTTTATGCGAAGTTGATGGATTTCTGTAGTTTTATTTGCAGATATTGTGAACAGATATGTGGCCACAAAATCGCATTGAATGTGAAACTCGGAGTAGCCACTTTCAACCGTCCTGCTCTTTAGACCAACAACGTAAAATTCAGTTGAAAAAATCATGATGATGAACAGTTGTCTTTGCACTTTTTTTTACAGATTATAAATTAAATTTGTGATTTCATAGCCTTGATCTTATCCTTAAAATATCTGGAAACTTCATAAGCACTTTAATAGTATAGTAAAACAGCTTATTACCATATCCATTAAATATTTTCCAGTACACCATCTAGGTTTTCGATAGTTTAGGAGTACTTTCCTATGCATTTCAAATGCGAATCATTTAGGGGATTTGTTTATCTGCAATCGCACATTCGCATAAACTACTGAGTTTTTTAGATTAGCAACGGTAACAGAACATCAAAAACATATCTCACTGCAATAAAAGTATCTGAAACCGCCTTGCTACCAAAATTCAAAGGAGAGGAGAAGAGGTTGAATATTTTTGCAGCACTGCCGTCAAGAAATGTGTGCATTGACCTCAGCTTTCTTGCCACAACGCATTTTCTCGGACGCCGTTACCTTTGCTACGCCAGCACCACACAGCTGTTAACAAAGCCGCGCTATTTGTTTCCTTGGTGACTACTCAGTTCTCAATACCATGCATTAGGAGGTCTGGTTTCGGAAACAACAACTGCAGTCTCTCCTAGCACTGTGCAAAACCTTCATGTGAGGCCAAAGAGAAGCTTCCAGTGGCGAAGCCAAAGGTCGTGCCTGTCGTGCCCGGCACGACCATAAACTTCCAAAAGTAAGGTTTTCACATATTGGCAAAAATTTATTTTGCTCCGCGAAAATGTTTCAAATATAGACAAAAATTAGTCGTATAATCGACAAATCGATCAAGCTTATCCCGCAGACATAAGTGAATTCTACTCGAATCGCCTAAGGCCCCTGGAATTATTTCAGGAGCGGAGTAGAAATCCACAGGGTTTCATATTGGTCGTGCCCAAAATCTGGTACCTTGTGATTTGGTCGTGCCCAACAATAGAAGCTTCAATTGGACAGCCTATGTTTGGTCGTGCCCAGCAATAGAGAAAAACAATGCTAGTCGTGCCCTCAGAAATGAGCACGACCTCGTCATAATAATAATAATAGTTTAATAATAGTTGAGGTACGATTTCCAGCATTTGATTGGCTGAAGCTGGAGGAAATCAATCACGAGGTCGTGCCCGTTTCTGAAGGCAAGACTATCTGCACCCTGTATCATTGGGGCCTACTTGTCAATACTGCAGGCGTTTGTGGATGTTGGTGTGATATCAGGGTGATTTGAATGGTGCATGTAAATGTTCCAGTCCAATAAACCGTTGTAATATATCAGGAAACTGGTTAACGACTGTGGAGGGATTGTTTCATAGTTATTTTGACTCAGCCTATACGGAATCAATCCAATGGATCTCTTTGGTAGGCGAACAAGTTCTCATTCACCTAAACAGAATCAAGATCTTCAAATGTGCAAGATGCTATCTTATCTAAAAAATGGACAATAATTTGAATATCATCTGGATGTTTTTAACGTGATCAGAATGGAAAATATGGCAGTTTTTCGCTCGGATTTGTATCAGAGAGACGCACACTGAACGGGATAAACTGAATAAATCAATCAATAAAATAATCAATATTTATTTTGACAACAGTATACTTAGGTGTTCAAGACGAAAGTATTATGAACATTTGGGGCAAAATGTACATAAATATCTATTCATTTTACATTAGTTATGAGGTGTTTGATGTATTTTTGGACTAGAATCTTCCCAGTAGAAAGTTCTGAATTTTGAAAGTATTTATAGTAGAAAACCTCTTTGCAAATTAGCTCTACTGGAGTTTTACCCTCCTTAAAACACGTGAAAGGGAAAAATGAAATAGCATTGATCAACCTGTTGATGGTTTTGTTTATGTTTCTGATGATATGTTTTCAAGCTCAGCCTAGTGATTTTCTGATTTTTTCCCTTGCTTTCCATGTAATTTGGTTGTGTGCAGTTTCCTTGGGTGTGCATATATTTTCCTTAATATAGGTAACTTTCTCCATGAATTAGTCAGTTTGTCTTAAATAAGCAGGGTGAAATAATCTTTAAGCTATTACACATACCCCCCTTAATTTTTTGCTCAAGAAACACTGTTGTCTGCAAATAACTCTCAGGCTCATGATTATTCTGTATTAAATTTGTGACCCCAGTCATCTGATCTCAGTATTTCCACCTAGCTGGACACTGAAGAAATTTATTGAACATTCTTCATTTGTGTATGCTGTCCTGTTTATTCATAAATTGTCATGATCTGTTTTTCAATGATTAATTTAATGCTGCTTTTCAATTGGAATTTTATTCAAACCTTATAATGGTTATTTCATCTTATGCAACTTTCAAATATTGTCATACATGGTGTAGTTTATCATTATCATTTAAGGCATAACCTTAAATTAAGTATCTAATTGATTGGTGAATCTCTGTGAGTGGTTTGGTTCAGCTTAACAAAGTGGCTACCTACAAATCTTTATGCAACAAACCTGGTGAAAAAACAGGTCTCAAGGATTTTAAAGAAAGATTGCCTTCATTCTGCCACTCACTTTTCAGTGCTATTTAACTGTGGCTAGATCAATAATGCTGCATGACAGTACTGTGTTCAGCAGATATTCTAATATTTCTGTTTCATCTGCTTCATTTGTCATCTAATTCTTGATACACGCCTTGCACTTCACAGTCAAGTTTGCCTTTAAAGCCAAACTTTTGCCTCTTTTTTGAATGAAATTCTAAATTTTATGTGTGCAAAACAAATAGTGCTTGCAATTATTATACATTTGAAATCTGAGTCCACAGGTGTATATTTTGGTCCCATTGTTGCAATAATTTGATAAAATTTTAGAAAAGTTTGTTGTTCAAGCTTTATTATCCTGTGAACTGATATTTGAGTAAATAATACCAAAAATAAAAAAAAGTTGCCAGGAACCTCCATCACATTTTGGGAAGAAAACGAATTTTGAGTATCAGCCAGAGGCAGGGGAGACACAAAAGCAGCTTTTATACTTTTAATTTTAGTTTGTTTCTATCTTGTCAGAAAAGTAATGCAGTGCCATACAATTGCTATATTAGCTCCTTAGATCACTGAAATATTTTTTTTATAATATTGTGGATGCGCATTTCTGTTGCGCAGTGGCCAATGGGCACGACCACCCATGGGAGTCCAGCTTCGCCACTGGAAGCTTCCCATTACCGCTGTTTTTCATTAGCTTCAGCACATGAAATTTTCACTCGACTGTGCTGAAACATTTACATAACATGGAATAAATTCCTATGCCGCCCGAACGAAACAGTGGAAAGAAAAAAGCCTGATCTAGAATGTTTTACATTCGTGAAATATGCAGCTGTCGCGATCCTTACGATAAGGCAACTTAAAAACACACTAAATTGGGCCGAAAATTTTCTAGAGCTAATTGGTGACCAGTGCATCTGCGACAGAATTGCAAGGATTGGTACTTTAGACCGAAGCAGCTGCAAAATATTTCGTTGTAGCAAAGCCACTTAAAATTCCCTTTTAAGTATCCTTAATAGCACTATGCAATTATGTTTCTGTCCTTGGATAGCCCCTGGCAAAAATATAACCAATGATGAGATAGATGCACCTTCCTCTTTTAATTCTGCTAAGATATGTGCTGCGTACTGCCCAATTTAACCTTAATGCCTCCATTTGCCACACATGTTACGCAAAAGGTCAAGGGTGAAAAATTCATCGAAAATGTAAAATGTCGCACTTTGCCAATTCGCCGCCGAATTTTGCGAAGGAGCAATTTTTGTCACCCTCCTTTAGCAAAAGGGTCGCATGTGCGCCTGGCTTCGCGCTATGACATTCCTTCGTTGCCTTATTAAGAGCGATACTCAATAAAACCTCAAATATAGCTTAATAGCCGAACAGCAAGGAGACCTCTTGGCAGGGACGCCGGAGAGGGGGCGCGGAGGGTCAAAAGGGGCTGAGCCCCCTTGTTATGCCGAAAATTCGCAAATTTCTACTTTTGCTACTGTTTTCCACAACATTTAGTACCATAACCCCATTGTTCTTTTGATAGCACTACAACACTGCGGTCAGCTGTTTAGGATCGCAATCCTGAACCTGCCTTTTAAGCTAGCAAGATAAGAATTCAGATAAAAACCATTAAACCATTTTATTATACTCTATACACAAGAATAAAAAATAATAAATCTTATAATTCATGTTGACAGGGGCAGATCCAGAGCAAATTTGAAGGAGGGGCGGTCGGTAGTGAGGGCGCTGAAAAATTTTCAAAATTGGTGACGAGAGTACGCTGTATACAACAATTTCAGATCCATTTTCAGAATACACAACATAATTTGAAGTTATCTTCGAAGCAAATTAACGTATCGGTCTCAGAAACTTTTTCACCTGATTCTTATTCTTCAAAAGAGGCGCACAATTTCCAAAAAAGGGGCGCCAGATTTGCTCCAACGCATTGAGGGAGGGACAGCCTGCCCCTAGTTGCCCCCCTTAAATCCACCACTGCATATTGAAGTGCACAGCATTCACAGGAAAGACAAGGCCTAATTCCTTCGATAATCGAAAAATATATCATGGCAGAGGGGGCAAATACAAAGATCAGAAGGAAGAGAGTCAGATTAAATTTTTCGCATTTCGGAGAGAAACAGCATTTTTCGAGGATGTTGCGAGGCGTTGAAGGTTTTAGGTTTTCAAGGCGTTGATCGAACAATTCCTTGCCAAACACAAAATTAGCATAGCAGGCATTAAGATATATTAATTAAACAAATTGAAGTCATTTAATGAAAGAACCTTGATCGAAATGAAATAACTTGGCAGAGCCGTTTTTCGACAGGTCTTCCAGTACTGCACAAACAAATAATTAAGGAAATTGCTGGATAATTGCTTCAAAATGCGTATTCCTAAGCTGCCAGAGCGAAAAGATTACTTTTGCGGTGGTGCTTTAATCTCCAATAACTGCCTGTTTACTTATCAAGCAGAAAGACCATGTGGCTTAGTTGATTTGAAGAAATAAGGTTTGAGGAGGCATTTGAAATTCCCCAAATACAGGACCCAAAATAGCCTAAAAATTTTTACAGAATCGCCATGACATGACCAAAATTTCCTATTTAAATAAAGTTGCTCACAGCGTTTTTCACAAGGAGTATGATCAATGTGGGGAAACTACAATTCTAAATAGAAATAAATTAATTTAAAGTCTCAAAAGACTGTGACTGGTTGCGGTGCTGCAACTGTCCATGCATCCTTTACTGAAGATGCTTTGCTCCAAACTGGAGAACCAGACCTAAGGGTTGATATTGAGCTTGAAGCAGCTGAGCCGATTCCAACATCCTGGGGGTCCTGAGTTGGGGTTATCATGCAGCGATCTGAAGCAGTTGACTGTTCAACTTCATACTGCCTTCTCCTTCTGTCCTGCCTTGTTGACAATGTATTCATAATAAAGTTGCAGCATGCCATAGAAGTTACCTGTCTCAACAATGTTGTATTTCTCATGATGCATACAAAAGGAAAAAGTGATGTTTCAATCCATGTTATGTAGGCAGATAAACGCTGTATGTAAATCTCAGTTTTTGAATTAAAAGTCACAACTGAGTCTGCAGTGATGAACAACAACTCTGGGTACCGAAGTAACAAAAAGCCACTGGCAAGTAAGGCATTTGTATAAGCAGATTTGAGGTAACAGCCAACAGGTATTCCATCAGGAGCTTGTATCAATGGTCCTACCATATTCCAACGCCCCTTGACCTTATTGAAAATCTTTACGAAACAAAAAACTATAATGGCTGCAGGAATCAGAATGAATATAGCACAGTGCATTACCAATAGACTGATTATAGATGCTGTATTCTCATCCAGTGTTTTATGATGGACTCTGCATTTCAAAAAGCCTTGGGAAAATTGAATGACCGTGTTTTCTTTGTTGAACCAATAGCTTAATGGCAATGAAAATACAACAGCAATGGTGAGTTGTAATAACTGACCCAATAGAATCTGCTTAGCAACAAGCTGATATTTGCTGTTTGAAATTGTCCGCCATCGATCAACAGCAATGGTTGCAAGGTTTGATACTGACATGAAATTTATCAATGAATAGCTAGATGCATTAACACAGCATAGATCTTGGCTTATACTTGTTAGTCTCCCAGTAAGGACAAGAGATGCCGGAAGCAAAGTAGAGAGGCATAGCAAGACATTCAAAACATTATGGATCATTAGCAAGAAATTGATTGATGTCTGTAGTCTACGGTCTGTGATGATTTTGCAAATAAGAAATCCATTGGTAACACTGGAAGTTATCAATATGAAAACAAGGAAAGCTGAATCAAAACCACTTATTCCTTTGGCATCAAGTAGTACATCTCTGCTGCTGCCAACGGTCAGGTTTGATGATGTTGCCATCTTCAATTTTCACTCAAGCTACATATTGGATGACATCTCACATTTCACAGCAGCGTCAACATCACTGCAAAACATAGACAAAGTTATAAACTAACAAGCAGTAAGAAAAATAGAATTATTGAGGGCATAGCTGCTTGAAGAAAATTGGAACATGGCACCATTGCTTAAAAAAAGAACAAAATGATTTGCCCATAATTTTTGACAATAACACTAGTAGCTAGAATCCTACTGACATGGCTACACTAATGCTACTAATCATTGATTACCAGAAAATTGGCTGTGAATTGCATCATAAATTGTTGGCATTGGTTGGGTACCACCACATGCTTAATGACCCAGTTAGAGCCTGCATGCTCTGGTTCTCTGGAATTTTCTTGGTGAACTAGAAAACCTTGTGATGCTAAGCATTTTATCTACATGCTTCTATACTGTTAAGATTGTTAAGTATTACTGTTAAGTTAGAGTATTGTCAGAAAATTGGACCTGATCCAATAGAAATAAAAAATGGCAACAAAAATTTCTGTGATAGTGGTTTATGACATGAAAACTATCTGATAGAGTTTATTCAAAAGCAAAAACTCTAACCAGCTAAACTGCCCATTTGCTACATGTATCCAGTTGTAGTGATTAAGGAAAAAACCCTATTGGGTTGAGTTTCAAAACACCATCTAAATGATCTAATTCCTACCCCAATCTTCAAAAGTTATACACAAGCTTGACATTATTTATCAGCTAATCGAGGCAATACTAGCTTGATGTAAGTTCCATTGTTCTTTCATATAGATATCATAATGTGAACATTTTTTATTACGTATCACGGTGACAATGACTCTTTGGCAAAAATTACTGCCAGAAAATCTTGACGGTTGATGTTCTTGGCTTCCTGGTATATTATTCAACAACCAGCAAACCCTCAGATTTAAGCAAATCACATTAATGAAGTTTGGCTAAATCCCAAATGAAAAACACTTCCTCTCAGAAGCTCCTTTGGATCTGATCCTTTGAACAATACATACTCCAAGTCCTTCAAAAAATCAATTTGAACAGTCGGGTTTTCAGAATAAATTTTTCATTGTAAATACAGTAAAAAAACCAGCAAGATTTGACATAATTATCTTTTCATAGAACGAAGGAGCTAAGCAAAGGTACAATTATTTTTTCTTTTTCACCTTTTTTCACATTTTAAAATGAACTATACAATATGAGCTATCCGCAGGCTTTTAAGACACCATTAAATTTTCTCTCCTTTTCTCCATTGTAAAATTTAACAATTTCTTTGGACTCTCCCATTTTCTTGTTCTTGTTTTCTGTTTTCCACTTTACTCATTTCCTGCTCCTTATCTGGTTTGCTGCTATATGCATACTTAGTGTATATGTATCTATAGTCGTTTCCATCTGCTTTTATTATGCAAGCATCCATCATTCAGTTTGCATCTTACCAGCTTTTTTATTCACTTTTATTGCTAAAGATGGGGAGTGTTTCGTTTTGAAACGAACAGTAATGTAACTCAATAACATAACTATAATGGCTTAGTCTAATCTTTTTTTAATCTATCGTTGAATGTTTTGAATAGATGTGTTGAATAATGGCTATGACAAATGATTGAGAATATTTTTGCCTATCCTAATTTTTACCGAGGCACACTGCGATTCCCGAAAAATGTTTCAAATGGTATTTCCACCTAAGATTGCCAAAAGACTGCCAAGAAATATAAAATATATACCTAGTTATTTTAAAGGGTTGATTTCAAATCTTTATATTTACTGTTTCCAATGATGAATGTTGAGGAGACAAAAATACTTAGTATTTTAGTATAGTATAGTCTATGAAATTAGTTTTATCAATGTTTAACAACAATCATTAATGGACAAAAAAGAAAATATTGTCTTTACCCTTTGCTTTATATTGCATTTCAGAAAGGAAACAAATACATTACAGTACTTAAAATTTACAAAATTCAAAATCAATATGAAACTATGACAGTATTTCAAAATATTGAAGATCGAGTTTTTGGAGTTCAGATATAAGTTTACTACTGGTGAAGAATTCGTTCGATACAAAATGGGACAACTCCTTGAATTGCAACTGTGTCCTTCGTCAAAGGAAGCGATTTCCTTTTCTTGAAAAAACTGACCTCAACATTAAGCATTCAGCCACAATTCTGGCTGGACAAGAAGCAGGCTTTTGTAGAATAGCGCGGGACCTTGCTGTTTTTAGGCCTTTATAACTAACTAACACCTTATCAAGAGCCTATGGTTTTCGAAAAAATGCAGTTCTTTTTCTAAACGTGAGCTGCAGAATTTGATTCGAAATTGCAAGTGGTAAGGTATGGCCTTCCGGTAAAGACTCAAGTACAAAATTATTCATTAATCTGAACTCACCAGAAAACAGTGTGAATGATAAAAGCCTGCAAGCCAACTCGCTTTCTTTAACCTGGTAACTTGCGCAAAGTTCGCAGACATGTTTTGTTGATTTAAGAATTTAACGTTTCTTCTATTGATATTGAAGTGAATTGCTCTTCCAAATTGAAGTGAATATGCTTAAATTCGGAAGAGGGGGGGGGGCTTACAGACATTTTGTCATCAACATGATACAAGGCAGGCTTGTAAGGGTGATAATTTCATGGCACGTCCTAACACCTTGCAATATAGAGAAAGACCAATTAGGCATGGGCGGCGCTAGAGGGGGGCTTGGGGGCTTCAGCCCCCCACTTTTCTGCAAAAAGCTTTTTTAAGAAAATAAAATATCATAAAAGAAATTGAAGAAAAGAAAAGTGCGATAAATCCTGTTATTGCTTAATTTCCAATGAATAACATGTCTATGGGGCCTTATGAATTCCATTTTAAGACTAGAAATAATCAAACGCACCAAAAGCATGCCTTAAAAGTAGCAAAATGTTTTAAATTATTGCAAGAAAATCACTGCAAGAAATATTCTAAAATGAATCTCAAGGGTGTGGTTGCAAAAACTTTGTCTCCACTAATTATCAAGTCTATTTTTTTCAGCTTTTTGCATCAATTAATATAAAAATGATTACGATACTTCAAATTTAATATAGGTAGGTTTTTAACAGGCTGCTTCAGGGACGCCGGAGAGAGGATGCGGGGGGTTAACCGCCCCTGTTGCCTTTTTATAGGAGGGCAAAGGGGGCTAAAGTGCCCTTTTAATAGAAGTGCTCTTGACACCGATCTTTTGTTTGTAGGAAATCAAAGAGATTCATATGAAATCCTGACTGTAGTGTCTTATTTATATAGACATTCCTCACAACATGTAAATAAATTTCTTATACTAGAAGTTGGCGAATTTGAAAATACCAACAGAAGATCGAAATAAAATGACAGTTAAGAAAGAATTGTTGATAGCTTGGTATTATCTTTCAAATGCCCTTTTACTCAAGCCTGCCCCCTTGCCCCTTGGTCGTTCCGGCGTCCCTGGGCTGCTTTCTCCTAGATAAGTTAATCTACTGAGAGAGCCCTTCCTTTAAGAGGTTTCTTCTCCAGATGAATTTCTGATGTTTTGCGTAATCTTAGTGCGATTTTGTCATCTTCTATAGCTTTATATATTGCAATATTTGTAAACTTTGTTTGTTGAAATGATTTTGGGTAGTTTAAATGACTTTTATATGTACACTCTTTTTAATAAGAACAGTTTTTTAAGAACGTGAGCCTCAAGATTGGTCAAAAGTTAAGAGCGAATAAAAAACAAGCTGTGACTGAGTTACTGTAAAATACAATTTTGAACAACGTTTTATCTCAAAAACGAGGATTTTTAGTCATGCGTGGGTGCTTTTGCTGTGAATATTTAAATTAGTCGGCAAATGAAGGATGTCTGACTCACTTTGTCGTCAAATGAGGCCTGGACACCTCCCTAGAGCGAAAACCCTAACAGTCGCACTGTTTAAACTAATAATTCAAGAACAAATGAAAACAATCTAGCCTCGGATTTTCGAAAAAAGTAAGTCAGCCTAAACCTAAATTTACTGGTTCTTATAGAAAAGAATGTGGTTGAATTTTTAGAATTGAATTGAACTGAGCTTGTTTAGTCTAGCCTTATCCACACCCTCAAAACCCACATTTCTCAATTAACCCCTCTGTCGAAACGTAACACTTTGGCTGCTCAACATTTTACAGCGAAAATTAACAGTGTCATCCAGGTGGGCATATACTCAATTATATAAATTAATTTCTTTAGTGTACATAATTAATCTATAATCTTTAATTATCTTTAATTTAAATTTGGCGCAACATATGGGGTGATCAAGCAGAATGGTTCACTTTTCATTAAACGTCATCAAAGATTTCAACTGCCCATATTGCCAGTTGTTTTGGAAGGATTGCTATCTTGTTAATTAAAACTCATGATAACCAAACTCGTACAGTTACCTTTACTGATTTGCGATCAGACCTCAGTTTCTTGCATTTATGATACAACCCTTACCCACAGCTAATTTCGAGGGCTTACCCATAGCTCAGCTAACAAGGACCAAAGATAATTTGACATCGCATGTCGTTTAACCATTAAAAAGGGGTGTTTGGAGACAGGATGTTTCTTTCTCTAGATAAAGAGTTCTCAAGTGCTCTGATTTCTGTATCAGTTTCGCATCAGAGGCTTGTACCAACGTATTATCGTTCTGGTATCCCTGCTCAGCGAATAATTTTTGGGGAAATATATCGTATAATATACCTGAGATGAATAACGTATCGTGAATAAATGACTACCATTAAAGTTTTGTACCACCACAGACTTGACAAAAAAATGTGCGAGGGAATCACGTGTACAAAATGCACATGAACGTGGAAGGGGCATTGAATCAGGTGTTTTCGCTTGAAAGCAAAAAAAAAGTTCAAACTGGCTAAAAGATTTAAACCAAAACACATAAAGCTTACAAGGGCCAAAATTGCCAAGAAAATAAGATCTATGACTCACTTCACACAACTAGATTAAATTTAATTCAAATTCTCTCTGCTGGCGTAACCTCTTTCTAAGAGGTGGCAAAAACGCTAAAAAATTCAAATTTCTTTATTGCTCTTTCTGCGTGAGCTTAGAATTTGTGATGTTGAAAAATAAAAATATATGCTTTTTAGCCGTTGGTAAGCTGCATTGAGACATTTTTCAATACAATTGTATACTGTATTAAATTTGAATGTTTATACACAGAAATGGATCGAATGATTTTTCTTAAACTGAAAAATAACTAGTCTTGGAGCTCAGTGATTTTGAATAATGTTTCCTCAATTATAGATTTGCTTGATTCTTGTAAACTTTTATGTACTTTCTTTTAATTAAGGCATCTACACACGATAAAGCTTGTATTAAGTAAAATACTTTTACAAACCAGATCTAAAAAATTGACACAGTGAGTCTTATTCATCGCGATTCGTAGACTGTTTCTAAGGAGAGATATGCCAATAACGTTCAGATCGAGTGTAGTGCTTTTGATTTTAAAAACTATTTTCTTAAGAAATGAAAAAAGTAGGCGAGCTATCATCATTCCAACATATTAAAATCGAAAATGCAAATGTTCGCTTATTGTAGCATCATTTCAGCAAATATAGCACTCAAATCTCACTCACCAAAATATTCTGTAAATTTTCAAACGCAATAGAGCAATGCAGCATCATCGACGAAACTTCCCAACTGACAACAGAAAGGAGAGAATCCACTAATTTTTCTTGTTGCTAGCAGGTAGGAAAACATCTGCCTGTCTTTGTTTGCACCTTTCATTGTGGCAGAGACAATCATTCTATTGTGAGTGGTTTCAATTATCTTAAATATTGTCGAATCTTTTCTCCATAGTTATGGAATCTTTACATACATGAACATGGCTGATGGTTTTATAAGGCTGTATAATGTTCCAAGAAGATAAATCAATTTCGAAAATATGTTGGCAGACTGCCACTTGTCGATGGGTCTTTGATTGGAGTTCTTAGCTCCAGGCTAGTCGTCAACCTGAATGATGAAAAATCCTGATGTTCGTGACACCACGAGTTTAATCAATATGCAAAATCCGAATTCAGCTCTGTTTTCTAGATACTACTGTACTAAAAACGTGTAAAAAATACTGGAAACTCTGTACTGAAAACTTTTGCATATCATTTAGAATTGATTACTGAGATACTAGCACTATGAAGTGACCAATAAATATTTCTTTGGAGACTGAGTTGGGACCAGACTTCCAGCATTCGAATATGCCCAAGAATAAAGAAAGAAGAAGTTCTTAGGGTAAAAAAGAAAGAAGTAAAGTTTTGAATATGCCCATTCTGAATTTGATATTCAACGTTAAAACGGTTAATTTACAAAGCAAATACTAAAGTTTATAAAAACAAAGTTTATATAAAAAATCTAAAGCAGATAAAAAATTGCTTCCACTTTCTGCAAAACTGAAACAAAATCAGTAAACTAAGAATAGTTCCGCTTCCTCCTTGGCGCTTCGTTAGTTCCATTCTTTGCAAGCATCGATCGAATAACTTGACCAAGCATTTTCTCCTACAAAGGAACATCCCAACCACTTTAAATTGCAAGTTCTACTCTGCATTGTAACTATTTATCAAAGCAAGATTCTGGTTTTTCATGGCTGCATGGTATTTCTAAATTGACAATTTCATATCAGCTTCAAATTTGCTGTGAACTATACAAAGTAAACTAAAATGTAACAATTCTTCATAGATAATCGATCAAAGATGAGAAGTCCAATAAACAAATCACAGAAGCAAGTGATGTAACACATTTAACCCGTGCGTGCCACTGCAGATCCCTTAACTAGTTTCAGTCAGTCAGTCAGTCACTGGTGCCTTGTCCTTCCAGGAGATTGGCTACCATGGATCTCCATCGTTGGTGGCTTTGAGCCATCTTCTTTAGGTCTTCGTATCTTCTGGTGTGGTACTCCATTCTTGATGCTGTCTAGCCTTGACAGTATCCCAAAAACAACATAACTTAACTGATTAATCATCCCATAAACCCACCTAAAGCCACAGCTCACTCCCCTCTCCATCTGAATTGATATTTCAGACTAAACAGCGCAGAAGAAGCTAAAGTTACAGATAAACATATACTAAATATTTTTTAAATTATGAAAGCTTTTGCCTAAGTTACAAGTCTTACCTGTGCTATAATAGTCGTAAATCACGACATGAGCTTTTTTCCTTTCTGTTACATCAACAGTTTGCTCAACGAGCACAGGGAGGCATGTTTTTGACTCGATCTGGTGAAAGGAAGGGATTTATTTGACAATCTAGACTCGAAAAGATATAAAGGTTAAACAACACTCCAAAGCTATTAAACAAAATGAAAGATATTGTTCCTATAAATTGCTATGCACACTTATTTACAAGAACCAGACAATTACTGTGGCGGGTCGATTTTCTCATTTTTTTGGATAATTTGAAGCTCGGGGGTTCTTAATAATTTTTTACTCCAAAATTGATTTTTCTACAAACTATCGATTGTTAAAGTTTTAGTAGCAGCAAGATATCTTTTCTGAGAAAATCTGGTTCACTATCATTAACATGCAAGCTCTGGTTTTTTTCTTAACTTTGATTTGAGGTTTGATGTTTTTACGTTCTTCTTGCTTTTTTATGCAAATCGAGCCCCAGTTTCCTTATTAAGGGCATTTTCGAAAAGAGTTTGGTTGTTTCTGACTCAAATGCAATGAATCAAAAAATGCAAAAAAGAAAGATACATAAAAGACTAGATAAAAACACTTTCGATGAAACAACCAAGCCAAATAATGCTTATTGTGTTAAATAATCAAGAGAAACTCTTTTAACGAAATATTGAAAAACCAGAAGATAAATTGTGCCCCAGTTATCGATCACCTTTTCAAAATACAGCGAGAGCTTGCCATCCTCTACTTCGTAGTCTTTCAGCAGATTGTTTGACGTCGATTGAAGTATCTAAATTGGGAAAGTAAATATGCTATTTGATCAAGAAGACTGATAAGAACAATGATGACTGATTGTCTATGCAAGCAATATTTTCTTTGCACTAGTTTTACAGTACAATGCCTGCTAAACGTACTTGGAACATCCAGCAATTTGCATTGCATTTTATATCTTTCAATCCTTTTCCCAAAAATATTTTACTATTCTCGCCCTCTTCCCCCTAGAACAATGTTGATAATTTAGAGAGGTATCATAAAAGAAGCGAAAAAGAAAATGCTTCGTAAAATCCTAACCCGTTTTATAGTAAACCAACATTGTTCCGTGGGGGAGAAGGGGATGATTGATTTTGACCTTGGAAACTGACGTCAGTGTTCCAAGACTTTTGGCAGGCATTGTAGATAAATAAATAGTCTATGTGGAATTCATCCTAACTTAACTATGAATCTAGTTGTTGAAGTAACGATATAACACATTCAATAACGAAAATGCACAAAGCTGTCGCATAAGTTGTATTTGAGTCTTATTTCGCTTTTGAATTTTCCATCATTAAACGCAGCGAGGTTGAAAATCCCTGAGTATCCACCTGATCCAAATGCTCATTGACTGGCTCAAATCCTGACACCATTTTAACTTCAATTAATGCCATGTTACTTCCTCCTTTACCATAGTAACTAAAAGCAGAGATAACAATCAAGAGCCTTGGCATGAAGGGTGATATATATAACATAAGGAAATTATATGATTTGGCTAATCGGTTAGCAATACACTGGTGTAAAACCTCAGTTTATAGCCGAATAACTACGGATCTTTCAAGAAATCTTCCAACTGAAGAAATGAAATATCTGACTACTAATAAAAAATCGATCGTTAAAGGCACATAGATTTTACAAAGTTAAATAAATGGTTGTATCTCAACATATCACTAAAGGAGCGAAAGATCACTCTACTTATAATCCAATTTAGTAGCCTAGTTTTTCACATTTGATTTATTCTCATTGTATTGTAAGCTTCTTTTCGTTTCACGTGTTATATTTTAATCACAAATCTTCCAAAATTGGTTTCTTGATCTTTGTTAATATCTTCCTGATTTCTGGCGACATCCATTAACTTTTTTGGTGTTGCAGTTGTGGAAAGAGCAACGAGTTTGGGGATATGCCTACATCAGATCTAGCCAGTTAGCTTTGTGTATACAAAAACAAGTTTTGCATCAAGGTTTTCTGTCAAACTTTCGCTATAGGAAAGCTAATCATGCACGTTAACTAAACCTACATTTGCCAGCAAGCAACATGTCATAACCTAATGAGTGCTAGATATAAATCTCTCTTAAAATTATTCTGCATGATCTCAGGTTATACAACATCTTTTGTTCAATATTTTCTGAGAAATCATCAAAACAATAATAAAATTTTCAACTAAGACGTATAGCAGAGAGCATTCTTCTTTAGAACGAGTTTATTTCAAAACAGCAAACCTGGCACAGATCTTGATCCTGTGTCTGCAATTAGGCCCCACTTGTTCCGATAATAAGGAAAGAAAAAACTTTGGCTCTTCGCTTACATCTGGAATGTTGTATTTAACATTGGCCTAATTGGGAGGAAGATGCTATAACTCAGCTAAAATCGTTACAATAGCAATTCAATTCCAAGATATATTCGAAAGATTTCGTCGACCTAAGCATTCGATAAAATACTTGCAAGCAATTTTGTTTGAATGTCTTTTACAAAGGAAATAAACTGTATTGGAATGGACCTAAGCAATCAAAAAACCTACGAATGATCGCTGTTTTTTCAATAAATCAAGCATTGAGCAATTTTTATGAGATGTTCAACATAAATAACAACCATTATTTTAACAATAAAAACAAAAGTAAAAAACAAAAGTAAAAGGCATTTTGTTCTAAAAGTATTCTCTTTATTGTTTATAAATCAATGCAGTAGTACAGTTGTGTTTCTTTTGTTGAAAGACATTTAAATAAAGTTGCTTACAAGTAGTTAATCAAATACTTGGGTGGGCGTAATCTTGCAAATAAAAAGCAGAAAAAACAAGCGACAATATAAATCAGAGCTGAGCTTTTGCACCTGTTTTACAAGTTATTATTAAAAGAATATGGTCTTCTAGCTCTTCATTAATTACTGTTTTGTAGAGAGGAACGAAACAAAATAAAGCGAAAGAGAGAAAGATAAGTTGCATAACGTAAGCATCTAGATCTCCTTTTTTTAGCTACTTGTAACTAGCTGTAAACCTTTTATATGAAGACGACTGTTACGAAGGCTATACACGGTTTTAGAGTCTCGTTTAAGCGCAGTGCTGTCGCTAGGGAACGAAAACTTCGAGTAAACGGACTAGTAGTGGTTGCCGCAAGCGCGAAACGATTTCGCCATTTTAGCTACATGTTCTTGCTTGTGTTCGTAAATAAATTGACAAATTTAAGAATTTCACAAATTGACAAATGGCGAACAGTTCCATGGATTTGGCTGTTAATGGTTGTAGTAATGACAGCGACGAGCATGCTCTGGGATCATTAAAGCTTTAAGATATTCAAACATGGAGCTTGCATGCATCTGAAAGAACGTCTGAACCGGAATAGATCAGGAAGATTCCAAATACGTAAGAGAAACGATAGCACAATAGATTCACCTGGAGAAGAGCACAGCCAGTTCCTTCAGCAATAACTGCAACTTTGGTTGGGACTTCTGGAATCTGCATTGAAACATTTGCAAAGATACATAAAAACATTTAGATTGAACTGTAACACTAATAGCTACGAGCCATATTTGTAAATTTACATACGTGCATAGAACATGATCGACATATGTTTCTGATGCATAAATGACTCCAAATGAAAGGCTGATGGTTTACCTACATGTCTCACACTTTGTACAAGTTATCTAATAAAACCACGACTTTTTTAAAAGAGGGGATGTTAGACAACATCCAGGGGTGTCGATCTTGCTTATGAATGAAATCAGCTTATTACTTGTCCATTTGCTATCAAAATTCATGGATTTTCTGAAGTTAAGAAGCTTTGAGTGCCTGATGGCCAGCTTTCCTTGTTTAGCTGTCTCATTGATAATTGGAAATTTAAAAGGTTGCAATAGTTCACTTTTTCCCTCGACTTTAGTTGAATGAAAGCCCTCTGTTTATCGCAGGAATAATTTAAACCCGAATCAAAATTATATTTCACTGTCGAATTCTGTCAAAAAGATCCCACTACTTGCTGGTGTTTGCAACCAATAATGAGTTTGAGAATGACAACAGAAACGAAAGCGAACGAAAGTTTCTAGAAAAGATTTACCTCAACCTGTTGCAGCACTAATTTATTGTCATCGGTGATTCTAAACTCGTGATCCAGCTGCGAAGCGTGAAACTTGAAAAGGAGGTTTATGCCTCCTTTATAGATATGGCCCCCATAAAAGGCAAGCGCCTGCAGTGCGACGCAAGTATCCTGAAAAGAGGAAAGCATTCATGAACACTGGTAAAAAGAATAATTCTCAAAAGCAACTTATATTCACTAAATGTGATAATAGTCTTAAAAACCTTCACAAAGAAGAAGAGACTATTGCCATTCGAAATAAAAGGAGGGATACTGGCTGGACATTGAAGGGGCTGCTACATCATCCAAATTTCAAAGGAATTTGAAAAGATGAAGTGAATTTTGCATAAGCGGTATTGTCGCCCCTATCGAGTCATGACTACGGTCCAATGACGATAATTTGCAAACAAATTTTTGTGTTATAGAGTTTAGAGATGGCTTTGTAAAAAGCATACATTTAGATATATGTTTCTTAAACTTTTTGTTTGGCATTATTCGGTTTATATGTTTTTTTAGCGTAGAGCTTTCGATCTATGTTCTGACATTTCATACTCTAAAGAGTGTCAGACAAAAAGCTTTAGAAACATGTTTTAAAATGTTTGATTTTTCCAAAGCAATTTTTGAACAATGACAATGCAATAAGAATGTGAGAATGGCCTACTTGAGTCGAAGCAAAGCCGCCTAACGAATTTCTTTGCTTTGCAAGCCATCTGACTATCTGTGCAGCGCTAGCGACATCAGGTTGAGGGACAGTCATGTACGCCAGTAACGCATAAGCTGTCGTTTCGATATCAATCGGTGCCGGGTGGCGAAGGCCTGGCTGTTCAGATTCCCAGTGCGTCATTCCACCTGCAGAGATAAAAATTTGTCTTGTAAATTGCTTTAGTATCACAGGCTAATAGTATTTGAAACATTATTGCTTGCGTATATCACTGTACAAAAGTGTAGGACAACGGTATCCCATTTCGGAAATACCAGTAAGAAACTGCAAGGAACCTTTCTATTAATCTTTGATGATTAGCAACTTCACCTGATTTTTTAATATCAAGAATCAAACCAAGCTCAGCCAATTTCTTGCTTTAAACGACCATCAGATCGGGGCACATCAATGTATAAAATTTAGACCAAAAGACTTCAGTGAACCAAGTTTGAAATCACAGTAAACGAAAAAACGCCGTAAATTTCAAGGCAAAGCAGAAGGGAATAACATTGGGAACAAAGCATGGTGGAAATTATGTTAAACCATGTGACTTATGTTTCAATAAAATTCTGGACATACACAGGATCTTTTTACAGTTCTTTGAAAAGATTGATGATTTTGCTTGAAAATTTGACCATATTTGGAGGTTATAATGGCGAAAAGAAAATATTTTTTGTTTAACATGAGCCTTAGTAACCTCTGGGTATATCTGCTTTCCTCTCTACATAAGTAAGTTTTCAAATGAAAACCCAACCCTTTCTTTGCATTGTTCCCCCTCTTCTACATCACAATTATAAATCTGTGACTGAAAATACAAAAATTTGTAAATGGATTGAATAACAAAATTTCCTCTAAAAGTAAAAGAAGAAAAATTCAAGCCCAGCGGGAAATCTTTTCAGAACACGATGATTTGAAAACTCGCCGTTTCGGTATGAATTCATTTCGATTTTGGTGTGAAAACAGCATTTTAAGACATGTCCTTGCAAATGCGGCCTAAAACATTGTAAAACGCTAAATAGTTTTCCTTGAAGATTCTACGTGTCATGTTCCTGCCCTACAACAACCCATTCCTTAGAGCCATTAGCGTATGTAAAATGACAAATTCTTTCAAAAATTCAAATCAAGTCTAGGCTTGAAATTTTCTTCGTCTAGTTCGAGCGGCAATCCGTTATCCTCGACGGCTGCAAAGCTTAGGTGAACCTTATCTGACTGAAACAAAATTTTTCATACTTCTAACAAGATGAAAGATGGATATCCATTAGCGAGCCTGAGAAATTTCTACAATTTCCTTCCATTGTAATTTGGAACTCTGCTGAGCAGATGTTTAGATCAGTAGTTACTTAGCATGACTTTCATTCCACCAAACACGAATATTTGCAACAATCTGATTAAGAGAATGTTTGTGATAACTATGTTCTTTCTTTGCATAGTGAGCGATGTCCTTTGCTCAATCGTCTTAAAAAATTTGGATTTTGAATATTCACATCGTACTATTCTAAGCAGCTTGTGGTCTAAGGACATGTGCTTTCTCTTCAAATGGATGAAGTACTTGTGTAGAAGAAAAACTTTTAACAGCATTGATAAAGAACTCTATAATATCTAGCAATCATAGCCATATAGTTTTGTTGCTAGCAAGTTATAATCTTTGTGCTGAATTTGCAAGCTGCATTTCACTGTTAACTATACCTTGTAGAGGAATGTGTACATAACGTCTTTTTAATTATACTTTTGTTGCAATACTTTGACAAAGGTCATAGTCTGTTAACTACCCTTTGAAAACTATAACTTTTTTATTTGAAAATGAGAAATACGATGGTTTTAAGGTAAATGCAAAGGGTGAAAATGCGATTCAGATTTCATGCGACGAGTAGATGGTGCGATATATTTGGGAAATATGACTTAATTTTGCTGAGCCTCAATATTCTCTGAAAGTTTGTGATTCTGGGTCTAAGATTACTTTTAAAAAGTTCGTAACCGACCCAATACGTAAATTTGGTAAGAATTAGAAAGTAAGATAAGAGAAAGAAAGCTATAGAATGTAAGAATTAGAAAATGAAAAGTATTAGCGCAATACAGCTTCGATAGTGTACCTCGAGTTTTCAGCGTGAAAGTCACGGTTGTCTTCTTTGCGAAAAACTCAGATAGGTAAAAATTTAAACTGTCGATGGTAATCGCGTCTTGCAATTATTTCTAATCAATTGTTGTTTTCATAAATTTTTTGAAGGTTTAAAATTCTAATAAAGTTTATTCTTCAAAAGAAAAAAGTGTGTAAGTTTTGAAGTTTTGAAGAGAAAAGTTTATTCTTCAAAAAAGGTCAGTGCGCTTCTACGGAGCTAATTGCTGGAATGACATTCCTGTTGATATAAAAAATCACCTTCTGCTAATATTTTTCGGCAAAAACTCAAAGCCTTCCTCTTTCGAAACCACCACAAAAGTTGAAAATAGAAATTCTAATTCAGATGCTTTCCTTGAAGAAATCAAATTTATGTGAGAAATTTTAAAACAGGGGGTGCTCTCTCCTTGATTATTTTAACTACTGAGAGAGCTCCTCCTTTAAGTTATTCCCTCCATACAATTTATCCTTGTATTCATTTCAATTGTTGATGTATTCATTTTGTATGTGTCATATTGTGTTGTAGGTATGTATTAGTTGCTTATTTGTATAGTTAATTTGACTAAATTGTATGTAGAGGAATTTAAAATATGAAATTGAACTGTAAATTCTGTGAATCAAATGCTTTGGTTTACCTTGATTTACAGCCAGCTTCTTCAACTTGTCAATCACAGCAGCACGCTGCGAGGCCTGTGCAACTGTCATTGTATAAGCAATTAAGCTAACGGAGTAGGAATCTGTCAGCTGGGGAAGACCTTTTTTAATGCAGCTTAATGCATCTACTGCTTCTCGGCTCTACAAAGAAATGGAATACAAAATTAGAATGTACAGCCTGATAAATATTGTGCTGTCGAGCGGACTACACACGGTATAGCGGACAATACACGATAGCTCTGGCATAATATTTTAGGCAGCCAATACCATTTCACAAATATACTAAAATGCGTGTTATACAATATAAAAGAATAGAACTAGGAATTTAAGTAAAATTGTACTAGAGAAAAAAGAAAATTTACTAACGACGCTTCGGGCATAGCCTATTATCAAGTGAATAACGGGCTATGTTCGAAACGTCGTTAATATATTTGTTATGTTTTCCTAATACAATTTTACTTAACTTCCTAGTTATATAATATCATTTAAAGGCATTGAGTCATGATAAAATGGATTGGGTATACCCAAAGTGCCAAAATCCGCCGAGTCATTGTTTTCGTGACTGCGATGCTATTGGTTGACCTTGAACCGGTCACATGAACTCACCTCGTACTGAACTTACCTCGTACTGATTGACAAAACAATTTCCATCATTAGCAAGTTGTCAACAACGGATGCAAATATCACATGAAACAGCAGCGTTCACGCCGAAACCAAATAACTCCCTATAGTGGAGGCCTATTTACCATGACTCAATGCCTTTAACCCCTGTAAAATTCAAAAGCCCAATATTGTTTTTATTTGAAGGATACCATTGCATGATTAGTTGCTTAACAACTGCTCTTGATTCGTCCTCCTACACAGTCAGACCCAGAAAAGCTTGCGAAGCAACCAAATGACAAACAAGGTCATACCTGTATATTGAGACCGGCTTCAATCAAAGCTGACAAAACGAATGCCGTCATGCTTATTCCACTGGTCACGCCTCCCTAAGAAAGCAATTAACAGTGTGTTGAAAATAACATTTAGTTTCATTGTAATCTGTAAGTACTGACAGTACAGGTGTAGACAGCCAGTGCTTTGAATACAAAGAGTCAGATAAATGGAAATTAGACAATTGTACATAGCTACTTTCTCCAAAGACATATTTGTCTATTGAAATGTCATGAATATTTGATCACGTTATTCAACATTTTTCCAATTCTATGATGAGTTTCTTCTTGACACGATATTGGTTTTGAAAATAGCAAACATTTTGAGCCATACTTAAGCTTTTCGTCCGACACTCTTTCAGAGTATAAAACGTCAGAACATTGATCGTAAACTCTACGCTAGAAAATATATATACCTAGTTGTGGATCAAAATAGGCCAATCAGAAAACGTGAGCACATGACTATTGTAGTTGCCCAATCAGTGTCGCTTGCCTATTGAAAATGTCACCAATGGAGTCGTGAGATGAAAACGATCTCCTTCTGTCTACACAAAAGCGGGTCTTTTTCATCTGAAACTTCTATACTCAGACGATATACTCTGAAGAGTTTTAGCATGTTTTAAAATGTTTGTTCTTTTCAAATCAATATTACTCTGTTTATTATAATAATATAATACAATTTTACAAATAATAAAATATTACAATATTAGTTAATAATATCGCACTTCTACATTACCTTGCTTTAGATTTGTTGCTAGTGACCTGACTGTCATTAATTTGCTGAAATGACTTTATTAGAAACAGCTTGGCCTAAGATTGGAAATCTTACCATAAAAACTTTGTGAACATTGAAATGCACATATACCTTCATAGATTTGTGTATAACCATACCAACTTCTTTGAAACAACCATCTATTTTTTGCAAGGATAACAACCAGCTCATACTGCTGGTGATTTCCTTTTCGTCTATGAAAATGTATGGTCTTGCTTGTGCATATGACTTTAAGACAAAGGCTGTTAGCCTACGAATAAATAAACCATTAGCTTGATAAATGTCTCCTTAAAAAGCTAATTTTATCGCGTTTGACGTAATTTTCTAATCACGAGCAGTGTAACAGATGTTTAGTATTATATTTTTGAATAATATTATAACCGAGAAGCTCTCATTTTAACACAGACAAAAAAGGAAAAAACATTTCAGAAACAATGAACAATAGTTGGCAATACAAAGTGTGGCTATATGTAGCAACTACAGCAATCAATGGACGAAGAAAAAGCTATCAATGATTTAACTGAGAAAGCTGCAGCGTTCTCTCTGTAGACTAAAATATTAAATCTATCTTTGAGTAGAGATTTTCTCACCATGTACTGCCCTCACGGTCCCGGCTACCAAAGGCTGAATAAGAACCATCCGATCGCTTGTAGGTCAGTTCACGTTGGTATCCTGGAATAAGGAAATATCATTGGCTTGAAGTGATGCTAGTGCATTTGGCATTCAAAACTATGAAGTTACTTATTTTCAGGAAACCAGAGACACTTTTTACTATAAAGAAAGTGGATTATTTAGAGTAATTTGCACATTATGTAGAGAGATTTAAGACTGTCCACGTTTTGATTGCAAGAATCATACGCAACTAGAAACAATAGCTAGAAAGAATTAAGCTGAAACAAGGCTACACAGTTATTGGTTATATCACACTGAGGGACAAACAGCCACTATAGTTTGTTCCCTGGAACTATTGATAACATGAAGAAGCTTAAACAGCTTTCAAAAGAGAAACACCCTGTGCCTAGCAAGCTATTAAAGCATATATGCAATTATGTCATAAATAAAGCAGTTTTTTCATATAATAACCGAATGTACAAAATTCAGAATTAAGAACTCGGAAGAAGCTCTTCTTTTAAAAAAAAGGAAATTGGGTTATTTTGGTGGGCAAGCCAATGGGTCATAAGCAATCAAACTATTTTTATGTAAGAAACGTATATTGAAATGGCCTTGTCATGTAAATACTTCTTGATGAAAAAAGTATTGAAAGTTTAGCTATGGAGGCCCGTAAACCTGTAAAATTAAATCATTTTTCCAAAACATTGATATGAATTTATTAAAATGGAAACTTTTCACTTTGTATTTCAGTTAAAACTACGATTACAAATCTCACTATCACACAGGTAATTTGCAATTACAGCTACACAGGAGGCCCATAAACTGTTTTTACAGAATAATTCGTTGTAATGAAAAAAAAAACGTTAAACGGGGAGTAGCTCTGAGTCAAGCTCCAAGTTCTGTTCCTACGGCCGAGTACATAGCATGTGGTACGAATGGAGATGCTGAAAGTTTGGAGATGAGATAGAGTTTCTGCTGATGATCAAAGAGTCAAAGAGTCATATATGTGGACGAAAGAGCTGCAGGAGTTGCCAAAGATACCAACTGAACTGATGGAAAGATTGACAAACGAAACTAATTTGACGTTTCAAGTCAGATATGACGGTGGCATTTTTCTCTGACTTTTCTTTAGCATTGCACTTCAGATTTGTTTAAAATCCCATGGTTAGCTCTAAGACGTACATACAATTTTCCTTAGTTTTGAGAAGTAAGTCAGGGCGTAGTTGATCTCCAGTAATTGTTCCCATAAACCAACGTATTGGGAGCTGTAGGAGGTTATCTGTTCGTGGGTCATATTGAACATGATTTAGTTCAAAGAACTAGGACATGGGAGAAGCAAGCGGCATTTTGGCACGTTTATATTACTTTTTGCAAATTTTTGCAGTGGATTGTTAGCTCACCCGACCTTCTCAAGAGATCTGTATAATAATATTTCAAGGATGAATTGTTTTGGAAACGTTACCTGCAACCATAAATGTTTTTGCACGCTCTTCAATTTCTTTACTTGACTGCTTCGTTTTGGTTAAGTACTGCAGTATATAGATATTAGGTGCAAACTTGAGCATGTTCTGCTCGCCACACCCATAAGGCATAGCCAGTAGTTTATCCAGATCTGTCAGCGAAGGCCCCATTAAGTCACCTGCAAAAAGTAGGATGATCTTCTATCAACGTATCTGTCATAAGGTTAAACAAAATCACAAATTAACTGCAATTTTATATAAAGAAAAGCAGCAAAGCCATTGTCTTCTTCGTGTAGTGTCTCTCACTCATCTTCCTTAAGCTCTTTGGCATCGATGGCAGGATTTGAAAATCCGAATGCGGGCTTACCTTTTTTCTATGCGACACTTGCCTTTCATACGGAACCAGAACTCTAACTCGTATACTTAAAGTACATTAAAAGCAATAATACTTTCTCATAAAAAAGTTATTGCAAATTTGTTTAAAATTACACAAGACTGTAAATCAAATCATACTCCTGGGTCTGACACAAGACTGTAGTCTTGAGATAGTTAAAAAAGATAAGCATACCATACAAAGAGAGTTTGGCAAAAACAGATCCTGGAACAACTTGTGCGGGAAGAGTCAGTTGGAAGTACTCCTTGTATTTGCCGTTGTCACCTACGAAAATACCAAACAAAAACATAGTGGCCAAGGTACAAAGTGATGATAGATTAATCATTACATATATTATGGAGCCAAAATCATATAAGCCAGGTAATAATTATTTAAGTTAAGTTAAGTTAAGTTAAGTTAAGTTAAGTTAAGTTAAGTTAAGTTAAGTTAAGTTAAGTTAAGTTAAGTTAAGTTAAGTTAAGTTAAGTTAAGTTAAGTTAAGTTAAGTTAAGTTAAGTAAGTTAAGTTAAGTTAAACATGTGCCTTGATTCAGAGAATGAAAAGTACTAGCGCAATACATGAGCTTCAAGTTCATTAAGTTCTGGAATAAGTCTATTCTATATTTGCTACGTTAGATTAAATTTTCTACGTTTTCATGATTAAATTGCCTAAATAAAACTGTTCTTCCTTTCATCTGTCTATAGATAAAATTGATATAAATTTTCATCAAATTTGTACAAGTACGTATTGAGAAGTTTGTTAGTATCTGTAATTGGTTATCCAACGCTTACCTTCTGCAAGGCATATCAATGAATTATGATTATATTCTTTCTTGACTCCTTCCGGCTGCGGAAAAAATATAATAAAAAAGATGTGGCATAAAAACAACAAAGAATAAAAATCGAGGAAAGGCAAACGTGAAGTATCCGTTTTTTATAGAGAGTGCTAGAGAAAAAAGCTACAGGTGATTGGCTTGCTCAGGGGGAAGTTTTCAGAAGTGGCAGGTTACAATATTCTAAAGAGAAGCAGATTTGGTTCTAAATGAAACGAGACCTGGTTTGCTGATTGGCAGACAGGATTTGAACACATGATTTTCAAAGGACTGTCTGAAGATATGAATGGTCAAGCTACGATTCCCTTATACATATTATGATTTGTGTATTAATTAAAGAGATGAAGCTATACCGATGCAATGTTTGGAATTAAATTATGTATTCCTCGCCATCATATTTCTATTGCCGAAGCTTATCTTTGGCTTTTGACCATAATAGTTCACATTTGATCGTAGTCAATCGTTTGCCCCTCTTAAATCGCATCTCATTAATCAGTCTCGTAAATCACAGCTCACGAAAAGCCTTTCTTCAATGCAATTTTTGGTGGGCTTAGAGACTAATTAAGACTGCATTATCTATCATATTCTACTTATAGGTGTATGTAAAGTAACAATGCAATATCGACTACCATGAAGTATTTTTCAGCCAAGTTAACGTAAGGCAACTATTCACTCTGATCCTTCACCTAGCTTCTTTACAATGGTCATGAAATTTTTGTATTCTAGTAGAAAATTAAATATTGCTTAACAAAAGCACCTTCTAATTATTCAGTTCTGGAGTTTGTTTGACAAGGATATCTTTCTTTAAATCAAGCATTTCATTTGTTACGGGAAATTTTTTAAAATACAATGACTTATAGTTTTCCTCACATCTCAAAATTTGTTCGTTATACTGCCAGTGCCAAGCTTTCTCACTGTTGAAATCGCATTCATCTCTGTTGAATGCGATTTTCTTACAAGCAGTGATGAAAACAAAAAGATTCTGTTCTCTACCTCTCAAATAATTTGGATGACAAAATACAAACAACTGCTTTTTCCATGAACAAAATGGCCTTAAAATCAAACAGTAATTTAAAAGAACGTCTTTCACAGTTGTTAAACAAACTGAAATGGCAATTTAGAGCAGTTGCGGATGTCTAAGAGATATAACAGCAAAAAGTAACTGAAGATTCAGTTCAGCACGAAGCGAGCATTCTTAAAGTGACGTGGAAGCACTTTTGAGGAGATAGGACTTAAATGATGAAATTGTAAGGAATTTTTCCACGAAAAACCATATTATTGGACATAATAAGTTAAATTGTTATATATTATTGTCATTAAATATAACACAGATGTATTACATTTTGCAATAATAATGTTACGTTTTTGTGCAGCCTTGAAAATTTGCAACAAAGAATACAATAAACACCTCGACAAGCAGCATTCTTCTGACAGCATCCGCTGCGTTGACAGAATCCGCCATTTTTCTTTCTTTGGAACAAACATTCTGATTTGTGGATATAGCTTTAACAGTAATTGGAATCCTGCCAATCTTTTTTGGAGTTATTTTGAATCGTAATGAGTTCGACTGACTGCCACAAACGCACAGTTTTGATGATGAAATATCTGTCACAAAATCGTTTGATGCCTCGACAGACAACCTTATCTAAAAAGGTAAAGTGTTTCAAGTCAGGTTATGACGCAAAGAGTAGAAATTTGAACAAGTTATGTCAAAAAGTAAAGAATAAGTATCAATAATAATAGATTTTTCATCTGGTAACAGAAAGAGCTACCATATTCAACATCAATTTCTAAAATAGTTACTAGACAAAAATTACTAACTTTCCCCCTTAGAAATTTTAATTTGGAAAAAAAATTAAAAAAATTATACAGGAATGTATTGGCTTTAAAAAAGGAGGAAATAAAGCAAGATTTTGAAAAATCGAGACCTACCGTCAGGCACTTGTCAAGATAATTGAAAACTGTGACAGGGACTTTGACACTTTCTCCCCGCACCAAAGAATACGGCAACGTTAGCGATACGAAAAACGGTTGAAAAACAAGCAAAGACGCTGTGGTGGACACCCCGACGCCACGTTGTGACGACATCGCGAATGCATTTGCGTACCAAGTTGTCAGCGTGTCTGGCACTTTCACCTCTAATGTCTTCTTTCCAGTAACCGAGCTAAGAAAAAAAACCGCAAGCAAGTTTTTCAGCCGGTCATTCAATGATGCTTATTAAAAAAATGTAGTTACTGACATTAAAGTGCTTAAAGACGCGAGCAATTTCGAAAAGAATCTGGCTTTCTACGAAGGATTGAGGATTGAAGTACAGAAGCACAAGGAAATTTGGAAGAAAGTTAAACCGATGAACCACCATTCACAGTAGATCATTTGATGCGTTTCATCATTTTCAGAAAGGATTGTTGCTCTACACTTACTCTACTTTTGTTTCTTCCCATATCCATGTTTCTGGAAAATCAGTCCTCACAATAACATCTTTCTTTTCTTCTTTTACTACTGGTTTAGTCTTTTTTCTCTTTATTTCCTTATCTGGCATCATTTCCTGTACTTCCTGCCCAGACTTTTCAAGAGCAAGATGCCTTCCACGGGAGGCAAATAGCCTGTCTCGTGCTTGTGGTCTTATGAATCTTCGTCGTCTTCGTCGCCCCGGAGAAACTATATAACAGAAAGAAAAATCGTTCATTTAGTATCCCACATGCCTTCTAGATACTGGTAGAAAATACAATTAGTCTCTTTTGGTTTTACTTTTAACAGATCATTTCATTAAAATCACAAAAACTGTTAAGCTACTTATGAACTTGGGAAATTGGATACATTGCAGACAATGCAAATAAGTCTTAGATTATTTCATTTGTAAGAACTTTTTCATCTTTCTGTTGAACTATAGCATAAATGATTTTAACCAGAGTAAAACTATTGATACGGGGCACGTAAATACGTCAGATCCCCCTGAAAGAAGGTAGAAACAAACAAATAAGTGTATTATTGATGGGAAAATAATAAAACATTTGGGTGGTGTGAGCATTGACTTATGTCTAGAGATCCCTTCTGGGCTCTCTAGACTGCGAACTGCGACTGTTTTTTAAGTTTTGTATGTTTAGTAGCAGTAATTGTATAAAACTGAACTTAAGATACTCACAAGCGTAAATCCCATACCTGCGGCATGGTTTCGTGTCAATATTGAGGTTTGATAGGTATATTAAACCAGCATCCTGTTTTGATAAAAGCAAATCATGAGAAACGTCATTACTGTGAATTCTTTCATAACAGAACCATTCGAAATGCCTTTCCAGTTCTGTTGGGCCCGATGGGGTGTTCTGTTAGGCCCAATGGGGTGTTCTGTTAGGCCCAATGGGGTGTTCTGTTAGGCCCGATGGGGTGTTCTGTTAGGCCCAATATTATCCTGGTCTTTCAATTTCGCCCTAGGGCCTGCAAAACCCCTTGGCGGTCTTGAATGTCAATATGAAATGTCAGATAACATCAAAAAGGTGACAAACTGGGTATTAAACTGAGCCAGATATTAAACTGAGCCAGTAGAAAGGGAGTGTTATGTTAATGATCTCAGCATGTTTCATATTCCAAGCAGATCTTTCTAATTTCAAATCAGGTACTGAATAATAAATTGAGGATAATTACAGAGAACGCCTTCGTTCCGTCGACATATTTTGAGCCGCCGCGAGGGCGGAACCTAAACGAATACCACGGGTGTGTTCCAACACATGTTGATAGGCTCCGAATGTCAGTTACATCAAGCTTTTCAACCACGTTCATAACCTGTAGGATTTTGAATTAAAATGACGATTATGACTATGATGATTATTATTACATGAGCTGTGACCAGCATTATACAACAAAATTAAGCATTTCCTAAGATTTCAACTGTGTATTTCAGTTGGAAAATACTCCTCGCGCATGCCTACTATGCTTCAATATACCTTGTGACGACCGACAGGATAAAAGTCTAAATTATACGGTGTATGTTTGCGAGTTGCGTATCTTTTTCACAAACTTCTTCCACGAAAAATAAAATTTGATCAAAAAATAAACCTTTCCAAAGGGTAACCTCTTTAAATCTGCTCTTGATTTAATACGTTTATTAATAGAAAATGATAAAAATTACAGCTATTAAAGGAATAGGTTTTCAGATCCAGCTAGAACTGAGATGAGATCGCCCGTGACCATGCACGTGAGCATCAACTTACACTGTTAGGCCTAAGATCATTGCTTTGCCCGAGGAGATGCACACTTTTGTCGACTGCAGATAGCGCAAATCTGGAGCCAGGGGCTGCCTGCAGTGTTATGCTGACATTACTCGCTGGCTTTACTTCACTTTCTGAAAAGCTCAGCATAACCTTCAAAGAAAAATATTAAGAGTTAAACAAGAAATGAAAACAGCTTCTTGCTTTTATAGAATTTTCAGACTAAGAACTTTTTGGTCTTACTTCTGCTTTGTGAAACTTTGCGAAAATTCAGCCAAAGCAGCTTTTATCTCAAATTTAACGATAATCGCTTAAACAATGTTCTCTTCTTGTATAGTACGCAGAGCAAAAATGAATGGAAATTTTTGCTAATGTCAATGCCTTCGTAAAATAGCTTTTCTGTCAAACATTGAATGAAACAAGGAATTTTTGTGAATCGTAAACGACCTTTCTAAGCTACCCTTCAGGTCATTGGCACCATAAAAATGCAACATACGTATTCTTGTAATGCGAGTCCCTCTTTTATGAACTATTAGTGGCATTTAGAATACAAAGAAAAGTAAAGGACCAGGACAATACGCCGTGGCCTAACGTGTCAAAACAAACCTCGTTTTCGAATTTTGCTTCAACAGGCAACACGATACTGTCAGACACAAATTCTCCGTCACTCCTCACAAAGAAGACAAGCATGCGACATTTTGGCACCATTGTTTGCGTCACAAACAAAGGTATCTGCGCACTCGCGATTTCCATGTCTGTATTTTGATGCACCACTGAACCACTGTGCTCGATGTTACCACGACACGCGAGCTACAGATGAAATAAATGCTTTATCAAAACCCTTTTGCAAAAAGCAGTTAATGATCAAATATTGTGGTTTACAAAGAAGTCTAGTGGATAAAAAATTGACTGCCAGAGCTAGCTGTGAACTCTTATTTTCCATGGCTATCTCCATGGAAATACTTGTATATTCTCCATTGACGGACATCTTCTAAAAAATGCCAACAACGATCACATCCAATAAACGGGCAAATTCTTTGCCACAAATGGCTTTGTCACAAATGTTTTTACTTCAATTCAAGTCTTGTAGCCGTGACTTCCAAAAAAGAACAACTCCCTAGAGCGGACACTGCTTGATGGTAATAGTTGGCTACTCTGTAAACATTTTTTAAATTGAGCACGAGTTTTAAAAGTAAAGTAAAGTAATATTCAGCGCTTCCAGCAACAAAATGATCGCACTAAGTAATTGAAACAAAGAGACATTTCTTTCAACTTAGCATTAATTTCCGAACAAACAACTTTAAGGTTGAGGACAGCAGAAATTTGTTTGATAAAATCCTCATTCAGAACAAGTCGAAAAAACGTTAAATGACTTGATCATTTCCATATGATTTTTTGGATTGCAGTACTCCAAATTGTAGATGAAGTTACGGAGAACCAAAAAATTGATTCAAATTCCTGTTATTTATGATGAATTTCAAATATTAACCTACTACATGCTTTTAAGTATACGCACTACATAACACTACAATTAAAAATATTCCATAGTGCATGACTTTTCCAGTTAAGATTTTCTCTTTGGATGGCGAAGTACACACAAACGCAATACAAGGACATCCGGAATATACGAGGGATATTAAGGATAATTCTTTAACCTACCTTGAAGTACAACATGTTGTCAGACATACTTTTTGGATTAAACTTCACGTTGATCATGCTTGGTTCTCCAACCTGAAGGAATGCACTTGTATACCTCAATTTTCTCTCAATAGATTAAATGTGTCGTAAGATGGATAAGCAACAAAGAAAATATAAATCCATTATACTACAATAAAACATCTCAACAACCTCATTTTCGATTACAATCGGACATCTACAACAGAAGCCCAGCTCCCATGCTTGATAAACAAACCTCAATATATTTTTGTTAAATCTAAGAGAGCATTAAAGAACTTCAGAGACAAATTGTAGAAATGTCCTTATAAATTGCCTAAATGTGTTACAGATTTCACAATTATGAATTACTATGCTTCGTGAAAAATTACATCATATGACGGCTTAAGAGACGGCAAAGAGCTTACGCGAAGAGACTCTTTTGGCTTCTCAATAACAAGGTATGTTTTACTCGGAGAATACCACGACTTCGCATTGTGATATACGGATGTTATTCTCTCCCAGCTCGAAAGAAGTTTTGTCTCTGACACGTGACTAGCCTGAAAAAGAGACCAGATTGTTCAACATGAAAAAATCTAGCGAGGTGTAGTGGGTGGCTGTATCTTAGCTAGCAAAATTGTAACCAGATACATTTGGAAGTGTGCTAATAATTCTAAATCTTAAGTTTTTATGTTCAGGAGGAAAAAGTAGATGTAGTTTACTTCAGGGGGAAAGTGGTTTAAAGAGTCTCGTGAAATGGTTAAAAAGCGCTAAAAAAAGGAATGGTTAAAATAGGGTGACACTGGGACGAAAATGAGCTAAAAAGTTAACGTGAACTTGGTGAAATGGTAAAACTGACGTTGTTAGAATACTTTCAATGAGAGAATGGATATAGAGATTCATATCAGATCCAGCACATGAGACTTATTATTCTAAGATGGCAGCAGAATCTACATGCAAGGCACCATTCCTTATAAATGAATACATGAAAACCTCTATTATCGCTAACGCCAATACAATTTATGCAACGCAAATACAAATACTGCAATATTCATGTCTTACAGCTGTTTTTCTTAGAAACTGACTTAGCAACTACCTCTAGGCGTATATTTTCTGCATCCAAGGGTGGAATTAAAACGAAATCTATAACACCATTTACGGCTGTCTGTCTCGTGTTTATTAGGGTTTTTGTACGACAGCATGTTGCTTTAAGATTTATTTCTTTGTTGAGAGCTGGTCTACCATCGGGATATGTAATCAAGACCTGCAAATCAAAAGAGAATAATTTATTACTTCACAAATGCAAAACCATCTGAAAACATATCATTATGATTATGTCTATCATTATTTAAGTTCAAATTGTAATTCGAACCAAACTGACGCCATTTATTACCAATTCAAACACAAAGCTAGCTGTCTGCACACCCACTGTTCATTACTTCAAACTTTCACAGCTCAAATAAAGTTCTTTCTGATTTTTACCAGCAAGATTCGAGGGCCTTAAATTGTTGTAAAGAAATTTGACAATAAGCTGGTTCCTAACTAAAATGTTTTGAATGATTTGATTAGCAATATGACGAAACTGTCACGTCCTTCATTTCATCTGGGTTTCCTAGTTTAACCAAAAAATTTTTCAAATGCATTATTGTAGAGTTATTTAGCAAGTTCACAGGATAACAGGATGGCAGAAACCTGAAGTCACTTTGTACATTTTGCTGGCAACCTTATACCTGATTTTTTTATGCCAATTTATTGCAATTAAGTACGTCTCTGGACTGTGTGAAGATTAAACACGTGACGCTTCTATCTGTTTCTCACCTTTCCTTTAAATGGGAAACCTGGCTTAAACTCACTAACACCAGAAAATTTCAAAGAAAATTCACTGTACGTGAGCTGTAACTCTTTTGTGGCATTCAAGGTTGTGCCCGTTGAGCTTTCAGTTACTGAGGCATTTACAAGCAAAGCTGTCTTCCATTTTTGTGTCTGGATCATCGATACGTCAAAATCCACACAGCCACTGATCTGAAAATGAAAGATTAAACAAAAACTATGCCTCGTTAAATTAGCATACAACAAATGTGACACGCTGCTAATACACAGTAAGAGCCATTGAATTGAGAAGAGAGGGAAGTATAACTATTGCGTACGAGTTTCCAAACAGCGTAAATTTTCCAAACAATTTTTTGGAACAATAGGATTTCTTAGGATAATTCTCGTAAACAAAAATATTTTTTCAAAGGCGTGCAAGATTTTCATGGAGTGATATGCCTTTGTTACAATTTCTCAGCACGGTTAAGATTATTTTACATAAATTGGAATGTCAATCGGGGACTGCGATGTAGTAGGATTATATGTCATTAATTATTAATTATGCTAACCTCGTTTTCGTTTGTATATAACGCTCAGTGTATATAACCTTGACACGATTCGCTCCCTTTCTGTATTCACTCTCAAACCAATTCGTTAACTACTCAAAGTGAAAAAGGATTTCTAGGAAGTTTAATCCCTGTTTCAGCAAAAGCAGGGGGGCTATGGGGGCCTTAGCTTCCCAAAAATTTCCAAAATATACTTAAAACCATACAAAAAGGTCCTGCTCTTGGCTTTTTAGCATGTTTAGCCACCCCAAAAACGTTCTAGCTCCCTCAATCTGTAATATGCTCCGCGGCCTTTAGTTCGATGGGGACTGACTACATGCAGATATGATTGCTTCTATTCAACAAAACCTTAGGACGCCTAGGGCTTTGAAACTGTAAATCTGATTTTACAGAGGAACCAAGAAAACAGGTCTGATGCGATATTTCGTCTGATTTTAAAAGCAATCGACCGATACAAGGGTGATTTAGGCCATCTTCCAACCAACAAATGGCCAATCAATAAATGTAACTAAATAAACTCAGATGATAGTCTTGATAAATGTGCAAAACACATTTTATTGCACGTTCACAAGCCCATGACAAAAATGTATGACATAGACGTCCTTGTTCGTTCATGGATATGTGATTTTCAAGAATTAAGGTTTTGTGTATTAAAAAATTCAGATTTTGCTCCAATAAAGAAAAGAATCATTAAACAAATTTCTTTTCATGAAAATTTAACAGGATTCGAAGAAAGCTAGGAACCTAAAACAGTGAAATTGATAACAGAAATATGTCATGAGCTGTAACTGGGGTATGAACGATACCTTTTTACTTATGACAACACATTGCTGCTTTTGCCTACTGTTTCGCCAGCCATACTTGTAGCAAAATCTAGTAGTGACCTTGCCTTCTACTTTCTTGCCGTAAGTATACCTAGGATAAATACGTTTGTATCAAGAGATTGAGCAAAATAATTATATCTATGAGATCATTTACAATCAAACACGAGATTCAATGATCGCAGTTAGAAATTCTCGGCGTTAAAGTTTGTATAATCATAAGATAGCATTTTTCTAAGCTAAGAATGAAGTAAAACATATATGGCTGTGAAAAGTGATCTTTTTAAGACAAACTTGAGTTTTTCGTTTGACACATTACATAGTATGAAACGTCAGGATAATAACAAGGTAGAAAAAAATAAACCCAGTTGTCCCATCATTGTTCAAAGAATCACCTACACATCTAAACGTCTGTCAAATATCACTACACCAGTGATTAAAATTATTTAACTTTATTCTTATAATTTGACTGCAGAGGACATAATTAGAACTTTCATACATTTCTACATGCATGGAATTTTCTATGTGCAGCTGGTGCAAATATGGTAAAGGAGCAAATGGGTTGAAAATAAGCTTTCTGCTGATTGTTTTGCACTTGGTACTTACTTTGCACAGATTCTTGCTGAAAATTTGGAGATACTACGATGAAGGTAGGTGGGTTCTTCTACCGTAACCTCGAACTTTGGCAAAACTGAAATTATAAACTAAATACAGATATTTGATTCTACTCTAGTTTGCAAAGAAAGGAAAAGCAAAAATTCTAAAGAATATTTTCTTACTGAAGCAAAAAAGAGACTTTTAATTTGATCCATAAAGAGAAGAACCTAAATTTTAATTCCAATTTACATTTTATCGAATTTAAACTATTTTAATCTTTACTTTTCATATAGCAACTTTTGAATCGTGTAGTATTTAACGACCAAATGAAGAGCCACCCTGTGGAGATACTGGTCATGATCCATTATTATTATTATTATTATTATTATTATTATTATTATTATTATTTTTATTATTAATTTCATTGAACATGAGATCCAGAAAGGGTTCACTCCTAACATCTCTGGAGTGCTGGAACATACTTCACTGATGGCCCATATTATCAATAAAGCACGCATAAAGCAACGCTCTGTGGTTGTCACTCTTTTGGATTTAAAGAACGCATTTGGAGAGGTCCATCATAACTCATCATTAAAGCTATGGACTATCATCACATCCCTGCTCACTTTCAAGATCTTGTGTCTAATCTTTATACTGATTTCCACACTTCAATTATAACAGATAATTTCAGGTCTCCGGCCATTCCAGTCAAAAGAGGAGTACTGCAAGGGGACTGCCTCAGCCCTCTCATTTTCAATTTATGTTTCAACACCTTTATTCAGCTGGTAAAACAAGACAAATATAAACAACTTGGATTTTCTCCTCATGACGGCAATGATCGCTTGTTTAACCCGGTTCACTGGTTTCAATTCGCTGATGATGCTGCAGTTGTCACAAGTGATGAACGCGAAAATCAATTATTGCTAAACTGTTTTACAAGATGGTGCCAATGGGCAAATATGATCATCCGCGTAGACAAGTGCATCACCTTTGGAATTAAAAAGTTTGCAACTAAATCTGCACAGTTTCAGCCTAAACTCTTCATTAACAACGATCCTGTCCCTTTTGTGAAACATGGCGAATCTTTCAAATACTTGGGTCGTTTCTTCAATTATGATATGAAGAACCAGGAACACAAGGATCACTTGACCTCTTCTCTCCGTGAGATGCTCAAAGTTATCGATTCCTTGAAAATTCACCCGCGGAACAAAATTCTACTGTTTAATCAATACATCCTTTCAAAGCTCTCTTGGGATCTCACAGTTGCTAATCTCTCCAAAACGTGGGTTTGCGAAAACTTAGATCAGCTTGTCACAAAATTCGTTCGACAGTGGCTCGAGCTTCCAATATCTTCGACATTGAGTGGCATAGTTCTTTCTCGTAAACACTTTGGTCTTGAGCTTCTGCTTCCTTCCGTAAAGTTTCAACAGTGCCAGACTGTTCTTCGAAACTCACTCAAATCTTCGCCCAACGAAAACATCAAATCCCTATGGATGAACACCAATTATGGACCTAATATACAGTTCGACGCATACAAGAACACTAAGGCGGTACTGAAATGTGTAAGGGATGAACACACTGAAAAGCTCAAAACTCAGTTAACATCTCAAGGCTTCATCATTTCATTCCTGCTTGAGCATTCATATACAAAGTTAACCTCACTCTGGTCTGCAGCTCAAAGTAAACTTCCAAAAAACATCTTCAACTTTACGATAAGGTATCTCAACAACACACTTGCCACAAGGAACAACCTCTGCTTATGGAACATTAGCTCTTCTCCAGATTGCTCATTCTGCCTTCAGCCTGAATCACTTCTTCATGTCGTAGCTGGATGTAACAAATACCTTGAGCAAGGGCGTTTTACTTGGAGGCACGACTCTGCCCTGCACTTCATTGCATCGTCATTTCAATGTATCCGAGATGTATTCATTTATGCTGACATTCCCGCTTATTTATCACCATGTATCATAACTGGCGATTCGTTCCGTCCCGACATGCTAATCAAAACTGCTTCTAACTGTCTGTATGTCATCGAATTAACTGTTGGGTTCGAGACTAACCTGGACAATAACGCTTCGCGTAAAGCTGAGAAGTACCGTTCCCTTCTAAAGGAACTACGCCCTAAGTTCAAAAAAGTAAACTTTGTTAATCTATCTATCAGCTGTCTCGGTATCTTTGGTAACTCCTGTGATTCTTTCATCGATATGTGTGATGAACTAAAACTTGACTACCAACACCGTAATTTTATAATTAAAAAACTGTCAGCAATAATTATACGCACATCCTATTATATATTCTGTATGCGCAATAAGACTTGGACAAACCCTGAACTGCTCTCCTTCTAAAGATTCTTTGCACTCATATGATTTATTTAAATGTTACAACTTTTGTAAAATTAGTAAACTTGTCACCAGGCTAGCCGATAGTAACTACCTGTAAAGTGAGGTTACTGTTGTAAGTAGAAGAATATAAAATAAAAAATGTTTTCATTATTATTATTATTATTATTATTATTAATTTTCCGTGTTATATGGCTTTCCGGAGATATTCCAAATGAATGGAAAAAGGCATGCACTATCTTAATCCACAAAAAGTATAGCGTGGAAGATCCATCTAATTTCAGGCCCATAACACTTGAGTCAGTACCACTAAAAATATTTACTTCTTGCTTGCGTGACTTCATGTTTGATTTTCTTAAAATAAATGGCTATATTGAACATCAAATTCAAAAAGGCTTCACGTCTAACATCTCTGGCACTCTTGAACATACTTCAATGATGGCTCACATTATCGACAAAGCACGTACAAAACAGCGCTCGCTGGTTGTCACTCTTCTTGATCTCAAAAATGCCTTTGGCGAAGTACATCATAATTTGATACCCACTATACTGTCTTATCATCATATCCCTGACAACATACAGCTTCTTATCTCTAGCCTTTACACCGATTTTAAAACCTCTATCATCACAAGCCACTATAATACTCCTGCTATTCCAGTCCGTCGTGGTGTGCTTCAAGGCGACTGCCTCAGCACCCTACTATTTAATCTATGCTTCAACACATTCATACAGTACATAAAAGCTGAAAAATACAAACAGTTAGGGTTTTCCCTACCTGATCAGAACGACCGTATGTTTCAACCAGTCCATTGGTTTCAATTCGCTGACGACGCTGCCGTTATCACCAGCAATGAGAAAGAAAACCAACTTCTACTGAATTGTTTCACTCGCTGGTGCCAATGGGCTAACATGATCATACGTGTCGATAAATGCATCACTTTTGGAATAAAGAAATTTTCCACACGTTCTCTTCAGTATCAACCCAAGCTTTTCATAAACAACAAACCTATCCCATCCGTCTCGAATGGAAACTCTTTCAAGTACCTCGGTCGTCATTTTGACTTTGAAATGACAAACCAAGAACATAAATCTGACCTTTTATCATCACTGTCAAACATGCTTAAACAAATCGATTCCCAGCCTCTTCATGCAAAAAATAAGCTACGTCTTTATCACAACTTCGTTCTTTCTAAAATTTCCTGGAACCTTACTGTAGCAGATCTTTCAAAGACGTGGGTTGTCGAGAATCTTGACAACCTTGTATCCAAATACATCCGCCAGTGGCTCGACCTCCCAATAAGTGCTACCTTGAGTAGCATTATTCTTTCTAAAAACCAGTTTGGACTCAGCCTAACTTTACCATCCACCAAATTCCTACAGTGTCAAACAGTTTTACGAAACGCATTGAAATCTTCACCAAACGATAACATTCGCTCTTTATGGAAAAATACCAGCAGTGACACAAATATACAATATGATATATATAGGAACACCAAAGAAGCATTAAAGGCTGTCCAGCATGAGCATAAAGATCGTCTGCAAAACATCCTAACCTCCCAAGGATCTTTATTATCACATCTCTTTAACCAGAATCTTCCACAAATTAACAAACTTTGGTCCAAGGTGCAAAGTAGCATGCCTCAGAATATTTTCAATTTTACGATAAGGTATCTGAACAATACCCTTTCCACACAGAAAAACCTGAAAAAATGGAACTTGAGCCAGACCTCTGACTGTTCTTTCTGTTTTCTGCCAGAAACCCTCCTTCATGTTGTTGCTGGCTGCAAAACATATCTGGAACAAGGCCGATACACCTGGCGACATAACTCTATCCTAAACTTTCTAGCTACGTCACTAAAAGCTGTCAATGAATCTACCATCTACGCTGATATACCTGGCTTTCTTTCACCATCAATCATAACTGGAGAAAACCTTCGCCCTGATCTTCTCTTGAGGACTAACAACAATTACCTCTACATTTTAGAGCTAACTCTTGGCTTCGAATCCAATCTTGAGACAAATGCTACAAGAAAACAAAGCAAGTATGCTCCTCTCTTATCTGGTTTACAGCGGCAGTTCAAATGTGTCTTCTTTGTTAATCTTTCTATGAGCTCTCTTGGCATCTTCGGCAATTCCTGCAATTCATTCTGCAAAATGTGTGACTCTCCATCGATCAGCAACAAAAACAGTATCTCATTTCTAAACTTTCCAACATTGCCATCCGTACTACGTACTACATATTTTGTTGCAAAAATAAGCCATGGACAAATCCGGAATTACATCCTTTTTAACTTTAGTTGTTTTATTTCATTTTTCTCAGTTTTTCCTTTTACCTTACGATTGTTATAGTTTTTTCTTGTAAAACCAGGCTAGCCAATTGCAAATTACCTTGTAATAGTGAGATTTGTAATTGTAGTTTTAATTGAATTGAAAATGAAAAGTTTCCATTTTTATTATTATTATTAAAAACTGTCAGCAATAATTATACGCACATCCTATTATATATTCTGTATGCGCAATAAGACTTGGACAAACCCTGAACTGCTCTCCTTCTAAAGATTCTTTGCACTCATTTGATTTTATTTAAATGTTATAACTTTTGTAAAATTAGTAAACTTGTCACCAGGCTAGCCGATAGTAACTACCTGTAAAGTGAGGTTACTGTTGTAAGTAGAAGAATATAAAATAAAAAATGTTTTCATTATTATTAAAAATTCAAAAGTACATAACTGACACAGGACAGAAAGAACTGGCGTGGCATTGTGAGACGCGTCGTGCAGTATTAACTGTGTGTGACGTCTTAGTAGTAGTTAGTAGAAGTAGTACATAACTATTAACTGCTTTGTTTGCTTATTCCTGATTCAATAAGACTAAAACGTTTGATGTAGATAAAATGCTTCTGAAAGATCTCTGCACAAAATTTAGTGTAAGAACGATACATTTTGAGAGCTTGTCATGGAGTTTAATGCAACAACAGCCACGCCTACAACTAGGGGATGGAACTGAAATATGGTTCGCTGCTTACATGCTTTTCACATGCAACATTCATTCATATGACTTTACTTAAACTGCACGATTATGTATTTGAAAAAATCACTCAACCCAACAAACAGAGCTCATAACTGCTTGAAAGAGGTCGGGGACCTACAAAATGTTTTGCTTTTCAAAGTGAAACGAAACATAAAAAGCTTTGAAAACGAGCTATTTTTATGGGCTTACTCAAGGAGTTTCTGTGTAACTATGATAGAATGTCATCCATGTCATTTGCAATAAATCTAAAAACAACACATGGACTTACCGTATTTATCCACTTTGATGATGACCTCTTTCTTGTTTCCCTTTATAAAAGAAAAACCCAACTTTTACACTTTGCTCGCACCAAATGCATTTTTGTTTCAAGGCTTATAAAACTGATATGAGCATCCATAGAATCTCGACCCTTGTTCAGAATGCTCACATTGCTTAGTCCTATCGGTAAGAAATCGTATCAAGTACCAATAGATACGAGTATTTTTTATAAGCATTTTTATACCTATGCTAGATTTTAACAAAAGTCTTGAATTGACATTAGAAATACTCATTATTCTTTCGTAAAATAGGTTGAATATATTATATATTTTTAACTGATTATTAAAGCAGTTCTTTAAAAAAGTAATTCCAAATATTTTTTGCTCCAAATGAGAACTTCAACTTCTTTTTTATCCAATCTGCCAGATACAGGCATCTATCTAGTTCATTTTTTTTCTAGCTATTTTTGGATACAAATCTTTTTGTCATAAGATATAATCGGTGTGTCAAAAAAACTCCCCTTTAACGCTTTTAAAGTTTTGAATAAGCCCCCTCTCGAATAAGCCTCTTCTTAAATGAGCTCCCTTTTGAAAAAACCCTATTCTATAGAATCAAATTCTGAATAAGGCCCCTGGGGTAAGTTTTTCTTAATTTCATATTGAAATGAGCTTCTGAATATCGAAACTTATTATTTCATAAAAGAAAATTCATCCAAGTTCCATAAATACACAAGACTACTTCTTTGACATAATCATAACATAATTTACAATGGCTGTTTGCAAAGTCAATCGATTTGAAAAATGCTGTCCAAAGAGTACCTGATACTTTGCTGTTATTTTCCAATTCCCAAGTACAGGTTTCTTTGAAATGCTGAAATCGAGGCTAACAAAGCCTAGAACATAAAACAATTTATGTCAAGGCAAAGGGAAAAGTATAAAGGAAAATCCTCTTAATGTTGAGCTCTGCTCTTCTTTAACATTCACTTACTTTGCTCCTTATTAACATATACTAAACACTCACCTTCATCTAAATCTTTCTCTTTCCATTGCAAAATTCTGCTTCCACTGGGATTCTGTATGAAAAAGTGTTTATGGGAAAATATCACTAATTTGTGGAGCTAATTTTCTTTCAAGAAACATAGTGAACCTCTAAGAAAAATATTTTGAAACAAAGCCTTTGATGATAAAGAATGATTTATCTTGAAATCGAGGAAACATTTTGCATTCAAAAAACAGAGGCATCAGGTCTTCTTTAGATGTGGGTAAAATGTTTGGTATGACACGAACAGCACATAACTTACCAAGATAGCAATCTCATCGACCTAAAAAAAATCAAAACAAAATTATGAGTTAACTTCAAAATTTGTCAACAGTTAATTTACCAGCCAGGAAAGAATGTGAACTCTATTGAAAAGTATGCAAAAGTATGGACTTTATGAATGATGGAATGAAAATACCGTTATCATTGGGGGAAAACAACAAAAATGACATACTTTAGCTCGGAAACTAGCATTGTTGGAATAAAAGATCAATGATATTTTCAAAGTATATTTGCGCAAAATATAGAGTGATTCTGGTATCCAGGGTAGGTTAGTACATGCTTTGTATTTTTCTAAGAACTAAAAAGCTCTGTCATCGAAAAATTGTGATATACTTCTCAATCATCAATACGTCAGTTCATTTTGCTACAAGGGCATCTGGGATATTCAGCTTGAGAGCTCGATCCCGGTTCATTCATTCTTTGAATCTTTTGTCTTCTTTAAACATTAATATACTTGCCTTTCCAGCAGCTGGTTTCAATTGCGGCGTCACAACGATAACACGAAACCGAACTATGGAAAAAACAGCAGGGATGTAGACAGAAATCTACAGTCAAATGATAAAAGACGTTTAATACTAGCGAATCAAATGGGCAGAACAGAAATCAAAGACGTCTTGGAAATAACTCAACAAATCCGGATAGACAGAAGGCAAGGTTACGTAAGGTTCAATAAGAAAGTGAGTATTTATGTCAATATGACATTAGATACGCTATTCACTATTGAAAAACGTAGATGCTTATAGGATGTTGGATACCTTTATCACCAGGTTTGTAGGCCGGTTTATCAGTTTGGATGAACAACGACTCACTACTCCGTTCAATCGTTATATCCCTACTCTTCTTGAAATTCACATCACCAGAGCCTGTCACTACCAGTTTGTACTGTCCAGCTTTTACGTCAGAAGGCAACTATAGCAGAATACAATAAGCTTAACAATATCAAATTCACTGCTTATGTCAGTTACGTTTTATGCTTCATAGTTGTGTCTAAGGCAGTGCGTTTAATCTTGGTATCATTTTGCAATCGTACGGTTTTATTAAAACAATCTATAACAACAATGAAGACTTTCCTTGTTTAATTATCTGTAAAAGCATTTGGAAACTTACAATGCTAGGCTTTCAGGTAGTTCGATGAAGATTTTTGAAAATAAGATGTTTGTTCAATAAAATGTTGTTAAGATGCTGTGCTCCCCAGGCAAAATAAGATTTTTAGGCCAAAGTGGAAAGAAATGTAGTAAATCATTCTGTAAGTAACTGTGCCTAGTATTCCCTTAAATATGCCCTTTGCTTGCTCTAGCTTGGTTGCTACGTCTCTACCAAAGAGGTCCTATATAAAATTGAATATGGGAATTTGATTGAAGAAATTTCCTTTTTTTATATGACCTAAATTTGGCCCGCAAGGTCTATTTTTAACGAAACATTTCTCAGAAACATTACAAAAAGAGATAAAATCGGCTGTTGAAGGAAAGAAACAGCTGGATAGAAAATTTTGAAGGTGTGAGAAATAAAGTAAGGGCAGATTTGTTCTTTAAAAGTATCATCAAGAAAACTTCAAAGTTTGATTGTATCGGTAATCCATTCCTACTAAGAAAGAGGAAATTAAATTTCACGTTACGGAATGATATCCATACTGTACAAAATTCCTTAATCGTTTATTTTTAGTTGGTAGTTCTTTTGTTGATCCATTTTAGATACAGTCTCAGATCATCCCTAAGATACCATAACTCTAAAAGTTTCTTGCTGCCAAGCAGGCCTAGGCCCTTTCAAGGATTTGATATTTTGGCCCCTCCTTCAAATATGCTTTTCCTGTCCTGATAATTCCCTGATGATAACTGTATACAGCCATATAACTTAAATTATTCCAGTAGATTTAACTTTAAAGGCTATTGTCAGCGGCATGGCTGATTGAAATTGGAAAAGGAAACCATTTTCTTCCAAGCAGGGGTTAGAATTGAATGAATAAAGACAAACACTGTGAAAAGAAAAACTAACCTTTAAAATTATGTCCTTTGGTTTGCCTTGAAAAGAAACAAGATTTCATTAAGTAGTCCTATATACTAACTAAAGAAATATATTTATAGCCAAGTTGGATTTGAATTAAAACTGATTTCACTGGAAAGAAGTTCTTCTTTTAGGGACATAGGCGTAGAAGACAAAAGGGCAAGGAGGGCTGCAGTCTTCTGAATCAGGCAAAAATTATCTTATTTAAGGCTTGGGCAGTTCTATTATCGACAAAGCAATGATATTCGGACAAGATCCAAACTTAGGCCCTCTAGACGCATCTGCTACGCCCATGTTTAGGAAGAAAACTACATGGATACAGCCATGTGCGATCAAGTAAGCGAGGCATAGGTATTACAATCCGAGATGCTAGTACCAATGAAACGCAGGGCAAACGCACATCTATCGCTGTCAAGGCTAGAGGTTTGTGCCAATACAATTTCTTTAGCAATTCATTTCATTAAATGAAATCTTACAAAATTCTCAGGAGAATGTCAGATGGTTTGTTTTTACATTGTCCATAATGTTACAAAAAAACGATTTTGTGAAGAATGTATAGAATAAAGGAAGATTTTGTTGTTATTATTTCCATCATCAGGGAAACGTTTCCCTTTGAAGTCATGTGTTTCCTAGAAAATGGTTAATTGTCTAAAGGAGTCAGTACTAATGACAATAACAGGACATTACCTGAATCTTCGGGCTGGAAAATTGTAATTTTCGACAACTTTAATTCATCGTTTAACTTTATATTTGTAACCAAGATTGCTCTTTGCTCCAAACCGAACAACGTAGCAGACAGGACCACATTGTTTCCAGTTCTATATACAGCTGGTGAGACGATGAGGTACCTTGAAGGGGAAAATAAGTTAAGCTTTTGGTGAAGAGGAACGCAAAATGCGATGCGAATCGGTTGAACAATTTTAATCCCATTTTCGGTAAAAAAGCCCTTAAACTCTGATTTGGCATGGGACTATTCCTTTTTTAAGAAAGCCTTGTCTCACATGGCCATCAAAGTGTAGCCGCCATGTTTCTGGGCCCTCGTGAAAAGGAACTTAGGAAATCTACATAGTCCTGCTCTTCGAAAATGCCTTCTTTTCCCGTTTTCTCTTGAAAATAGGACGTTTCTTTAGCATATCATATTTTTATAATGTATTTATAACTGGGATTTTTTAAGAAATACGAAATGCACCGACTGAGAAAAAATTAAAAAGTATTGGTTAACACTAGGACAGAAATGCAATGCTACTATCACGTGACCTGAAATAATTTCTATATCTTCTAGAGATTGCTGCATTCACTGTTCTTCAGTTGGCCACACGTTATAATTTGTATCTCTAGTAGTAGTATTTTGGGGCTCACTTCGGAAGTATCATCCTAGGATAACAAGACACACCCAGCATTCCTTTCTCCACATTTTTAAACACCTCTAAAGGCGTAATCGTTTGTTTCTTGTCAACGTACTTCCTGTGCATGCAGACAGTAGATTCTACCACCCCACTGACCACTGCTGAGACTGACCACTGACCCTACTGATCCAGGGTTGCGGCACAGAATAGAAATGACGTCTTGGAAAACGTCATTTCTATTCTGTGGTGGTGGTATAGACTTTATAATCTCTAACCATGGTGCTTGGTTGAGAAGTTCGTTTAAAAATTTCAGTACTCATTCAAAAAACCTTTCATATTTGTCATGTTCTTTCAAGTGAAACTCATTCAACAAAGTTGCAAAACCCAGAACTATCTGTTTCCACTCTCTGGAACCACGGTTTCACCCAAACTGCTTTGATTTCACCTTTCTTTTTTGTCAGAAGCAACTTTTTTCGTTGGCCTATCCATGTCGAAAAGAATGAAAAGAAAAAGGGATCCTTTTTAAAAGATACGTATAAACAGCTTACCGTCATCCCTCTTTTCAGCCTTTAGGTGAAAATGGACGTAAAAAAGGACCGTGTATTAGATGATTCTAGGGGGCAATGCTCCCCCTGGAATTTTCGAAAATGATATTTGCTTAAATTTCCCTGGTGGCTATTTTGGTTGCTAAAATTGCTATGGTGGCTAAACTGCTCTGGTGGCAGTGGCGTAGATAGAAGGGGGTCAGAGGGGGCAAAAAAACCCTTGTATGGCTAAACTGCTATTTTGTGGGAAAACCTCTGGTCTTTGTCGGGAATTTAACACGATTGTCTATGTTTATCTAATTGCTATGTTTTGATAAACAAACATAAAAAACATAAGAATATCTGAATATATCAAAAACTTCATTTATTTCTGTTCCGATGTCGTTATGTTATGTTAAATCCATGAAAAAAATCATTGCCTGTTAGATTTTCCGACAAAAATCTAAGTTTCTCACCCCTCCTATGAATTTTCCTATCTAGGCCATTGTCTGGTGGCTATTACTTCTGTTAGCTGTTTGATACAATTTGAGCATAACTCTTATCTTAACACCATAATGCATAAAAATGAAAATTTCTTTAAAGTTTTAAAAGTCTTAGAAAGTGGAAAACGTTCAATTTGTTAACCAACTTTTATCACAACTGACACACTGTTGCAAACAGATCAAACAGAATCTGTTCAATACGCGTTGTTGTATGTTGCCTGTTGCAATCGCATTTTTCGGTAACATTCAGAAGCTTTTCAACTTCTTTAGCCCAAGCCCACAGAGATGAGAAATCATTAACAAAAATATATTTAACACTCAGGCAGTCAAAGACTCAAACTGCTTCTACCTTACTTCATTCATAGACTTTTGTCATTATTGTCTCTATTAATGACAGTTTGAGGTAATGGAGAGACTGGATTATTGCGCAGAAATTTTTTAAATCAGATTATTATTTATGGGCCCCTTTAGCCAAGGGCACGTGGGTCAGTTATCCCCCTGACCCCCCCCTCTCCTGAGCACTGCACTGATCTCATTGTTGGCCACAGCTAGTACAGTTCTTTAGCGAGGGTGTCACAAAACATATTTTAGAACTTTAAATTTGGAAAAGGTTACACCAAAGAGTGTCATGGAATACCTCTTGATGAGCAAAATCAGCCAAATGTGTTACAAATTGGCTGAGATATGACACAAGCAAAGGCCCTTCCTTTCCCCCGTCAAAATCACTGTAATTTAACTTGGGTGCTAACTTAATGAATCAAGCCAAAATAGAGGTTATTCATTAGCAGACCTAAAATCTATCTTTGTCCACGACTCACATAATTTTAACATAACCCGATAACTCGAAAGTCCGAGGGACCAATGAAATGGTTCGAGATATGCAACATCAGTTCGACTTGTTGTCCAGTTGGAGTACACAGTGCAATGCACTGAGAAATTCACTGATAGATGTAACCCGATATTTTGTAGCGAGATCTTAACTCTAAAGAAAAGTGTAATTGGCTATCTGTTTCGCTGAAAAGCCTTGAGAAACCTCTTGTAAATTTTCGCTGCTACTCTGCATGTTTGGGAAAGATAGCGCATGACAAAAATGGTTCTGATCAATTAGGGCAATGAGACAAGTGAGTTGTACATGTTTTAGATCTTTTAAAAACCTTACCTGCTTAGCTATAACTTAGACCTAAAATTTGGTTCATTTTATCTTTTGCAACTTGTCATATTAGGAGATATCGCGAGCAAATTGGTAAATTCGTCCAGATATCATGATGGAAGGGGGAAGCTGGTAAATTCCTTCAGGAATCATGATGGGGCGGAACAGGGACGCCGGGACGCCGGGTAGTCGGAACGTCGGGACGTCGGGACGCCGGGACGCCACCCAAGACCTTTTCTAGTTCCAGCCCTGGGGGGAGGGGGGCTCGGGCGAAAGACCCTTTCTTACATTTCAGCTATGAAAAGGACAAATCCATGAAATTGTTGTATGAAGCTGTGTAATAAAAGACACTGTCCAATGGGAATTCTTGCGGGAGAAGGGGCGAGCAAGGCCCGTGAATTCGTTTTAGATCACGCTTTTTTGCAAAACAAAAAACTCCCCTTGGAATAGTTTAGTGTTTTGCCGTTCTAAATACGAACGCTTTTTACAGTTGTTAATGCTGTTAATACCGATTTTATTTCGATCTTCTGTACGTATCTTGAACATTGGGTATCTTTTGGCATAAGGAATTTATTTACAAGCTTAGAGAAGCGTCGTCATGAATTAGGCACTAAAACCAGAATTTAGTATAAATCCATCTGATTATTAGAAATGGCTGGTTTCAAGGTCACTTAGATGTAAAGGGCACTCTGGCCCCCCTTGCCCATCCTATCAAAAGGCAACAGTTGGCCCTCTGCGCCCACTTTCCCGGCGTCCCTGAGAAACATTAAGCCAATTTTTAGAGTTAAAAGTAATTTGTTCAATTTATTCTTTTTGGAGAAACACAATAAGAGCTGGTTATATTATGTTTTAACTTTGAATGCACTTTTTAACGCTATTTCTTCTTATCTTGTGCACCTGAAACTGTACGTTCTTGAAAGTTACTTGAGATAGTAGACGGATTGATCTAGGATGAAACAGTTAAACAACCAAATTGTCTGTTAGTTAGGTCTCTGAAGGGCAGCAGAGCCAAAAAGAGACTCATTTAAATTCAAAATTTTCCCTAGAAGAAGGTGGGGCATGAGTCGGGACACCCTAAACAGAGACTGTCTTCGGAGTCCCACGAATGCTGTACCCTCCACACAAACAGCACTTAAGGGGCCCAAAGTGAGACTGTTCTAGGGATTATTGGGCCATGCACCCCAAGAAAATTTCAAGACGTCTTCTTTGCCTCTGCTGACCTTCTAGAGACCTCATAACCAGACAAGTCGGTCGTATCAAACTTTGTTCGAGTTTTCGGAGCCCTATACTATGAAAAAGTCAGCTGTCCCCTGTCAGGCCGCCACTGACTGTAAACATTTAATCTGGCTAGCGAGCGTGAAGATGGTTTAGGAAATTAAAAGAAGGGCTAAATTGATCTAAAATTCTCTTGATTGTATAACAGATTAAGCAAATGACATACAAACCTTTTGCCGGACTCTGCCAATGCTGGTAGAAGGAGCAAAATGGAAACACGTGCAATAAGCTTCCACGCATCCATGTTTACCACTCGATTCTGAATCGCTCTCCTTCTAAGTCCTGACTAAAATACTGTGATTTACGGAAGTACACTTAACAACTTCCTGTGGGTTATATGGAAGTAAAAAAGAAAATCTTCCGCATTTTCGGCAAATGATATTTTGTTATATTGAAAAAAATCCGGATAGTGCTGGATTATAAAGAAAATTTAGGAGAAGCTAGTGCAACAAAATAAAAGGATATCATACGGAGACAAATTAGCTGCCAGGGCAAGCTTTTGTTTATAGCAAAATAGAAAGTCGTTGGGGCTGGAAGGACAATCCCCCCCCCCCTCCTAGTTGGCATGTTATGAAAAGCCCTGCTTCACTACATTGAGGGTACACTGTCAGGGGCGGACTGGCTAATTTTTTTGGCCCGGGCAAATTTTGATCAAACCGGCCCACAATAATAGCAAATAAAAAACTCCTCGGAAAATACAAGTAAATGTTAGTCTGCAAGGAAAACAAGTTTTTAAATTCAGTAATTTTGTGCATGGTTGAATGCTTGCATAACATAACAAGTGAATAAGCATAACAGAATATGCTTAACAGAACATGATAAATATGTCATTTGTTGACTAAACAGTAAATAAACAAAAAATTTAACTCCTTGGTTTGACTTTGTTTCTAAATATAGTAACTTATATGTTGATAATGTGATCGTTCAGGATGTCATCTAACAGGTGTTTTTCTAAGAACATTAACATGAAGGACTCCAGGTTTGGCTGCGAAAAATTACTACGTAATCTGTTCTTTATATATTTAAAGCGGAAAAGCTTCTATCACACTCCACTTGTGACAAATAATTTTCTAATCCTCCGGAAAACCACAATGATTTTCAGCAGCCCAAAAAAATCGATTTGTCAATTTCTGACCCCAAAAAATAGGCACCCCTGTTGAAATTTTATCGTGTAGCACCATACCCCTGTGGGCGGGGGTGCATTTGACTTGTGATAGTATAGGCCTAAAAATAAACTTACAAAAACTTGTATGAGTTTATTGAAAGGAGCAAGAGCAAGACCCTGCTGTTTTTAGTGACGTTTGTGGCTTTTGCCTGATAAAAAAGCTTTGTATCGTAGCTGAATCCTTTTTTAAGACTCGCAGCTTTTCCTTCACAAAATTTCTGTGCATCACCTTTGGTTGAAGTCTTCTTGCTTTCCCTCGTTATACGCAGTGGCGTACCCAGGGCCGGAGAAGGGGGGGGTCTGGGGCGCAGCCCCCAGAAATTTTTTGGACCACGCCCTTCAAACACTCGCAAATGCAGAGAAACGCCCTTTTTGCAAAATTTTCCGCCATTATTTGATTCATGTTCGCTACAGTAAATAGGAAAGTATTTTACAATTGTTATTGACACAAGCATACAGTATACTACACCCCCACCTCGATGAGTTTTACATCGTTTTAGGACAAATCTCGAGGATCACATTTTAGATCACAAGTGGGGGGTTTGGACCCCCCTATTCCCCCCCTTGGGTACACCACTGGTTCTACGTATGTCCTCTTCATTGCTTCACATCACAGAGCGAATTGCTTAGTGAACTCTAATTTTTGGACTTTTAAATTTATTACATTTAGCAATAGCTTGTGCTTAGGGAAAAACATGACCAGCCTCAAGCAAAAGCTAAATAAAAAGACATGGTTAAAATCTTATGTATCGCATTGAAACAGGGGTGTTACAGTATAATATGTTGCCAAAAAGGAAATACCGTCAAGAGAAAATATAAAAATTTTCAATAACATTTTTTCTGAAGAAGTGTGTTTGGGCTGCGGTGACAAAAAGAAACTCGCGTGTATATTTATCCTTTCCCACAAAGTCTCTGAAAAATCAAGGCAAACAGATCAACGTGTGGGTATACTTTTTGCCTCGCATTCACTTTTTAAGCTAATTTATTTTTTGCACTTTTATCAACCGGCCCTTAAACAGACCGGCCCTTCGGGCGATCGCCCGAATAGCCCGACCAGCCAGTCCGCCCCTGTACACTGTAATAAAGTATAATAAAGGGAAAATTAGGCACCCTTCTGGTTAAGCAATTACCCAACTCCTAGCTCCATCCTATTGTATCTAATGTAACCAAAAAGTTTTTTTTTGAAAAATTTGCTTTGCTTTAGGCACCGCGGAGCAAGGGGGCTTGGGGGCTTTAGTCATCCCCCCCCCACTTTTCGCCAAAAAATTCAAACACTAAGTAATAAACTACTAGTAAAGTCTCTTTTTATAAGGTTTTAGCCCTCCCTCCACTTTTTTTAGGCCCCTCACTTTTCTCAACGCTCCGCGGTGCCTGTGCTTACAGTAAGGCTTAACACTTCATGATCGCAAAAACTAAATAATTTTGACGAGAATGGATAGAAGGCGGTATAGTGTAAGGGTGGACACAGAGAAGAGTTGATTTCAACGTGCATAGCCTTAAAGTTTGTGCATTGACAGAACTACAATTGAGAGATTTGGTCCTGGAAAATAAAGATTGCAGCAAGCACCTTTTAGACATGAAAATCCTATATAGCGGCATTACAATATTAAAAACGAGAACAGAACAGGACAGTGCCGTCAGAACGAATTTCATATTGAGGGGGGGGGGGGGGGGAGTTTTCTGCCCATTGTATTCCTTCTCATTGACTACACTGTTATAAAGGAAATATACTACAGTTTAACAATTATTGAGGAGCTCCAGCCCAGTGGCGTATTTAAGGGGGGTCCAGGGGGCCATGGCCCCAGGCCCCGCGCTTATGACAACAAAAAAGGGGGCCTACACCTAAGAAAAAAAGATGGAAATTGTAAAGAACAAGGGCCCCGCAGATGTTTTTGGCCCCGGGCCGCCCACTTCCTAAAACAACCACTGCTCCAGCCCCACGATTCCGACGGGCATGCAGTAATAATGAGTATAATCTCTCTCAAATTTGTTCAGCACCTAGAAAGAAAAGCTATCTAGTTTGTTTTGTCCTTTATCTTTATTCTCGAAAACATGTTTGACCCTAAACCACTTTTTCCAATCCTTTTTAAAAGCTTGTTTGAGTGGAGGTGTAATTCGACAATTTTACATATAAATGCGTCGTACATTATAGTTACCTGGTTTCATGGGTGTGGTCATGAACTTTTCAAAAGGCGACACCCAAAAATTGTGAACATGTGCAGTGACAAAAACTACTTAAAATAAACCCTGCCACAGCGTGACTGCGCTCCCCTCTTAATACCGAGAAGTAGCCAATTTCTTCTTTCGTTATTGTTTTCTGCAACAATTTGTGCAAGATCCCTTGTTATTTTGATAGGACTACATCCCTGCATAAAAGAGATAAACTCGAACTTAAGAAACTGTTTTCTTTTAGCTTTTTATTTCGATGTTCAACATTTGGGTTTGCCTTTTGTTCCTGGCCCAAACACAACAAACTTTGTATAAAAGCTAATTAATACTCCTGGGTAACTTCTGTTCAAATTGATTACAGCAGATGAAGACTTGCTTCTCCCCCCCTCCCCCTCCCCCCCTAAGAACTTCAAGCCGTCAGTGTTCGTAATAGAGACACAAAGTAAAGAAAACTGCTGTTTTTTCGTGGAATAGAACAATTTTGCAAATATATGTGATAAGACATTGAGTCATTTGATTTTAAAAATTTACAAGGCATCTTATTTTAGAAAAGTTTGCACCATGACTGCTGAAGTAAAATAAATTATTGTCATTTTCTTATAAAACAGTGGATAAGCCATTAAACCTTAACAATTAGCTGACTTCCAAAGGCAATTTGTGCTGCTAATTTCAAAAACTTGAACATGTGCATAGCCCTATGTACAGCTCATCATACATTAATGGCCAATTTGGGGGCAAATACAAACAGTACCATTAACAAAGTATATCAGAAACTGATTAAAATCTGAGAGCCTGTTGCTTTGTTAACTGAGGAGTTACCAGTTTGCTGAAAGTTTAAAGTACGAGGCTTCATTAATTAGGTCTTTGAGCATCTGTTGATGACAAACTCCTTATTTAGTTCCCTGTAAAAAGGGTGTGGATCTCTATAGAAAAGGCTTTGCTGGATTCATAATGGGGACAAACAGAAGCAAAGCTAGAATCAATCTTTGATAAGGAATGTATCAAGAAGACTTTTTAAAATATAACCCTTTTTAAAACTCTGATATTTTCTCAACAAACTGAGCTCAAATTCTAACAGGAAAATCACACACCCACAAAATTTTGGAGTTTGTCTCCTTATAGATATATACATGGCTTTCTGCCTGTGAATTATTAGCAAATCATGAAATCTAGGAACAGTTGAGAAGCCTCTTTTTCTTGTCCCATTGAATAGTTTCTATGCAAATTATAATGCTTCGATAAACAAATAAAACAAAGCATATAGCTTGTATCCAAAACTATATATACTTCTTCCCTAGACAGAAAAAATATCATAACATGCAACATGATTGTTATTAATAATACTTCGAAAAGCCTGCTCTTGAATTGTTCCTTGTGTTCTTCTGTGAAACACCTCCAGGTGTATGGCTTCTGTAACTTTTTGCTCCACTGTTTCTCATACCATACTGAGAGACAGTACCTTTATTTGAGCTAGGACCATCCATTGAGCCGAAATTGGGCAAACCAGAATAAGCAGGTGGATTTCTCTGCCCTGCTACTGGTTGTGTTTTGTACAGCCTAGAATCTTTATTTTGGTAACTGTAGCGAGATTTTCTATCAGTGGCAGACATACCGGATGCCCTTGCTGGTTCTTTTGCAGTATACATATTGTTATTTGAATGATTCAGTTCCCTTTTCGATGTCTGGCTTTTTGACGGGCCAGTTGCTTTGTAAACATCTAGAGCTCTTTGCTTAGGAGGGGCTGGTCTGTTAACAGTATCTTTACACTTTGGAATATGTCTTTCAGCCACTGTTTGGCTAAAACGACGGGAACAATACTGGCAGAGAACATAATCTGGGTTTAAGCTGGGAGGCGGAGGAGGGAGATCTGAAACTTTGCCACCACTGTCTAGATGAAATTTAACTTTTTTTGCTGCTCTAATAGCATTGATAAATTCTTCATGTTGTTGTCTCCAATTTGTCTTTGGCTTAGGGGCTTGTTTTTTCTCTGATCTGAAATGTTGTACAGCCTCTGTACCCTGCAGTCTCTTTTTTGATGAGTCAAATACTTTCCTCTTCTTTTGTTGGCCCTTCACACATATTGTATGATGTTTTTGGATTCTGTTTGATGCAAATGCTCTTCCACAATTTGGACATGGCACAGTATCTGAGCTTTGTTGTGATTCACTTTCCAAAAAATCATCTGTTCCAAAGGGCTTCTTACTTCTACTGGCTGCTCTCCTCCCCATGCTTTTTGTATTACTGTTTTGTCCCATGTGGTAATCATCATAACCAGTATTTTCATTATAAATGTCTCTAGAGAGTGTCGGATCTTCAAAATCAAAATTACCTCTTCTTTGGGGAACTTTTGTTGTATCTTTTCCTGTTTGCTGTGCTCTACGACCATGACGTGAAACGTTAGGTTTAGAGGAACGAGGGGCCTCAATGTTCGCCCCACCTACAGAAGACTGATCTTCACGAGAAAATGTTTTCTCCCTGTCTGCAATCGGATTTGATCGGTTCTGTGCAGGCCGTCGTGCAGGGTTGGCACTCGTACACGATCTCTGATGCACCTGTAATCTTTCTGGCAAAAAGGTACGACCACAGTTTGAGCATGGAATAAGCTGCTCTTGGGCAGATCGGAAAGCGGCCTCGTTGACTTGATCAAGATTTACCCTCCCATATGCACCGACAGTGCCAATGGCATCATATGCTGCTGGTTTCACAGGAGGTTTCCGTCGTAAATTCTTTGGCAATTTGTTATTCTCCAAGTGCCATTTTTTCAAACACTGTGGTTCATGTATTGCAACAGATTTCGTGCCATATTTTCTTCCACACAAATAACAAATCACGTAGGTCGGTTCTCTCATAGGCATTCTCAATCTTACACACCAACTCAAACACGAAGTAAGAAGTGTTGTTTTCCTCGGTTTCGACTAGGCCAAAGTTGGCATTAAAGTTTACACTTTACAAAGCGTAAGTCGTTTGGGTTTTCTAAAACTTACAAAAGCCTGAAATTAAAAACACTTGACTAGTAATTTCTACGACCAGTATGTGAGTCCCTACGTCAATTTGACTTCTGTTTTCTTCATTGCCAAGGAATCACACCGACTTCCATAGCTCTTGACCGTCACCTTGACAACAGACGAAGATATTGGTACCCTTGTGGCGGAAACAAAGGTCTTGTTAACGGGTGGCTGTATAGATTTGTCACTTCTGGTTTTGTCAAGTTGTCAATGATTAGCCGTATTTACAGCTAATATTTACATCTATCCATTTAGGTATTTGATAACATTTTCTTTTCATCGACTTTGCTTAATCCAGCCACCTTAGCAGCATAGCAACCCCATTGCTTGGTAGTAAAACTTCTTTCTTGTGAGCAAATTCCACCAGGAGGGACTCAACAAATGCGATTTCTATTCCTTTGAATGCGTCATAAGCCATTTGATATGTCCAAACTCCCTGTGCCCCTTCCACGTCCATGGGAATCTGCTCGGCTCCTTTACGGTAGAAGTGATTTCATTATGCCTACGATTTCATTTTGCTTCGTCTTCAAAACCTCAAAAATGGTTTGAAATATTGATATAAATAGAGAAAAAAGTGCTTAAAGAACAGAATTCCGGTCAGAGGAAATTAGTGGGCATGTCATATATTTCTGAGAAATTTCCAAACCTCACCAATTTATTGCTACACTTTTCATTAGTCGATGATCGAGCTTCCTGACGCGTAGATGATTAAGCTGTCTTATCTCTTCTATTTCATATACCATAAGCATTCGATTCTCAAGGTTATATTTTCGATTCATATTAAATTGTGGGGCATCCCCAAACTCGCATAATTTCCGCCATTCGTATGAACAACTTACACTACCATTGTATTAAAACCATAGAGCTAGTGGGGCTTTAATTAAAACATAGCGTTAGGGCTAATTTCTTAACGTGATATGGATTTGTAGTGATTTTAATATTGTAAATTAGGCCATATTCCTACATCATGCCATCACCATGACATCCACATACGCCATTCACAACATCACCCAGGACAAGACATTCCCTTCACCATTGTACACACGTTCACACATCTATGTCATGCTGATTTCTTCCCACGTCTAGATCTTTCCTTCTCCATTGCATCATCATTACATCATCACAACACATCATTACTCAGCACATTTGTTTTGTATATAAGTATATTAATTTGTATGTAAGTCAGTTCAGTTCAGTTAACATCAGAGTTACACAGGCATCACACTGTCTCTCTCACTGGCTCCGTGTTCTCTGCACGTTAAATAAGATTCGAAGTAGCATCAACGGTGGAAGTTACAGCAGACAAGATAGGAACCAAGGCAATTCTTGCCACATAATAGCGTTTCTATAGATTAATGTTCCATAAAAATATAACTATCGGCTTTGAGTTTGAACAAAAACCACCGGTAGTAAAGAAATGCCAAGAGCAGTGGCGGATTTAAGGGGGGGGGCAACTAGGGGCCCCTCCCTTGACGAGTTGAAGCAAGTGTGGCGCCCCTTTTTGGAAAATATGCACCCCTTTTGAAGAATGAGAATCAGGTGAAAAAGTTTCTGAGACCAATAGGTTAATTTGCTTCAAGGATTACTTCAAAGTTATGTTGTTTATTCCGAAAATGGATCTGAAATTGTTGTATACAGCGTTCTCTCGTCGCCAAATTTTGAAAATTTTTCAGCGCCCCCACTACCAACTGCCCCTCCTATAAGTTTGCTCTGGATCCGCCCCTGGCCAAGAGCAAGACCCGGAGTGGAGTAAGAAAATGTCATACTTACAGCGTAAAAATTCGAAATGATAAGGGACCAGTAATTATCAATGGAAGTTAAGGGATCGGAAGAAGTTTTTGCATAAGATGCGAAGCTTGAGAGAACTATTGATTTTCTTAATTCTTTTGCTGATTTTAGTACTATGCTTTTCTTAAAATTTTCTCAAATACCAAAGTGCTAAGCAAGTAAATATTAGATAGAAAAATGGAACGCAATAATACAGAGTAACGAAATCTCAGCAAAGACATATGAGTGAAAAAGGGTTCATTGTCTTATTTACGATACCTGCTTAAGTCAGCAAAAAGAAGAAAATTTGGGATCACGGTGTTTGGCCGCATGAAAATATTCAGAACTACCATTGGAAATAAAGGTTGTTAAACTCCATCTGCCTGAAGAATGAAAAGTATAAACTTAATAACCTTACCTTTCATTTTAAAGCAAAACACATCCTAAGTTAACACTGACGGGACGCTGCTCTATCCACAGACAACGTCATCCAGAAGCGTGTCTATCAAAGTTTGCCTTGTGGGCGAGGTCGGGATTCTATCTAAATTTTCGATTATTCTTTATGTATACTTCACAGGGCCTCCAACGAAGGCCTTGGCCCCCCCCTCCCACTTTTTTGCAAAAACAATAGAGTTTTTTCAAAATATTTTGTTATGGGTGTTCAATTTTCCCTTGGCCCCCCCCCATTTTTCAACCTTTGTCGGAGCCCATGCTTCAGGCGTGATTCTTAACTGAAACATTCTGATCGTTAACACAATCACCCATTTCTCACAACCATTTTGAGATTTTCACTGACAAACTGAAACTTGCGAGGGTAACAAAAATATTGTGATGGTGTAAGTGAGTTTAAGCCAGATATTGGAGGCCAATGCATTGAGAATCATTGACCTCAAATGCATTCGTACTGATTCAATCTCTTAAATCATTCATAACTAATGCTTACTGAGTGAATACATTCCAAAAACTACAAGGTAATGTTCCCTAGGTGTGAGACCTGTTTGATGTAGCCCCCTAGGTGTGAGAGTCCCCATATTTTAGAAATAAAATTCGACACTGGTCACAGAAATATTTATTTGAGCCTCATTCTTTGCCTCCCCAGCGGTCTACAATACTTTATCCTCGGTATTATTGAGGCTCTGGTACCCAGGTTATCTGTATAGTTAAAATTTTGCAATATTTTTGGTCACTTCATTTCTATCTGGATTACTTTTTGAATCAATAGTTGGTTTAATGATATAAACAAAATTGATCGAGATACATAAGAATGAGAAAAATGCGACGTAATCCAGATAGAAATAACGGAATAATGAGATGCTCTTTGATTGTGGATTCAAGTTGACTGCTGGATAAAAACTTCGGAGAAATAAAATGCAATTAATCACGTTAATTTTTCAGGGCTGTGTTGATAGACTACAATGTTTCCAAGTTAGAAAGACTGCCAAAAATCCACTTCGTATAAGATTTTGAAATGACTTCAAATATAAAGTCATCTTGTAGTCCTTACATATTAAAGGAAGTGCTGCTGAAAAATAGACTTTATGGGAAGGGCCTACATTTCCAAATGATTTCCCTTCGATCTTTCTACTGCAGCTACCATACCCCACCTGCTAGACATAAATAGTCAACTTGAATTAAAAGATGTGAAACTTCAGCTCATAGGCAACAAGACCAAAGTAAAATGAGTTCTAAAGTCTAATAAAAAAATCCTACAAACACACTGAGGTTTTGAAAGTTTGCAGATCCGTGAAAAGAGGAAAGGGTCAGAAGATATTTGAGGAAAAATGTGTTATTATATGAATTGTGCAAAATGTGATCCCAGCATAAAAATTGATGGAGATGGGCAGTTTGATACGCTGAGAAAGACAGGATGTGGACCCAACCTGACAAAACCAGTCTCTAGGCCCCTAAACAAGCTTTTGTCATACTTTCATTTTAAATAGCAGTACTTACATGAAACTTGGTGGAGATAGGCAGTTTGATGCACAAAGAAAGAAAAGATATAGACCCAAACTGAAAAATGTCCCCTTTGCCTATTTCTAGAATGGGGTACTTTGCCCCAGGCCATTTTTGACGGTATTATCTTATCTCAGTCTTACTTTAGAACAATAACATAAAACGTTGAGAAAGATAGGATATGGGCATGTCAGAGACACTTGAACATACCATGATATACCACAAAATTGTAAAGAAATAACCATCTACTGGCGTTGAATTTAAACGCCACAAAGCCACGGTTGTTTAATTTTTCGGGTTTTAAAGAAAATTACCCAAACGAATAGAAACTTCTTATTAATTAATCATTAACAGCATAAACATCACGAAGTCAGCGTTTTGAAATACACGTTTTATGAACGAGACAGCTGTTAACACTTGATTTTTCATTGTCTTCTGTGCAAAAAACAGCTTGTGATTTCAAGGCAATCTCATTGCAAATCCAATGGCAACCTCATAAAGAGCTCACTAGGGGACTTGAGACGCTAACTACATAAGGGTGTGTTCTACTGTCATCATTACTGGCTTGGAGATAACTTTTTATGTTGCAGCTTTATTTCTAGCGAACATGATCACTTCTGACAATTTTCCAAAGAGAGGTGGGGTCTATTATCTAATTGAAGACTCACATTATCAAAAGGAAAAATACCGCAGCAAAGACATGACAACAGAGATACGCTTGGTTAAAAAGCATCTTTCAAATCTACTGGAGATGTTAGAATGCAATGATGATACAGATAGGAACCATGTTTGTAGAGATTCCAGGAAACATATACATGGTTATAGAGGGATGCACCAATCACAGATCAAAAGAGTGAGGGCACAAAGCCTTTCTCAACAAGATACAAGAGCGTACAAAATACCACTGCTTGGAAATAACATGGACGAGGTAACTGACCAGCCAATTCCCCAATCTGTAGGACACTCTGAAAATGACGTCACAAGGAACATCAACGATTTGATACTAGAAGTTTGCGCAGAAGATTGGAACATGGAAAACGCCTATAGGCTGTTAAAGGAAATCGAAGAATGGCGCGATGCTACAAACAAACTGTTGGAGAGCATGTGCACGTTAAGGATAAAGCTAAATCGTGACAGAGGGGTAGCCATGAAAACAATTCTCAAGATGCAACAGATTGGACGAGGGCTTCTACAGAAAAAGGAAATGGCAAACGCGGCAATAGCATTGTTGCAAAATTATATTTTGGACGAGGGAAGGAGCAAGAATTATTTGCACCTATAAGTACAATTTACAACCATGTAAGATTTGATTATCAGAGAAAAACAGTTAATAAATTACAAATATGTACCAGGAACCGTAATTTGAATGTCCAAAAACCGTGCAGCTAAAGATTTGTGCTTTCTTTTTCATACTATGAGGTCAATATGATAACAAGTAGAAAAGACAACTTCTAGGAAGTGAAAACTTTTATTTACATATCCATCCATTTCTTAGAAATTAGATAACATTAAAAGTACGTAGCACAGTCCATAGAAGCATAACACTCTCTTGATAAGATTGATTTTGACGTTAACTTGCGTAGATTTAAGGCATCTTTTCAATCATCTCAGGAATGGCCTACGAGGGCAATCAAAGATAACACACGGTCAGCTGATTTTATTACCTTATCAACCTGCATAATTATCATATATTAAAAAGATTAGCGAATAAATTGCTGATAAAGTCAACGTCTTAAATTCGAAATATCCGCTTACGGCCTCTTTATGCGATTCAATACCATGAGATTTAGCATAATTAAAACTTGCATGTAGACAAAAGTTTGAAGACATGCATGTAGACATGTAGAAGGAAAAAATCCGAATCTAGGTCAAAAATGTAGTGCAAAGAAAATTTAAGTAGTCCTACTTATCAAAAGCAGGTCGTAGTTTGCGAAAGTGTTAAACTATTGAAAATCCTATTGTAAATAATGAAAGGAAACATAAAAGTTTTGATGTATTTTCGCAAACGTTTCACAAGCATTAAATGTTCTACAATAATGGGAAAAAATTAATTTTTACTTTCTTGAACACTAAGAGGAGCCAACTAATATTGTGGGAAAATAAACCGTTGGAGTTCAGCAATCAATAATTATTCATACTAACAATAACAATAATACCTTTTTTACTGTTAGTTTTACAATAGTGTGAACACTAATAAACACTAACATGAAGCAATTTAAGAGATTGCATTATGGAAGTCATTGACTGCAAGCGTTACAGGCTCATTGATTTTCGAAATACCAATCTTTTAGAAGAGCTCTGAATTGACTTGCATTTTTGGATGATTTTATTTCAATTGGAAGAAAATTCCAAATCTTTGGATCCGAATAGAAAAGATGTGTCTTGAAGTAACAGGAAAGCACTGTAATTTCGTAACTTTATCAAAAGCACATATAAAGTTTCTTTCAATAGATGCAACTTGCGATAAGAAGAGCGGTTTGTTTAGTCACAAAAATGTGTCGGAACATTTTAGGGGAAGGTTTAAATTATGAACCAGGCAGTTTTGTTCTCAAATTTATTGCAAATTGTCCTTCCAACAAAACTAGAAATATTTTATTGTTGGTCAACAAAATTTGAATTAATTTTTATTTAGATTTTTTTGCAGCTTCTTTCTATAATTTTAAATAAAATATATTTAGTGGCGTTCTTTTCAAAAGAAATATGTCGAAGGCTGGCAGCTTGAAGTAGACGTGAGAGACAATCTACTCTTTAAATTGAACTTTCCTGGTTATTTAATACCTTGTATAAATTGAACACAAACTGACAAGTAGAGGTAAAGAAACAAGGCTATAATCAGACATACCTTGAAGAGATCAGCTACAAGCCCGAAGTCGGATACTAGAATAAAAAAGATTATTTTCAAAAAACTGTTGGTTTATGTACTGTTTTTAAAAGAAAAATATTCTTGCGTTAGAGGCAATCGACAGATACCAACGTGGCTTAAGATGTCTGTCATTCGATAAGTGCCAATCAATAAGTGCGAAGACTAAAGCCATTTTGGTATCATGCGATTCCATTTAAGCTGAGGAAAATTATATCATTACTAGCATGGAGGTAACCTTGTTCTGTTCAACTTTACCTCTACCGATGTTGGATGGCTGATATGAATAAGCAAACATTTTTACAGTATAATCAAAATCTGCATACCCAATTACCCCGCTTAATAAACGGAAAACAATGATTTTCCCCTTTTTAGGATACGAGAAAACGATTCAGGCATGCGCCTTTAAACAAAAGAACTCTTTTAACAATGAAATTGCACGAGTAATGTTTTAACAATAAAAACAGTTTATTTTAATAGTTATTGAACATCAACTTCCCCAGGATCCGAATCATTTTCAGTGATCATTAATTGCTTATTCAGCTATTCATCATCAAGGTTGTCTTCGTCATAATGTCAGTTTATAGTCAGAGGTTAATTTAGAGAAACTTATTAAGCTAGAAAAGTAATCGAGGAAGCATGTAAAAGTTGATAAAGAGAAAGAAGAAAGCCATATAGTTTTTTGTTTTTAATTTTTTCGCAAAAACCGTAATAAGCAAAAATGAGCTATAAGCGCATGCGCATTGAAATGAGGTGCACCTATAAGCGGGGTAATAGGGCAAATTTCTCAAGGAATTTTGCCCCTCTTCCACAGGGAAATTTAAAATTTAGAGCGAAAAGAAAGAAAAAGTTTGTAAAAATAACTCAGTTAGTGAAAGTACAAGAGTTGGTAAAGGATTGTTAGAAATGAAGATATTGTTTAAACTGGATGGAGAAGAAAATTAAGCTGCAGGTTATTTCAGTCAAATTTATCTGATGCTGTGCAAGAGCCAAAATATGGGTAAAAATGTAAATAAAAATAAAAAACTGTGCAAAAACCTTATCAGTGCAGTCAAAATTATTTCGGTAATATTAGAAATTCATGAGCTACAAGCTAATCAAGGTCCACGCGCAATAAATCTTTCTTATCAGTGGGTCTAAAAAACTGATAAACCAAAGCAAGCTTCACGTTTTTAACTACAGAGAAAGATTTGTGTGGAAAATTAAAAAAAACCGAGAGTGTTTTGAAACATACCTTGAAATATTGGTGCTTCGCCGTCTTTGTTGATGGCAACGATGGTCTAATAAAATCGAAAGAAAGTTCTTAAAACACAGCGCTTCTAAAATTTGCTTTTTGAGCACAGCAAATGGTGTGAAGTGGTAGCAGATGAGGTTGTGATAAAGTAGGTTTTAAACGATTTTAATCAGCCAAAGCTCATTTCTACACGAGCCTGATTTGCATGAACTAAAATAGTTCCTAAACTGCCCATTACTAAAATAATGTCAAAACTGTATCAAAAGAAAAAGTCTTTTGCACCATACTGAAGAACCGCTTCTTTCTTCATTCCTCACAGCTATAACCAAGTTTTCAATGTGATTCATGGAAACTTGAGCAAATCATAACATCAAAAGACAATATTTTAAAACCAGTTAAAATGCTTGCCGTATGCGGAGAGAGTAAGGCAAGAAATAATTAACCTTAAAAAACACATTTTTTCATTTTTTAATGTTCGCAAGAACAATAACGCGAACATTAAAATATAAATACGTCTTTCAGACAAAGAAGACCCAAAACTACCTTGCTATCCTTCATGCCAGCCAAATGTTGAATTGCTCCAGAGATACCAACAGCGATATAAAGCTCTGGTGCGACCATTTTACCAGTTTGTCCAACCTGCATATCGTTAGGTACAAAGCCTGCATCCACTGCAGCTCTAGAGGCACCGACTAAATAAAACAAATACAAATTCAGCTTTAAACGCCTTTGTATCTGGTCTCTTGACAAAGTATTTCAAGCGTTTAATGTAATTTATTGGAGCAAAGAGAGTGTTATCCTTTCAGCGCTTTTTGCTTAGAGGCTAAGGTCTCCCGCAAAGTCAAAGTACTAATCTCAAACTTATCAAAATAATGTAGAGTGACAGTTTCAGCTTTCAGAAAAATCCAGAGATGGTTACTTATAATAGTTTGATGGGAAAATTAACCTTGATTGGAACTAGAAAGTATAAGCATAAAATAAAAAAACCATTAATTGTTAGCGATCTATACAAAGAATTTTTGACTCGGTAGTACTTTTTTTAACAACTTGTACTTGACCAGAGATATACCCGAAGATCTTCTTTGAGATGATTTTTTTAGAATTTAAAATGGCTCAAGCAAAGAAATCTCAAAGCAAGTTTTGAAGGGGAAGGAGGGAGGGGGAGGTAAACAAATAAACGTGTCTACATAAAATTAACACCAAAATTCATTCAAATTACCTGCTGCGTTCATTTTCTTTGCCAAGGTGTAAAGCATTTCAAAATTATCCCCTGATTTCATTCCACGACCTGCAAATGAATAGAAAAATTAATTCTGAGAGATATTCTTTGCCAATTAAACAATCGATAAAAAACAGCAATATTTCTTTATCTGCACTGGTTCAAATGGTATGAGCGGAAACATAAGAATACTGCTTGAAAAATTAAAAAAAAATAAACACAAACATAAAAAATCTTAGCCCATGATATGTACTAAAACCGTTAGCCCATACAGCTTTTTTCATTGCTGAAATAGGCAATACGTCCAGCCCGGATCATAAAAATCAAGAAAATGACCAAACTATAAACAACAGATAAAAAAACCCAATGTGAACACAAGCACTGTAAAAGACGTCAGGTCTCTACCCAGCTACCAAGGACATCTAAGTATAAAATTCATAGACCGTACCTCCTGAAATAACAATTTTGGCACTTGAAAGGTCAGGTCTGTCGCTTACACTTAACTCTTGGCTTTCCCATTCTGATAAACCGGCTGAAATTGAACCTGCATCGACTATAACGAGAAATACTTTATGTCAGAGTTTTGTTATATGTTAGAAAGAGTCTGCTTTGTCATAAACAGAGACTGTTTACATTAATTACAGTACTTCTGTTAGCACAATTTGACTGAATGACAAGCAATATAGTGAGTGACGGTAATAAAGTGAATGACAGAAATACAATATAGTGCTTACAAACCAAGTGATGGTTATGGAAAAAAAAATTGGCAGCTGACTGTCATCGAAATATTTCATAAAAATAAAATTTTTTTAGAAATCTTGTTTGCATAAATAGAAAAATGTTATCATATCGTATCATATATGAGCAATAACATAAAAGCTCAATAGCAAATGAAATATCATATGTACTGAACTATTATTTTGGCAGCTCAAGAACAAAAAGCCCCAATAAAAATAGTCAAAAAACATTCAAAATACAATTCAGATATATTGAATAATGACAAAAGTCAAACAAGCAAAGTCAAACAATGTTTAGATCAAACAAGCAAAATGCGACTCGTGTTTTAAATGCATTTTAAACAACCCACAGCCAAATGAAACACAAAGAAAATAGAATAGTACATACTGTCTTCAGAGGCACCATTTCCTCCTTCAGTGGCAGCAGCAGCAAAAGATGTCCCTCTGATAGTCAGCAGTTTTACTGGATCATTTGATTTGATGGTTGTAATTGCATTGCCTACAAACATTAGACAAATTAGAACAACACAAACAATATGGGGGATATTTTAAAAGATGCTGGTTCCTAGAAACTGACTGGTCAAATGCTACATTTTAACTAACCAAAAGCAATTTTGTATCTACAACTCTTGACAGATGATGTTGAGCTCTCGCTTCAAATCAATATTTCTACTATCAAAGCATGTATGTACCAACTTTGAATGAGAGGAAGGAAGTAGATGCTGGACTATTCATGCATGTCACCCAGCCTGCGTTTTGGGGTTTGTTCAATTCAGAGATTATAGATATGAATACCACTTTCTTTAAGAAAGGGGTAAAATATTAACAAGATTCTTACCAACTTGAAATCATACATAGTATATCATATTTATAGCGCTTTTCAATCATACATTAAACACAAAATTTGTCCGTCTTTTAAAAAAAGTGATGGAAGTGGTGCTCTTGTCTAGATACTACCAAGTCTTTTTATGGAAATTTTGGGTCAAGTTCTAACTTTCCTAGCCAAAATTAAAAAATTAAATGAACATCAGACCACTAACAAAATTCATAATAAATCAAGAGAATCTTAATCGATGTGTAAATTTCATACACACTCTTGTGATTTTTTGCATATCAATATTTTTCATAACTGTTGATAAACAAAGTTTATCACGTAAGTCATATTCTAGAAAACATACAAATAGCAAACAATAGTCTAAAGGTGTTGCAACTGAACAGGGAGCCTACCTGCATACATTGTTCTAACAAATGTGTCTTCACTTTTAACTTCTATGACATCTGATAATGGGGCCACATCAAGTTTGGCAGCAACACGTGGTAGGATGTTCTGATGATCAGAAATTCAGAAATGTAAAAAGCAGTTTGAAATGTAGTGACTATACTAAATTGTGATGTTGAAACAAATGTCGATAAAATGAATTTTGAAAATACTAGTATCAGATCTATAAAAGGTGAATGGAAAGTAAAGTTGCTGCTCATACAGGTTTTCATAATAGCTTTCTCACAACAACTCTAGTTAGATTTGTTTAAATAATAACAAAATAAACAGCTATTAATTTAACACCCTAACCGCTGGATTTTAAAAGCAAAATCAAAGATATCAAAAGGAAAATTAAGCAAACTCACTTTACTCTGTGCTGATGCACAACCAAGAATATGGGAGAATTTAAATTGTTCTTGAGCTTTCACAATGACAGGTGCAACTGCCTCTGTAAATTAAAGTTTGGAACAAATTAATAATAAAAAATAGAAAAAATGAGCTAAATTAACAGAAAATGTTCAATAGCAACCCAATTAAATGTTCAAAATTGCCACTACAACTTTAAATACCACATTATATAATTCCTTAATATGTTTTTGAACTAAAAAATCAGACTATTCGCTCTGACTAAAAAATAGTATATCTGGCTACTTAGGATGCCAAACCCAAATAATGAGATATAGAAAATAGCAAGTACCTTCTAACATTAAAAACAAACTCTCCCCTCAATAGGACAGCCTCCTCTGTCTTGCAGATAAAAAACAACTACTAAAACAGGCGATTCTGTCATTTTAGTAGCATTAAAAAGAAAACCCAGATTGTGCCAAAACTATAATGGTGACATGTATCTAGATGTTGGTAGAGCCTAATCGTCATTCCACCTAGCAGCTCTCAAATCTATTTACAATAAATTATAAAAATATGGTGATGACGGAAGAGGTTTTTTTGCCTTTGGACTAAATTGGTGATATATGCTTTAGGAAAGCTGCACTGATTGGGTGACCTTTACACACATGTGCTCCCATTTTTGAATAGCCTATATCAATCCACAGCTGGGTATACATATTTTTTGGCTTAGAGTTTTTGATGCATGTTGTGACACTTTATACTCTAAAGGGTGTTAGATGCAAAAGGCTTCAGTATGATTCCAATTTTTTGCTTCTTTTGAGGCCATTTCTAGTTTTTGTACCACCAGAAATTTGTTTAAAAAAGGAGCATCCATATCATGACAAATGATTTTACAATTAATTCTATCAGTAATTGTTTATCAAGGATAGCTATAAAAATGAATTATCTCCTTGCGGTCATTCATTTTCAATTTCCTTTGGCCTACTATTTTGGTGCTGTCAATCAGAGGATGCAATGGGGCAGATATATTGATAATTTTTATTGCAATATTCTGCAACAATAATGTGGCTAGTAGCACACCAGTATATTGACAGAAAAAGGTCACTTGTGGGCAGAATTTTAATCAGCCTGCCTGAATTTTAAAAAGTAATAATGTTTGGAAGTGTAGCCAAAACAAGTTTTCTTCAAATCTTACAAAAATTTGACCTGCCAAAAATCGGCGGAAAACCTTAAGCTGCTACTAGCCACATATAAATGAAGAAAACTTTCAAGCCTGGTAGATTTATAATAATTAAAAACTATTTGGTACAACTTTGCATGCCCTAAAGTTATCAAATGCATTTCAATCTTGCCCTGAGCTTGACATGGAAAGAAATGTGTTGAAAATCATTGTATAATTCTACTTTTGAAGTACCTGGCAAAAATCCTTTGTATCCATCACTTTTTGCCAGAAGAACCCTGCTTACTCCTTCAACTTTGCCAATTTCTAAAGCAACCTATTTAGAATAACATAAAAACATCACCTAATGGTTGTGGTTGTCTTGAAAACCCTAGAACAGTGTTTGCAGGAACATTTTACCACTTTCTCTCTACACCCCTGCTGATAATCTATATAAATTTATATATATGGCATCTTTGCCTCAATAACTATCAAGTTAGAAAAAACATTGAAAAATAGAGATTCAAGCAGTAAGCAGTGTGCATAAAGATATTAAGATGTTTTGTTTGGCCATAAAATGTCTAAACCAGAAACATTTGAAAGTTGAAGGAGATTACAACACATTATATTTCATTATAATTACATTACACATTACATTACATTATAATTCTTTCGAAATTAAGCTATTCACAACTTTTTGAAACTTTCATACCTTTGCACCAATATCCTAAAACCCTCTAGAAAGGAGGATTACAAAACTCTTTTTTCAATTGAACAAGGCAATCACACCCCAGAAAAATTTGAGGAGCATAAATATGACAGTCAGCTTTAAATCAAACATCTATCAGTAGTGCATACTTACTGATTCACAGCCTGTTCCTGCAACAAGACAGGTTATGTCTCCACCAAGTTGTTTTGCTGCTGTTACAGCGTGAAGTGTACTTGGAATAACTTTTTCATTATCATGTTCTACAATGACCAATGTAGATGCATTTCGGCTTACCAGCAAAGACCTCACCTGGCTTGTCTAGAAATATACAAGGCTTGACATATTATTTACAAATAAATGTTGAAAATTGTTGTGGTATTTTCTCTCACTCAAGGTCATCAAGGGCATGGGTAAAAATTGTTTTATTGCATCTTTGTAATCTCTACTTTCACTACTTTCATCTACCTTCACAGCGAACATTTTCTTCTACGTGATAGATAATTTGTGTTTTGAATGCAATTTGAATTTGGCCTGTACCAGTGTATACTATGTAACTTATGAAATGTGATTTTTTGGGCCTAAGTTTTTACGCTTGTACATATAAGCTCTAATTAAGCCTCTTAATTTCAAATTGGCGAAGCGAAACACAGTAAATATGTAATTAGAAATACATTGAATACATACGCTCTTTGACAAATTTTTGGCAAGACTTCTAAGCTGATTTTGAAGCATTTTGCAGCCAGGTCAAGAAAGACACTTCGTTATATTGGTTGGTTGGTTATGTAAGGCGAGACTTGAAAAGGAGGCCAGCCCAAAAGAGATTTAAATTCAATGTAACATTCAACAGTACCTTTCAAGAATAAGATTGCCTTTAATAAGAGATAAGAAAAATTTATAATTTTCTTTAGAAATTTTATTATATTTTCATTTAGATAGAGGGGTTGCCTAGGCATGGCCGCACTTCCCACTGGGTCCGCCGGAAAAAAGAGATTTTGAGGCAATTTTAATTATTCGAAGCTTCTTGCTTTGCAGTGTGGTCGCAAACGTTCGGGCAGTTGATGGCATGGCTCCCATGCCCTCTCTCCGTCGGAGGCCCTGAGCACTAGAGGTTTATAAATATTTGCACAACTTGAATCCAACCTTCAGGGGCGGCGCCACGGAGACATGTCCACCCCCACATTTTTTAAGATTGACTTTCTAATTTTTGCAAAACTGGATTAAAAACATAGGGGGGGGGGGGGTGTGTTAGTTTTCTTCTCTGAGATCGGAACTTTTTTGCATTTTGATGGTCAGTTACGGTTCTTTTCAGATCTTAGCTGACATAGAGTATGGTGTGTTGGATCATCAGTTTCGTTAATAGTGAGAAACTAAAATGAAGATGATCTATAAAACCAGGGGCGCAGTGGCTGGGGGGGGGCAGGGGGGCAGCCGCCCCCCCTGGCAAAAATTTTGTCGGATTGTCGGAAAATCCAACGTTTGTCGGAAAATTTGAAATATTAGACAAGATGTATGGTTTTCATCGATCCTGTCCAAAAGGTCGCATATTTTTTTAAACCTGTTGTAAAATAGGGCATGCTCAACCCTTCTTACTTATTTTCATTAGAGTATTTATCGGAATCATCCCATTGCTGAAGTTTGTAAAGGAAATTAACGCCCTGGTCTCAGTTTTTTTATAAACTCCCATTTCCGACAGTTAAAATTCAACTCAGTTCATTTCGAAATGAATTCGCTGGTGTTGTAGAAGACGCAAAAAGTTAATATTTTCGCCATGACTTAGAAGAGGAAAATTTTGTCGAGCGACGAATACGCGGAAAGAAAAAGATGCCAGGGGAAAATTGCATACATGAATAAGAGGGAAATAGGGAATCCGTATATCATTGTGATAGTAGATACAGCTATCAGCTCAATGAATACAAGATTCACGTCTCATAAGGCAATTTTGACAGATTTTTCCTTGCTCAACCCTGAATGTTTTCAAAAAACAATTGAAAGGCAGTTGTGGGCAGTGTAATTCAAAAAGGTTGCGAAGAATTACGGCCTGGATGACGAAAAATTAAGAGATGAGGACAGCTCTTTCGTCAATAATTACCGTAAATTTTGGAAAGTTAGAGAAAAGAGCAACCCTCTCCCGGCTGCAGGAGAAAGAGAAAACTTTTCAGTTCCATTCAGTTCTTCAGTTGATGATAAGTATAACCTGCAAAGTGCCTTTCCACAGCTGGTCCTTCTTTACAAGGTTCTCGTCACTTTGCCAATAGGTTCAACAAAGTATGAAAGAGCTTTTTCAAAGCTGAGGATTGTAAAAAAATCGGCTACGGTCAACGATGGGACAAGACCGCCTTTACTCTCTGATAACAATCAACGTCGAAAGTGATATTTTACAGTCGATGGACTATGGTGACATCATCGATTTGTATGCTGCCACACCTCTTTTGAGAAAGATGCTGCTTGAGTAAGAGTTTATATAAATTTCAGTTAAAAGAAAACTATTCTTTTGGACGCGTTATATCTATTTAAGGTTTAGAATAAATAAATGCAAAGTAATTATGATGCGATTTAAAATTTGCCAAAAAAACTTTTTGCTATAAACAGCTATAAACACTAACTTGACAGTTTATTGTCTAGTATAGCGAAAGGACTTGTAGGGTGTAAATTCATAACAAGTTGCAGTTTTGTTTATAGCGATTTATATTTGGTAAGTTTTGTTAGAATAAAGGCTATTGTTGAACTTGAAGGTGTATAACGAACGATCCATTCGTTAACGATTTCCAGATCCATTCGTGATATTGTACTATCAAGTGTTGCAGTATATGCAGTAAGGGTAATCTTCAGGGAATGTATTGAGAAAAAATTTGTCGGAAAAATCATAGTTTTATCGGAAAATTTTCAGCTTTGCCCCCCCAAAAAGTTAACTCCCACTGCGCCCCTGTATAAAACACAGCTTTATCGTGCTAAACAGTTGGTTCTTAGAGTGTGGTCTTGGCCTTCCTTCCTTGTCAAAGGTTTTTGGCAATAATTAACTTATAACGTGCAACCAAACTTTTTTAAGCTATAAGGATAGTATAGTTGCAGCCCACCTGTTACAACTGCGCAGGGGCGTAACTTGGCCAATAGGTTTGGGGGGGGGGGGTGAAAAGGGTTTCTGCCCTGCAAAACTGAGTGGTGCCATGCAGACCTCGTAGCAACGGTTTGTCTATAGGTTACTAGTTAAAGCTTTACCAGTGTACACTGGTCTTTACCAAGGACAAACTTCTAAGCAATAAAAACAAACTTGAAACTTCATTGCCTATGAAATATCTATTTCTCTACTTGAGCGTAAATTGTTTCTTTTATATTCACTTTATTTAATGTTGGTTTGCAAAATACTAGCTAATAAACAGCTAATTGGGGGGAGGGGGGGGTACATGATGTAGACAGCGCAACGAAATTTAGCCAAGGGGGACTAAGAATCAAGCTTAGTGAGGTAGGAGGACCCACCATGGTTGGGTCCGACGTGAAGAAATTTTTTGAAATTATACCTTGTAAAAGGGCTAAAAAGCATCTTTCAGACAAAAATTTAGCAAAATACTATTGTGCTAAAAGAACTGATTGTTTATTGAAAATATTATTGTTTATTGGGAAGAATAGGGAGGGGGAATATCATGCTAAAACTCTAGTATTAAACGTTGGGGAAGGAAAGAAAATGTAACCTTTCGTTTCAGATTGGACATAGTTGTGAATGACAGAGGAAGATGTTGTTTTGATTTGGGGAATTTTTTTTCCTGAACAGAAATGTGCAGTTTCTTGTATCGAGAAGGCCATGTTTACACATCCAAAATTAAAACATTGCAATGATACAGAAAATGATTTACTGAATTAATGCAAATAAAAGAAAAATTATAAAAATATACGTAAAAAAGTTAGCAATTAGATGAAACAAAATTGGTATCTCAACGATTTATTATGTTTTTTTAGTTCATGCACTGTCAAAATGATAAAATTTTTTTTCTTGACCAAAGTGGGGGCTTTCAGCTCTCTATTTCCCCCAGTGGCGCCGTACTTGTCATGAAAATAATTTACAACTTAAGTTATTTTGCATTACTCAATCTTGCCCTCATAAACATATGCATCCATCATTGCATCCATTGGCTATGACTTTCGGTAAGAAATGCTTTCGCTTTGCAAATAACGGAGCTTTTCCTTACATATCTGTTCAGTTCTCTAAAATACAATGTCAGGAAGGGAGGTTCATAAAAAATACGATATTTCCATTTCAAAATTCCCTAAACGGCCCTTTACGAACTTCAGAGGTGGCGTTTCTGCGTGGCAATAAAGCTTTTCTTGGCGCCCAGCGAAATCTTCGATTGCCCTGCGAGATCGCCTATTTTTTGGATTGGGGGGGGGGGGGGTGTCACACTCCCCACACCCCCCGGTATTTTCGCCCCTGCAACTGCATCACCTTTTAACCTCAATGTCAGACGAAAGGTTGAAAAAGCTTGTTGAAATTAGCACGGATCGAGAAATGGCAGATAAAATAGACAAAGGAAGCCTTGTTGATAAGTTTAAAACCATTGCTAGCTAAAAAATACTACTCTGAAATCAACTTTCATGCTATTAGCTTTGTGTGCGTAAACCTTCACCAAAGAAATTCAACTCTTCTATTGAGCGCGATTTTTCGTCCAGACCCCTTTATCAGCTCTACCCCTTCATTGTCCACCTCTGCCAGCCTTTGTGAATAACTATTCTCTCCCAAAACCCAACAGCTATAATGTTCGAATAATGGATACTCTATCTGTTCCAAAGGTTAAGACTACAAGTTATAGTTTAAAATCTATTAATTTTATTTGGAATTCTCTTCCAAATGAAAAAAAATCATCCAAAAATGCATTCAAAGTTCTTAAATTAATAACTTTCATAATGCAATCTCTAAAATTGCTTCATGTTAGTGTGTATTAGTGTTCACACTATTGTCAAACTAACAGGACAAAGTTTATTATTATTTCTATCATTATTTCCTCTTCACGACCCTAAAAATAGATTGCTCAAGGGCCAACCACGAAGACACTCCAAAGTGGAGCCACGCAAATTATCCATGCAAAAATTTGCTAACCCAAGCTTCCCTTCCAGAGTGCAAACCAAAAATAAAATCATGCTCACTTAAGAAAGTACAGGAAAGAAATAACACTGCTTAAATTTCTCGTAAACTTGAACAAAACGCGTTGTGCGTAATATTGAATGTATAAATGTTTATTAAATAGCAGTAGTGAAAACCTATATAATAATAGATTTTACAGTAACACAACGTTTTTAACAACCAACATTAACAATAAACAATACGAACTACAGAAGCAAATATACAAAGAGCATAAACATTTACATTATTGGTGATTATGGCAGCTGTTAATGGCTGTGGAAATATCCTAGCGAAGTTGGTTTTGTGAGGAAAAATACGTCAAGCAGATGCAAGCGGGTATTTCGTAATGCTAAAGATTTGATAAACAAATTAATAAAAAAGTGATATTTTCACATTCAACATAAACATTTATGCTCATTATTATCTCCTAACATCTCTTTGTATTAAAATATAAACAATAAACATTTGTTTTTACCTAAATATAAACTCTTTTAAAATTGATATGACAAACCCAAAAATTGTCAAAAATATTCGTAAACAGAACAAGAAAAGTATCAAAAAACCACATTAAAATCTTTTGTAAGAGTAAAGCAAGCCAAAAGAGGTAAAGCAATGCATTTCTGACCTTTAATTACCCGTTTTCTGACTGCAAAGGTCAAGGCACTGCCGTCATTTGTAGCTGACTATGCTTACTATATCGTTGTATGTACATGATGTAAAATTATATTTAATTCGAATCAGTTACTTGGCACATGAGTAGGAAATTAGAATTAAGATAGGGACTTCCAACCTAACGTAGTTATGTATGAATCTATACTCATAGCTTCATTTAACGCAAAGGTTTGTAAATACAGGAATACAGGATTTTCCATGTTTTTTTCACACAAAGGATTTTAGCAAGAAAGCAAGACTGCTGGTTTTTACATATTCAATAAATCTAACGAGAAAATATATCGACGACAAAAGTGATTTTTTCCTTTAAAGTGCTGGCATTTTATTTTTTCAGTTTCTGAAAAGTTCAGCAAAGAAAATTTGTGTGTGTCCTAGATTGCTAAGTGTACTGGGTATCAGCCCTACGTTCTATAATAAATGGCGGAATCCTTTACTGAGGCTACACTCGAGAAGGTAGTTTAAATGCATCTTTAAGTCAAGCGATAAACACAAACCGAACAAAACAAGCATAAACTCAAAATTAAGCTGTTTTTTTTAAGGAAACAGGCGTCTCGCATCTATCAACAGCTGGCATCACGAATTCTGCCATACCTCCAAGTACAGCCTTCATAGAATTCTTCAATGATGGCCTTAGCAACATTTTCGTCCACCGATGGTCCTTGCCACGTTACAGATACGTTCAATTGGCCCTTTCCTCCTTGTACACGGGACAGACGACCAGACCATGTAGGAATTTTGGGGTACACTGCACCATGCTTTTTTAATAACAATGCTCGCTCACTTTCCTTCAAAGACAATTCGACATCGAATCGAGTAAAAGAAGCTGATTCCTTTAGGCTTTGGCCTCTGAATTGAAGAAAAAGTCCATAAAGAGTAAAAAAGAAGAAAAACAAATAAAGTGACAATATAAAACAAATAAAAGCTTCTATAGAGGTACGTTATCAAATTGCGGAAAGCAGCAAGGAACACTAATATGGCAAGATCGCCCAAAAGATAACTCATGATGAGCAGAATACAGGTACCTGGTTAATGTATTGGCAGCAATAGGCAATACACAAAACATGACTATTTGTACAACTTTCATTGGTAGAACATGATTCAGTTGAGCTTATTTTGCCATAACTTTCTCTTGGAGTATCTTTATCTCCAATTAATAATGATGTTACCTTACAATATATGCATCCCTGCTGTTGCTGATACCATGTGTATAGCCATGCTCATTGGCGCAGGTTTTTACTCCTCAATGCAATGATAGATTCTATACTTCAAGTTATTCTATTGGCAAGCATATTGGCTTTCAATATGATTGATTCCACAGAGTGTTTGCACCATAGATTGAAATTACCTATTCATGTGAATCTGTGGCAGATGACTAAACTATTCTTATTTGTATGTAAAGTCACTTTTCAAGTTGGATAAGCGGGTTTTCCACGCGTAAGCAAATATCACTGTTAATTTTGACTGCGAATCACAATGCAATACACGAAAGTGAATTAAAAAAGGGCCAGGATAACACGCAAAATCTCCATGAAGAAACGAAGAAATAAATTAGTACCTTTGATAAATTTCCTCAATGCAGTTAACAGGGGAAATTTCTTCAGTGCCTTGAACATCTGGTGGCAGGGCAGTGAAAACGTTCTTTTCGTCAACTTCGATCCTGAAATGGTCAACCAAGTCTTTCGAGCCACATTTCGCTACAAAGCAGCATTTCCAATCCAGCGGCAGCTTGTCACCAAAGGTTCTTACAAAACAAACGTCGTCAGGCTTGATGTAGATACCCATCAAATCACCAATGCCCGATGAGTAATATTTGCAAATTCCTTCATATTTCTTCACGGGATCTTGAAAGCAAGAAGACACCTGGAATGGAATGGAAAGGAAGCCATCCTTCTTTAACTTCTTCAACGAGCCATTTTCACTAACGACGTACAGAGTGACTGAGGGGTATTCACCAAACGTGACTATGTCACCTAGCTTAAATTGGATGCCTGCAGCCACGTCTTCAGGCTCAAGGCTCTCAGGGAAGAAACCACATTCGAAGTTGCCACCGATTGATCTGCGATTTCGTGCATCTCTACTATTACAGCTCAATTCACTATTATCACTCTCTATGTCTTCATTCAGCCGAACCAGGCAACCGCACCCTTTCTTTACACACCAACAGCATTCAGATTCGCAGTGTTGCTTTACACGTTTTCCAACATCTGATGTCATCTTGTACAATTTTGCAGGCTCTTTGTCCTCTGCAGTTGAAGGCGAAATGTGATTGGCGTTTGAGTCTCCCTTTCCTATGTCTGGTTTAGGGTAAACTTTCAGTAACGAACGCAAAGCTTTCTCTTGAAAAGAGCCATTCACCTCACGGGCAAGGGCAGACATAGGGTATCGTCTTTTAACAGCCAGCTCTTTGTTGTCGACTACGGTGGCAGCAAGGCTGTACGATTGTGTAAGAAGAACATCAACAGAACTCCCAAAGATGAAAACAGATGTATCGCTCAGTTTTTGAGACAACTCTGAGAGATCAAGGTTGGTACCAGCCTTTGATAAACCAAACATCCCTTTGCGATATAAAGGGTGTTGAGCTCTATTTTCTACAACATCATGAAGATACTGAACATCATCCCCCCTTTTGTCTACAAAAACATCAAGAAAGTACTGGCAACCAACAATTTGATGTCCTTCAAGCTTGACAGAATCTTTCACTGGATGGTCGAAGTACAGTTTTATTCTTGTCAGTCGACCTGCCTTCAGATCTTCATCAGATGGTGAGAATACTGAGCTAACCTTTTTGCTGGGTGTCCGCTTGTCCACCTGTATCTGATGAATTTCTTTGTAACCTGGATGCATAAAGTGACAATTGGCACCATAACGGCAATTTCCTTTCAGAAAAAAAGAACATGTGTCCATCGGCTGTTGACGGTCTTCCCCGTAAGCGTGAAGGAATCGGCACTGACTGCCGAATTTGCAGTGCCCACGTTGATAGAACTTGCAAAGCTTGCTGTCTGCATTTGCTTTGTTTGATTTGACAATCTCAGCTGAGACTGCAACTGGCACTCCCTCTGTGTCAGAGTCAGAGTCATAGTAATAACTATCGGCCAAGTAGTTTAGCCCTGTGATTCTGTCCCAGTACATAAGCTGATTCAAATCCATCGGCGCCTGGAATGGGCTCGAGTAGTTAAAAAATGACATCGTTTGTTTTGCTGCAAAAGAACATAAATTCAGGCTAGACAACGTATTAATCTATAAATACTTAAATAAAAGACAAACTGGAAACTTAGAGAGGATATCACTGCCAGATTGAGCATAAAAACCTTATGAATTGCGTTCATTAGCACTACATCAATAAATATTTTCGTTAAATGACTATAGCCGCATAGATATATTTCATCAAGCTTTAACACAAAACAAGAACGGAAACATATCAGCTCTGTAAAAGGGACATAACAAACTAGGGTTTCCGCAAATAAATATGAATGTGGGTGCTCTCTAGGTCATTAAGGATGCATTAAGAGCAAAAATAGGCAATATCCCGCGCAATCAAAACTTTTCAAGGCAATTTTCATAAATGATAAAGCATCGATTTTCCTTTAAGTCAAACTAAAGATAAGAAATTTGCTTGTGCGATAAATAGAAAGACTAGACTATTAAACTGCTACAAGGTAAGTATAATACTCGACAAAGTCCAAACAATACTTGAGACGATGTAGAAATTGAGAAAATTAAAGGAAAGCCGCAAGGCACCGCGAGAAAAACATAGACCTATAATATAGTTAACGCTGATTGCAAATAAGCGTAAAAATCAACGAATATATATAAAAATTGCTTGAAACCTGCAACAGTTTGATAATATTTGTGGGCAGAAAGATTGTCCGAGGCACATGGGAATAGCGGAAGACTAGCATTAGACTAGCATTGTTCTTCGGGAAAAGGGCCACTTTCCCAAAAGTTGGCAGCACATGCCCAAAGTGCCATTTTTTATATCCCAAAGATGTACAATGCTAGAAAAATAATGCCAAGGTTAAAAGCTGTAGACCATAAAAGGTTTTTGTTCATATAAAGCAGTGCTTTTTATGCCAACTTAATGGGGGGGGGGGGCACAAGCCTATGTTCTTGAGACGATAGTCCACTGGTGTTACTGGGGCAATTCCCACTGAAAGTAGGTCAAAAAGGGCCCCGATATCATGCTGATATGTACCTCAGGGTGTTGTGCCCAAAAAACCTTCTGACATATGTTTCAAATGCTGGTCAATTTTGGACTTTGCAATTATACACAACAGCTGATCTCAAGGGTACAAGTCAGGTTTGTACCATCATCATCTATAAAAAATTATAACAATGCTAAAAATTTCATGCTTACAACATATTTGGCCAATCTTGGATTCTTCATATATGTACCCCTCCCCCTAAACATGTGTTTGTGTTTATTGCACTGACATGTACTAATAGTTCCAAAATGTTTGTGGCTATCAATTTGGGGTCTAGGAACAAGATTGAAGACTATAAGATTAACATGAATCTAGATGTTAGATAATTCAGGGACCTTGCAAAAATTGTTCCATTAACAAGCTTTTAATAAACAAAAATGAGCTGTAAGGTTGTAAATTCCTATTTTGAGAGGCTTTGTTGTGTATCAAACGTTGTCAAAGAACCAATTTTGTCAAATGTGATACTCTCCGATAGACCTTGGCTGGACCAAAATTGCAAGAAAATGTACCCTTGGCTAGAATAGAATTCCAAAACATTATACCCTTGCTTTGGGCACACCCCCCTCCCCCAGGTACCTTTACTATGGAAGAACATCCCCCATGATTGCAGCACATTTAAACAATAATCTTGCTGAACACTGATTGGATTTTGGCAAGTGAAAGAGCATTGGACTAAGTGGGGGTGTCACAGGGGCAAATCATCAAGAAGGCAAGAGAAAAGGCACGCTGAATGCATATTTTTGAATCCGCAACAAAACCCTGCAACAAAAGTTAGACTGCTGAGAAGGATAAAAGTTTGTAAAAAATTTCCACAAACTTAAAAATTTTCAAACAAATTTCATGCTGTAGTGGGACTGTAACCCTCTTGCTTTCCAGCCATGCTAATTAGCTAACTCCTGCAAAAATAATGTTTTAGAGCCTTCCTCTCTTGTCTGAATAGAATACAACATTTATGATTTTTAAAAAAAAACGAGCTTCCATTAGACAAACGTTGATCAGGAGGTAACCACTTTAGAAAAAGCAATTAAAATTTGTTGTTACTTGCATCAAGAACCTTCATGAAACCATGAAGTTTGAAAGTACAGGCGCGTTCACACGCCCAAAAAATTTTGTTAGCACTTTGTGAATTCCTCTACAATTACCGAATTGTTTATACGCATTGCAAAACAAACAAATAAAACCCAAAGGAAGCTATTGTCTGCTAATGAAACGGAAGGGAATGACAAAACAAAGTGGTCGATGTCACGTGATTAGCAAATCGAATTCTCTTTGCGATCAATGGAATGTTTATTGCTTATGGTTAATGTTAACTATTTCAAAGATAAATTTTCCGAAAACCAATATTGGCATATTAAAAACTTTTTCGACACTATTGGAAAACTATCATAGAAAAGTATTAAAAAAACAGTTTACTGATATTCTAATTACTTGAGGTGGTTCGTCATTTTTTTCATTTGTTTTGATCCGTTAGAGACGAGCAGTGATGCGAGTTATGTTAACATTAAATGACAATACTTTCCAAGGTAAGAAAAACTGCAACACTCTTTACAAAAGGATGAAATCTAGTTTGGTATTAATAACTTCTTGTAAGTTTTATTTGCGCCTCTACTAGTCTTCAAGGGCATTTGTGTGACCTTCATTTTGTTCACTTCGCCTATCTGAGACCCTCGAGAGGAGTTCCCCGCCGCTACGAACACGATTATCTAAAAGGATTTAACTTTATTTGTGCAGGTATGAACAAAAGCAAGAAAGAGAATTCAACAGACACCAATTACGACTTACCCCTCTGTTCTTAGCTGTTCTTAGGAGATCTTTGACTCGGCCCTCTGACTTTCGCATCCACAACTTTCACCTCTAGTCGCACGTGTGAAGTAAACATTTCCAATAGCCTCGATTACACCAGTCAAATCATACCAGTCAGAAAGGGGGTCGAAAAATTAAATTCAGTGGCAAAGGGGATCATCCAAGAAACAAGGGATCATCCAAGAAACACCATGATCATGCCATTGGCCATGCTGACCATTGCCCCCAATTTTTGCGAAGCAAGTAATTGCAAAGCTGCAATGAAAGGGGAAAGAAGCATTGGCCCCCTACTTTTGTTAGCTTTCCCCCCACTTTCAAATATTCATTTGACAAAAGTTACAATAATTGATTGTTGCTAGTGACAGCAACTATAAAATTAATCCAATCATTTTTTTCGCTTTATGCAAAGTATGGCTAAAGGGGGTGCTCTCTATTGAGAGAGCTCCTCCTTAAGAAATTCCCCTCCATGCACTTTATTTTCCATTTAGTTTCCCTTGTATTTGGTATTTAATTTCTCTGTAATTTCTTTTTGTATATGTATATTTAGCTTTAATTGAAGGTGTATGTAGTGGAATTTTAAAATATGAAACTGAAACTGAAATCTGTGTGAGTGCACTATTAGGTATATATAAGACAACCATACAAGGCTTTAGGACAATCTTCAAGCAGAATCAAGTGTGTGAGATGTATTCTAGTTGACTGCGTGCTTGGGGACTAAGACTGAATCATTATTTTTCAAAATATACCTAACAAATCTGTACGCAGGCTTCTTACTCGAAATACGCGTCTTGTATACATGTATTATGATAACTTTCCGGGATCGATCCTTACATCAATGACAATTATAATTTGAAATATAAACTCTTAGTTCAAGGGAGTGCTCTCTCTTTGATTAGTCTATCTATTGAGAATGCCCCTTCGTTAAAAAATCTTCTCTTTATAAAATCATATGTAACCCTGTTTTTTATTTGTGTTATTTATATTTTATTGCCTGCTGTAATGCATTTTAAGTTAATTGTATGTTAGCTTTAGAGACGTTATTTCATGCAATGAAATTTTAGTGCTAATTTAATCTTTAACTTAAGCTGAACTGGGGAAACAAAGAGTCCTCAATTGAGTCACGTGTCACTAATACGAGGGTTTTACAGGTTTGTGTTCGCAGATTCGGCAGTAAAATAAAAAAAATTCAATAAGCGTGTTCTGATTTCTTGGCTCGACGGTTCTTATAGTTTCATCTAATTCAACAAAGACTAAACGGGTCACTTCGGCAAAACTGGTATGCTTCAAACTTCTTGAAATAACAACGGCTATCCGAACATCTGAAATCACGTCTAAACTCTAGCGACTAAATTCAACGACTGAATTACTCAAAAAAGCCAACAAATTACTCAACAGCAAGTAACATAATTAGGACAGTTATACAAAAGAGAACAAAGGAGCTGATCACAAGACAGGATGTTACATGGAAATTGGCCAAGGTGCGAACGAAAGTCAAGCACGCAAATGAAATTCAGCAAACAAGCAAACAGCAAACAAGCAAAAGTTTTAAACAGGATCCCGCTTTGACGCTATCAATTTCGTGTTATTCGTTTATGTGTGACACAAAGCGAAATAACGAATATGAAGTTTCGTAAACATTATATTTCCTCACCATCTAATGTCTTTCTACATCTATAATTTCTATACCCCAAAAAGGTGTTTTTTTAATCTGAGAACCATCTTTGTCAGCTTTTGTGAGTTTCATCATATTAACTTTTGTTTGTTTGCTCTGCAACAACTCTTTAAAATAAAATTTTACAACTCCACAGATTGTTCTTAGGAACTGCGCAAAAAACTTTTGGAACTGCACATTTTGTGCAGGACTGCACATTAAGAAAACCCGCTGTTCATGCATTTGAATGTTTATTGGTTTTGGGCAATATCTAATACATTTCCTTGCTTCTTGAAACCCCTGCAGCCAATTCACTCTTCCAGGGCCCGCGCCACGAATTTTAAAGTGGGGGGGGGGAGCAAGACTAAAAATGTAGGGGGCCAAGGCTTCTTACCACTTTTATCGCAGTTTTAAAACTACTTGCTTCGCAAATAAGTGGGGGGCCATGGCCACCCCGCCCCCCCCCTCAGTGGCGCGGGCCCTGTCTTCCAGCTTCTTTTTCTTCGATAAAGAAAATATAATTTCTTCGACTTATCATTTCAAATCCCTTGATTAGTGGTTTTTTCTCTTAATTAGCATAGCTATCAAGAATGCTCTTCTTCAATATCCTTTTTGCAGGCACTGCGGAGCGTTGAGAAAGTGGGGGTCTAAAAAAAGGGGGTGGGAGGGGCTAAAAGCGAATAGCAAATGGCTTGACTGGTGATTCATTGGTAATTTTTTTGCATTTATGGCAAAAATTGGGGGTGGTATAGCACCCCAGCTTCCGCGGTGCCTGTTCTGAAATTTCGCTTCAGACATCCAAAGAATCTCAGATATCATCTCCCGCTGCGAACTTTTCAACCTCGTTTCGGGACGATATTGACCTGATGCAAAAAATTTGTGACGATCACGAGGTCATTTGAGCAGCAAAAGTATTGAACTTTGTGAGGGAATTTCATTCGATTATATATTTTATGAGCGTCTATTTGTAAAAGAAGCTTTCTTGCAGGTTGGGATGGCTTTCTAAAAACAGTCATACGCAATTATCAACGAAAGACTATGTCAGACCTTCTCGGATATTCATGGCATTGTTTTGTGACCTGTTGTAAGACATTCTTTATCTTCTGAGTCAATAAATTTCTGTTCACAAACTTACAGCAATCCTTATCACGAAGGAGGAAATCAAACAAAGCCTCTAAAATGGAGCACGTATCCCACATTGTTATCAAATGTGTAGGAACACTAATTTTGTTTATAATGACAATCCTTTGTGGAATTATTCCGGTGATCGTATTTCGTACACCGAGAAGATCTGGAAGTGCAAGGCAACGAAAAAAACTCATTATTGGCTGCTGTAATTGCTTTGCTGGAGGAGTGTTTTTCAGTGTATGTTTACTGGACTTGCTTCCTTCTGTTAGAAACAAGATGACGAGAGCATTGCTTGAAATCAATGTATCGACTACGTTTCCACTTGGTGAGTCTATAGCTGCTGTGGGGTTTATTATGATGGTGGTGTCGGAAATTCTCGTTCATGTATTGGGAAAGGGTAGCTGGCTTATGGATCACCATCATCATCATGACGAGGAGTTGCTTGAAAATGACGAAGTCCAACCACTTATAAACGATGAACCGCCCCAAAGTTATGGTTCTGGCAAAGGTAACACTGTCAACACAACAAGAAGTCTTTCGGTTGTTGCTAGTGACAACATTGTAAATGCGAATTGCATGGAAAATCCTAGTGAAAGGGATCCAGATTCAAGACCCTGTAGTCCAGGAATTGATGATGATAATGTTGTCTTTGAAGGGAATTTCACACCTCGTTTGAGGAGGTCAAGATCCATGCGTAGCATTGCTTCTGTAAACACTGTTACTCATTCCTCATTCAGGATGTATATATTAATAATGGCCCTGTCATTGCACTCTCTTTTTGAAGGGCTCAGTGTTGGCTTGATAACTGATGTTGATACATTAATACAGCTTCTTATTGCCTTGTTATTGCATAAAAGTATAATTTCTTTTGCTCTTGGGGTCAAATTGGTTGATGGTGGCTTAAAGGTGGTAACTGTTGTTAAAGGGATAATTCTTTTTGCTGCTATGGCTCCTGTAGGTGTAGGAGTTGGTCTTGCTGTATTGAACTCCTTTTCAAAAGTTGCAAGTCTGTTCTGTTCAGGCATTTTGCAGGGATTGGCAACTGGGTCTTTCTTTTATGTCACATTTTTTGAAATTCTACCAGAAGAGTTTACTATGCAAAGTCATAATAAAGGCTCAAAAGTTCTTTTTGTCATTATTGGATTTTTGATTATTGCTGGCATGTGTTATTATGAAAATCAGTTTCATACGATCAAGAAAGTGATGCCGCATGTGGGTGGTCCCACAACTCCACCTCATTAATGGATAACTAACCTGGAGTACACTGTCATCCTTGGGGCTGGTGGTCATTGGATGCTGGAAAAAAGCATTTTAACAGATATCTACACAGTATTTCTCATATTTTAAAATGGCCATCAAAAGGGAGTCCAAGGCACTATAATAATTCACAGGGATACACTATATCTAGTAGTTTACTTCTTTAATAATACCTTGTTACCTTGACCTAATCTCCCTGGACTTTTCTCTTGATATCTTTGCTTTTGTAGTACATTTCTCAAATTCTCCAATGTAATTTGGTAAAACTCCTAATTGTAAAATGCTTCATGGTAAGCTAAGGTTATATTCCTATAAAATTTTAGTGGGAATTTGATAAACGAAAATTGCTTTAGACTTCAGTATCAGGGACTGACCTTAGAATTGATAATTAGTATAATTATATTTTCACGTTTTAATTGTTAAGCTTTCTCATTGCTATATTTGAAAGTGTTTTCATTTTGAAAAACTGGGATTATTCTCAGTCTTCACTAAGCTTACAAATGAGCTAAATATTTTAATGTAAGAGGATGCCAAAAATTTTGTCAAAAGATAATGAATGCATAAACCCTCATAAGCTGTAGAACCTTTTGGTTTTTAGGACCAGCTTTGGCAAATTGAGATTGGATAAGTTTCACACTGAAATTGAATAATTTAAAATTTATGTGAATTATATTAGTTATTTAAGTGTTTGTGGCAAGTAATGCATATAGATACTAAAAGTTATGCGAAGCATCTAGATGGATCCCACAGCTAGTGGTCATTAAAATGAAACCAAAGAGCAATTCAGTGTAAATTTTCCAAGAAAAGACATAAAACCAAGCACTGTAAAATCATTGCAAATGAAAAAAGCTGGAAGTGTAGGCATTTTAGGGATTAGTTAATTATATTTGAAGTACAATGTGCTTATCTGATTTTTGTTTTGATCATGCTGATTGTTTTGATTTTTCATTTTATTTTAAAATTCTTTTTAGTAAAATTATGTTCTAAAATTTGTGAAAAATTACTTAATTAATATAATCTAGCTCATACTTTGTATGTATTTAATTGCAGTTGGTACTATTCATTGATAATATATGTTGTTTTTTATATTAGCCCCATTTTGTTTAAAGGTTGTGATGCCAGAAGGCAAATGTCACATGGTTCTGATATGTAGGTCAAGGGCTTGATTTTTCTTTGGTTGTAATCAGTTTTCCCGTTCAATAGTTTTGCTTAAGCCTGCATACATGTGCTAAAACCATTTTTGATACTAGTTAAATTTTAGATTAATCTTTAGGATAATGCTTGTTTCAAATAAAATTAGATTTTTAAGTTGTATCTCCAAACAACTTGGGTAAATATTTTACCAATTAGTTCAATGACGTCCTGTCATTTTTTCATTTATGGATATTCAGGAATAAATAACACAACATTGTTTCCACTTTTTGGAACATTCATAATTTGTTTTTTTCAGCAAATTGAGAAAGGTTTTATGTTATGTTGTTTTACCAACTTTATTTTTGTTGATGATTATCAAGTGGTTTATGCACTTTTCAAAATAAGATTTTGTATTTGCTTGGAATTTAATAAGCAATTTGTCTAGCTTTGAGTGCCAATCCTTGTTGCTTTTTCTGCTTCTGTTGAAAGTTTTTTTGTAAATTTGTCTTCTAAATGAATTGTCAAGTATATAAATATGATTGAGAACTTGTTGCAATCAATGCCCTGTAAAAGGGACAATAATTTTGTAAAGAAAGTTGATGCTCACAGAAATTACTCCTAACGGGAACAACAATGCACTTTCCAAAGTTAGATACAAAACACTGGCAATAGTTAGGCATTCATAGCAAAGAGAGCAAAAGCTTCATACTTAATGTATTTGGCTTTGCATAAATGGGAATACTTTGCATAAAGTATTTTACATATATCATATATTCCCAGATTAGCACAAAATGGGAATGATGCTGCAGCACAAAACCATGGAACTCCAAGCATAAATCAGCCTGCTCAGCTTCAAGAAAATTGTTTTTAAACAGGCCTATTTCTAGGATGGGCCTAATGCTACTGCTCATATAGGGCCCACTTCAACAGCCATTATATCATTTGAGTTTATTGTCCCTTCATATTTTGTTTATGGGAATTGCAAAATATATTTTCGAAGCAATTCCCAAGACTACTGAGATGACAAATTTAAAGACAAAAAGAACTAAGCGACCAATGCAAGAAAACTTGCTTGCAGGTTAATCTACAAATGGTTTAAAAACCCGTATCTATTAAATATTCTGCCAAAAAGAATACTGTTGAAAAATAAATTATTTAAGCTGCTATACTAAAGGAGTTACTCAAAGTAGTATTTGCATTTTTTTGAAATACATGTGGTAGTTTTAGACCTAAACCATGGTCATGGTTACACTTGGTTAAACTGTATGCAATCAATGTTAAAGTGTTTTTTGCTCTTCGATAAAATTTTGTCTTCCAGTCCTTAAACTTTATTAGTATATAGGTGTCTTATAAGAAACACTCAGTTGGCAATTCTCATATTCTTGACTAGCTGCATTCTTCTATCTTGTCTGGCTTTTTTTCAAGGATTCTTATTAATTGTTACATTAAATGCCTTTCTCTGTGGGAATTCTTACATTTTAACCACTCTTACGGGTCTTTTGGTAACTTGTTAGAAAAAACACAGATTGTATGGTATTCATTCAATAAAATACATTGTATTTACATTAATACAATAACATAAAACTTTAATCTTTATTGTGCAAGGGCAGAATTTTATCAACTTGGAAGACTTTCATGATAAATGACTTTTTCTTCTAACTTTCATCATCTGCCTTGAAGCAAAATCAATAATTTTGGTCAATCATTCTTTTTCTGATTTAATTCACAACCTGGTGCATTTGAAACCAAGGTTTTGTCTGTTGAATGCTCATCAGTGTGCTTATCCTGCAATAATAATAAAGTATATTAAAATAACAAAATTTTCGGAATGGTTTGCATTTATCCGCTTGCTACTTGTGCAGCAGGGCTTGAGTAATTAATGTAAATGCATGTATGAAGGTAATTCACTCATGCATCTGAGGAAAAGCCTTCTGTGCATCATAATCTCTAATAATCTCTTTCTACAAAACTCATGAGTTGGCCTTTTATCTATTTCAAAACTTTAAAGTCTTAGTGCAAAAGTCTTAAAGGTCTTAGATAGCTTATGCCATAGATATTGTACATGGACTAGCGATTTCAATTGTATTTATATCGTTTATTGGCAAATATCAAGAATTAGCTTTACATGAAATCTACAAGCCACCCAGGATCTACAAGCACAGAAGGCAAAACATTGGGCTCTATGTTTGATCATAATAAAACCTGGTAAATCTTTAGACAATTGATGGTTTATGCAACTGTTTTTAAATTGTCTAGCAATTTCATAAAGGTTTTATGGTGAAGAACAAAAATTGAAAAATATTTTATGACGTCATGACTGACACCAGGCCTTTTCACTAGGTCGAAGGCCTAAATCAGTATAAATCAAGACTGTAAATCACCTTTTTGAAAATTTCAAGAACAATTTTAAAGCTACTTTCTTTCAAAGTCAGCATCTTAGACTTACGACAGCCAAATATTTTTAGATAAAGTTTTGAAATCGAAGGAAAGCAGACCAATCGAAATCTTACCACTGATTTGTTCGAACTTTCTTTCGCAGAATCCAAAGCCTCTGGCATCTTTTTTTGAAACCATAGGTCAATCAGAGGCTGAATGAATTTATGCCAAACGTACAAAAGTACTGGCACGACAATACACGATACTCATACCATATCGAGCAGGCTTGAAATGCTACTATTTTCTTCGCCCTTTTTCTCTTCGCAGTTTGCTAAAGCAAGCCGAAACGAAATCACTTAAAACAATGTTTTCAACAATTCTCGTTATGAAAACGAGGCCCTATCAGGAGTTTTGGATCAGAAACAAATTTTTATATTATCGAGGATGGTGCATGATGGCAAATGGTTTTTTCAACTTTCAGCAAGGCTTTCCAGGAAATATTTTTGTTATACGCATAATACTACCTACAGGTGAAGCAACAGATTGGAGAATAGAGTCAGATATCTCTTTTCACGATGTATTGGTGAGTTAACAACAAAACATGGTTTCAATTTAATTATTTTCAATTAATTCAATTATAAATAGAGGGTGCTCTCTCCTCGATTAGCCTAGCTACTGAGAGAGCCCCTCCTTAAGAAATTCCCCTACATACAATTCCTTTGCCTTCTTGATGTAATACTATATATTGTTTCTTTTAGGTTTCTTGTGTAACATTTATCTTGTATTAATTAGTTAAGCATGCTATATTTAATTGTATTTAAATTTTGTCTTTTTAGACTGTATGTAGTGGAATTTTAAAATTATATGAAACTGAAAAATGAAACTGAAACTGATTATTTATTTAAGTTAGCGTTGTCAATCTTTCTTCGTCATCCTAGCCAAAAATTGATCATAAAATCAGAATATTGTGCACTGCAGGCCAATGGCCTCTGCAAACCTTTCCATTACTTTCAACCAACAAACAACATCCTCGAGTGTTGCCTGGGATTGTGCTGGTTATCCATTTGGTTTCCTTCTGTTCATTTTCTCATCGTTGGTTTAAAGGACCGAGGGGCCCAGGGCCGCAAACATCTGCAGGGCTCTTGTTCTTTACAATTCCCATTTTTTCTTAGGTGCAGGGCCCCTTTCTGGCTATCATCAGCACAGGGCCTTTGGCTGTGACCCCCCTAAAACTGCCACTGCATATTTTTCTTGCAAGTGCTTCTTCTATTTATACTTCTACTTCTACAACGATACTGAGCAGGACCAAGTATTGGTATAATGCTCAGAGTGCAAGAAATTATAGATTTATGGATAAAAAGTGCTAGGAAATGCCACTGATCAATAATTAGATTGAAAATTTACATGTCAAATGAAAAGCTGTAATTTTGTTTGTCGTCAAGACCAAATAAAAAAAAAGTGGGACTGAAAGTTAAAGAAAACATTGAGGGGGCATTGTGGTAATGGATTGGTCAGTGGCATCTATGAATTGATGCGTGTGCAAATTAATTTACATGTTAGAATTGATTGCTTACTGTGTTTTATCTTTCAGTAAGAAAAAAAACCTAAAATACAGTTAAAGGCAATGCTTTAATCTGTCTGTGAACACCGTGTGTCCTTGGATTTACAACATTTATGTTCTTCCCAGTATGGAATCCATGTAGCTTATGCCGGAGATATCCGGCGTATACTAATGATTTCCCATTATCTTTCTATTGTTTATTGGCATATGTCCGGTGTGAGCTTCGCGTGGATTCCACCCTGGGTCTACAGATCAATTTCTTTCTGAAGTTCTCTTTTAAATGTCTCTTCTTTGAGTTGCCTGAACTCAATTTGTAATATGTTCCAACATCTGATAGTTCTTGAGAAAAATGAATACAAATATGTTTTGATATAACACCAATGTTGATTAACTGAGCTGCTGACTTCTTCCTTGAAGCTATATTGGTGTTATTATGTAGGATGGAATGTTAACAGCAATAACATCATTTACTGCCTTATGGAAGAGATATGACCTTGCAATATAGCACCTTTCTTGAAGAGTTGGCCGTTTGAGTTCTTTTTAACATATCAGAGACACTAGAGTGTTGATCATAATCTCTCCTTACAAATTTTGCAGCTCTCCTTTGTATTGCCTCAATTTTCTTTATATGATTTGCTTGATGAGGATCCTATACTGTAGATGCATACTCTAAAACTGCTCTTACTTTTGTAGTGTTATGCTTTTTTTGCCTTGTCTGAACTCTGTCCATTTTTGTGTATCCATTTGTGTAACATGACCTCCCCATTGCCATTTATCTCCTTAAACCAAGTGATTAGTTATTGGCTCTCCTTCAATATATTGACAAAAAATGACCATTGTTTACAAATTTAAATCCTAAGAGGAAAATATATCTAACAATAATGCCAATTGGTCAAACATCATTTAACAATGTAATTATCTTATATTTTTTTCTTTAGGATGTGCTCAATAGAGTTATGCCAACAGTCTCACCAACTGCTTTTGAATGTAATGTCATATCTTATTTGCTCTTATATCTTTTTTTAAAGTTTTAACTTTTTCAAAAATTTTAATATGCCAACCAATATTGTATTATCTTTAAACTGTTAATGCCGAAATGAACTTGTTTTCATTCAAAGGGACGCTATTATTTGAAAATGTTTATTTTTCCAGGATTTGGAATAATATTTTGACTCTTATTTTGGAAGGCTTTGTTGGTCCTTGAAAATTACCAACTTCCTTCTGAGAAAGTGTGTAGGAAACTGTTTGTGCATCTAAATAAATTATGACCCAGCATTGATTTGTGTGCATTTATAGTTATCTTTTTTGTAGAGAGATTGTCATGCTTATTCTTTAAATATCATAGAAGTAGTATGCAAAATACATGAGTTATTTTTGAAAGTTTCAAAAGTTTTTTTATGCAGGGGCACACACTTGGTCAAATTTAGGTGGGGGGGGGCAAGCCTATTGTTTGATAAGATGACATCACATTTCACCATTGTTTTAGAACAAAAGACTATTGACCTCTAAAATGTTAGGGGTCCCATTGCCCCCTCTGAGTGTTACATGATTATAATTGACATCAAAGCTTGTGGTTCCAGGGCATGTTAATATTAAGCAAAAGAGGCCAAATGAGAAATAAGGCATTTAGTATAGAACAATCTAACCTCTAGGGTAGATCAACAATGGAAGCTTTGATACGCCATTGCAAACTCTTTGTGAATTTACCCAATGATACTGTAAAACAGTAAAATACCTAGTTTAATACTTCAAGTATGACTATTGGTCTGTATTACTACAAAGAGCTTGAAACTGAATACTTTAAATGAGGGGTTGAGGAAGGAAAAGTTAAAAACAAAGCATACTAAGCACAGAAAAAATAAAAGGGGAATAAATGTTTCAATTATTCATCTAAAGCATATACCATTTTGGTTGAACAAAAGAACATATAAAAAATGTTCGAAAATAAATTTTTGAATTCTTTTTATTTGTTTGCACACAGTTGTTATGGCATCATCAGTACATGCATACATAAAACATTTCTATTTATTTCAATGATTTATGTTTTTTGCATTTTTGTTATTGAAATTATTTAATTGGCAATTTTTTTCATTCTATAAAGATGAAGATGAAGAAGGAGATAGAATAACAGTTCGAAGTGATGATGAATTGCAAGCAATGATTCAGTGGGTAAGACTGGTTTTTAAATTGCTAATTAGCATGATTATCTATGGTGCAGTTGTTGTGTGGTAATATTCTGGGTATCTGGGTATGGGAACATCCCATTTGCCTAATGGCAGTTACATTAATGCAAATGTTTATAAACGCACTACAATGTTCACATTAACAACTAAATATAGAAAACAATATTGCATCTGTGGTAAACCATATCATCAATGATGATGATAATTCAAATGAGCTTATCAAACAAAAGACATGTTCACAGAATTAAATATCAGAGGACATAATAAACCTTTTAGCCCTTAGTTTTTTACCAATTTATTTTGTTTCATATTTTGTTTTGTCCCTTTTGTTCTATATCTACTATTCCATTTCTAATTTGATTAAGCAAAATTTGACAAGGATGCCGTTTTCTCAGAGTTTTCAAAGAAAAAAATTATTTACCTTAATTGCTTCAAGATTCTTGGGTAACTCTATTGAGGCTGCTGTTGTTGCAGGTCTTGGTGGTAGATTGGCAGTGTTTATAGTTGAACTGGTCATTATATTGCAGCAAGGAATTTTATGACATGAAACCTAAAAAAACTATTGTTGCTAGTGGCTCTAAGGCCTTAACTTAAGAGTTTTTATTTTTCAATGTGCAAACAAATAAAAAGAATTCAAAAATTTATTTTCGAACATTTTTTATATGTTCTTTTGTTCAACCAAAATGGTATATGCTTTAGATGAATAATTGAAACATTTATTCCCCTTTTATTTTTTCTGTGCTTAGTATGCTTTGTTTTTAACTTTTCCTTCCTCAACCCCTCATTTAAAGTATTCAGTTTCAAGCTCTTTGTAGTAATACAGACCAATAGTCATACTTGAAGTATTAAACTAGGTATTTTACTGTTTTACAGCATCATTGGGTGAATTCACAAAGAGTTTGCAATGGCGTATCAAAGCTTCCATTGTTGATCTACCCTAGAGGTTAGATTGTTCTATACTAAATGCCTTATTTCTCAATTGGCCTCTTTTGCTTAATATTAACATGCCCTGGAACCACAAGCTTTGATGTCAATTATAATCATTAAAATTATGGTTTTAAACCTATTTTTCAAGCAACCCAAATGAAACAGATTAAAGTAAATAAGACAACGAGTCTTGATTTCATACCTCTCTTTACGTTCCCACAGAAACTGCATTTCAAGCTATTGTTCCGAATGTTTTCATTTTTCGTTAATTAGCTATGAACTCAAACTCCCTTAGACTCAAGATTCAATGTTTAAAATCATGTGTGACAATTCCCCCAAGATACTTACTAATCTGGTGACCTAGTGATGTAATGTACAGCTAGAAAAGTTTTGATAAAATAAATCAGTTCCTGAATATCTTATCAAAAATAGAAAAATATGCTTTGTAAATGAATATGATTTTTCTTTATGGGACATAGGACAGATCCTTTTCAACAGTAAAGTGCTAGAAGCCAGTTTCAAAACCAGAAGTTTCATCTGCATCAGTATCTGAAAAATGAGTTTAGTAGCCTCTAATAAGAATAATGGTGCAAGAGAATAAATTTATTTTTCCATTTTCATTCATTCTAACAATACAATGTACAAAAGGCGTATTTAACTGTTTGCTGTACAATCATTGAACGAGTAAGAGAATGAAAGCATGTAACAATTTTTTTTCTGAAACAAAAGTAACCTTTTCTCAATTTATTACCATTTAAAATATATTTTACTGTAACTGATTTTCTTACAAATGTCTTGTCAGAAGAATGTGTTGTTTTTTTTATATCTTGGAAGTCTTTTTGTTAATCTTTTAATTACAGTAGTATATGTCTTTTCTCAGTTAGCAGATCTTCAGTCAAAAGAAACATGCTTGGGCTGACAGTGAGTTGCTTAATATTTATTGGGTTTTCTCACTTCTTTAGATTCTAATAAATCAAAATGTATCTAAATGTTGAGTTTATTTGGTTTTTTTAATTTGTGATTTAGTTGTTTGTATGTAATAGGTAAATGAATAATTAAATCAACAATATCTTTGTAAAAATACCTCTCTCAAATGCCAGAGGTTTGGTTTTTCATTAGATCGGGTCTTTGTTAGTTGTTTGCCTTTCTTATAATTTCGATCATTTTTGTATTTGCTGGTTTTATTTCGACACAAGCTGCCCTAGAGAAAATTTCAAATAATTTTTACCTTCCCTGGACCCTGCTTTCTAGTATTGGTACTTTCAAAAGTGATATACTTCACATCTTGTTTGACAGGTTGATGTAGAAGCTGCTCCTACACCTCAAGCAAAAAGGGAAGGAAGTGGTGGTGGCTCTAGTGGGTATGACTGCCTTTTAAGCATATTGAAATATTTAAGCATTTATTCATGTAAGAATGCCCGATTAATGCATACATTGACGTCATAAAAGATCATCAGTATATGCAGATTGTCCTGGCCATTTGTATCTTAAAAATTTCTTAAATTTTAAATCAAAGAAAACTAAATCCTTGTTTCTTCTTTATAAGACCAAATGAATTATGCTCTTGCTGCTAACCTTAGCAATGTCCGTCCAGACCTCATTGTATTTTCTAAGTTTTAGTATGACACACTTCAAGTGGTCACCTTCTGACATGCGAGATTTAGATGATATCATTCTACTACAAATTTAAGCAATTACCTGTGTTCAGATGTTTTTTAGGAGAAAGCAACCTGGAGATATTCAGAATATACTTTCAAGTGGCCAGGTAATGAACAGTTGCTTTGCTGGTAACATCTTTAAGGCTTCAAAAATTAAGCTCCACTGTCCTTTTAAGCAAACATGCCCTGGTAAGAAGTCCCTGTTGGTGCTTGATAAAAAAACCAGAACAGAAAACTCATAATTGAGGTAAAAGGCGACATCAAATACTGCACGTCACAGTGTAATAGAGACAGCCAGTTTGTTCATTGTTTTAAACATATTCAAGATAGAATTTATATGTTTGGTAGAGTTCAATTTTGCTTAGGCCACCCAATTACAAGTAATAAGACAGGCTTGATATTCAAGACCACATCAATGTTTTTCAGAGAAAACATACATAGCTTGCTTTTTCTTTGAGAATCACTAGAATATGGTCAATATTTGGTAAGGTAGTATGACTGGATGCTGTCTGCTACTGTCCTATTATCTTTGAAATTTTATCTTTAATATTGTAGGTGTATCAACAAGATATTCACAATTTGGAACTGATGGGCTTTGGAAATGCTGGCACTGTCTACAAGTTAGTTACATATATAATTTTGTGTGAGAGAATTAATACAGTAGAAGTTTAATAATGTAGTTATATCTATGAAATACTTAGAGATGTTAATGCTGCCTTTAAATTTGATAAAAAATCATTGATTGCTTACCAAGCTAGAAATGGCTCCCGATTGAGTCAGGTCAGAGGGGATTGTGATGCATAGAATCAATGTTTTGAACTTCATTCAATGGTGTTGCTATGAGACTTCTTAAGAAACAAAGATCCTCTTTTAAACGAAACTTGGCATAGAATTTAACATCATATCATGTTTAGTTCTTCTGTTCACTTTATCATGTTCTTATAAGGTTTGTAGTTTATTAATTAGAGTATAGAAATTGATTGTAGAGAATATTAAACTGAAAGGTAACTGGGTCAAACAGAACTCTTGCGCTAGGAACACCCTATGCCCCCTCCATTGGCAGGTCTCACAAGGATGGGTATATCCCAATCAAGTGAGGCTAGTTGTGTTTGTCTTGATGGTTGATTAATGGGCTTTAATTGCTGACCAATATATCAACCTTCTGTCTCGCATGGTCTTTGCACAAAGTCTGCATATTGACTTGAAAGAGTGAGATTCTTGTTTTTTTACTAAGGCTAAAGTTGATTTGCTTGTTTTTCTGCATTTTTAGATGTCTTCATATCCCAACACAGCGAATAATAGCAACTAAGGTAACAATTTAGAACTCTCTTTTCATAGCTATAATCATTATATGCATAGTTCCTTTAGGAAACCTAGCGTCCTTTGTCCATGATGAACTTCACTGCAACTTTCATAATGATTATCTTTTATTAATTGAAAATGAATCATGGAGACCCGTAGTAGCCACTTTATATTGTTTTAGAGGTAAGACTTTCAGAATGATGGATAACATTCTAAACTAACCAATCTTTGTTTTAACATTACAAGGTAGAGCTATATCTAAAAATTGAAAAAAAAATTTAATAATAACAGAATCAAAATTTAAGGTCCAATGTTTTCTAGTTTTTTTCTAGATTTCCCTAAACAACGAGATAACAGTTCATTGAGTATAGAGCGAAAGAATCATTGCCTTTTATTGCAATTTTATTCTACTCTTTTGGGTTAATTTCTTTAGAGTTTCTTGAGATCTCTGTACTTTTAGGTGTTCCACTTTGATCTGAAATATATATCTTGTTGCTATTGACTTGAAAATATTGCCATCAAATTTCAAGTCGTTATGAGAGATCTTGAAATTATCCTAAACGCTATAATTAATAATAAAAAAACTCTTTACCACAGGTCATCCCTCTTAATGTATCAGTTGAAGTGCAAAGGCAGATCATCTCAGAGCTAGATATTCTTTTCCAGGTTTGTTACACTTAAACTACTAATAAAAATCTAATTTTCAATGTAGGATTAGGAAATGGGGTTCATTTTAAATGGAAAATCAATATCTTCAAATTGATGTTACATGGGTAGATTAAAGAAATCCTTTATTGGTTATCTTAAGACAGAAAATTAAACTTTTGTTATCGTTTTTGTTAACATTTATCAGTTTAGGATAATGTTTGCGCTCAGCTATTTAGGGAATTTTTAAGGTATATTGTTTCTCAAGGTCAGTCTTTGTGCTTTAAGAAGGGTATATTAGAAGTTCCCCATTTGTGTTTTTGGCAATGCTAGAGTTTAAAACATTGTCTAGATTAGTTTAATTTACACCAATAAGATAACTAAGCATTGACAATGAACATTTCACGGGATCATAAAATGTCAATACTTGCTACATCTTTAGTCTGTTTCCAATTAGTTTTTCTGAATTAAAACTAGAGTGAAGATTGCAAGAAGTATGCTCTTATCATGGTTTATATATGTCGGTTTTCCGTATATGCTAATATTTCACTCTATCAACTATTTCAATAAATCCTTTGAGTCCCCTTTCAAGCCAAATTTGCATACAAAGCCCCACACTTCTTGCATGCTACTTTAACTATTCGTTCAGTCAGGTCCATGCAGTTATTTTGCTATAATACGTACTCAGTCAATCCACGGAAACTTTTATTTAAATCCTCAGTGCAATTCACCATTTGTCATTGGTTTTCATGGAGCATTCTTTACTGAAAGCAAGTAAGTATTAAATTTGGAAAGACTCTAGGAAACAATGCTCAAGTTTGATTTTGAGCTTTCGTAACATATTTGTGGATAGCCCTTAGATCTCCTTTAAGTTTGAAATTATGCATTTTTGTGATACTATTCTCGATCAATTTTATGATATGTGTCAAGTTTTGTTGGTATGTCGAAGAGAAATAGCATTTTAGTTATGGTATGATATTTTATGTCAAGCCAATGAATGGTAACTGGAAATATCGTTTAAATAAATACATTTCCAGGAATTCCAACTTTACCTAGATTCGGTTTTAAAGCGTTTTGTCTATTAGTGATTTTTTAATTTTTCTTGAAAGGATCTCAATATGCACGGAATACATGAACGGTACGTTGGTCTTTGTCTTCTTTTTAATTATTGTCATGAAGACCTTTCTGTCAAGAGTTTCTAATGATCTATTTTTGTTCCGCCATAAATTATCAAACATATATGGATCAGATGCAGACTCACCCGTTTGCCATCCTCATCCATGACTGAAATCATTTATCGCTGTCATTTTTTAGGAGGATCCCTCGACACATATGGTGTTATACCAGAAGCTGTTTTAGCAAAAATATCTGTATCAGTAAGTTTGGATCAACTAATCATAAAAATATTTTTATGTATAGCTTATGTTTACCAGAGGCACAAACAAGAAACATTTTTGTTTCATTGTTGTTATGAAATTCCACCTAAAGCATGTCAGCTTTTTCTTTCTTATAAACTTGAGTCGTGTTGTTGCAGGCTTATGGTATGCAGCTATCTTTGTCTTTTCCATTCACTAAACCCGTCTCTTTTTACCTATTTTGTTGTTTACGAAAGCTCCATGCATAGTCACTTATGTCCGTCCAGATCTTTACCTCTTTCTCCAGATGTTTACAGAAACATTGTTATTCCTTTATTTCGGTATTTTTCACATTATCAGGTTGTCAAAGGTTTAGTCTATTTATGGAATTTAAAAGTTATGCATAGAGGTACGTACAACGGTTTGATGTTATTTATCTGGCGCACAATTTTATAGCATATAGGAACAAAGGTTTTTAATGACGCTATAGTCAGTGATTTGTAAATCGATATTTTCTAGGACATTAAGTTTTACTATTATATTCAATTGATTTCAATTTTATTCGTATATTATAAAAGAAGTAAACTTTAATTATACGACAATATAAACGGCCTAAGAAAAGTATAGCCTTATATTGTAAAATAGATTTTTTATATTGTGGTGGAAAGTTCGACAACCTTTTCGGATCGGTATTACTGCTTATCATATCCAACTAAAATCAAAACCCTAATCACCGAAGTAGACAATGTGTTTCCTGCATCAGTTACGCATTTTGTAATAAACACTAGTTTTAGTTTTAAACACGAGATATTCACCAGTTTGATTGACCTACATTGAATTATTTATGCTCTTTATATAAAGTACATTGATTTTCATGACATTTTAGTAACATTTTTTATTTACCCTTACTAGATGTAAAACCATCAAATATGCTTGTGAATACCGATGGAAAAGTAAAACTTTGTGATTTTGGTGTTAGCATTCAAGTAAGACCTGTTTTAATCTTTCACTGTACTAAATTTTTCTCAACAGCTTTTATATTCTATACTTAATAATTTAAACTCTTAAATTAAACTCTTTAATTTTTATCATGGCATTATCTGAGACGTATAAAAACATTTCGTAAAAACATGTTAGAACATTAATAACGATCAATGTAAGTAAATTGTACCAGGAACATTTTTTTAAAAATAAAACTCTTTTAATTAAATTCTTTAATTTTTATCCTACATGGTATTAAATTTAATTTTACGTTATTTTTAGTTAGTCAATTCAATTGCCAAAACCTATGTTGGTACCAATGCCTATATGGCGGTAAGTTATTGCACCAAGCATTGTATTTGACTTCGCTTTATCTATGATGAATCTACAGATTATTTACTGGGCAGTCTTCAGCTGTTAAATTCTTATGCGATTCTTAAATTTAAACTGAGCTCATTCTCAAGATTTTATGATCCTCAAAGCTGAGGCTACTCTTTTAAGTTAGATGATTGTCTCAAGTCTCGAATAGCCTTTGGCTCTCTCCATCCTCGGATCTTTCTATTTCACCCTTAAACCATCTTTTCATCCCATTTTGCCAAACCTTTGTCCAATAATCCAATTAGTCCAATTTTTATAGACTTTTTTCTCGTCAAGGCTATTTTCTCTCTCGTATAGCATTTATCCCTTTAACAAATGATCGATCTCCAAAATTCACTTTGCTTCCCAATCCCGATTTTTGCAGCCTGAGAGAATCAGTGGAGAAGAGTATGGAATTCACTCTGACATTTGGAGTTTGGGTATCTCGTTTGCAGAGGTTAGTTTCTTGCATTTTCTACCATCTTGACTATTCTTGTGAACTCCTAATGAAGTAGGCTCGAAAGTTGCTTTTGTTTGTGACTTTTGGGGGCTGTTTTTCCTCATTTTGTTGGTCTGTCCTAAAAAAGCTCCTCCTTAGGAAATTTCCGTGCATGCAACATCATACGCATTTGGTACGGCTATATTCAAATCATATTCAGAAGCTACTCATACCTTGCAATGTTTTCCGAGAGCATATGGTAATGTCTCGGTCAAATCTCTAAAGATGATTGGTATCTGATGTACGTAATTTCGTTTTAGATGGCGACTGGACACTTTCCGTATGCATCGGTGAGTATATTTACCGTATTTGATTGATCACATTGTAGCTACCATATATTTCTTTTGGGTTCCAACCACTTTTTGCCTTCTGCATTTTGCTGAAAAGACTATGAATGTAAAATTTATATTTTTTTTATAGGACACACGAAAACAGGATGATGATTTGCGCGTTCTTGTGAGTTTATTTTTGTTCAGCGACATACAATTTCAAAAAATTACAAACGGGGGACATCTCTCGTTTCGAAAGCAATCTAATTGTTTTATATAGAAGAGGTGTGCTAATTATTCCGAAAATTTCTTTCCTAGAAGTTTTAATCAGAATTTTATGAATGCTACTGAAGAAGTTTGTCTTGTCTTAGACTGTGATGGAGTTTTTTGTACAATTTTTATCTACATAAAACAGAAATAATTATTGATGATCTTGATAATAGTATGACTGTTTATCTTTTTCAAGCCTATCGACTTGCTTCAATGCATTGTGCATGAGGTATGTACTGTATTTGTCTTTATAAGAAAATACAGCCAAGACTCTCATGCTGTTCTCAGAAAACCAGCTTGGTTCCTTGCTTATGAAAGCATTTTCAAATTCTATTTCTGAAATAATCAAACTGTTTCTTTGATTACCAAGACATGTCAACACAACTTACTTGCATAATAAATTGTTATTCTTGCAAATTGGTCATTAATTGTTTGTTTATTTAGCTATTTAAAGTTTTCTGTCATAGAACATTCAGTAATCCTCGTTCGCAGCTTGGTTAAGCGTGTGCCTAATCAAAACATATTTATTTCATGTCAACAAGTTTACGTTTTCGTTTGTTTTTAAGGAGCCTATCCCACTTTCAAGAGAGCAATTTGGAAACGATTTTGTGGACTTTGTTTCACGATGGTAAGATCGCTTTTATCTGTACAAATCTACGCTACATCCACATCTAAAGCCACTAAAATTCTTCTTCTTGAAATTCTTAATCCTTTCGCTTACAGATTCAGATTAAGGTATTCTCCTATATAATATAGGATATATTGAAACTTTTCTTAAACATTGTAAAGCATTTCTTAGACGTATAAAAAAATTTCGTAAATAAATCTTAACACATTTTGTAAAAGCATGTTAAAACATTGTTTGAAAGCATGTTTACAACACTTCCTAAACATATAAACATTCCTAAACATGTAAAGCATTTCTTAGGCGTATAAAAACATTTCGTAAAAACATGTTTAAAACATTTTGTAAAAGCATGTTAAAACATTGTTTGAAAGAATGTTTAAAACACTTCCTAAACATGTCAAAACATTTTTAAACATTTCAAAACATTTTTAAACATTTCAAAACATTTTTAAACATTTCAAAACATTGCTCAAACAAGCTTGTTTATAATCTGTTAACTCTTATTGATCATTAGTCTCAGCAAAGCCCCTCATTATCGGCCCAATCCAGAGCAATTGCTGGTAAGTTTCATTGGCATTCTTCCAAGATTTTTTCAATCAAATATGATCACATGATAAATCTACATGGAGAAGGATGATACTGAAATCGTTGAATATATTTCCTGAATTCATCTATGAATTTTTTACTGTTTTTATTTCTAATGGGCCTTTGGTTTGAATTCGAGTCACCTAGCATCTGACATTTTGAGATAATTAACAATATTTTCTGGCCGCACAGGAACACGCCTTGATAAAGAAGAACGACGATAATAAAGATGATGTTATTGCTGCGTTCGTTGCTCAGCGACTAGCAGAAAGAGAAGGCATGGAGCATTAGTTACTTGAATTCAATTGCAAGGCATTTAAATAGCCACGAATATTAATTGTAAATAGACACAGTGTAAAAGGAATTAATTTTTGTATACAGGAATATAACGTATTTTAGCAATAGCAATAATAGTGAGTTCAGCGTTACTCTTTCTTTATTTACTTCTTCATTTGTATTTGATATGCTTTCTTTGACGAAGAGATGATTGATTTTCGATAATGAAGAAATACCTCCCTCCCTCTGAAAAGTAGCAGGAAATCTTTTTGCTGGAAACCGATTTTTGCCAAAGTCTTTTGAAATGCTGGGATGCACAACTTGTGAGCTAGTATCAATGCAAATAACGTTTCAACCGTTAAATGAGTACTCTCATATTCCAAATTTTGAGAATGCAGTCCTTAAAAATGAACAGTGATCTTAGATGTTTGCCCACTTTTTGTGGACTCTTGAATCCAATTTATTTGCTTTATTTTGATTTGGTTTTTAAGCTTTAAAAGTATTTTTAAGTGCAGTTTAGCATATTACTTCAGAGAATATGTTGACTTAGTCAAAATTGGATCTTTTTCATTATCGCCTGTTTTAATTTGAGCATCCAAAGATCTTAATTTTCTCAGAATTCGATAAAAAACAACTGATATCAATATGGTAATATAAAAATATTTTAGAACTGGGTTCATCACTGCGGAGATGGGAAAAAAATGACAAATCATAGAGTGATATTTCAAAATATATGTAGATACTTAATACAGGAAGTAAGAAAACAACTTGGGAAGTCAAGGATAGGTACATCAATGACCAGCATTGATAATAAAAGTACGAAAAAGGAAAAGGGCAAACAAGTAGTAAAGAGGGTGTGATGACAGCAGTGATTTAGCTAAAAGAGAGCAATTGATAACTTAACTTTATATTAACCCCGAATTAACAACTTGTCTGGTTCCAAAAAAAGAGTTTTTTACTGTATTGAAAGGATTATCAAAGTATCCCCACTCCAATTTTTGAAATCCCACTTCAAATATCATGAAACGTATGGTAATTAAACAGAATGAAATCCTTCCAGTTCTGTTAAGCAGCAAAAGGTTAATCAATGGCTTCAATTTCACTCTTTTAGTAAAGGTTGAACAAAAGCTCTAATCAAAGAATTATTTGTGAAAATACAGCTTGGTTCTAATGTAGCTTGTGCCAGTTTTTTGTTTATGGTGTTTTATTTTGTGGCATTTTGTTTCTTTAACTTTCATGATCTTATAACACTCAGCTGGAGTATCACAAATCGTCTAATGAGTATTTCAAGTGCTCAGTTCATATTTATTATAAAGATCGTATGTAGTCAAAAAGCAATTTTTTTAATTACCAGCCGGGTAGTTATATTTTAAAGAAAATAGCAAATTCTACAAACAGGGAGAAAAGCAAACAGTTTGCTAGCCCAACCGGCAAAATGAAGCGTGAATTTGACCCGAGAGTTCCGGCAAAATTTTAAGCAATAACGAAGGATGCTAACCAGGGAAAGTTTAAAACGAAGACTTTCAGAAGATGAAATTAAGATACACCCAGTTCAAATTTACACCCAGAGCAAGAGTTCATGTAAAAGATTTGTGTTAAGCAATATATATATTTTTCTCTCGATCTTCTTTTAACAAGGAGTCTGAACTGAAGATACTAATTTGAGAGTCAATCCTAAATGAAAGCATAAGGAACAATGAAAAGAATCCCTAAGAGATCGATAGAATTACAACAGATTTGCAGAAACATATTATGCTTTACGCAGAAGGGAAGGAATGGAAAGGAGAAGAGAAACCCATAGAAAGAGCATTCCAAATGGACAAGGTACGCCGTACCAAAATACATTCATCTGAGTCAAGGGACAAAGCAATCCTGCAAAACCCAACCTTTAGAACTTCTACTTCTCTGTTCATCCCAAAAGCATCAACAGCAGCACATAAAGCAGGGGTGTAGTGCTAGGGGGCTCAGAGGGCTCAGGGGGCTCAGGGGGCTCAGGGGGCTCAGGGGGCTGAGTTTCGTTTAAATGCCGAAAAGTAACCATTTTCTGTTCTTGCTATTGATTTTTGCAACATTTTATGCAAGAGCCCGCTTGTTATTTTGATAGCACGATGCCCCAGGCATAGAGGCTTAATACAAGAATGAAATCATGAATATCAACACCGAAATGCGAACAATACAGTAAGAGCCCCTAGTGAAATCAAAATCTGCAACGCCGTTCGTGAAATTAACTCTGATAAAATTTTGCTTGGTCAGTATTTTCGAAAAATGAACTTCCTGCAGACTTTCCTGCAGACCTCACTCTGATGAAGCCCTGTATGCCGGGGCGAAATATTAGTATTCCTTAAATTCAATTTATTTTGAAAAATTTATCTCTTTACGTTGGATTCTCGTCGTCGTATTGCTTTGTTCCTGAATATCTTTCCTTGAATATCCTGACATCATGCTGACATCAGATTTTTGTAATAAGGTGGTAGCGAGGTTAAAGAATTTTGCAAACGAGACAGTGATTGGGCAAATTCAGCCATACTGGTAACAAGGACTAAATCTAAGCTCGGTGCACTGGAAGTTAGGGTTGGACAGAAAAGGACTGCCGATAGCCAAAAATGGTAACTCTTTAATAATTCTATCTAGAAATTTTTCATTTAGTCTTTATAGGCGGGTCATGTTGACCCAGTCTCTTTTGCACCTGTGTATTGTATGGCAGTTCTCTGTGCGATACACGCTTGTAGAGTCTTATTCAGTTCACCCACATTGTCTATCCAATTTGTAAACTTCCTTTTCCCTATCACATAGCGCTTCAACCAAGGTTCTACCACGAGTGTGCATTTCTTTGAAGACTTTGAAATTCACAATTTCCTTTGTAGTTTTCTGCTGCTGGCATGGTGCCCTGAAAGTTGCAATTTATTTTTTCTATCCATCCATTTCTATGAATGGTATTGAATTCACCCTCAAAAATTTATTGATGGATTCTACTACAATCTTGTTTTTTAAAATTATATTTGGAAGTTGAATTTATGTGCATGAAATCTCCCTCCCCCCCATGTATATAAGGTATATACTTATTCAAGCCCTCATCTTCAAACTTCCATGTGAGCTGTCCCAGGGTAGAATCCATGCAAAGTTCATGCTGGATATACGCCAACAAATTATAAAAATATAGTTAGTCCACCCCAGATATTTCTGGGGTATGCTACATGGGTTCCACACTGGAAGCTGTCATGTCTGTTGTGGAAGTTATTTAAGTGCACAATTTAGAATAAATCATGCCAAAATTTGACAGAAAAGGATCAAACAATCACATAGTATGTTTAGACCAACAGGTAATAATGTGAGATAATGAAAGCAAAACAAGTTTTGATGTTGTAAACATGAAATTTATGTTAAGGGGCTGCCCATTCAGTACTCAGTTGTTACAGAAACAAAACACATTTTGGCAATCATTGAGGGGGAGAGCTGCAGCCTCTGTTTTCAATTGCTCTCTTTTAGCTAAATCCCTGCTGTCATCACCACCTTCTTTTCTACTTGTTTGCCCTTTTCTTTTTTCGTACTTTTATTAACAATGCTGGTCATTGATGTACCTATCCTTGACTTCCCAAGTTTTTTTTCTTCCTGTTTTAAGTATCTACATATATTTTGAAAGATCACTCTATGATTTGTCATTTTTCTCCCATCTTCGTAGTGATGAACCCAAAACCCATCAAATTCCTGTGCTGCCTTTTGTTTTTCATTGACCACTGTGTATTAGGAATATTAATGACTGTGTCAGAGCCCTTCAATCTAGTACAAAAGCCTCTAATTCTATGTCCAGAGAATCACTCAGCTTTGCTAAGGTATTTTGTACTACTAATTGAGATCCTTGCGATAATTGAAATGAAGAAAGTTTGTATGGGAGCTGTTAAATAAAGTTTCCTTTTAAATCCAGTAAGAAATAAATTCTACAAAATGTATTTATGATAAGATCTAATTACAGTGGAAATTGTGGAAAATTCTGGGGAAATACTTAGCATCACCATGACTATTAATAGCAACTGATTTATGTGTTTCAAAGATCCAAAATGAATAACCTTCAGGCACTGCAGCCTGTTTGCTATTGATTGCTTAAACAACCAGGTATGGACACCTCCTGTGCACTTAAAGTGTCTATGCAGCGAAATTTTATGTCCTGCTTTTTCTTAAGAGTTATATTTTCCCATCTTTTCTGATACGTTTGACACCAATATTGTCATTTTTTGACCAGCGAAAGTGTGTTTAATCAGAGTTTGAAATCAGGTAGTACTCGCGAAAGCCAAGGCCAGTTTGTGACGTCACAGTGATGAGTCGGGTCGACAGCAATTAGGAAACTGCGGATGTACCGAATAGGTTTTAGTGAGGGAGAAAAGCAGAAGAATTGTGCAAATTGTGATACAAGCACCAAAATTTCAGAAAACTCCAATTTTGATACGCTGTAAAAGATGTGATATAGACCCAAATTACATCTTGCCCATAATATCTATTTTTAGACTGGGGTACTCTGGTCAATCCCCCTAATTGTACCTTTGGTCATAAACGGAGAATGCCAGGTCATAGAAAGTTGAAACTCACAATAAAAAGACAGTTTAACAAGACAAAAAAGATGAGATAAAGACCCAATTCATAATTTGCCCCTAAATTCTATTTTTAGACTGGGGTACTCTGGTTACCCCTAATTGTACCTTTGGTCATAAACAGAGAATGCCAGGTCATAGAAAGTTGAAACTCATAATAAACAGACAGTTTAACAAGACAAAAATAATGAGACAAAGACCCAATTCATAATTTCCCCTAAATTCTATTTTTAGACTGGGGTACTCTGGTCCAGACCCCTAATTGTACCTTTGATCATAAACGGAGAATGCCAGGTCATAGAAAGTTGAAACTCACAACAACAAAAAAGTTTAACTAGACAAGAAAGATATGATATAGACCTGATTCATAATTTGCCCCTAAATTCTATTTTTAGACTGGGGTACTCTGGTCCAGACCCCTAATTATACAATTGACCATAAACAGAGAATCCTAGTTCATAGAAAGTTTAAATTCACAATACAAAGACAGTTTAACAAGCCGAAAAAGATGTGAAACAAACTGAAATCATATGATGCCCCTAAATTCTATTTTTAGACTGGGGTACTCTGGTCTACACCCCTGGCCATAAACATAGAACGCCAGGTCATAGAAACTTGGAATTCTTGATATAAAGGCAGTTTGACATGCAGAAAAAGATTGGATATCGAACCAAATCATATCTTGCCCCTAAGTTCTATTTTTAGACTGGGTTACTCTGATTCAGACCCCTAATTCTACTATTGGCCATAAACGGAGAACGGAAATTCTCAATATAAAGGCAGTTTGATACGCTGAGAAAGACGTTATATAGTTCCTATTTATATCTTGCACTCTAAAAATAGAACAAGGGGAGCAATTTTCTGGGTGGGTCCATATCCTATCTTTTTAAGCGTATCAAACTGCCCCTTGTTGACAAGTTTTATGCTACTCTACCGAAATGAGACTGAGATACGATAATACCGTCAATAAAAGTCTAGGGCAAAGTACCCCAGTCTAAAAATAGAATAAGGGGGCAATTTCAGTCGGGGTCCATATCCTGTTATTTTCAGCGTATCAAACTGCCCCTTATTGCAAAGTTTCATGCTATTCTATCAAAGTGAGACTGAGATACGATAATACCGTCAATAAAGGTCTAGGGCAAAGTACCCCAGTCTAAAAATAGCTAGAGGGGGCAATTTTCAGTTCAGGTCCCTATCCTATCTTTTTCTGCCTATCAAACTGCCCATTATTGCAAAGTTTCATGCTAGTATCACAATTTGCACAATTCGACCTAATTAGTGATTTAACAGGCCTGACTAAATAGTTTTGCCTCAACTCATCACTGTGACATCACAGCGGGAAATAAAATTTCGCAACGCAACTGCAAAATATGCATACTTTGACACTCAATAAAAAAAGAACCATTTAACTTATCAAAATTCTGTTTTTTGTATAAGAACAAGGGCGAAGGATTCTATAGATTTCTTTTAAAATATTGGAATGGTAAATTTCACTGCATAGGCACTTTAAGGGTTGTCACACATGCTTCCCATTAAAAGACCTAGAAATTCAGATGAGATTGTTGCTGCAAGGGCTCTATATTTGAATACCTAGATACAGACCAAGTAGAGAATAACAGATATAGATATTGATATCATCTATGTATTTGATTAACTTGCTGTAAACAAATTTTCACTGCATTGTAGAATCACTTTACTTTTTCTTACAGTATAGAAACCAATATGATCATGATGTGTCAATATGGAGCCCTCAGGTATGTCTTCCTTCTTTGGTATAGTATGCTTGTGGTTGTAACCTGGCTGTTGGGTGAAAAATCAAATAGTTATTGAATCTATAGCAGAAGCCTTGAGATGTTTGCAGAGAAGCATAGACTTTTGAGCTAGACTGGAATCATTTTTAATCTTCTTATAAGCTGTTTTTTACTCACCTCAAATGAATTTGTAGGTGTTAGACTTTTTCTACAATGACCCTGCAGGTTTGTTCATCATTATAAGCATATTAATGAGGGAAAGAGGTATAACAAAAATATTTAATATAAAAATGAGTATTCAGTTAAAATGTATTGAAATTATATACCTAATCTAGTTATAATGTGAGAATTTCTCCAACATGCATTGGCAAGGTTTTTAAGAGAGCACTACCAAAATGACTGCAGGTTTTTTCAAAACTGAGGCAAAGTAAAGGCCGATTACTTTGACATCGTTATCTATTGGTTGCACCTAATTCTTAGCATGTGCATGTGTATGTGCAAAACTTTGAATTTTTTGAACATTAGCGTATTTATTGCCTTTATCTGTTCCTTCTACATCTTGATTTTGTATTTACATTGAGAGTTTTCTTTGCAGGGAAGAATATTTCAAATCGAGTATGCATTAGAAGCAGTAAAACAGGTGCCCTTAACCATTTTAATTAGAAAAAATGTTCTGTCTAACAGAAACAATTAATAAATTTCAGTACACCAATCAAGATAAATTCAAACTTTGCTATTTTCATAACAAAATTTTCGATCATGTTTGAATAGGTATGCATATGGATTCTCTCAACAGAATTATCATCCCAACTCTCTTTTGTCTTATTGTTGAAATCTTTTCCTTATTAAGCAAAATATATCTATTATTTGTTGAAAATTAGCAGGTATATAGAGGCCCTAAGCACCAGGACAAAGTATCAGTACAGCATTACTTTTCATCTATGTTGCTGTTTTATGTTTTTATGTCTATTTTCATAACAAAATTTTCGATCATGTTTGAATAGGTATGCATATGGATTCTCTCAACAGAATTATCATCCCAACTCTCTTTTGTCTTATTGTTGAAATCTTTTCCTTATTAAGCAAAATATATCTATTATTTGTTGAAAATTAGCAGGTATATAGAGGCCCTAAGCACCAGGACAAAGTATCAGTACAGCATTACTTTTCATCTATGTTGCTGTTTTATGTTTTTATGTCTATTTTCATAACAAAATTTTCGATCATGTTTGAATAGGTATGCATATGGATTCTCTCAACAGAATTATCATCCCAACTCTCTTTTGTCTTATTGTTGAAATCTTTTCCTTATTAAGCAAAATATATCTATTATTTGTTGAAAATTAGCAGGTATATAGAGGCCCTAAGCACCAGGACAAAGTATCAGTACAGCATTACTTTTCATCTATGTTGCTGTTTTATGTTTTTATGTCTATTTTCATAACAAAATTTTCGATCATGTTTGAATAGGTATGCATATGGATTCTCTCAACAGAATTATCATCCCAACTCTCTTTTGTCTTATTGTTGAAATCTTTTCCTTATTAAGCAAAATATATCTATTATTTGTTGAAAATTAGCAGGTATATAGAGGCCCTAAGCACCAGGACAAAGTATCATTACAGCATTACTTTTCATCTATGTTGCTGTTTTATGTTTTTATGTTTATGTTGTAAATATCTCAAGCTTCATGTAGCTTAAAAAGCTTGAATGGGTATCTTTTATTTTATTCAAGAGTTTTTCTTTTGATATTTTATTTAAATCTCATCAAGTTTTGTTTCTTACAATTTTTATTTTTACTCCAGGGCAGTGCAACAGTTGGCTTAAAGTCAAAAGAGTATGCTGTGCTTGTTGCGCTCAAGGTAGCTTTCTTTCTGAAACTTTCTTTTCTTTAATTTTTGGTAGCTTTGTTGCATTGTTAGAATAATAATTTCCTCCTGTATGCCAAAATTTCAGAATGCCTCATTAATAGAAAAAAGGTATACATTGTTTGTCATGTTTAACCCCAATTACTCTTTACTCAATAAATAATCTCTGGATAATTACTTAGGTCCATGGAGTCATAATATTTTTAATTCTGATCGCCTTGTTGGTCCTTAAATAACTGTGAAGTATTTTGATACTAATTTGTTTAATAAGACCTAGTTTTGGTTTTGATTTATTTTTTTTGAGTATTGAAACAGTCAAATTATAAAGCTCATTCTTATATATAGTTGTAGATTTTATAGCCAAGACAGATCTTATCAAAACTCTTGCTTGAATAAAAATGTCTGGTGTAACAGATAAGCTAAATAGTGAGAAAGTGGGGGCTTCTTGTATGCAGATAGTCACTCTCTGCCCGTATCCTATTTTTAGTTGTTAAGTTTCAATTCTTGCAGGTCCTTTGATCAAGCTGTTTTAAAAAACATTTAAATGCTTCTGTATTGTTGTATGATAAAATCGTATTGCAGACTCCTTGAACCTTTTATTCTTTTTCAGAGAATGTATTTCCATGTAGCTCATGTGATTTAACATGCTCATGATATTTTTAGCGATCATCTTCAGAATTATCATCATACCAAAAGAAAATAATCCCAATAGATGATCATGTAGCCGTCAGCATAGCAGGATTAACATCTGATGCCAGGCTACTCAGGTATGCTTCAAGATTCATCAATTTTGAGTATATTCAATAACAAAGCAAAGTGACACATTATCTTATCTTCTTGTCAAATTTTATCATCATGCTTGCTTTTGTGTTAGTAAGTCTTTGTGCTAGTTTTTCCTGTTTTTGTGTTAGCTTTTCAGATGGCCACATTGGTTAGGCCAATCCCGTCCAAAACCAACCAAACCAGACCCAAACTAGAACTAAACTTGTCCCTTTTCAAAGTTTATTGTTTTGAATGTCTTTTTTCCATTTTAACTTTTTACTAAAATAATTCATTTTCCTTCTTTCAAATTTCACTACTGCCTTCTCATACAACTACTAAAGCCCTAACTGTCTATTAAATTCTATCCCTGCTTTGAATTAAATATTTTGTTACTTTTCTTCCCATCTAGGGCCCCCTAATTTATTGTATTTTGTTATACTTGCAAATAATGTTGCAGCTATATAAATTTGCAGACAGTTTTATACACAACTTATTTCAAAAATGATGCTGACATGATCACACGTTTCTTATCTGATTCGAAACATTATGTAGCACTTTTAGACAATCCTCTTGCCCTTTCTTTACTCTGGTTAATGAGGGCAAAATATTGGTGCTCTGAGATAATATCAGAGGAATCCATGCAAGCATTACACCACAGGCTCCTCTTCTGTATGTTTATACATCTGTAAAGATGACTCTAATAGCAAATGGTTAGGTTTTCAGATGTCCTCAAATTCTTATTCTTGCCTCTGTTCACTCATGACAATGAGTAAATGATGCAAAATTAAGATATTCTAATTGAAATTGTTTCAATCTCTTTTAAGTAATTTTATGAGACAAGAATGCCTGAATTCAAGATATGTGTATGATGCACCATTGCCCATATCAAGACTCGTTGCTCGTACAGCAGACAGTATCTTTTCCTTGTATTTTAAATGTATTAATCAGCTTTTACAAAGTTGAGTTGATAGTTTGCTTGCTTTTATGCTTTTCATGCCAACTTTTTATTCATGGAATAAAATTTGACGAAGAAACAGTCGTTATGCTTTATGTCAGAGAAGATGATTAGCCAGGCAAGTATTTATTGACCTAAAAAGTAAAAGGTATTGGACTGTCAATTATTTCGTCGTGCTAAGAATCATAAGACATACAATTTGCCCATAATAATTGCTTACAAATCAGTCAATTTTTGCTGTACCGGTCTACCTAGTCAGTCTTCTTTAGCTTGATTGTATTTTTAGATTAAGTATTAATATAGTTATTTTTTTAAATATTGTTATAGTGTTGAAAATATTTGCTAATTGAGGACATTGTAGCTAAAAATAAAAAAGAAAGTAAATATTAAATACAAATTAATACATTTGCTAATAAGGCATTGAAAAACAAAATGCATGATTTGCAATTTTTGTAGCTAAAAGTAATTCAAGGTTGTAAGGACGAGATCAATAGTACCGGTAAAGGGATAGAAAAGATTCATTGTCATGTTAGTTTTTCTTTGATGTGATGATTCTCGAACTTTCGTTAAGGGGTAAGTAATGTTCGTAAAGGATAACAGAAATGCTGGACAAGTAGTTTTGAGATTTTGCACATCCTCTCCTAGGTGAATGCTGATATTTCTACAATTGATATACATCCTTGAACTTTTAATCGAAACAAAAAGGGAATCACGGCCTTTGTTCTATGTATGCTCATTTTTTTAGGGAAATTCCCAGTATATATGTTTCAGGCCTTTTCCTCAACAGCTTGGTCTAGGATGGTAGAGTTCCTTTCATTGTCAAAATTTTACTATCTTGTTTTAAATACCTTAATTCATCCAAGAAATGCAAGTTCCAACGATGGTGTATGGCCGACGTCCATTTGGCGTTGGCATTCTTATAGCTGGACATGACGTAAGTCTTGTAAATGACGTTTTAATTACTTTTTTGTTCAGCCTTCACGTTTATGAACTCTGCTTGTAAAATTAGACATGTTTTATTAGAATCTCTAGCTCTGTAGCTGCATTCACCTCCTTTTTGGATCAAAACTTCTCTTCAACTCTGCAAAAATATATTGGGTAATATTTAAAAAAATATATTTGGTTATATTTAAAAAAAGATATTGGGTAATATTTAAAAAAATATATTGGATAATATTTAAAAAAATATATTATATAATATTTATAATAATATCTTGGGTAATTTTTAAAAAAAATATATTGGGTAATATTGCAAAAAATATATTGGGTAATATTTTTTGCTTTTACAAAAGTACCAGCATTTTTTCTTTTCGAAGGGTTTAAGGCTTTTTCAAGTGAATTTCGCTGACTATAAAACAGGAAATATGACAGTAAGATATGAAGAAAAAATCAATTACCAAGGATGATATGATAGTCGATTGAAATGCAAAAAACATAGATAATAATGAGTAAATGGAATATGTTTCTTTGCAGGAACAAGGCCCTCATATATTACAACTGGATCCTTCAGCAAACTATTTCGATTGTAAGGCCATGTCAATCGGTGCGCGATCTCAGGTAAACACGTGGTCATTAGTTCTTATAATGTGCCGATATTTTCGAATGAATTTTTTTACGAGGCAGAGTTATCTTGTTAAGTTATTCTATTTCAGCACCACCAACCATTAATCGCAAAATATCATAACTTCGTTCAGAATCAGGAAAGTAACTAAGAACAGTTCTATAAACATTTTCCCAGTGTAATAATTTGCTTATAATGACCTAGCCATGATACTCCATTCTCGTAATCCTGCAACATATGGTCGGCGTTTTATTTTGGAGTTTTCTTTCATCATGGTATAAACTATGCCAATAGCCTAGCCACAGGAAATATCACATTGAAATAGTAATGATACATCCGTAGACTCGGTCTGGTCTGAAATCTTATGCTTGCAAGAGGTACCTGTCAGGAGGCGCTCGTTTCAAAGTTACCAAACAAATAACTCTAAAAAACACATAAGAATATTCTAATATGGCGCTGCTTTCTATTGATTAAAGTATCTTGCAAATATATCACCATGAAAAAAGTTGCTATGGACCCTTAAGCCTATTTGTACGTGTCAGATTAAATCTTTGAAAAAAGTTGTTTAAAGTTTAATTGTAAGTTTACGAACTCTTTTTGCTTGACTAGCAAGAAGATTTCAGATTATTAAAATATTTTGTTTTTCATAACCCTCAGGACTTTCCTTTTTTCATGCTACACTAGTAGCTAAATGACTAAAGTTTTGCCAATTACCTTTTAGAGTGCAAGAACATACTTAGAGAAAAATCTAGACAAATTTGCAGACTGTAAGTGAACATAGACTTTCTGATTTATATTTTAAGATGGAAATTAATGCCATCTTCGTCTGAAGTATCCCTTTTCAAGGCTAGGGGGAATATAAGAATGCAAAAAAGATTAAATACTTTTATAATTGTTTACTACAAGTGAATCCTTTCAAAACCGTTTTTCTTATCTTTGTTTTATACAAGAAATTGTTTTCGTTGAAAAATCTACGTTCATTTTGTAACGGACTGCGAGGAAAGTTTGTGACTAAATAAATTTGTATTAGAACGGTGTAAATATCTACCTATTTTGTGTTCAGAAATTTTCCTGTTGATTAAGTATTGACTCAAGGTGTTGTCTGATTATTCTAGCCACATTAGAGGAACTTATAGCTCATGGTTTAAGAGCACTGAGGGAATGCCTTCCAAGTGAGCAGGAGCTGACCATAAAGGTAGGTCTTCACGCAGAGAACCTTTTTGGGGGATGTTAACTGAATTGTATCAAACACTACTGCTTTATGTAGTCACTCGAAATAGCAAGCAAGATGAAATAGCAAGATGAGGAACTGTTGATGATATCGACAATCATTGCTTTAATGGAGCTAGTGACAGAATTTCTGCAAGAAGTGTCATTCAATGATCGTCATGCCCCTAATTAGGTTTCTTTATCTGTCTTTTTCTTTTTTAGAACTGCTCATTGGCTGTCGTCGGTCCAAGTATGCCTATGAAAGTATACGACAATGATGACATCGAAACATATGTATCTTTTCAAAGCAAGCATACCGTGTTTCTAATCGCGGTTTTGAGTCCTGTCCTGATCGCTTCATTTCATCAACACTTTCCCTCCTGTTCTACTTTGGACTGTTATTTGTTATCCTGATTATAGATGATACATGCAAATAGAAATTTTAGCAGAAACAGATGTAAGCAACAGCCCTTTAAGATTCATTTTGCAAGAATATTCCATATTCACATATATGTGCACTCACTGTATTTTCGTTGTATTGCAAGTTCAATAAGCGCATGTTGGTATTTATTCTTCCTCTTGTTTGTTCCTTCTTCCAAAAATATAGATATTTCCCTGACTTTCAAAGCTCACTTTAATCGAAGAAGCCAAAGAAGCAGGATCTGCTCAGGTTGGTTCTCCTTGATCTCTGCTTTATTTTTTATCATATATCTGTGTTAAAGGGTCACTTAAAGAGAAAGATGAACATTTTGTGATGTTTAATGTTGAGCTTAAATCAAATTGAATTTTTGTTTTTCAACCAATAAGAAAGTATCACAAAGTTGGGATGGGGTATCTACTAAAAGGGTAGCTCTAACGATATGGTTTCAAGGTATTTTCCATATGCATATTAGATTTGGGTGTACCCATTTTTACTTTTGATCTATGTTGCTTTTGGTTGTATTGGCAATGAAGACTACCCCCTCAAAGAATGCTCCTTGTACCAATACATGTTTCCTATTTCTTAAGTTGTATTCTGTCCAGTTCATATTTAGAATCCCTCTACTTTAGATTAACTATACTTAATATGCTACATAGTTTTAGCACAATATTACACAATTTTAATACATCAATGCCTAATATTGATACGTTTACAAATGCAGAACAAGAATGAGGTAAATTTGATAAATGAGTGAATAACGTAAATCAGCAGTTCTATATCAATAATTCTTTTACATGAAAAATATTCGCAGAGGGTGATTTTTATGTCCATAAGACTGAGTACCATTGATTTATGTGATAACGCACAGCTTTGTTATTTCTAGATGGGAATATTTGAGACTGTTTTTCTTGGGAGTTTTTTCATTACTTTGGTATTTTGTTGGTATTGGTGAATTATTTTCTTTATTTTTTCATTTCGTCGATGTATTGCTATTGTGGTCAGTTGACAAACAAAAGCTCTAGGGATGTACGGGATAAAGTTTTTTGACATTTAATTCAATTCGTCCTTATGTTTAAATACTATTTTCTTAGCAGCTAAGAAAAACTATTTTTCTTCCCATTCAGGAAGAAGGAATGGAAACAGAATCGGTATGTGTTTTACCATTATCGGTATCTTTTTGCTACCTTTGCATGTTATGTATGCCTTTTTCGCCTTTTGCTTGTGTCATATCTTCCATTGAAGCTTCAAAAGCATCATCTTACACTCGGCCCCGCCTAGTGCCTAGTGCCCTTGTAGTAGCATACCCAATGGTTAGCAAATTCTTTTTTCTCAGAAGCCAATCAATAATTTGGTTGCTCATAAATATTAGATAGATGTTTGTGTTTTAGATTTGTGAATAAGATTAGTATTCATTTTTGACTAAGCTTTGCTGTGTTGACCAGAAAGTTTCAGTATTATTTGTAAATATCCATTTTATAATCTGATTCCATGTTAACACTGCAACCACGCATAAAAATCCCAAAATTGTCAATGTGATCCCAAAAAGCTAAACCCTTATATCATTTCGCAGGCAACTGAAAGCAGCGAAGCAAAACCCTCAGAGAGCCAAGAAGAGATGGAAACAGCGAGTTAAGGGCGCAGATTTCAAGAACACTAAGACACATTTTAGTAGACAAAACTGTTTACTTAACACGAGTTTTACTTTAGATCTAGTCTTCCGGACGCAGTTCTCTATCAAAATACCTTTTTTTCGGATAGATTTTGTTGTTTTTGCTTTTGAATCATTTTCTATATTTCTATTTCTGACTGGAGGCGATTGAGAGTGATTTAGGCCAAAAGCTGTTGGGCGCGAAATCCATCCAGGAACATTGTTGTCAGATATTGAACGATTTTTGAAATTTTTACTGTTAGCGGTTCTTCTTGCTAAAATTATCTTAATTCGTATTTACGTCATTTTTTACCACTTCAGTTCCACAAGAGTATACTTGTCGACAAAAGAAAGCAAAATGAACCGCACTCATTTAGATAAACTTTGATTAACTAAAGATGAGAGACACACGTTGATTGAGGTTTTTATAGAATATTTGCTTAGAATAAATGGAAAGAGCTGGAAGAGAGATTTTAGGCCATGTCTACTATCTCTATTATTTGAGTCGATCGTACAAGGTTATAAAACAGCCGATTTTAAACAAAATTTGTATTGGTACCTTGACCGGTAGCTGACTGTTCATTGAACTGATTTAGATATATATTTTTGTTATGTAAGGCCATGGAATAAATATACATAAAGGTTAAATGTCGAAATGCTCGGAAGACTTAATTGCGGTAGCAGACTGCTGAATGCAAAATATTTGAAGAAACTGGCTTTCTTGGGCATGTATAAGGTTGACTCTGGTAGAGGCAGAGAGAATGGCTGGAGAAAGTTAAAGGGCTAAAAAACTGGCGAAAGTTTATGGTGATGGTTACTGCTTAAGCAAAGAAATTTAATTGTTAATGAGATTGGTTAAGAAACAACTGTTTGTATTGGCTTACAAAACTAATAAGATCTATTTTTCATAAGTTCTATTAACATTTTCACATAACATGTTTCTTCACTCATATCCATCATATCCATCCAAAGAATATGCCTCTAGTTTTTCTGGTGTTGGCTATAAACATTTGTTTCTTAAAAGTAAGCATTTGTAAGGCCTGTCTTTTCTATAAAAGGAAAATTTTCTTCACTTTCTAAATCTCTTAGCTATAAAGAGAGCAATTTGAAAAAAAGATTGAAGGAAAGCCTCATATTGATCACAGTGGAAAAACAAAACACAGCTTGGAAATGTTGGCATTTAGAAACAGACTACAATGTTTCAACAAAGATAGTAATCTTATAAAAGAGCACCAGTTTTATTTTCTGAGTTTGATTTTCGACTTTCGGTTGCTCCGTAAGGAAATTAAGCATTTTTAGACACCCAAGTACAAAGTAAGTATCTCTGAATTCACCATAACAAAATCCCTCAAGCTTATGCGAAAAAAGCCTTTTTTATTGGAAATATTTTTACAGGTATACCTATCATTAAAGCTCAATTTTAGTGTTTTTGTAATTATGGATATTGTTTAGAAATAGAAGAAACTCGATTTTTTTGCAATTCTTATCTTACCTACAATTTGTGAGAAGAAAGAACCGCAGGATAGGCTGTCCGCTGGATTCTGTGAATCTTGCAATGAGTATTACATAAATACGAGGATAAAATTCAGAAACAAAGCAAAACGGCGACGAGAATCCAATGTTGTGAGATAAATACTGATATTTTGCCCCGGCATACAGGGCTGAGAATAACGGAATGTAGATGATAATAATGGTGGTGATGATGATTATAATGGTAGGGGAAATATGGTGTGGGTTGTGAGGACGGTGTGATACGGGTGATTAGTTGTGTTGTAAAGTTAACGGTCGGTGGTTCTGTTCATGCCGTTGGGGGTGAGGGTGTTCGTCAGGCCAATGAGATTTTGCTTTTTAGCTCGAAGAACACTCTCTCGTTTGTCATTAAGTCTCAGTAATGGTGCAATGGCAAGGTCGTTCATGGAGTGTGTTGGGCTGCAGAAATGTTCTGCAACTCCGGACTTGTCATCTTTTTTGTTGATAATGTCTCGTCTGTGTTCGTTAAATCTGTCTTTAAGTCGTCTGCTTGTTTGTCCGATGTACTGCCAGTTTTGTTTCCGTTATGTAGACAGCGTTTGCATTGTAATGCGTATATGACATTGGTGGAGTTGCATCTCAGTCGTTGTTTTATGTCGTGTTTTGATCCCGTTTGTGATATGTTGGCTCACGAGGATCATTGGGTGTGGCACTTTTTATTTTGGCACGAACCAGTAAATCCCGGAAGTTTTACGGTCTGCGGTAACTTAGTATAGGTGCGTCGGGGAAGGCTTTTTGCATGTGTTAGAGTTTTGTAGTATGTCAAGGTTTTGTTTGAGTATGGTGGATAGTTTTGGCAAAGCTGGGTGGTAGGTGACAGCAAATGGCGTGCGATGATTTGTGCGTGGTTTGGTGGTCTTGAGGCAGTCTTTTCTGGTTTTTTGGAAGCCTTCTGTATTTGTTTGCTTGTCTGTTTGGGTTTGTAACCCCGTTTTGTCAAGTATTCCAGTAGTTGTCTCGTTGCGATATTTAAACATTTCGTCTTCGGAGCAGATCCGTCGTAGTCGTAGGGCAAGACTGTATGGAATGGATTGTTTGGTGTGTTTGGGGTGTGCGGAGGTGCTGAGGAGATATTGGTGTGTATCCGTGGGTTTAACATAGAGGTCTGTAGAGAGGGTATTATCATTATTAATGGAAATGGTGACGTCAAGAAAATGTATTAACTACAATTCCCTGATAAATGCTCTATTTTTTCCCTCTAAAACTTTTAGCCTAAAACTTGTTGTTACTTGTAACAGCTATTTAAATTTCCTTTAGTTACCAGAACGGCCTTTTTGGCGAAGGGTGCAATCCTTTCGGACCGTAAGTGTAAGACCTTAAGAGAATTTTGGGGCAAAACTCTTCATGAATGTGTGATGAATGTTTCATACATTTCGAAAAGAAAATGTTGCTTGACTTTCCTCAACAACGTATTTTGAGATGGCATATCCTGCATTCTTTGATTTATTATGCTTCAAGAATAGTCAATGTTCCATGGGCTCCGACGCATGATGGAAAGTAGGGAAAGGGGCGGTCAAGGGAAAATTTAGCAATCATAACAAAAGGTTTTGAAAAAAGCTATATTGTTTTGCAAAAAAGTGGGGGGGGGGAGCATGCCCTGTGTTCATTTCCTTCTTGCATCAAACACACTTTCTCTCCGTCTATACTTTGGCTGTGGATCAATACCTCAGACCCTACTTCAGCATCTCGAGGCGAAGATAAACATGTGCACGTCGAGCTCGAGACGAAAGACAGAAATGTAATTATGTTGCTGCTGCTTGCCTCGTTTTTGTTTTGTTTTCCCGGCTGGGCGGAGATTGAAAAAAGATAAGGTGAAAAGACCATTAATTCAAAAACCAAGCTGGGGCAAAAAGTAGCAATAAATGTGCGACCTAAACAAAATTTCCAGATTTGCCCGACCGATATACTGCCAGCCATAAATTTGCCCGACAAAATCTACTTTTTTGAAGATTTGGAGGGGGGGTGCAGCCCCATACCCCCCAGCAGTTTCGCCCCTGTACACGGTCTCATCGAGTGCAGGGGTGCTGTCCTAAATTGTTAGGAAGGTGGGCTGTGCTGTAGAAGCCAAACCCAGGGAAACATCAATGGCCACACCCTGTATTCTTACATTTGCGTTAAAGATTCTCTGCTGTGCATATTAAATTATTCAAACTGTTCACAGACTCTGAAAGGCCAATAGAAATTGTTCCTTTATAGAGAATCAACGGCATAATAAAGGGTTAGTTGTGATTGCTAAGTAAGGAATGTACCGGCTTGGTGATAGGGGGCTGAGCCCCCGAAATCAAATCACTCTTAATTTAAACAAGGGGGGCTGAGCCCCCCTCCACGACACCACTGATCGAGTGGTAAGAGCGTTGAGGAAAGTGGGGAAGGAGGGCTAAAACCGAATAAAAAGAGGCTTTACTAATGGTTCTTCTCCTAATATCGTATCGTACATAAATGGTTCTTCTCCTAATAGCGGTACCCTTTTTAGCTGCCTTGCCCTGTTCCCCACCTTCCAAATCGTCACGTGTACATATTGTGACCTCTTTCTGCTTTCCCCATTTATGTTAAGGTGGGAATGTTTAAGGAGCGTTTAGTTGATGGGCAGGACCATTTTTATTATTCTTCCGCAAGGAGAGCAAAGGTTGAGTGACTAATTATTATAGTGGAAATGAAACAGGAATAATAAGAGAAAGTAAAGTGCCTTTTTCCATAAGCTAGAAAGAGAAACATTTGGCACTAAAGACATAATTCGGATGCATGATAATAGAAAACTATGATATGTGGCATGGATTCGGTTTAACAAATCAACCACGGGCCTAAAAGGAGGATGACAACACGGTGTTTGCAGAGTTGAAGGATACGGGTTAACAGAGATCATAAAAAAGAATTCGCTGTGTAAATCAGACATTCTTCCAAAATGGTAAGTTAAAGCTTTTGATGGAATTGATATATAAATTACTTGGCTGTTTTTGAAACTGAAGAGGTGCGAAATGAGGGGGGCACTAGGACTCTGTCGAACTCCCTTCTTCCGCATCATAGTAAAGAGTTCGAGCATTTGTTACTAGAGGTATTTTTTCAATATTAATATTTTAAGACGACAATGAACGGTAAAGATCGAGTTCTACAATGCAAGTACGGCGAATCGGGTTGGTTTCATGAGTGTGTTTATTATATCAATATGAGTCTCCGTCATGTTATGTCCTCTGAGTCAATCGATTGACATCACTCCAAATATTGACATCGAAAGTTTAGAATTAAGGAAATATCTTTCATTCCATTTGAGTGACCGTTTATTAACCTATATAACTACCAGAAGTCAAATTTAATAGGAAACGTTAAGTAAAAAAAAGAATAAAGGCAATTATTCTTGGTTTTATGGGAATTTCTAAATAGTCATTTCTAATCAAAAGCTGTAAATATTGTTGTCGGAAATGTTAAATGTATTTCTAAAGTTTAGCAGTCTTTCTTATTTTTCCAATTTTAACCTGATAATATTCAGGTTCAGGTTCAGGTTCAGGTTCAGGTTTTATTGGAGCTAATATTCAGCCAGGTTCCAAAAAATTGAAACCTCAGCCCATGACAGCATTCCAAAATAAATTTGGTAACTTGCCAGTTTGATTACATCAAGCTATATCAAGCTATATAAGGAAATAAAAATATGAACTGCCCAATCTTATTGTGGGTTTAAAAACCTTCATGTGCCCTGGCTAATGCCAACAATGCTCTACAATGTAGGCACATATAATAACGATTTAACATGTTTTCAACTCTAAAGAGACAAATTTATCAGTTTCATTTTTTACTCTCACTTCCATTTGATTGTTAATGAGTATACAATTTGTACAAATAGTGTTTTAAACTTAGCTAAATATAAAATTACAGAACTACAGACAAAGCAAAGGAAAAGACATTGCATGATTCTATTAAGACAGATTGAATAAAGATGAGCTCTCTAAATAAATGAACTAATCAAGAGAGCAGCCCCCTTTGTATGATGTATTGATAAATAATGCATTACAAAAGTAGATAATAAAAATTGAATGAGAATATAAAGTACCACAACCATCCATGGTGCTGTGATTTTCCCAAAGTGTTTAGCTTACTTTGGTTATCTCAAAGTTAGTGAGGCATGGTATAATAATCAATCCTCTTTATTTTCTATTACAGAAAATAAAATAGTCGCAGTTAAACAAATTTTTGAATGAACTGTAGTTCTATCAACTCACACTCCATTTCAAGTAATAGCTATCATTTGCGATTTAAATCATAAAGTGTTGTATCTAAATAATTCAAGTTCTATTTTTTGAGGTACAGAACTTGAAATGGCTTTGGAAAAAGGAAACATTTCACAACATACTACTCAAACCTTTTTTATTTTATATAGGCACACAGCACTGATTGGCCAATTTTGCTGGCCATTTGCTTGCGTTTGTGTTTAGCTTAAATGGGTATTTTCAAAATAATTTGCCTTGTAAAAACTACAACATTTGATCTTCAGATATAAACTGGTCTCCACCAGACATGTTCCAACATAGAAAAGCCTGTCACTGTTTTTGCTCATTATTTCCTTTTCCCAAGGCTGCACAAATTAAACTAAAATCTTACTTTGTTTTGTGTCCCTGTGAACTTTTTACTCCTTCTGTACTCTAAAGGGGTGCTTATTTGAGCAGTGTGCTCTTTCAAAATGAGGTGCTAATGCAAGGGTTAATAGGTTGTCAATTTAAGTAGCTATTTAATGTTTTATTGACATACCAATCCTAAAATTCTGTCTTTTAAAGGTACTTGAAAGATTTGACTACATTTCCATAAGCCTCCTAAATTATTCTTTGTGATCATGTCTCTTTCTTGTAGCCGAATTATCATTGGCAAAGTAAAGGGGACATGAAAAGCAGTGGTGTAGAGGACATGGTCCTTCTCCCAAAAATTCAGGAAGCTGCTATTGTAGACAATTTGAAGAAAAGGATTATGGATGACCTGATATTTGTATCCTTTCCTGTACATGAAAGAAATGTTTTGGATGATTAATAGTTCTTAATACAAGTTATATTTTCTATCTTCTTGTTCTTTTTAATCCACTATCCTTTATCAATCTATTGATTATGTCTTGACTTTCACTTTCCAAATGGAGTATTTTGCTTTTGACCTCATGATATATGTTGTTGCAATGACCTAAACATTATAATTACTTTTTGTAAAATAAGTAATGTCATTATTAGTCTTTATCATAAAGATGAACTTAATGACCTAATCTTGAAATATCACATGGTTTTTCATATCTCAAGCCTTATCTGTATTAAGCTTTAATTTGATAGAAACCCCATGTTGTTATTAATTTCCTTTACAAATCATAGACATATATTGGACCAGTACTAGTGTCAGTCAATCCTTTCAAGCAAATGCCTTATTTCACTGACAGAGATGTTGAGCAATATCAAGGAGCTGTGAGTATTCCTTTAGTGACTGTAACCAGTAAATTATGCATAATGATTCAGCCAAAGAAATTTTGCTGTACTGTTAAAAATATATTATATCTGATCAAGATCAATACATAAAACTTACCCAACTCTTTTTAAAGGTATGGGTAGTGTGATATTGAATTCTTTTTAAAAATATTCAGATATTTACCAATGGAAAAATCCTTTTTTTAAGGACATATTAGCTACTTTTCTTTTATGAGATGCTTCATTCATTATTCAAGGCAGCTCCATAATTCTCATGTGCTCTTCTTTTAGAAGTGCACATTTTAAAAGAATACCAAGGCTTGATTTGCTAAAAAGTAAGAGCAAAATAAGAACACTCCATACCTTAGATGGAAAATTAGAAGAAAAAATTAGAAGAGACAATTTTCGTCTCGTCTTTTACCCCAGCTTGCAATAGAAAGAGTGTGTCAAGGCAGTCAGTTTGATGTATTGGGTTTTGGATTTGGGCATGGCTTTGATGTCATAGTGACATCATAGTGATGTCATAATGGCAAATTTAGGCCCATTCTCATAGAAGAGGCAGATCTAGAATAAATTGATGTTCAGATAAGAACAACATCAAGAACAATTAAGTCTTGAATTGTCCAAAAGATAAGAACTTGAAGCCTTTAAAAGAGTTGTCAGGCTCTTAAAAATGTGTGTATTCTACAATGTTTGATAGAGTTTATATATAATTGTTATTTCTTTAGGCTCCTTATGAGAATCCACCCCACATCTATGCCCTTAGTGACAATATGTACAGAAACATGTTGATTGAACAAGAAAACCAATGTGTGATAATCAGGTAAATAAGTATATAATTCATGTTTTGTTTTAAAGATCAAATTAAGATCAATATCTGTAAATTTTATGAAAATGGGATGTCAAATTACTTTTTATAGAATTGTATTTATGAAACTTGCATTTAGCCAAAGTAAGACATATAAATTACAATAATAGCTATTCAAAGATATTAAAGAACAAACTGCCTGTGCTCTATATTGTTAGCCATTAATTATAAATTGTAAATAATGTTGTCAGAGAATTTTAGCTGCAAACTGTAACTTGTTGCAAAATGAAATCCTTTCAAATTAAGCTTGAATTTTTCTTTCATTAAAAGTGGAGAATCTGGAGCTGGAAAGACAGTAAATGCTAAGTTTATCATGAACTACATTGCAAAAGTTTCTGGTGGAGGTACTAATGTTCAGGTTTGCTTTAAAGGCACATTTTTTAATCATCTGTGATCCACATTTTTATCATCTCTACCAAGGTTGTATTTTTCCAAGCTTTTGAAGCCAGGATGAATTTGAAAAGCAAACCAAGTCAGTTGTAGCTACTGAATGTTTGATATTGAAAGTGCAGCAATAGGCTTTATTCATAAGCACACCAAATGTTGCATCAATAGCTGGGACTGTAAGTGGGGAATGACTTTATGCAGAGTTGAATTGAATAGTTTTACATGCTATTCCATGGTTTAAATGAAGGTAACCATTTGTGTTACTTTAAGAAGAGAGATTGGAAACAACTGTATTAAAAGTATCAAGATTCATTTTTGGTTCACAGGGATAACTTGAGCCCTAACTTTTAAAGAAAATGACCTTCCTTGGGTAGAAGAAGCTTTTGTGCCTTCAAACTAGATGATTAATTTTGTCACAAGAGGCAAGTCTGTAGCAACATATGAACAATTGGATTACTGGTTTTATAGTGTGAAAAATTAAGAAAGTATATATATTTTTGAAATATATTCAATATATTTATATATATATTATATTGCACATCAAAAGTGCAAAAATATTTTTGTAACTTGGTTATTAGTATAGCAAAATTAATTAGAAAAATTAATTTACTAGAATTCTACGTCTGATTATTGTCATGCCAATTTTATGTATGATTTTCATTTCAGAAAGTTAAAGAGGTTATTTTAGAATCCAACCCTCTGCTTGAAGCATTTGGAAATGCCAAAACAGTCAGAAATAACAACTCCAGTAGATTTGTAAGTGAGACATTTAATTCCTTTTCTTCAGCTTTAGGTATATAATTTAAGTTGTGTAGAATGTAACTTTCTTTACCTTTTTCTCATTGCTTTGCCCTGTCAAAATATTCACAGAGAAATCTTCGAAAAGCTTCAATTGTTTAAAGTTTTCAAAAGACTGTTAATGCATGGATGGATTTCTATCAGCATTTTGTCATAAACTAGCATTTTTTACAGGGAAAATATGTAGAGATCCAGTTTAGCAGAGGTGGACAGCCCGAGGGTGGTAGGATTTCAAATTTTCTTTTGGAAAAGGTACTTTCGTTTTGTTCTCATTTCTTGAATTTTAAGCCAAATCTCTCACTTTTTCAGTTTGATGCTCTTTTCATTTTCCCATTCAGTCGTTCATCTTTCCCATTTCAACAATGTCAATGTATTTGCTTTTTCTAAGTCAAGGGTGGTCATGCAGAATGAAGGCGAACGCAATTTCCATATATTCTATCAGATTCTCAAAGGAGCCACAGATGAGGACAAAGGTAGGTTAACCTCTGTTCAAAAGTCTTTGATGTCATTAAGCATTGTTAATTTGCTAAGGCGTGGCATTTATTTTTAGAAAGTATTTGCTTTTCGAATGACTCATATGATAACTACCTCTACCATTGACATCGTCTTCTTGAAATGTTCTTAATTATTTATTACCTAGCCAACTGAATTTTTCTGTTTTATTCATTCGTTTCTAGTTTTTTTTTTATCTTGCATTGCCTTTGTTTCCTGACTGCATACCTCATAACACACTGGCGTTATCAACTATAAATGCCTTAATCAGTTGGAATGTATCTTGATTTAAATTTTTATCAATTTCTTCTGGTCCTATGACACGAGTTTCGTCCCATCACTTTTACGTAACTTAAAACTACGTACCCCAAATGATGTATCAGTATTATTTTGGGGGAACCGGGACTGATGCACGCATTCGATGTCGAAAGTGATTTTAAGGTTACGGTAAACGTTTTTGACACGATATTTGATTTTCTCTACCTAAAAGCAAAACTATTAATGGAATCAGTTTAAACTATACATCATTCGATGCACAAGAATATGGCGATTCCAACCATATCAAAATATTTGACAAAGATTGTTAAATGATACTTTCCAGGCAGATTTATTGCTTAAATGCTATTCCTACAAAAGCTATTTTGTCCCTTGCGTTTGAGGCAACAAAATCTGACTTATATCAGCAGAAAGCGCAGATTCTTAGCTACCAAATTGTGTCTCAGATTTTTCAAATTCCTCCTCCCCTTGAAACTATACCCTGTCAAAAATTGGCAAACAACTTTTCTTCCCGTTCATAGCTGCATTTGGCTATAAAGGACGGACCAAAGCAAATACAAAAATGTTGAGACACACTTGCTTACCCGACATCTGCCCTGGCCGTGGGCAAAGTTTTGAGCCATTCGATTGGTTCCTTGGGTACAAAATAGCTTTTTCGTACCTGTATGTAGAGGAATTTTAAGTCCGAAGAAAACGGGATTTTACTGATTGCACTTGCAAGGTACACTCGTAAACCACAGTGTAATCCGGGTCCAGTCACTTGAAGATCAATAAGCCTGTATAAATAAACACGGCCCTACATTGTATGCATGGATGTGCTGTGCCATATTGTAAATAAGACATGCGATCACAACCGCAAAGCAGCGATAATCGGCTTGACAGGTCAAGAGATTTTTAGGGCTCAAGTACATGGAATTTTTTTCCATTTTCAAAATCTCTATTTGTTTCAAATTTGGTATCATTGTGTGCCTTGAAAGTTCAGCTACTTGAATGTCAAAAAATCGAAAAATGGATGTTTTTATCCAGAAAACGTTTACCGTAACCTTAACACGTATTGCATGTAACCATTTTTTAAAAACTGCACTGTGACTTTCAGTAAATAATGGTTAATGTTGAAATTGGCGTGATAGCACGAATTATGTCATTATAATGAAAAAAGAAGGAGGAAGGTGTCTGTTTGTACACTTAATGGCGTCTCAAAATAACTTCTAGGTATGCAAACGAAATATTTCCGCTTTGCCATCCCTTGGTCAATTTTCTTCTATAGAGTCGTATTTGTACGGTGCCCTTTCGGTGTCTATTCATATCAAATGAGATGAGCTTTTTTCAGCGTAAAATTGATTAAAGTTTAATTCAGCCTGACTAGATCATTTCAATCGTAATTCTGCATTTCCCCAGATCTTGATAGAAATATTTTTGACATTATGCCAATTTTTGATCATTGTTTGCTTGTTTAGGCCCACTCTCACTAGCTTACTTCGCCTGCCCTCTATAGACAATCCAGGTATCTTGCTAGTATGTGGCCTAAACGGGTTTTTTCTGGTAATCTACATATTTGTTAATAAATAAGGTCTTTTTTGCAGAAACATTTGGTCTGACAACACCAGATTACTACTACTATTTAAACCAGAGTGGCTGCTACGATGTCGATGGGGTAAACGACGTGCAAGAATATCAAGATACGAGGGTAAACAGTGTCTTTTGTGCCTTTGAAGCATCAAAAACGACGATTGCTTTCCATTGTTTCTTGTCACCTCCTATTGATTTACAAGCTGTTTTTACACTTTTTATTAAATTACACGAGTTAGGTTTATTATTGATAAAACTCTCTTTGCTTGTAAAGCTTAACAGGGGCTGCTGATAGCTGGTCCTCTCTTTATTGTTTTGAATCAAAAATAGTTTCTATCCTTTTAACGGTTTTCGTAAGGCACTGTTGCACGGTCAAATTTTTTCATTTTTTAGTCATCAAATATCCACATTGTAAAAATAAGGAAGAGATTTTCTACGTACCTTATAACAGGGCCTTTAAATCCATTTTCAATATCTTTCCAAAGACAACATAGGCGTTTTTTCCACCATAAACTAAAACTTTTTGTTAGACCCTCAAAACCCTAGGATTTCATTCATGTCTAGAGTTAATACTTTAAAAAAATTAACATAAATTATTTGATGCAATTGCTTTGCAATTCATGAAATTTGGACATGTCCATAGAACGCAATGGAGGTGATGGCAATCAGCGACGAGAACCAAGCAAGTTGCCTGCAAATTATTGCTGGTATTCTACACATTGGCAATATCTCCTTCACAGAGGTTGGCAACTATGCACAGCCTGAAGATGATGACTGTAAGTGTATCTTTTAGAACACTTTCACATCAGGCTTTCTATTTTGAGGTTGTTCTTAAAAGTCAAATGACAGTCCTTTTTGATACAAAGATTGCTACATAGCTAGGTTTGTCTGCCTGTTTCGTCTAAAATGATCTCTGTCATGAAATATGGCAGCTGGAACACATACACCATACTTCTTCTATGAATTGCCGTCTTAATCATTTCATCAACCTAACCCTTTTTTTTAATTCCCTACCTTGCTGCCATATTGTCCAAACGGTTTGAAAAAAAATCAAACCATCAAAAAGTATGGATCTGTGGATGAATTTAATGTTTAAGTAACAGTTAAAGTAACAGTAGTGAATGAAACAATTATTGTTATTCTTAAATATGAGTTTATCCGGGATTTGGTCTTGTAATTTCACCTCATTTTTATGTGGATTTTTCTAATTTTTGTTGTCACATAAAAAGATAAAACGTTTTGTTGTGACCTTAAGCAATTCAAGCTTTTTATACCCACACAAGGTTCCACGAAGAACTAAATGTTTTTGCTGTGCATTTAAGGTATTAATTGTGGTATTTGTTTATGGTACTTAATCAAGGTATTGTTATTAGTTTTGCAGTTTCCGGCTTACTTGCTTCAGATTGATGTTGGAATGCTGAAGGAAAAGTTAACCAGGTAAAAATGTTTCAGATTCTATTATAGCCATTTTACAGAACGATATCTTTTTTGGATACAACACAATTTACTATACACGATTTACTTTAAGTTCCACGGGAATGATTTTAAAACATATCTTAGGCCATTTCTTTAAGGTCAGGCGTTTTGCAGTTGAATAATTCATCCTGGAACAGTTCTTGACTTATGAGTTATTGTTTTGGGAAACTTATTGCCCATGATTTTGTATCAAATGGCATGTTATTTTGTATCTCAGAATGCGCTTAAAACTTGCTTTTTGCAAGAATACCGCCATAACAGGGTGACGGATATGTTTATACGAGAAATGATGCTGAAAACCTTTGAAAAGTTTCCCAATTGCTGAGATGACCATGCCATCAGAATATAGTGGCGTTTTGGGTTTTCCCGACCTTTTCGCCTTATTTATAAATGTTTATCCTTTTTCAGTCGAGTAATGGAAAGCAAATGGGGAAAAACATCGGAGACTATTAAAATGACCCTTAATGTAGAACAGGTAATCTTTCGGTTTAATTTCGTTTTATATTTCAAGTTTTATTTTATTATTTTAAAGATATTAGAATAACCCAATGCTTTGCCAAAAAATTTTCTCATAATTTGTTAATTTCATTATCAAGACTAAAAGTCAAAATTAACTTCTCTGTTTCTTCATTAATCTTTATTAGCAATAACTTTTTTGTCAACTTTCAACATTTTTGTTACCTTCCATTCTTGTTAACCATTTATTCATGTAACTAATTGAACCTATAAATTGCTTTTATATTGTCATCTTGCTTTGCATATTTGATTTCTATGAGGAATTTTTGAAACATGAATTCTTTCAGGCCACCTATACTCGGGATGCCCTAGCAAAAACACTCTACTCGAGGCTGTTTGATTTTCTCGTAGAGGTTAGTTCCTTATCATTAGTTTCGAGCAGTGAAATATAGAATTACTGGAAAAGTTTTTTATATATACCTATGGGTGCAATAGCAGATTGTAGGTGTTTGTAAATACCATTTATGATAAATTGTACAGTCGCTTAGTGAATTGCCTTTTTAAATGTTGTTTATAGGGTTCGTATGATTAAATAGATTTTTGTCTTTGTTTTGAATTCATTTAATTTTTTAGAGGAAAAACCTTTTAATTTATGTCGATTTTTTGTGTGCCATTTCCTGCAGTGTTTTTACACAGTGGTCGATTTTTGGGATATTGATTGTTGAATAAATCAGCGTTTCATTATTATTGAACCTTGGTTATTTTTTACCGTTATTTATAACTAAATTTTAAAAAGAGTTTTAACGAATTTCACATTGTAACGATATTTGAGCTGTCATTATGAGACTGCTGTTATGATTAAGGAACCTGTGTGTCTTTTAACTTTTTTTTGAGATCAGTTGAAATGCCTTCAAGCCATGTTTGTGGTTTCCAGTTGTGTTGTGATACTTATAACAGTAACCAGTGGTAATGCTTCTTTCTCTAAGTCTGTAAACAAAGCAATGCAGAAGGACACTGATGAGATTTCTATTGGCATTCTTGACATTTATGGATTTGAAATATTCAAGGTATCAAATTTAACCTCACCTTATGTTGTTTTGATAACAGCACAAATTCACTTTTTGTACATTAGCATTCAGTTATTTTTATGCATTTTTCATGAATTTTATTTCATATAACATTACCAATATTGTTAGAAAAATATATTACATCGGTATCTGGCCTTTGTTTGATTTGTAAATAGATGGCAGCATATATCTCTTATCAAATGAGATTGACTTTCTGCCTGATAACAAAAGGTAGTTAGAATCTTCATTTGAGCCTTGATTTTACTAACAAGTTTTACGGTTCTTTGTTTCTGTCACTGGTAAAGGCAAAGGTTATCTTTCGTTACATATTTCATCTGTATCTTTCGTTTCAAACCCTTCTTAAGTTGATATCCCTGATAAACGCACTCACTTTTAAGCCCCCATTTTTTAAGCCCCCTCTAGAACACACAGAATTAAAATACTTTTGTAGTTATACCTATTTTTTCACTAAATCCTCTATGTTCGTTTTTGTAGAAAAATGGCTTTGAACAGTTCTGCATTAACTATGTAAACGAGAAGCTGCAGCAGATTTTCATCGAGCTGACATTAAAAGCAGAACAGGTAGAGTAACAATCACGACGATTTTACGCAGTTAGACTGTCGCTAAATTTTCATCTTAGGTAGAGTGTATTAGATGGAATCATTATATGTGTTATGGTCTTTTATTGGATTTTGCTGTTCAAATTAGCACCTATTTCCGTATTATGTTGTAATATTCGTGAACTTTAATAAGAGTAGGTATCAAAGCATTGAAAATAAACTTCGCGTGGTCAGGTTACAAATCCAATACAGCTCTCTCATGAAAACTTCTGCACTATTAAAGACGACAAGAAGATCGAAATGAAACAATAATTTGCTTCATAGACAGTCCCGGTTTATACTGTACCACAGACATTGACTTCATTTCTAATATATTTTCTGTGTAACTTGTAGTTAACAATTATAATTTTAACATAGAATTGCTTAAAAGGTTGACAAAATTAAGATTTGCTTTACTAGGAGACTGTGCGTAGCTTTTTTAACTAGTCCATACTTTTCCCAAGTCGTATATTTTACGTTTCTAGAATTTTTATCTATTTGTACAAATATAGTTTGCAAACAATATTGAATTGAATATAAATTGAATTGGATAGGAAGAGTACGTCGAGGAAGGCATTACTTGGACACCTATTGACTATTTCAATAACAAAGTTGTCTGCGATTTGATCGAGACTAAGGTTTGTTATATTGATTTCCTCGCGAATTTTTTCCTTTTACTTTGTAATATGTAAGCTTATTTTTTTTCTCACAGGGTTTATCTTTAACTAAAGCAATTTTTTCGTTATATTGACATTAAGAAGGTTACTTGCGTTATAACTTGAAGAGGACAGTTCTTGTAAGCAAAGAGACCAAACGTTGCTATCGGTTGCTTTCAGTCAATAGATACTGGACTGTTATTTACAGTGCCTATACTCTGGCATTGGAAGATGTGTCTGTGACTATGCCTTGTTCTTAAGGCCTGTCAATTAAACTAATTCTTATCTCGAAAGCTTTTTTTCTAAAAGCAACGGTAATTTTGGCGTAAATCAAAACGACAATTTATTTATGGTTTACTATTTGATGCGATTTGCAGAAACCTCCTGGAATTATGTGTGTCCTTGATGACGTCTGTGCCACCATGCATGCCCAGGGCGAAGGCGCAGACATGAAACTGTTGCAGGTAAGGTTTTTTTACTGTTAGTTTCACCTGCCTATTATTTAATTTTTATCGTGAGAAGTAGGGTTAGATTTTAGCTTTTTTAAAAAGCCCACCTCCCCCACCACCCCATTAAAGTACAATTGCTTTAGTTAACCCCTATTGGGTTCAGGACAGTCCCTGAGTCCATGCCACTTTTACAATTTGTTGGAGAATTGATTGAAAATGATGTGAAGTTGAAGCTCCTTCTGAGAATCGTGTGATAATCAGCACTTATATGGAAGGCAAGAAGACATTTTCTGTATTTCTTGATGATATTGTTGGTCGTAGACTCCTTTGAGTATTCATTTTCAAGCATAGTACACGATATATTTAAAGCTCAAACAATAATTGGGAGAAGGATAATTTAGTATGTTCGTCTACGAAGCACGACCTAACTTGCATGCCACTTATCATAACTATTTGCACCACCCAGAAGACTATCCTTGCTTTTTACCTGACTTACATTATTATACCCCCAGAAACTGGAAGGTGCAGTTGGAAGCCACCAGCATTATAATGGTTTCAGCCAGGGTTTCAACATTCATCATTACGCAGGAAAGGTGAGCAAATCGGCCGTTGATTCTTTGTTAAACCAGTTCTCAAACAATCAAACCAGTGGATGCTCTAATAACCTAAAACCAATATAAGTTTACCAATAGACCCGCATCACTGATCTCAGATTCGAATGTTCATAAACGTTAATAAACGCAAAAAATTGAATCAGTTTTAGAAAAAATTTTGAATTTAACCTATTAAGTCCTACCCATTTCTTAACTCATCTACTTCGTTTTTCACCCAGCTTCCAAAAAAAGTCTATGACATTTGTAAAGTTTATTTTCAAAAGCATTCCTGGAAAACCTTTTTTCTGCAAAAGAATATTCAACATGAGATATTTGTTGTTTGAGAAATACATTTGATTAGTTTTAGAGCGTTGGTAGTCTAATGACTGTGGAACGTGTGCGTCGTTCCGTCGTCTTTGTTTTGCATATTTGGTATGTACATGAATTGCCAAACATGGGGGAGAGTTTAGAAGGCTTTAGGGAGTTAAGCAAGCTCCTAGTCTGTTTCAGTTTCCTAATCTGTTAATGTCACATTAGGGGTAAAAATCAAGCTATTTCATTTTTAAAAATGTTTCATTTCCACATTTCCTAATCTGGATTAAAGGTGTCAGACAAAGATGCCTTCTAAATTGTTTTTGTCGCTGCTCCATGCAATCCTGGTATTACATTCAATGTTTTGTTCAGGTGACATACGAAGCAGATGGATTTTGTGAGAGAAACAGAGACGTGCTTTTCAATGATTTGATTGAGCTAATGCAAAGCAGTAACAAGTAAGTTCTAATCGGCACATTTATTCTGATGACTTAGAAACGTATCTCAGCTTTAAAGACTTTCAATTTTGCTTGTGACGATGAAGCTTGAAGATTTCATGGACTGCCATGTAAACTTTAATTAAACTGCGAAGTCATTTCCTGAAGAAAAAATATATTGCCCACTTTATCTTTAGATTTTTTAATTGAAAAGGCCATCGTTTTTTCTTACTTATCAGGTTATGAATGTTTTTAGCTAATGTTGAAATGGAATGGAATCTATGAAATTATAGCTTTTGGACTTGATATTCTGTTGTCTGAGTCATTGGCTCTAATTTCCCACTTCTTTATCATTCGGATCTGTTCAGTTAGAAGACCTAGTTCTAGTATATTGAACTTTGCTTTCATATTTTTCATTCTAAAAAACTATTAACATTTGATGACATTCTTCAACAGCCCATTTATAGTCAGCCTGTTTCCCGACGACACCAAGACGGAAAAGAGGGGAAGGCCAACAACAGCCAGTAGCAAAATCAAGGTACCGCATCGACTTCCATTTTAAATGTAAATTAGACAATTGCATATTTCAGTTTGGAAATTATTGAAACTGAAATTACACCATGTTCAGCGTACCAGTAGGTAGTAGTGATGTTAACAATATTATTCAAAAATTTAATTGCACTTTAAACTATTTCATATGTTAAGCTGCATCAAATAAAGCACAATATCTGTCTAAGATCCTTTTTACTGCATATTTGAGTATCCTTCTTTGATTATCATTTGTTTAATTTCTCCATTAATGCCATTGATTTTTGTAAATGTTTGAGGGAATGAAGATTTGTCTATTTGTAATGTTTAAATTGCAGTTGGTATCGCGAACTCTTCACTTTTTGGAATTGATGCTTATGTTTAATATATTAACCTTTTTTGGCTTTGAATTGAGTTCATGAAACACCTGTTAAACTCCTAAGTTGCTATGCATTTTGTGAGCTAGAGTCTTTTGAAAAAACAATATTAACCAAACGATTATCTGCTCCGTTTTGTAGTGTGATTTAGATTTTTTTGCATGAATAAAATACAATTAAACATTCTTCAGTCACTGTTAAGAAGTTTGACAAAGAAAATCAGTTGATTATAAATATTTTCAGATTTATTTTTTCTTTCTCGGAATTACTCTACGTGAAGTTGACTCTATAAGCTTTTATGCAACATTAACTTATTGGTTCTATAGACACAAGCAAATACGCTGGTGAATAAGCTGATGCAGTGTACCCCTCATTATATTCGCTGCATCAAACCGAACGAATCAAAGAAACCACATGATTTTGAAGCTGATAGGTATGCAAAGCTAAAAAAATGTTTACACTTTTTAAAACCTATTACTTTTCAATATTCTCATCTTCTCAGCTCCTCTATAGTTTGTGCGATAATTAGATTATAAATTGTAGAGGATTTAATGATAATAACTTTTAGTTAGTCAGAAATTCGAATCAGATCTATGTCTCCTATTACAATAAAATTCAATAGTTTTTTGCATTGTTTATAATCAGAGGTATCACATATGCATGCGTTTTATACTCGTTTGAGATGTATTTTATCTTTGCCAACTTATTTGAACATTTCAGCTAAGTTTTCCCTTAGCAGGATTCTTGGCCAAATGGACACACAGCAGAAAGCAACTGCAGTTTTACATTGTCTTACCCCTTCCCTAAAATCACCATTGTTTGTGAAAGTTGGCTTTTGAAAGCAAAATCCCTCTCTCAAATCTTTACATATTTCAGATATAGTAAGCTCGTCTGTTTTCTTGAGCCATGATGAGTCTAAGTTGGACACTTTCGTGAGTGGGTCTATCCACTCACGATTTGCCAATCGTGAGTGGGTCTAAAGACGACCGAGATATCCTCCGCCCCTTTTAATAATACGTTTTGTGTTCTATTACAGAGTCAGGCATCAAGTAGAATACCTTGGGTTGAAGGAAAACATTCGAGTTCGGCGTGCTGGATTTGCCTTTCGAAGGGTATTCGACAAGTTTCTGCGAAGGTTTGCCTCCATTTTTTGAATATATGAAAAGTTTTTTTCAATGAATTTCAAAGCCACTATGTTTTGGATGTTCTTTTAAACAGTTACTTCAAGTGAAAACTGATTATAAATATAGCGATGGAACAGAATCGTTAAAAGGATATATATTAAATGGATCAGAAAAGACACCTGCAACCATCCGTATTTTGTGACTTCAAAGAACAGCTGTCAAGTTGGAATAAGGACTGTTGCTCTTCTTATTTGCCTAGGTATGCAATTTTGACTCCGGAGACATACCCTCGCTGGCAGGGAGATCCACGGTCAGGCATCAAGCACTTGATGAATGCAGTGAACATGGATGCTGACCAATGGCAATTGGGAAAGTCAAAAGTCTTTGTCAAGAACCCTGAGTCGGTGAGTTGTTGCAAAATCATAGAAGGATTAGCTTTATTACTGCAAACAATTTTTGATCTCACTGATTATTGTCACTTGGGCTTGAAAAGCGTTTTAGTTGGCTGTCAACGGCTTTAGCAAGAGATTGAAATGATCTACGTCTTCTTATAAGCTGCCTGTTAGTTTAGATATTTACTCACAAGTTTACTCCTCTCAAAAGCATATGCAATATTATGATCCTGTCATGCTAAATTTAACAGCCTATGGCTTTGTTTTTAAGTATTTTTAAAAGACTTGCTGTTTGAAGTTATGAAATAGATAGGCCATCCTAGATTAAAGGTAAATGCTTGTTTGCTTGCATTAAAAAGATACGCTCCTGTCGCTTCTAAAAAGCAAAGAGTTTATGTTTAAGTTTATGTACTAAAGAGCAAAATCCCATTTAGTTATAAGGGAAAGAAAAGGAGAAAGCAGCTTTCCAACCTGTTTTCTTAGAGCTCAAGAAGAATTTTTAGAATCATCTTTGTTTGTTATATATATGTCCTAAAAGTTTTGAAAACATACTCATAAGCCTGACCATTCTTTTAGCTGTTTTTGCTGGAAGAATTAAGAGAGAGAAAATATGACTCATTTGCGCGTACAATTCAGAAGGCATATCGTCAATACAAAGCACGACAGCAGTATATGCAGATGAAGATGCAAGGTACGGCAGTCTCTTTTATCACACTCTCTTTTATCACAGTCACTTAACACTGAATGGCAATACTGTTTGCTCAATCGAAAGTTTTTCTAGCTAAATAGCAGGTGCAAGACGACAGCAAACGTTGGAAGCATAACGCTCAAATTCAAGCTCAATGTGTGTCCGTTAGAATGTAACTTAAAATTGCATGACAGCTTACATATTGTTTGTTCAGGTTAGCTTTTGTCTTGAAGTGGGATTGTCTTTCATCAAATTATAATTCTCATCGTCTGTAATAGACTTTCAATATTTGTAAAATCTGCACGCAGGCTCCTTTTTGCAATGTCAATAACAGTTTTGCAGACCCCATAACCTAGAAATGTTTTGACTTGGATTTTGATTAATCGTGTCATGTCATTTCGTACTTACTCTTCATAAGAGTTTGAATTGTATTCATTTGAAACCAGCAAGTCTTCTGTAGAAATGCATTTAAGTTTATTATGACTCAGGGAGTTATTATGGTAACTGCATTGTTTAAATGCACACAGTAACTTATCTTTTTGCATGTCACAGCATCAGATATCTTGTATCAAAAGAAAGATCGTCGACGAGGCAGCTTGAACAGAAACTTCGTGGGTGATTACATTGGGCTTGATGATAATCCAGCTCTTAGGGCGCTTGTAGGTCAGTTCACCGTTTTGTTAAATTTTATTCTTTTCTGTTTAACTGGCCATTATTAACTACTAAGGTTTGCCTTTATACACATGACATGTTGGACTGGACAGTTAACTTACAGACGTTTCTATCTAGCATTTCTATAGACGTTTCTTTCAGTAATTTTTCTTCTTCTTTTTGCAGAAAAGAGAGAAAGAATAGAATTTGCTGAAACAGTCAATAAGGTGGACAGACGATTTAAGGTTAGGTCATCATTGTGTGAGGAATTTTTTTTCTCAGAAGATTTTATGATTGGGTGCAGGTAAAAATAATAGTATTGCTAAATTGTAAACTTTTTGCGATTTATTGAATATCAATGGAGAGCAATAAAATTTCCACATGTTCTTATCATGTAGAGCTTTTTGCTGAAAAAATCCAGGGGTGTTCATTTAACCTCGAAAAGGGGCAGTTTTGCCACCATGAAAGCCATGCTATACACAGTTACTTTTACTGGCGAATGTTTATTTTGATTTAATTGCACACTTTCTTTCCTTTTTTCTTACTAGATTATGAAAAGGGATCTACTACTCTCTGCAAAACATATATATCTAATCGGAAGGGAAACCATCAAAAAGGGACCAGACAAGGGTAAAATTGTAGAAATCGTCAAAAGGAAACTGACAATGGACAAGATTGCTTCGTTGTCTTTGAGGTAAAATAGCACTTCAAGAAATAATCACCTTTTTTATTTTTTCTGAAGATCATATTTTTTGGCTGGCATATATTGATCATTTTATTCAGGGGGCCTTAGAGATTTAAAGCATGGGCTCGTAGCTATAATTGTCACCAGCAAATCGAAATAATCCCCTTTTTTGTTCAACTGTCCAAACTCCTTTGCTTAGATATTGTCCTTCTCCCCCAAATGATTCATTGGGGCCATTCTTTTACTAAAGGGTACTTTTTTCCCTTAACGCCACTGACTCTGTTTACCACTGGAAAATCTTCATTTCTGAACCATCTGTTCCGGTCTCCTTTTCATTATTCCTGCAATAATTATCATCTTTCCATTTATTTCTAACTGACAGTAATGTTCATTTAACGTAACCCCCCCTACTACATACTGACTCCTATTGTTTATTCATATTAGTCGTTCCTAATGATGCATGATAAGACTTCAAAGTGTACCTTGTATCAACTTCCTCTTTCACTCGACTCTGACTGTATAAAGCAACCCTGATGTTCATTTAAAATTTCAATCAATTGATTTCTGCATTCTTAATCATTTTTTTGCCCTTTTCTTTGCAGCCCTTTTCAGGATGGATTTGTCGTTATCCACGTTCCGTCTGAATATGATACGATCTTCGAATCTGTTTTCAAGACGGAGTTCCTCACATTACTAAGTGCCAAATATGAAGCTGCATTAAACAGAAAACTCAAAATTGATTTCAATGTGTCGTATGTTTCTTTATATTAGTTTTCCTATTTCATTTACCAACCCTCTTCATTGCAATGGTCCCAATTGTTTTACCCACTATTGATTATAAAATTTGAATTTAAAAATCTTTTTGAATTTTTGGCTTCGACTGATACATCTTCGAGAATTTTCGGAAATTTTTTCAAATAGTAGCCTTTCGTTTGTTCAGAGCCCCATGAAATTTTGCTTTTATATAATCAATGTTTATACACAAAGTCGTACAACCTTAACTTTGTGTATAAACACAGCAGCTTCCGTCATTAACAGCCAAAGAGTTACGGGCTGTCCTTTCCATTAACAGCACTGACAAGTGCCCTCTTAACCTCCAAAAGGGGAAAATGTAATTTTTTACTATTCTTTTTTTACTGTGCACGATTCCTTTGTTAGCACTCTCAGAAAGTCTTTCCTGCACACATTCGAAAATTGAGCAGTTGCCAATTCTGGTCGTCTCCAGGAATTAAACCCCCCTTAATTTCAAAAGCTTTATTTTGTCTAAATTTTCTGTTACTTTTAAGCGCTCTCTTTCACTTCACTGTTTTAAATGTCATTTTCGCTGCAGTATCACTGTTGCTGTCAAAAAGGAAGGCTGGAGCAGCCGCATTCCAGGGTCTTTGGGCGGCGGTTTGACCCGCACATTGAAATTTCAAGTTGGAAGCGGTGATCTTCCCGTTTTAAAGCCCGCTGGGAAACAACAACTCACAATTTCCATTGGACTTGGGTTGCCAAAAGATTCACGTAAGTTTTGTTTTGTATTTAATTTAAACTGAAGTCTGGTTCCTTTACTCATGCAATGTTTTACTCCACCAGCATCTGTTTTAATTGCATTCAAACATTTATTTTTATCAGCTTGTAAGACCGAAAGCTTCGAGTATTTCTGTACAAATGGCTCATTGCTAAAAGTCTACTGTTAAGCTGACGGAGTTCGTCCCTAGGGTTGGGAAAATCAATTTATTTGAATTTTTTTTCATATTTCTTAATACAGCTTTCTACGCCCATTTTTGTTATACGTTCGCATTGCAGTGAAGTAAATGAGCGTTGTCATCAGGGTTGACCATAAGGTGTAAGAAATCCCCTATTAATTGCACATACCGACCGAATAATCTGCACGTTCTAGTATTAATAGAAAATTTTATTTGATTTCACAAACGTTCAACACCAATTATTTGTTGCATATAGGGCCAAGTGCACAAAGACCTTCGGGTTCCAGCCGAGGTCCTGGTTCCCAAAACATGCAAGCGTATGCAGTTGTTGATAAGAGCAATCGCAGTCAAAAGAAGCGACAGTCTTTCAGCAGAGCCAGTCGAGTACCTTCGCATCATCCCAATTTACCCACGTCGGGCGCTAAACGGGTCGCAAGGCAATCATCTTCTGGCGTTAACCATGATTTCATGAGCACTCCTGAATCAGGGGTTTGCGGGTAAGCTCTTGCTTTATAGCGATCTATTTTTGCCTTTAAACTCCAAAAAATTCCGGCAGTTTTTTTTATTTTGTATATACCAGTTACAATCCACCCTTCAGAGCTGATCTTACGGCTCTCCTTAAGTTCTCTAGCTGACACCAGAGCAGTGTGTATTGGATCATCAGTTCCGTTAATAGTGAGAGACCATGATCAGTGACCTATAACCCATAAATTCTTAGATTCAGGGGGCCTGTACAAAATTTTGAAAATCCTATGCAGGCTGTCAATTTCAGTCTTGTGTTTGAATTGAATAGTAACTTCTTTAAAGAACAAAATGTCTGCATGTTCCATATGTTGATTAAATTAGCAATTTAAGAACAGTTAGAAACTACATTGGCCGTCGGCTAATATGCTTTGTCTCACCTACTAGGTTTTTGCTAAATGTCCTATTTTAGACAGGAAGGGGCAAGGGGACAAATCGCCCCAGGGCCTTGAGGTCTAGGGGCCACAAAAAGTAATGAATTCCTTTTTTAGAATGGAGTTAATCAAACATATCATAAGGATGTCTATAAATAGTGAAACGTTTTAAAAAATTGCATTCCTTTGATATTCAACTTCATGCTAGAAAGGTGCCAAATACTATGTCCGCGACACAGTTTTGTTTGGTCTATTCAAAGGACAAACTTTGGGCCCAGGCTCCCAACAGATGTAAATGCAGCCTTTGATCTAATGACACTTTTTTGTCGTAAAACACAGCTTTATTGTCCCAAACAGTTGGTTCTCCGAGTGTGGTCTTTGCTTTCCTTCCGTGTTGAAGGTTTTTGGTAATAATTCGCTTAAAACTTGTATCAAAAAATTTCAAAGTAGTTGTAAGGATAGCTGCAGCCCCACCTGTCACAGTTGCATTATGCGAAAGGGCACACAGCAAGGTGAAGACCATCAACAATTACCTTTAAGCATCAAAGCAGGTTGGAAAGCCTTGTTTAAATTAGCATCAAGCGAGATGTGGCAGATAAAATAAACCTAAGCAGCCTCGTTAAGAAGTTGAAAGCCACTGCTAGGCAAACCTATCACTATGATGGTTTATGATGGTATTAGTTTTTGTGTGTGTAAATCTTTGCCTATGAAACTGAACTTTCTGACTCAATGAAATCGTATTCTTGTATCGAGGGTTACAAAATAAATTCAAACTTGTTTATCAGTGATGAGCAAAGTTTTTCATGCGATGCTGCCAAAGGGCGTTTTCCGACGTTCTTAAGGATGTAGCCCCGACCCCTTTCCCAGCCTATTGTCAACCCCATTATTTTAGAGCTGGCACCCCCTGACAAGAGCCAGACATCAACAGGTCATCCCTCTTTGTGAACAACAACATTCACGACAGAATTCACGGGCACACTGTTCGTTACAAGTTTAGTCATTTTTGATCGTTTTTTATATTGTCCAAACAGAGTACCTAGCTTGCATTCCAACTAAATCAGTTTTAATTTGTTTGCAGCATTCAAAGAGTTACGTCATCAAAAACAGCTGCAGCTCGTCCAAGGCCTGCAGCTCCCGCGAAACCAAAACCAGCTCCGAAGCCAAGATTACCCATGTGTCGAACTATTTACGCCTACGATGCTGCCGAAACGGACGAACTGTCTTTCGATGCAGGCGAAACGGTCGAGATAGTTAAAGAAGGTTAGTCTTACGATAAATATCTTGCAGCTTGTATTAATTTATGGCTTTTAGCAATTATATTTTACATTTCTTTCAAAGAGACTGAAGATTTTATCAAGTTAAGAGCTGTTTGGATACGAATCTTGTGTGATCATGTTTGTTTATTTTACAGTTTAGGCTTACTCAAACATTTAACTATGCATGTGACATTATAAAATCAAAGCACTCCATTCCATTACTTTGAATCATGATTTGTAACCAACTTTAAGTCTAATTTCATCGACACAGTCCTGCATATTCGCCCTTAATTGTGATAGGTTGATGGCAAGCCCTCAGTTCAAATTTATTATTTAATCTATTGTATTTCAAAAGCCTCCTTTTTTAGTGTTTAAATTTTGTCACTGTTGTGTAGAGCAATTCTGATTTTTCTGTTTTTTTCCAGATCCATCCGGATGGTGGGTTGGCAAACACCGTGGCAAAGAAGGCTTATTCCCGAGTAACTATGTCGAAAAGATCTGAATCGCTTTTGGATGGACAGTCTTTTATATAGATTTTTAGTGATTTTTAATAAACTGTTGTACTATGTATGACTCTTAGATCCAAAAAGAGTTCATAATTATCTAAAAAGCTAAAGACATCATTCGTCCTTATTTTGTGGTACAGAATAATTTACCTTATCGATTGGTTGGGTTTATATGCCTCCTTGATTATACCTGCAGACAAATCTTGATAAATGCCCCCAGCTTACATCTGTACCAATATATTGTCCAATTTTTTGTGACTGTTTTTTCTTCCCTTTATTTCTTAAGAGCTTCCTAGCACTGTTACTATTCAGTAAAGTAAAACTGCAGAATTCTAAGACACTGGGTGAAAGGGTTGAATTAATTCGGGTAATAGGGCATATTAGTCTTAAATTTGTATTCACTCTATTTAATTTTGGCTTTGATAGTAATCCATGACAATAGTTTTGAAGCAATCATCTTGATATTTATAATGGTGTTGTTTTCCATTTTGTTCCCTGAATTTTGGTTCCTATTTAAGAATACACAGACAACCATTTTGCTTGTTTTTGTCTTCGAGCAGTATAAACATGCGATTCTTTCTTCACGTGGTATTGATAAAGAAGTGGCTGGCAACAACCTTCAGACTTGCTGCAAAAATATTATCAGAATGATTCAGTTCGAAATAATTTGTTTTACTGTTTGCAGACGCAGTTTTTGACCTATTCGGTTTTAAGACTCTCCTGGTAGAATAAATTTGTTCACTTTTTAAAGAAGAAGGGATTTTTAAGCCTGTAACCCTTCTTGAAGGGTTGCTTACAACGTTCTGCAAATCCCGACTAATCTGTGATTATTGTAAGGGCTAGAAGAATCTGATAAAAATGTTGACTTATTTTGCATCGATTTCAGCCGTTCGTTAATCCACTCTTCATCGAATTGCCTCCCTAAATTCTTATGTTTTCTCATAACATATCACCGAGGGCACATATTTAACAACAGCTTTGAATGATCTTCTTTTCCAGCCTGCAATTGCACACTCCTCTGAGATCAGATTGTGTTCACCCCGCTTTGGAATTTCGGTTTGCGCATGCTTGGTTCATAACATATCAACATCATACAGTTGATTTATGAAACAAACCACTACATAAATTAGCAAGTTCCTCGCGAATTTCAATATTGCTTATTACATAAATACATAATTGATGTGACAAAAAGCGTTTGTTCATTAATCGAGTAAGAAACAAATTTCTGATAACGGGTTTCTGTAAGTGGATTTGTACAGTTTTGTAAGTGATATGCCATACCAGAGATTAATGGAGAAAGCGGAGATTTAAGATGAGCAAAATTCAATTGGTCTTCCCCTCCGTTGTGTAATGTTTACATTGGTTGGATCAGCTTGTCATAAGTAGGGCACCAGACTACAAAAACCAAACTAAAAAAGTTGGGGAAGAAGGAAATTATTATACTGGCTGCCTAGAAATATAATGATAATTTTTTCAAATAAAGCACATTGTCAAGAGAAAAGTTCTGGAGGCCAGAAGCCATGACAGCCAAAAATGTAAACTGAATGGGCCCAAGAATTGAGCCTTTCGATACTCCACAAGAAAAGCTAATGCGAGGCTACCATACCATGCAATATTGGCCTAAATCACAAGTTTATGTCGACAGGATTACCGTTATAAATACTTGCAATCAACGCAGTTACAATGGGAATAAATGTTATTTGATGCAATTGCCTTTCAACTATGTCGTTTATCATTGACTCAATACTAGTTTTTGGCTCCGAAGCTCTGTTCTTTGCATTCGGCTGGATATTTTTCACGAGCAAGCTGTTCAAAGATTACGAAGTACACCATGCTGTCGTTCAACTCATCTTTTCTTTCACATTCTCGTTATCTTGTACTATGTTTGAGCTGATAATATTCGAAATACTTGGTATATTGGATCCATCATCACGTTATTTTCATTGGAATGTTGGGATTTATTGTTTATTGCTCGTTGTAATCCTATTGATTCCGGTTTATGTGGGTTATTTTGCCGTCCTAAATTTCACAAGGATACGTGGTACCACATTGCAGGTTGTGCTTACTTTTGTCTGTTGGTTCGGCTTTTTCTATTTCTTCTGGAAAATCGGCAACCCTTTCCCGATCCTTTCAGCGAAGCATGGAATTTTGTCAATCGAGCAAGGAGTTAGCCGTGTTGGGGTAATCGGAGTAACACTGATGGCCGTTCTCTCGGGATTTGGTGCTGTTAACGCCCCGTACACATACATGTCCTATTTCATGAGACAGGTCACAGATGCAGACATTCATGCAATCGAAAGACGTCTGATGCAAACGATGGAGTTGATTCTGATGAAGAAAAAACGAATTTCATATTCTAAAAGACAGCAATTAACAAATGGATCAAAATCACCAAAATCAGGTGAGCGTTTTGAAACCAAAAGAAAGCAGAACTACTTGGTTCTACAATGATTTTCAGACACTGATAGAGGTAGCAACAAAAATAGAGGGTTGTGGTTTTACCATCTTCAACATGTAGTATTTTTGATAAATTTTATGAATACTTCCTCTGGGAATGGTGAGCTATTAAGCTCTCTCCAGTACAAAGGTCAGCACATATATTGATGGTCTCGCGCAGGAGTTCACTGACTGGTAGAAGTGGGCTAACAATATACACTGGTAAGGAATTAAGTGTTAGACTTTTTGACCAGTCAGTACATCCTCTGAGCAAGTCCATCAATATATGTGCTGATACTTTGTACTTGAGTGAGCTTAATAAAACATTTAGCAGATTCTCCAACAAAAGTGAGGAAAACGAGCAGTTCTAGACACCCAAGCATAAAGTTAGTACCCCTGAGTTCATTGTAATAAGATATCGCAGATTGGTGCAAAGATGAACTTTTTTATTGCAAGTGTTTCACAGGTTCTTCAATCATCATGGCTCAATTTTTGTGCTTTTGTGACATGTTGATATTGTTTAGAAATAAGCAAAAATCAAGAATATTCTTACATTTACTATTTTCACTATCAAACCTTGATAAACTTATAACATATTTCAACATATTCCAGTTAAAAAGTCATCTTTTAACTTTTATGAAACTTGCTATGGCCACTTGAATTTTGGTTCGATAGAATTTTTGGCTGCGGGGTTGCCATTTCTGTTTCAGCCTGTGCAATACTTTTGCTCACTAAGTGTATATAGAATATTAGTGTTTGAGATTACATTCACAAAAAATTATACATCACTATAAAAAAATTTTCATATACAATTTGAAAAAGGATAGAGAGCAGTTTCCATGTTTATATGGAATCAGTCTGATAATATGTCTCCTTCAAATGTCGGACATTATCTTATTCATATTTTTGCTTGGCAGGAATTTGGGGAGTTTTCAGTGGATTTTCCAGTGGAGGAGGAAGTGAAAATATCAGTCTTTTAGAAAATGAAGTTAAAGCACTAGAAGAGTTAAGCAGAGCCCTTTTTCTAGAATCAGTGGATTTGCATAATTCAAAAGAAAGAGTTGAATTTTCAAAAACTCTTCAAGGTAAATACTTTGATCTTCTTGGGCATATATTTTCAATCTACTGCATATGGAAGATTTTCATCTCGGCTGTCAATATCATATTTGACCGTGTTGGAAAAGTTGATCCTATAACAAAGTCAATTGAAATTCTGGTGCATTACTTTGGCATAGAATTTGATGTTCACTTTTGGTCACAACAAGTTTCATTCATTCTGGTTGGAATTTTGATTGTTACGTCAATCAGGGGACTTCTTATTACACTTACAAAGTTCTTTTATGCAATATCAAGCAGCAAGTCATCAAATATAATAGTTTTGGCCCTAGCTGAGGTAATGGGTATGTACTTCATATCTTCTGTTTTGCTAATGAGAATGAACATGCCTGAGCAGTATCGTCAGATAATCACAAAAGTTCTTGGTGACCTTCAGTTCCATTTCTACCACCGCTGGTTTGATGTTATCTTTTTGGTGAGTGCCTTGGCCAGTATCGGATTCTTGTATCTTGCACACCAACAAGCCCCTGAGAAACACATGTATCAATCTGGAGAGCTTTAGTGGATATTAGATTAGACACAAAACTTATAAAGCTACAGGAAACCCAAATTCATCAAAAATGAATTGCAAAGTCATCCGTCACTTAATTTCCAGAATCATTATGAATGATATGCTTTCTTAGAAAACCTTAGTTTGTATCTAATGACAATATGAATCAGATATTAAATTCTATAAAGCTGAACAATATTATTTGAAATAGCTGTTTACCATTTAACTGCTAATGAAATTTATTTTCAGTAGTTTTTCTGAACAGTAGCTATAAAATATCTACTAGAAAGATGCTATTGAAAATTGTTTTTCTGAAGAATACTAACTTGTCAATAAAGAGAAATAAACTGTTCTGTTAACTTTCATTGTTCTATTTAAATGTTTATCCTATTGAATAATTTGAGGATATATCTAATTGATAATATTCCTCACTACCTGAAATATTATGGTTTTGGTTAACATCTCTGCTTACTTAAGAGTGAAAAAATCGTTATTTTGTCAAAGCATTAACTACAAATTGCCTTTTTACTTAACAAATTTATTTTGATACTTTCACATGTTTTGAACACAGCACGTAGCCCAAGTTTACTGTCCTGTAAAATATATGTTTTATTAGTTTTGTTACTTCTTGTAGAATTTTTAGAATAATTCAATTGAGTGCGGCTGCTAGACGGACTCCAATAGAATGGTTGTGACAAAAGGTCGATAAAATACATAAAAAGTAAGGAACACCGCAACAAGCCGAGAACAAACAACAATTTTTGTTGGCCTATTTCTTTATATGTAGCCTTAGGTTAAAATTTTTGATGTATGTTATCAGGCTTGAAACCCCATTCTTTATACTGCAAATTCTGGTACTGTATTGTACATTTTGTTTCTTTTTCCATGACAGGTTTTTCCATTAGAGAGTTTTTCCAGAACAGATTTTCCATTGACAATCTTTTTCCAGAACAGTTCAGATCAGCTACTTGTTTTTAAATCCAGTCAGGCGTTTTATACGGTGGTGCTAGCAGAAAACTAAATTAATTTTTCACCTGTGACAGCAATCAATCTGGTCACATATTTGCAAACTACTGAGAGTGGTAGTTTCCCTTCAATGTTTCGAATTTCATTGTCTCGTACGTATAAAACCTCTCTCTTGCAATTCAAAGCAGAGACATTTACTTGACAGGCCTTCCAGAACCAAGCCGTATTTTAAGCAGATTGAATTGCGAAATTCTTCCTTATTTAAGTCATGGCCTTCGTCTGCGCAGCTCCCTTATCTTGTGTTCGTGACAGAGTATTCTGCAGTGACTTACTAGTTGCTTTTTGAGCAACCAAATTGGCCTAACCTTACAAGCTGCTTGATGACTTCATCATTTAGCAAACGGTGTAAAAATTGTTGCACTATCATAGCTGCATGTGATGCAGTTATTGATGATTCATCTTCAAAACACGATCCAAGTCGATGATGCCCATCTCACCTAATCGAAAAGGTAAAGCCAAACTCTACGTAATTCCCGAGAGACCTTACACACAGACACGAGGTACAAGCCTTACATCTGCTATTTTTTTCAATTGGCTGTATCAAAGTGAGGAATTGCACTCATACAGTAAGTGAATTTATACACGAAACCAAATGTGAGGGCGCTGTACGCAGCTGGCGGTTGAAATTCAGCTATATTACACGAATTCTCCAATGCCTTCAGCCAGCTCAGCTGACTCAAAGACGACCATCTAATGAATGCTCTCAAATGTCTTGGACCCTCAGAAAGATCTTCAAATGTGCGTTGTGCTTCTTCTTCCATATCCTCACCTTTCTTCATAACAATTATTTCTTCTCATTCACAATGTAGCCAAACTTTTTATATTCCATCTTCAGAGTTTAAAAAAATTATCAATAGGGGCCAATGACTATGCCGCAGAGGCATCAACAACTAACTAAACATAGCAAGGCAAAATTGGCGAGCTCTGATTGGCTAAGAGAAAATTGTAAACAAAGCAGCTAATTGGACAAAAACGAAATTCTACCTTGCTACTAAACATGCCTCACTTCATTGCAAAGTAAAGATATTTAAGGTAATGTGTCCAGCTATAGCAAGCGACTCTGCAGGGGTTTTTAGAAACATGTGATTTTTCATGCCATCGCCCCAGTCATTACGGTCGTTCTGTTTATTTATTCTGCTGCGAGGTCAGCCTTTCATGTGAGCAGTTTTGCATTGCAAGAACACTAACCAATCGCAAATTGTTATTTTGATGGGTGGCTTGAAAGTTGGGTATACGCAGTCCTTTTATATGGACACATTACCTTTAACAAAGAAGTTGAAGTGGCACAGAATGGCATTGCTGAAGATTCTCTCTGTGAAGTATCCTTTAATAAAAATTCGTAATGAAAATGTGTAAATATGAATTAAGAAATGTAAGTAATAATCAAGAAGTTTTACATCAAACAGCTTTTTTGATGTAAAAATAACAAATGTAAATGCTGAATCAAATAAATATTTGCCAACGGAAATTATTCTTAGAAAGGCGAAAAACGAAAAGAAGCAAATGTACAACCAGAAAGTTACTAGATTTGATCATAGAATGGAACATTTACGTGTTTGGTCTTTGGCACCAACAGTGACAAAAAGTGTCAATTTTCCAAAAGCGATCGGCAAAGAAACTTCCAGCGAGAAGAAACAAAAAATGCTGTGAAAAATTTGTTTATGATTAGAGCAGAAATTTCCTTTTGTGAAATTTCCTTACGTTAAATGTTATTGTATATTTGAGGTTCACGAACAGTTTTTTAATAGAATATATTGGTGGTTTAGGACTTATGTGATAAACAAATAGGATTTGTCCAAAATCTCATATTTAACAGTCGATAACACCATGCAGGCATTTGAGATTAGATACAAGAATGATTATTTAACAAAGACTACGTGAATAAAGTTTGCATGTAGTATTTTTGGCACACAATATGAATAAGGTTCAATAAAAGAAAACCCAAACTGTGCATGAAAGATAACAACATCAAGATAGTATGAACCTTGCATAATTACGTATGTAGCACTCAATCTTTATGGTGTGCGCCTAGGGGGGGGGGGGTGGGGGTACTCATACATATTTAGGGTAGCGGTGCACGGGTTACTTTTTCGGTCTAAAATTTGAGCGAAATTTATTTTTTTTGGGCCAGCCAATTTTTTACAATTACTTTTTTGGGTTTATGAAATGCCGAATTATTTCTTTGGGCCTTGAATGTGACAACAGTGGAGCCAACACACAGGGCCGACCACGACGCTGCTCAGGCAGCCATTCGTCCCCAGGGACAATAAAAAACCAGACAGCTATGACTACGTACTGAACAATGATGCAAAGATGATTCTAATTATCATGGGTGTTAGTGGGTCAGGAAAGTATGAAACCTTTATTGTTTTGTATTTTCACAGCCGTTTCCACTCGAGCCTAGATTTCAACAGTTTCATCAGAATATTCAATGGTCAGCATAATCATTATCATCATTATCGAGGGGCAAATCACTCCAAGAAAATATCGTACAGTTTTTGCGAAAATCCTATTGTTTCATCTGAAAATCCCTGGAAATCCTTTTGTTTTAGGGAAAATCTCGCACGCTATTTGCAAGAATGAATTGCCCCTCGGGCATAATTATCATGATAATTATTATGACCATTAGTAATCTAAATCTTAATCGCTATGATCATCATCATCAATCATCACTGAGCAGGGGGGGGGGGGGGCTAAGGCAGAGGCAATAGCCCAAATTTGCCAAAAACATATTTGTGAAATGGACCACCAGTCAAGCAAGAACAGATTTAAGCAGCAAAGATTAGGGGGGTGTTGAATAATGACTGGATTTTGATGCCACACCCTTCAGGTGACTAGAAAATGATGGACACTCTAATTTCAAAAATCCAGCTTTTAACTTCAAGAAAGAAGATAAGATGATAGATAAAGAAAATTTTTGCATTATTTTGTTACAACTGACCACCAAAAATGCTTTTTACCAAATCAAAACAAAATTTATCAAGGGACACAAAAATATTGAGGTTGTCACATGCACTAAACCCCCTGGTTAATTCTTCCCTGCAGTCGAGCTCCTTTTTATTTGGTGTTAGCCACTTGCTTTTGTCAGCGCCATGTGGTGCTGCCTGTATGCACAATTGGTCCGTTTACTTGGGTTTCTCAAACATACAACATCAAAGCTCAAGTGTGGAAAAGTGCACTAATACTTGAGTTTTCACTTTTAATAATCAAGACATTTTTAAGTTTGGAATATGTTAATTCTACATTATCTTGCTTGTGAATTACTCATAGGACAAAATTGTTTTCATACTTGGTAAACAACTCCAGTAAAGGCTTGACAGGGGGCCCAGTCAGGGTCAATGAGAGCTAAATGCTAAATATTAAAAAATCTCCAAATGGTAGCATAAGAACAAATTAATTTTGATTGATTGACCAAATTATTTTTTGAATGATATGCCGATTTTGATATGTCTTGAAGGGTGTTCAGCCACTTAATGGCTTGTTCTTAGGGTGTTCTTGGAATGTTCAGCCTGTTCTTGAAGTGTTCAGTCTTTTAGAAACGACAATGTATGTATACATAGGCATTAAGCATGCATCTATTTTTCATTACAGAACAACTATAGGCACACTTCTTTCAGAGAAGGTAACTTTAAGCTCCTTAAAAATTTCCTAAACCTCTCTGCTTAAAATCTTTTGTGAGTAGTTTCCCGAAATATCTTATTCAGATAATTCACTATTCTATTGCATTTCTTCTTTTCTATTGTTTTGTATATCTTCATAATTATATTATTTGCCATCTTTTGTGGTATTTATGATGAAAACTTTTTTGTTATTTTTCCGCTCAATGTTAATGTGAATTGATTGAATGTATGACATTTTCTCAGCAGAAAACTGAGAGCTTGCTGCCAAGGGGAGTTTTGTTAAGATATATTGCAGATCTTATTGCAGATCTGGTACTCATGTTAACTAGGCTTCTACAAATGATGAATGTCTTAATTTTTAACTAAGTTCAATATATCTTTAAATTTGTGGCCCACCAACCCCCTTCTCCCCCTTCCCTCAACATCTACACAAAAATAGAAAATTGATCAGGGCACTTCAAGTGGGATCATCCACAGCCAGTGCCTCCTCTTGCCACTAGCATTCATTGGTTCCAAAAGTTCCAATGCAAATTTATGCTGGTACATTTATAGGCATAAGACATGTTTGTTCAGAGTTTAGCTCACATGATAAGAAGGGTTTTAGGATTCATCTGAAGGTCCATCACATCACATCATGTCATTAACAGCCATCTAATTTCATATAAAGGTTGGTTGATTGATTTTCTATTGCTGCACCCAACCTATTCGAGTTGCCTTTTGGTCATGAGTGAAAATGAATGAGATTTTATTCATCTGAAGGTCCATCACATCACATCATGTCATTAACAGCCATCTAATTTCATATAAAGGTTGGTTGATTGATTTTCTATTGCTGCACCCAACCTATTCGAGTTGCCTTTTGGTCATGAGTGAAAATGAATGAGATTTTATAACAAATATCAAACTATTTTTTTCAGATGTCTATTTTGTTTGCTGATGCTGACGATTTTCACCCATCATCGAACAAATCAAAAATGAGTTCTGGTATACCACTGACTGATGAGGTGATATTATCAATTAGCAAAGTTTGTAAGCTCTTATATGTCTGTTATTGTCTGTTATTGAGCAAACATTTGTTTTACGACAATGAGGCTAGAATAACTGGAGAGGCACAATTGTTTGAGAGCTATAGCTCATGTGTATTGGAAGGAAAGGTTTTTATTGTGTTGCTGATGTATTTGGAAGCAATTATGATCACACAAAACATTCAATAAAATATTCCATAAATGGGCTTCTTTATAGTGTTATTTGTGTTATTTGTTTCGTTTTCAGGATAGGGAACCCTGGTTGGATATATTGAAGGACATGATATCACGGTAATTTTGTTTTCCTTATGTAGAGCAAAAGTTTTCATGTATGTAGTGACAAAGCAAGAATCTTATAATATGTCAAACAGGAAAAAGGCCAGTGACTACCAAATGGTCATTCATGGTGTTTGTACATATGGTATTTCTTCATCTTTGAAAAGCATATGGAGAGGATTTCTATCATAAAGCTGTTGTTATATTATGTTGACTTTTTTCTCAGTCTTTGTGGGTGTATATACAAGGAGCATGCTCCTCATAAGTTTTTTTCCGGACAAGTTTAGAAGACCTTTAAAGTTGTTTAAAAGAAGAACACAAAGGTTTTTGAAAATGTCCCTGGAAGAATAAGAGTTTTTAAAAATACCTTTAAATTTGTTGTAATCCACTAAGAATAAAATTTAAATAGTGTCTTTAATCTTTCGCCTCCTTCAGTGATGCTAAAGGATTTGTGGTGAGAGTTGGGCCAGTCATAATGATAAAACGTCTGATAGTTATTCTATCATAATAATGCTGTACCAGTCTGTGGGCATTTAACTTCCCAACGTATCTCATTTAGTTAAGTTCGCAAAATTAATTATTACTGACATACTTTTGAGAATCTGGTGGGTGACTTGAAATCCAAGGTATAACATTAACAGTTAGGAGAACCCTTGGAAGGGCAGCTTTTAGAAAAGATTTGTTTGTTTAATTCAGGGGAAACAGTCCTCCTCATGACCTCTGTGTAGATTAACGTGCTTTTCTTTTTCCCAAATGGGTTGATAAGGAAAGAAGCGTTGAGCTTATGTTGACTATATGAATCTGTTCTTAGTAAGTAAACGATTACAGGTATTTGTTAGAGGATATTTTGCCTATCCTTCCCCCTCCTAAAAGACAGTGTTGCTACGTTTTCAAATTGAAATTTCAAACATTCACCTATCGTGGTTTGCTGACATGGTCTAAGGTACATTCCCGAGCATAAAAGGGTGTGGCCCAATCTTGCTCCTTTTGATTTGTTTAACTTTCGATGATCTATCTCAGCCAAAACGCTAGAAATTCCAAGAATTTAAGACTACACGCGACACTGAATCACAATATCAAATGTATGAAATTTGTTTGTCTTTTCTTCCTTCTAGTTACTATTTCTATTTAAAACTCAATGTTTAAAGCGGGAATACATCTTCCCTAGAAGAGATATACTACATCATATCAAAAATCCAAGAAACCAATTAGCATATCAAGTAACTTATACATGCCTTGTGAATGGCTAGGGCATTACCCTAGGTGTTTCTTTGCCAACACCTTAGGAATAAATGAGAAATAATTACATTCTACATATCTTTTCCCTAATTTTTGTTTTTACCGATTACTTAATTATAGCACTGTTTTGTTAAGTTGTGTGTTGTTTCACGCGAACCTTTATTAAATGCGTTTGCTTGTTTGGGTTAAAATTTCATGTTTTACAGGAGTGGATATGAACAAAGCCGAGTGTGCTTATCTTAAATTCTAATCATGTTAAGTTGGTTTGATACGTGCCCCATGCTTTTTGGAAGCTACATGTTTAGCTACCCAACGTAGTGTACTTTAGAAATGTTATGAGATAATTGCTGTGACTGAAAATTAAAGTCTTGAAGTCCCTAACTAGTGAATAGATCTTGTTGGCCACTTTTTTGGCACAAAATAAGCCATGCAAGTTTAGTTAAGTAATTGCATTTTGAAAAATTAAAGTTCTGCTTTTTGTCTGATACTGAAATTGTATTTCTCAATGTATTTAATTCTAAGTTCAAGCGGCGAAATTAGAAAACAAGAATCGTCTGATCGTGGAAGAGTTTATTCAATTTTTGTTGTGATAAGAAAGTTTCTTCTTCATTCATAGCTGGGATTCAGAAGGCACTGATGCTATTTTGGCATGCTCTGCATTAAAGAAGTCTTACAGGAACCATTTGCTATCAGGATTGAACCAACTAACTGCACATCATTCACAAAACGATGTATTAAGAACAGGAATATTTGTTTTTCTAAAAGGCTCTTTGGAGTGCATTCATAGACGCATGTCCCAAAGAAAAGACCACTTTATGCCTCAAGCATTGTTACAATCACAGTTCAAGGACTTAGAAGAGCCTGATCCAGAAAAAGAAAACGTTATCACTGTAAATGTTAGTTCTAGTACTGATGAAATTGTTAAATGTATAGAATTGAAATTGCAGAGTTTTGTTAAATTTTGATAATACGTTATAAGGAGAGATCTTAGATATCTTCCCACTCCTTTTAGAGTTTCAGACCCTTGTTTCATACTCCTTAAATACTTAGTAAGTTGATATTTTTTGTCTCTAACAAACTCTTTATCAAATATAGAAACATCCATTGCATCGGGGCAATGATTTTCTGACTTTGTAAACTGCTTGATAACACAAAAATTTGTTGGGTTGTAGCCTCTACCCACTTTTTTCAAAATATGTGAAAATCCTTGGACCTACTTTTCTAAGGTTATAATTGAATCAAAGAATTAATGCCATGTCCATGTATATGCTAAGGAGATTTATCGTGTAAAATTTATGATCCAAAGGTCGACCATACAACCTTCTTATATCTACGACCGACCATACAAGTTTTCTTATATCAAATGTTTGTTTACAATCGTCTTAGATGTATGCCCATAAAAAGAATCTAACTTAAAATCGTACAAATCATCTCTTTTATAACATTTGCAAAGAGTGTTGGAAAAAAAGCAATAGCAAGAAATAATGTTATTTAATAAGTGTAATCTTAGGCCTTTCTTTCAAGCATATATTTGAAACCAAAGATAAATGTTTGTATATACGTTGTGTATAAGAAGTATATAAATTATTAACGAATAGTTTTGTATTTTGTCTTCCTTTTTGGTATACGATCTCTAATTACACCCCTGTTGATGCAACCAATTTAACTGTTCTCCATTGTATTGTTTCAGTATTCAATCTATCTTAAATTTTCATAATTCTCAAAATTTCTAGCCATTACGTCTTTCAAATCTTGATATTAGCAGATAGACTTATTTTCGCTAAAAATCTTGTAATTCAGCTACCATTTAAAGGAATGTTTCTTGTTTCAATAAAAGAATATTTTATCTTCTTATTAATATTTAATCCTCTGGATTTCTCTTACTTCCTATATGGTTCTTTTCATGTTTTTATATAATAATTTTATCAACGACATCGTGAAGATTGGACTTTAACATGTTGTTATCCATTATAAATCCGCTTCAATTTTATGTGCTTGTGGCAGTTGCTTGAGGTGAATCACAATTGAGAACTGTGACCTTAAAGACAACAGTGTCGCATTGCAATGAGCTGTTGTTGTAATGAGCTTTTACAAGGTTATTACCTTTTTTGGAATATATGCTATACTAAATAAAAACGGACAACATTAATTTGCATTTGAACTAATGCTGATTAAAATGCATTAAAGATGCTCCGTGGTATATAAAACGAAAGTATTGCAATTTTTTGCTAGGAATATTCTGAAGCTTTGTTGCTAGAAATTAAAGGATTGGTGTAATGATTCGTGCAGCTTCTTTTGTTTAACAGTTAAAATGTTTTTCCACTGTTCAAACTTGATGCTGGCTCTTTACAATTTTTGGTCTAGATTGGACGCGCATATTATCGATTCGCATGTCTAATGTTGTTAAATTGCAAGGGTTATTCTGGTTTCAGCACTTTATCTATAATATATTTAGTTTCTTGATTGAGGCGCTCTCTCTTTTAGTTAACTTATCTAGAGAGGTGCTTCATTTTTTTTTTCATTTTATAATATTTATACAGGTTAAAGGTTCATACATATGTTTTTCAACCTGACCTGTTTAAAAGATTAAAATAAGAGCTAACAACTATGTTATAATACTAGTAACAAAAGAAATTTACCAATCAAACCTAATTTACAATATTTAATAATACTAAGGCTACAAAAAGTGAACGTAAAGATGAAATAAAAGTTGTCCCCGACTATAGTTGTCCCCGACTTCGTAATCAATCTATGCTATAAAAAATCATGTAATGTCCACTCATTTGATTTGATAGAGTTTTCTAACCCTCCTATTTAAATCACTCTCGCATTGTATTTGTATTTGATTTCAAAGTATTTTTTGTGAATAAATCTATCAACTTATTTTGTTTCATTCTCTTTCTGCTCACTGTCCGTCATCGCTTTGTCTGTTTCAAAAGTCCAAAATATTTTTGTATTTTCTTTTAACTTTTACTCCAAATTTACCGGCTCATTCTATTAAACCAGTTTTTAACGCTAAATCTTCTAACGAAAGAACCCTAGCATAGATCGATTCGATGCGAGATTTTACATAATTGCTTTATTCATTTGATCTAGATTGCTGATTAGCTATAAGGAAAATTTTTTTCCGTATTTATGTACGTTTAATTAACTTGGGTCTCCTGTGAGCTGATGGCTCTGTGTTGTGATAGGATGCATCCCAATTCAAGATGGAATAAAAGACGTTGAAAGAAAAACATCGTAGAATTTAAGAAACACTTTTAGCAGTGCTCGTTAAGGTTTCTTGCAGAACTTCCTAATGTTTTAAAGATCAAATTTAACTTACAAAATTCACTGGACAGTGCAGTTTGTGCCATGAAGATTTACAGGAATTTCAAAGAATGTAATATTCACTAGTAATGATTGACATTTTCATCGTGTTCATCTAGTATTTGATCCTGCATCAAAAAGTAGAAATTCGTAGCAATAAAGTGAAATCCAAGTCAACATCAATATTTTTAGAAGAAGAGAGAAGAGAATGAGGGCCAAGTAGGGGCTTTGCTTCACTGATTCCATTGATCGCGAGAAAGTCTTCGAGCTGAGGAGGAGGATTTCCCGGGAACCTTTGCAAAAATGAAGCATGTTGAAAAAATGGCGACGGAATAAAAAAACCTTCAAGGTAGAGAGAAAAAAGGTTTTTTAGATTTCTTGAAGTTTTGTAAGGCCTCAATAATATTTAAGGTATAATTATCGGTTTTTGTGCTAATTATCTTTCTTTTTCTTTAGAGTAAAGTCACAATTTCACTCAGGCTTGGGAAGAAAAGGGATCGAAGAGCTTTGGTTTGGCCAATTGTCTGACAGATTTAAAATGTTAGGTGAGTGGAGGCTGGAAACATGTATACTTTGCTTACTATTATGCATAAGCACTAACAAAAATATTTGTCATGAAGAAGGTCATTGTATTGTAATCGTTTTTATTTTAATAACAAATGCTCAAAAAAGGAACAAAATTTCAGCCATAGTGGGCCGGAGCGTCTCTGTAAGCATTCCATTAATAAGGGAGTCGTCTGTGGCTTTTTTCCAGAAAGCATTGCTTTTATACCAATTTGCTCCTTATTATCTTTTGGACCAACTTTATACCAACTTTCACCCTGTGCACAATATTCACATTATTCTTAACAACAATCCAACATTTCGAAGAAGACCTCTCATTACACAGGGCTGGTTTATCTTCATTAACCTTTTCATTAACCTCCCATCACTTTCATATCACAATATACCCTTCTTCTCACAAGCTTGGATTTCCTTATTTGATGTTATACCTGTGTAACATTCAAATCGTTGTGTCAAACGTTCATGAACCTTGGCAAACAGTTTATTTCGTGTATATAGAATTGGAAATTATCGTTCTTTGAAATAGCAAAATTGAGACAGTCTTGTGAGACATAAAATTATGCAAAAGTGTCCTAATGCTTGGCTATTTAAGAATGTGCTTCTGTTATTGTGACCAAAGTATTGTTTACAACAGAAAATGGACACCAGAGATGCTCTGTACATCCTTGGGCATGGCCTTAGGTTCAAAGTTAGACTGCTTGACAGTTATGATGTAACGATATAAAGTATAATATAATATAATATAATATAATATAATGTAATATGATATAATATAATATAATATAATATAATATAATATAATATAATATAATATAATTAATTAATATAATATAATATAATATAAATAATAATATAATATAAAAATAAATAATATAATATAATATATATAATATATTATATAATATAATATAAATATAATTATAAATAATATAATTAATTATATAATAAATATAATTATAATATAATATAATATATATAATATAAATATAATATAATATAAAATTATATTATAATAATAAATAATATAATATAATATAATATAATAAATAATAGTAATATAATAAAAATAATAATAATAATAAATAAATATAATATAATTAATATAAATAAATTAATATAATATAATATAATATAATAATATATAATATAATATATTATAATATAATATAATATAAAAATAATATAATATAATAATATAATATATCATAATATAATATAATATAATATAATATAATATAATAAAATATAATTTATAATATATAATTAATAAAGTATAATATAATATGTGATATGATATGATATAAGCTATCAAATTTATCATTACTAATGTCATTGTTCAGTAACTACTCAAGTTTCCATCCATTCCCACATCTCTGATGCCCTGGTCGCCAATTGATGGTCGCTAATTCAAGGTCTGTGTCTCTTGATTACCCATCAAGGTGACCAATGCGTTTATGACAACGACCAAAAATTGCTGTGCAAATGAATGTCAGTAACTCACAAATTGAGAAGACTGAGGCACCAATGAAAAGCCCGAGTGACCCGCCGATACCACCAGCCAGCGTACAAGGCATCATAGCTGGTGTCTCCACAACTTTCTGGTAGCTTAAAGATGTGAAGTAAACTTTTAGCTGCAAAAAATTGGAAGAAATAAAATCCTTTGACAAATTGGTTCGATTTAATACCTTGGAAAGAACTTGCTTGTAATACTGCATGTCTGCTTCACTGGGCCATTGAGTGCTCGTCGCAGTAAGTTTGAAAGTTTCTTCGTAACATGGTAACGGACAATCACAAAATACCTTGTTTGCAGTTAGATTTGCGTAAAACTCTCGCCCACAGGCAGCAGGGTCTTTTGAAATGTTTCTTGGCAGAGAGGGGAATTTTTTCCCTTTTTGCTCTAAATGGTAAAGCACTGAAGCCTCAACTATGCCACAGCTCTCATAAAGTTTCAAATGAAAGCAAGATTTTAAGCAATTATGGACATGATAACGGCCTGGGTATATCAAGTCTTCGTCCCTATTAACGCATTCAGATTTGTACGGCTTTTGCTCTCGAAGCATGATCTTTTGTTCTATTGATATATGTGTCTGAGTCCCTGGTTCAACGGCAAGCCAGTCATTAGATGGGTAAGGGAAGACATCCTGTGGATGCACCTTCACAAATACACCAGCTCCATTATCAAATGGCAGGAGCCTCATATAATCGTCTTGATTCAGGTACAGAGTTAAAAGGAGTCCTCCATACGGCCCCACAACAACCTGGGTGAACTTACCGTCTGGATTAAACGTCTTACAAAATCCAGACTCCAAGCCATAAAAATAATCTTTAAAGTCACTTTGGTTGCAAGTTTTGAAATGCCCAAATCTACACCAACCCTCGATGGATTCTAGAAAAAGCATATCTGAAGCCGACTGCGTGGCTTTTGCAGTTGAAAAACTGCCTTGATCCATAAAAGATTTTGCATTAGGAAAATTCAACAGATTTACTACCGCTCCCTTATCAAGGCTAATGTTCAAGAAGTGCTGAAAACGCGCCTCCGGGTCCTCGATCAGATCGCGAACCTTACTTCTTTGAAAGTTGTTTGCATTGCAAATAGTGACGCTGGGAAACTTAGCCGTATGATTTGCACACTCTTCTATTAGCAAATATGTTCGGTACTTAAAGTATTCTCCAGCAAGGCTATAAATATTGGCGACGCTTGCAGCAAAAAGAGCAATAATTACTGAACTCCATAGAAGTTTCAGACTCCAATGTTTTGATGCCGCAATTTTTGAAAGTCCATGGATAGTGGAATTTGCCAAGTAAGATCGTAGTGCCATTTCCGTTAGTTGGCTTTTGAAATTTGAATTCACCTCAGATTTCTTCGTATTTTGCTCCATCCCCAACTCTGTCTCGTTTGCCACCGATTTCTTTTAGTCAGATAAATCTATCCTTGTGCTAAGAAAAACTTTTCATGTGGATTAGCGTCTCCTCAACGGGTCTTTAAAGAACTGAGCCAGAGCTCAAATGATGTACATTTTTAGTGACTCTCAAGAATAATAGACAGCTGGAGAGAAACAGCTGCTTTTAATTACGACTTTTCGCATTTAAAAACTACTAAAAATTGTGTATTTTGTATTTAACAGAAAAAATAAAGTTTTGTTTCATAATAGCACACCATTTGCCTTGGAAACCAAATGCACACAAACAAAGAAATTTCACCCAAAAGTAGTTTTACGTGCAAACTACAAATCAACGTCTCTGCTTATATGACAAAAAACTAATTTTAGTTAATGATTGTCTAAAGATCAAACGCAATACTGAATAAACAACAGTGATTCAATCCTTAATATTTAAAAACAAATTTAATTATTGTCAACTGACTCCTTTTAGTTTTCTTGCGCCTGTAGGTACACATGCAATAACATCAAACTTTTCAGTCGTTATTGCCGCAGATGTCCATTTTACATACTTCAATGTTATAGTCATCATAAGTGCGAAATGGCGATGTTCGGTGCAATAAATCATATTTATTTAACTTTTTAGATTACCATGTTTGATATCCTACAACGAGCCTAATAAATGAATAGTGAAAGTGGGATATCACTAAATATCACACAATTAGTACCTATTGCACTCATAGGATTTCTACAAGAAGAAAAGAGATACTGAAGGAGATTTAAATGACTTTATATTTTGTAACAAATATCTATAAAAAAATAAGACCGTAAAGTGCACCACGCAGAGAAAAAAGTGAAGAAAAAGCTGGATTTATGGCACAACAACGCTATTTTAAACTTAATGTTACCTATGAGAGTGTCTAATTTAAAAACATATATATTGTGCCCTAACGAGATAATTTCTTTCTTAGAGTTTTTTAAGATACAAAAATATATAAAACTTTTATATTGACGATTTTTTGATAAATCAGAAGAGAAATGTACAGTTGGTTCGTTAAAAAGGTCGTAACAAGCAAGTAGTTTTAATGAACCAGTCGGCTAGACCTTTCAGTGGCCTAGAAGTTACCAAGAATGGCCAAACAAATTTGTATTTTTTCATTGATGAAATTCGAACATGTGATAAATTGCTGATGAAGAAATGTAATTAATTTTCATTGTAACTTTGAAGAATATTTTATATTCATATACTAGATTTTAGACTTTTACCTGTCAGTTTTTATAAAAATGAATTTTCTGTTTTAATCTCTCGTCAACTTGGTTTGCATTTGTGTGCAGATATTTTTAGCAATGTTATTTTCTGTCAGATTTTATTTTTATTCTTCACCTGAACTTTTTTATTCTTTTCTATATTATCAGGGCTCTGTGCATTTCTTGTAATTTTTCATTTTTATTTTATCGACAGTGCACGGAAGCTAATTGGAATGAATGTATCACACAACTTTGATAAGTAAAGATTGTTGGAGCCCATTGAGCGAGCTGCAATTGGAACAGATCAGAATTGTTCAAGGAAGAAGAAAACCCCAACTGTATCAAAAAGAGATGATGGAAGTTCTAAGAAAAGTACGAAGAAACACGGTATCAGCTCTGTGTAAGGAAAGCGAATGTTTGATAAGGGGAATACACCGAGTATTTGATGGAGAATATAGTCAAGCCTTTCCTGTGTTTACAGAGTAAGAAAGAAATGAAAGACTTTCAAGAAAGAGGTTATAGAGCCTAAGGATCTGCTAGAATTGAATTCTTCCGAGAAAATGGCGTTTAAGAACGATGTAAGTTGTTGCTTTTATTCATGTAACCACAAATTTAAAACTAAATTACCTTTTTTAATTTTTACCTATTAATTATTTTTGAGGGATTTTTAGAATTTTCTTGCCTAAATTGTTTGCCGTTCTTTGCTATTAAAACATGCTGATGGAATTATTTGCTCGTTTTTGTGGTAAGTTCGAGGTTATTCTCATAGGTTTAACCTTGGACTTTGTAGTATTTGCTGTCACTTTTTATATAAATGAATCTTCTGTTTTGATCTCTCGTCAACTTGGTTTGCATTTGTGTGCAAATATTTTTCTCAATGTTATTTTCTGTCAGATTTTATTTTTATTCTTCACCTGAACTTTTTTATTCTTTTCTATATTATCAGGGCTCTGTGCATTTCTTGTAATTTTTCATTTTTATTTTATCGACAGTGCACGGAAGCTAATTGGAATGAATGTATCACACACAACTTTGATAAGTAAAGATTGTTGGAGCCCATTGAGCGAGCTGCAATTGGAACAGATCAGAATTGTTCAAGGAAGAAGAAAACCCCAACTGTATCAAAAAGAGATGATGGAAGTTCTAAGAAAAGTACGAGGAAACACGGTATCAGCTCTGTGTAAGGAAACCGAATGTTTGATAAGGGGAATACACCGAGTATTTGATGGAGAATATAGTCAAGCCTTTCCTGTGTTTACAGAGTAAGAAAGAAATGAAAGACTTTCAAGAAAGAGGTTATAGAGACTAACGATCTGCTAGAATTGAATTCTTCCGAGAAAATGGCGTTTAAGAACGATGTAAGTTGTTGCTTTTATTCATGTAACCACAAATTTAAAACTAAATTACCTTTTTTAATTTTTACCTATTAATTATTTTTGAGGGATTTTTAGAATTTTCTTGCCTAAATTGTTTGCCGTTCTTTGCTATTAAAACATGCTGATGAAATTATTTGCTCGTTTTTGTGGTAAGTTCGAGGTTATTCTCATAGGTTTAACCTTGGACTTTGTAGTATTTGCTGTCACTTTTTAATATAATATGAATCTTCTGTTTTATTCTTCGTCAACTTGGTTTGCATTTGTGTGCAAATATTTTCTCAATGTTATTTTCTGTCAGATTTTATTTTTATTCTTCACCTGAACTTTTTTTATTCTTTTCTATATTATCAGGGCTCTGTGCATTCTTGTAATTTTTTCATTTTTATTTTTATCGACAGTGCACGGAAGCTAATTGCGAATG